CAGTTGCTAGAGAAGTGCATTAAATCGGATACCATGATATCCAAGAAGTTTTGCAGAGAGTCTTACGACTCATTCTCCAGGCAATCAATGAAGAGAAGGGCCCAGAAGAAAGCGAGGACGACAATGACGTCGTCAAAGATTTTGTCAATTTGTTGACCACCACCATGGCTGAAGATTTAGGAGACATGCCTTCCGTTGCGGCAGGTGTGACCTTGTCGTGGACTTTAGCGAACTATCGTCCGTCAACTCTTGATTCTCTTCTTCCACTGATTATGAGAACTTTCAGCAAACTTTGCAAGGACCACATCACCATCACTCACCAAGGATCACAGAACTCCTCGCGCGAGAACGCCAACTTTGAGTATGAAGCAAAGATGACTACGAAACTTTTGGAGAAAATCTTGCAGCTTTCTCTGATGAGGATCTCAGGACTCGGAGACCAACGGCGTATTTTCTTGTCGCTCTTAGCACAGCTTATTGAGCGCTCACTTGACAAAGAAACCTTGGAGAAAATTATCAAGATTGTCAAGGGTTGGGTGTTTTCAAAGACCGACCTCTTTCCAACAACGAAAGAGAAAGCCGCAATCTTGGCCAAGATGATGGTATTTGAAATTCGTGGAGAACCTACGCTCTCGAAAGAGTTTTACCAAATAATTGTGGACATTTTCGAAGACGATACTTTCAGTTGTACTGACCTCACTGTACGAATGGAGCAACCATTTTTAGTTGGAACTCGGTACGGCTAGACGTTTCCATCAGGCGCTAAGTTTGATGTCTCATTCTCAACAATAGTTCTTAAGAAAAGGATGTCAGTAAACGTCTCTACTACATCATTAGGGAACAAAACTTGGGAGTATTTAGCCGACTACAACTGGCTCAATCAAAGCTCTTCAGTTGCTCTATGGATCATTTTGATCACGAGAAACAACTTGTTCTTGGTGAAGGAGAGAATAAGCTTCAACCTGTCACCTCGTTCCTCCTATGTTTCAGACGACAGCGAAATGGATGTTGAACATGAATCTTGATGAAACTTTCCCAGCTCTGTTCGAAGCACAATGAGTTTTTAACCCAAGCCTAGCTATTGCTTCCGGCGAAAGACTTATTGGAAACCGCTTGTTGATATGTTCTATCAAAGTAGCGAACATTGTAACACTAAGGTTTGGTCTTTCAATTTTCCCCAATATGGCATTCAAGTCCATTCCACGTTCTGAGAACCTTGATTTTACCAGATTCTTAGTGATACTTTTGTCAAAAGATTACCACACTCGTCAAGTGGATAGCAGACCTAATGTGATACAGTCTCTTTTGGAAGGAATCTCCCGCTGTGAAGAACTTCAGCTTCCTCCATTTGCAATCGAGTGCTTAGCATCAAACTTTGATGCATGGGCTCAAGGTATTCATATACTTGAACGGATGGAAGAGCAGACTGTTAATGGGAATCCCGAGGTTCATGAGATCACTCAGGATGCTCTTGCGAAATTATACGCTGCGCTTAAGGAGGATGATACGTTTTACGGTTTATGGAGAAGAAGAGCCAAATACTCTGAAACGTTGGCAGCGCTTTCCTATGAGCAAATTGGTCTTTGGGATAAAGCACAACAGCTCTACGAGGCTGCTCAGATCAAAGCTCGAAGTGGAGTGCTTCCATATGGAGAGTCTGAATACACTCTTTGGGAAGACCACTGGATTCTTTGCGCCGAAAAACTCCAACATTGGGACATTCTTACCGAACTTGCTAAACACGAAGGATTTTCAGATTTGCTATTGGAATGTGGTTGGCGAGTTGCGGATTGGAATACCGACCGTGAAACCTTGGAACAGACAGTTAAGAGTGTGATGGACGTTCCAACTCCAAGAAGACAAATGTTTGAAACATTCCTCTGCTTACAGAGCTATAGAGGTGAAAAGGATGTTCTTGACGAGCTCTCCAAATTATGTGATGAAGGCATTCAGCTTGCTCTCCGGAAATGGCATGGGCTTCCACGTAAGTTTGCCAATGCTCACATTCCGCTTTTGCACACTTTTCAGCAATATGTGGAGTTCATGGAGGCTAGTCAGGTATATGCCAGTTTGGTTTCCACAAACGCTCAGAATTTGGATATTAAATCGCAAGAACTCAAGCGAGTACTTCAAGTTTGGAGAGAGCGTCTTCCTAACATTTGGGATGATATCAATATTTGGAACGATCTTGTGACTTGGAGACAACATGCTTTCCAAGTTATCAACAAAGTCTACATGCCCTTCATTCCAGTACTTCAACAGACCAACTCAGGAGGCAATGCCAACTCGTATGCTTATCGTGGGTTCCACGAGATTGCGTGGGTTATCAACAGGTTTGCTCATGTTGCTCGTAAGCATGGAATGGCCGATGTGTGCAACATTCAGCTCAGCAAGATTTATCAGCTTCCAAACATTGAAATTCAGGAAGCTTTCTTGAAGCTCAAAGAACAAGTCAAGTGTCATTACCAGAACCCTGGAGAGTTGAATACCGGTCTCGATGTCATCAGCAACACCAACTTGGTTTATTTTGCGACACAACAGAAAGCCGAGTTTTTCACCTTGAAGGGAATGTTTTTGAATAAAATGAACCAAAAGGACGAAGCAAACAAAGCGTTTGCAACATCTGTGCAAATAGACCTCAACCTACCAAAAGCGTGGGCCGAGTGGGGTATGTTCAACGATAAGAGATTCAAGGAGAACTCACACGACATGGTTTATGCAAACAACGCTATCAGCTGTTACCTTCAGGCTGCTGGTCTATACAAAAATGGTAAGACGAGGAAGCTACTTGCTCGTATCTTATGGCTTATTAGTCTTGATGATGCATCTGGAACTCTCTCTCAAGCCTTTGATACGTTCCGAGGAGAGGTTCCAGTATGGTACTGGCTTACGTTTATTCCACAATTGCTTACTTCTTTGTCTCATAAAGAAGCTCGTTTGGTGAAGCAAATTTTGATAAGAATTGCAAAGAGTTACCCACAAGCACTTCACTTCCAACTCCGAACCACCAAGGAAGATTTCGCGGCCAAGTTGAGACAGTTCAACCGATCTGCTGAAGAACTTGGGTCGGTTGTCCAGCTCACCACAGACCAAGAGTTCTATTGCTGAAGAAAAACTCAAGGAAGAAGAGAAGGAGGGAGAGAAAGAAGAAGCCGATGCAAAGAGAGAGGAAAGTGAAGAAAAGAGTGAGGACGATAAAAAGAGTTCCGAGAATAACGATACAAATGGTGTCAAAGGAGAAAAAGATAAGTCAGATTCAGATTCTACAAGCTCTGTTCGTCAAGCATGGGAACATGTTGAAGAAATCATGGGCATACTTAAGACTGCTTATCCATTGTTAACACTTTCATTGGAGTCTTTGGTCGACCAAATCAACCAAAGATTCAAATGCACTGCTGATGAAGATGCTTACAGATTGGGTGTTGCTCTCCTTAATGATGGTGTTCAGTACCTCAATCGATTGGGAAACCCCAGAGAAGATGCCAAGCTTCCTCCGGTAACTGAAGCGAACATAACCCGCTTTGCTGAGACTGTTTTGCCAAAGCAGATTCGAGCTGAGTTTGAGAAAGACTTGGTTGTTGGCAAGCCAAATTTGGAGACATATATCATCAAGTTGAGAAAGTGGCGTGATAGACTCGAAGACAAGCTTGATCGTCGCTTTTCTGAAATCAATTTGGAGAATCTTTGCCCTCACTTGAGTGAATTCCACCATCAAAAGTTCGAGGAAATTGAAGTTCCTGGACAGTATCTACTCAACAAAGACAATAACACCCACTTTGTCAAGATTGAGCGGTTCCTTCCAACTATCGATTTGGCTCGTGGCACGAATGCTTGCTACAAAAGATTGAAGATTCGTGGTCATGATGGAAGTCTTCATGCTTTCGCAGTTCAATTCCCTGCTGCTCGTCACTGTCGCCGCGAGGAAAGTATCTTCCAATTGTTCAGAATATTCAGCGACACTCTTTCACGAAAAGTCGAAACCAGGAGAAGAAACATCGAGTTCACGGTGCCTGTGGCTGTCCCATTATCCCCACATATTCGGATCATTAGTGACGACGTAAAGGATATCACCATGCAGAAAGTGTACGAGGACTTCTGTCGTCGCAACGGTAAGAGTCGGGATGAGCCGTTTATCTACACCATAGACAAGCTTCGTGCAGCCTATGATCCTCGCTTGCCAAAGCCTGATTTGATGAGTATCCGAGTGGAGATTTTGAGCGCCATTCAGACTTTGCTTGTTCCATCTACCGTTCTCAAGAACTATTTTATGGAACTCTATCCTCAATTTGAAGATTTCTGGTTGTTCCGCAAACAGTTCACGTCTCAATATGCTTCGTTCATCTTCAGCACTTATATGATGTGTGTGAACACTCGCCAGCCCCAAAAGATTCATGTCAACAAGGGCTCAGGAAACGTGTGGACTTCAGACATGTTACCTTGCAAGATAGCCAGCAAGAATGCTTCGCTTGATGGTAGTCAAGGTGGACGTCCAGCACCACTCTTCTATAACGCCGAGATGGTTCCTTTCAGATTGACGCCAAATATCCAAAAGTTGATTGGAGAGACTGGAATGGAAGGTATCTTGTCGGTATACTTGTTAGCCATTGCCAGAGCATTAACCGAGCCAGAATCTGACCTCGAACAATACTTGACTCTCTTTGTCAGAGACGAGGTGATATCGTGGTGCAACCAGCAAGATCCACCACGGTCTTTGCCTCAGGATTCACAGTTGAGAGAGATTGTCAGAATGAACGTCGACTTGGTGATCAAGAGAGTATTGACTATGGGACATCCCAGCAACAACCAGGCGGTCACCACACAAAATATTCTCGATTTGATATCGCAGGCTGTCAACCCTAGAAACCTCGCTGCGGCAGATACGTTGTGGATGGCCTACTTTTAATGAATGTATAATATATGTAAGAAATGAATTGCCATAGATTCATGGAGACTTGGGACCGTATCCCGCCATTCGGCTATAGAACAATCTTTCGAGCTTAACAAACGGTTTCTGAGAAAGCTCTACTCCCTCGGAGATCCAGATCCCCCACGCTCCCATCATGTTCGCCATGAGCATATCTGTGAAAAGTCTGTCGCCGATAACTACAATTTGCGACGGATCTGTAATACCCACCTTTGCAAAATATGCCATTATTTCTTCGTGACACCCAGGTTTTTTGGTCGAATGACGAAGGACTGTGACCCCAGTATCATTTTCAAGCTTTTTAGCCTGCTGGTGATCCACATCGTCATCAGTACCGGCTGAATTGCTGACGATGAGAATGTTGTCTTTGTGATAATTGTCTACAAGCGACTTCCACGTTTGCTGGTAAGCAGGCCAAACTTTGTCGTCCTGATCCTTGGCAAAACAGTTGTCTTTATCGAGAACTACTGCCTTTATATTGGATTTTTTGTTTGTAGTTTCTTCGTTTTGTGCTTGGTTTTCTTCATAGCCAAGACTAAATGGGATCACCAACTTGTCAAAAGTAGGCACCACGGCATGGGGCAAGCACAACGAGGGCTGGTAGAGAAGTCTCAGTACATTTAGGGTGGCACTTAGATTTAGTGATAATGGCATGGGTAAAGAAAAAGTTCGCGACGTGAAAATTCAAACTTAAACCAATTGTCATGTCGACAGCACGAACTCGTGTGGGAAGAACCAGGACATCCGGAGGTTCCCGGACCAACAAAAAGACTGGTGTTGAGCCTGACAATGACCCAGAAGACTCGCTGTGTATCATTTGTACGGAAAAAATTGTTTTTGCGGCAGTTTCACCATGCCATCATACGACTTGTCACTACTGTGGTTTACGACAACGGGCTCTCTACGGGCGAAAGTTGTGCCTAGTGTGTCGTACGGATAACGAGAACAACATATTCACAGATCAGATCGAAAAGTCCTACGAAAGTTTCAATAAAAGTGACATTTACGAAACCAACACAGACTATGGTATTAGCTTCACATCGGTAACGGTTCAAAACGACACATTGGGACTTTTGGAGTTTAAGTGTCCATTAGACAAATCTCACGAGAGCATGAAATCATTCAAGGACCTTGCAGACCACGTAAAGACCGAACACAACAAATTCTATTGCATGATTTGCTCCAAGAATAAAAAAGCATTTGCAAGTGAACTTCCACTTTACACCCACAAACAGCTCCAGAGACACCAGACCGAGGGAGACAGCAAGGGCTTCGATGGTCATCCAGAATGTAAATATTGCAGAGGCAACAGGTTTTACTCGGAAGATGAACTCAACGTTCATATTCGAGATAAGCATGAGCGGTGCTACATCTGCGACCAGCATGATGCCAAGAATGCTAGCTACTACAAAAACTACGATTCCCTTTACGAGCACTTTCGCCAGGCACATTATGTGTGTTCTGTTCCGTCGTGTATCGAGAAGCGATTTGTGGTGTTCAGAGAAGACTTAGACTTGACTGCTCACATGCTCAAAGAGCACGGCGGACTTACAAATGGGTCTAGGTTTGTCATTGGAGCCACTGGACCTCATTTCCAATCTCATCTCTCGACTTACACTCCAGCTACTTCTGAACGTCACAACGATAGTAACCAGCACGAAAACCACGACTTGAAAAAGAAGCGATTAGACGAACGAGTTAAGCACTATGTCAACTACGACACATCTAAAATGCAAGAATTCAAGCGTCTTTGTGCGGATTACAGATCCCTGAAAGTCACGGCTCAACAGCTACAAGAAACATTTAAAGAGCTCTTCAAGCTGCAACAGAAAAACGAAGTAGGACTTATTTTGTACGAACTTGCAGAACTCTTTCCCAAAGGTTCAGACAAGCACAAGGCTCTTATGGTGGTGTACGACGTGCAAGTTACACACAACAAAGAAGACCAGTTTCCTGTTTTGAGTGGACTGAAAAATGCATTTACTGGTTCTATTCATGGCTGGAATACTTTACAAAACTCAGCTGCTTCTAGCCAAGAAAGTTTTCCCGTTCTCCCCAAACCCAAGAAGAAGAATGCTTCCGGCTCGGCAGCTCAGCCTATCAGATATACTACACTCAAGAAACCTACCAAAGTTACTACGGTGATCCTGAGCTCGCCTTCAACTGTGAACAAGAATTTCAAACCAACTTATCTCGACAACAGACGTACTGCATCTTCTACAGCGTTAGCTTCGGAAAACAAAGAGCCACTTACAAGACATTCTTCCAGTTCGCTGAACTTGGCGGACCCTCGGTTTCCAGCACTTGAAAAGAAAACTACGAAGAAAGTGTTTCCACGAGTAAATCCCGCTCCTGCAACCAATTCCAGTTCTTGGGGCCCAGCATTGAACTCGAAGTCGCCCGAACCGTTGGACAACTCAGGAATAGAAATACTAGACAAGAGAAAGGTTAAACTGAAGAAAAAGCAGGAAAAGATACTCTTCACTAATAACCATTAGTGTGCAGGACTCTAGAGTGCTCGCGAGAAACATCTCAATTTGCGATTAGATATGCTTCGGACTGCTGGAAGACTAGCACTTTTGGCCGCCAAAAGCGGTCCTATTCGACCAAATTTGCATTTCGCTCGCTCTCCCAGATTGATATCCAAGATACCAAATCTACAAAGATGGAACTCGTCGCAAACAGCCAAGGTGGATCAGCAGTACATGATTGCATTCACTTGCAAAAAATGCAATACCCGCTCATCACACACGTTCTCGAAACAGGCGTACACGAAGGGAACCGTCGCCATACAGTGTCCTGGATGCAAAAATAGACATTTAATTGCCGATAATTTGGGAGTTTTCAAAGATCAACGCATTAACATCGAAGACCTTTTAAAGGCTAAAGGCGAGTCTGTAGCGACGGGAACGGAAGACCTTGTTTTCGAGGATATACCAGAGAGTTTGAGGAATACTATTGGTCACTACGCCAAGGATGCTCCGGAAGAGTTTCGTCGTGATGATGACGACAAAGTTCATTATCTCGAAGATAAAAACGACACCAAAGAAAATAAATAGAGACTAACATAGAACTTGCGAGTTCAGCCAAGCTATTCCGTCCCTCGTAGCTACGTTCAGGTTTTGTAATTTGTAAATACGAATCATATATACTATTTTCAGATACTCGCTGCGAAAATTCTCACTTCTTTAATCATGCTCAGATCATTACGGCTCCACACAGCAACTAGATTACTTGCTCAAAACAGTGCTAGGTTCGGATTTGTGCGATTCAACTCAACTGCTGCTCAAAAGTACCAAGAAAAGCTTCAGAAAAAGGCTCAAGAACTCGGACTTGGTTCGGTTGAAGAACTCAAGAAACAACTCAAAGATGAAATCAAAGCCAAAAAACTCGAGTTCAGTAAAATAGATCCCTTGAAGGAACTCGAGGAGTATGAGAAGCGCCAGGAAAAAGAATTAGAAAAAGATAGATCCAAAACCATCAAAATTAGAGCACCCATAGATAAGAACTTGGAGAAGAAACCATATAAAACTTTGGACTCGTACTTGGCACTGGACAAATTGAAAGATCTAGGACAAAAGGAGATTGAGCTTATTTGGAGAGCCCGTTTTGAGAACAAAGAACGTACCCTTAATGCGATTCTTACCGATATTCAATTTGCTACAATGTATGCAAATGCATTCAAGAATCCTAGCTTCATTCTTCCGCTTCCCAGAAACGAAGACGGCTACGAAATGCATTTTGTTCAATGGTCGTTTGCCGGTCCTCAGACCACACACTGCATGCTTACAACATTGGCAGAATATAAGCTTCATAAAGAGTATGCCAAACCTCACACTACACTTATGTTCCACCAGGAACTAGTCAACTCGAAGAATTTGGTTTTAATGAACGGTCAGGTTGAAGAAGAGGCAGCATTATCTATGGATGATGCACAATTGCTCGTTCTCAATGTGCAGCGGTTTTATGGTGCTGTTGGAGACGAAGCGCTGATCAAGCGCAAGCATGAATTGCTTCGTGCTTTCACAACCAGTGAAAACTTTGACGTGGATACGTTGATCGAGGAAGCAACATCTGTCTAGAACCAACCAGATCCAAATTCTTGAAGATGTTCTTGTATATAGTTACCTTCCCATACTCAAGATATCATCTAAAAGAGACTTTTTTCCTTGTGTTTCTGTTTTCTTTCCCTTGGTGCTAGCTTTCTTTCGAGGAGCCACTGGCTTCTTTAGTGCTGGTTTTGTAGTGGCAGTCTTTCTCGCAGTCGACTTTGAAGCCCCATTGCGAGCAGAACTCTTGGGTGGCTCAGGCAAATCTTCTTCGTCACTTGTTATGACCAGTCCTTCACTATCACTCACCACCTCTTCCATTGACTCATCAGAAACGTCTGAATCTGACAATACTATTGACTCGCTTTTGGCACTCTTGGCCAGTTTTTTGACTTGTGGTTTTGGTTTCGATTTTGATGCGACCGCTTTTGCTTTTACAGGCTTCGAATTGCTGATTTCACTGATAGTCTTGTTCCAGTCTGGTCTTTCATTTTTCACTTTACCGAGAATTTCCTTAAACACTCGTTTGGCTGCTTGTTCATCATCAAGATTTAGGTGGTTTTTATCGATGTCCATGTCAAGAAGCATTTTCGTTTCTACCTCAATCTCCTTCTCGATAAACTTGTGGAGAATAGTCTTGTCGTCGTTTTCAATGTATCTGCGAACAGCGTAGTTGATACCCTCTTCGGGCACTAGAGCCAAATTAGTTTGCTTCAAGAATTCCTCGAAAAAGTCTTCAAGCTGAACCTCAGGCTGAACCTCGTCGTTACTCTGGTCGACGAATTTCGGCCGTGAAGTCACAGCCAAGTCGTTATTCTTCTTTTTGAAGAGTAGTATCACATCATTGACGTTCGCAATCTTGCCCACGAATCTGTTGGAAAATCGTCGTGGGTTCTCAACATGGTAGTCACCGGTGTAGTCCACTCTTAAGCGTATTAACGGCAACTGGCCGGATGTGTCAATTTCGTTGGCTTTTTGAATGAGCTCTTGGACTTTATTAACGAGAAACTTGGACACATCATCTTTTGAAGCTGGACCTGGCACGAATCCTTCTTTTTGTAGTACAACTTCCTCCATAATGAACGGGCGAACGGTCTTGAGTTTGACCGGTTCAATGGAGTATTTATTATCACGAATATTCATGATGAACACGTTCTTCTCGACCATTTCTCCCGGTGAAAGAGCTGTAGCCACAGATGATCCGGGCTGTAGTACGTCAAATCCCATTTCAGGGTTGTACATAGGCTCTGGAATGCATTCATGTTCATGGCCCCAAAGTACGAAATCCATGAATTTGGGGAGAAAGTTCTCGGGTATATATGACGTTCGGGTATGAGCCACATGGTTTTGATGGACACACAAGAAGTTGAACCACGAATCAGGCTCATCGCTGGAGCGTAAGAATGTGGCTTTGTTATCACGGAACACTCTGTGGAGTCGTTCATCTTTAACATTTCCAATGCCATACAATGCTAGTTTTGTGGTACCTTTTTTGAAAAGAAGTGGAGCTACCGTTATATCTTCGTTGTTCACCACCTTACCAAAGTAGTTGACTAGTCCTGAAGCTGCCAAAATATCCAAAGGCAGTAAAAGGCTATCACCTGTGGCATCATCGTGATTTCCACTAATTGCAAACACAGGAACCCCTATATTAAAGTTTTCGTCCTCGTAGTTTACACCAGGAAAATCCAGCGTCAACGCCATGCTGGGATCACTTATCAATTCCAATTCACAGGGACGGTCTCCGAGACAGTTGGATCGAAGAGATTTTATTACTTGATAAAGCGATTTTTTCGATGGTTTATTAACATGGAAGAGATCTCCGCCTTGTACCACCATATCTACATCGCGCTCCTTCGCTATACGGGTGATTTCCTCGAAAGTTTTGCCGGAATCGTCGCCTCTTATCGGATCGTTTTCATGGTACCCAACATGATTATCAGTAGTTATGAGAATGGAAATGGTATTGGGTCCCTGAGGTATTCTCTTGGATGGTGGCATGAAGAATTGGGGTGAGGGACTACGAGACCAGTATCTCAAGTGGTAGAGGTTAGTGGTGACTAGTGGTGTTTAGTGGTGACTAGTGAGATTTAGTGAGATTTAGTGAGATTTCGCAATCGGTTCCGCGCGCGCTGCTCATCGAATTGTTCTAGAGACACTTAATACTTCAATTTAGACTGTAAACGACTATCGTGTGATTCCAGGTCGTCCAATTAACATCTACAGCCGTCCAGCATCATTATGAGCCTGCTTTCAGCACGACAGCAAGATGAGGTCAATAGCGTCGAGTCGATCTATGGTGATATTTTCACGGATATCACCCCGCAAGGTCTCATATGGAACAAAAAACCCAGTCCCCACTTCCAGATACGACTAGAAACCGATCTGGAGCCCGATAAACCTTCGATGAGTTTGGTTTTGGACATTGAATTCACGCCAACATATCCCAAATCACCTCCGCTTGTGCGGTTATTGAACCCCAAAAACCTCTTGAAACACATGATTCTGGCAATGGACCAGAAAGTACGCAGTCTTATCAAGGAGTACGCCGAAGAGGAGGTCTCTTTTATCATTATCTCAGAGATCAAAGATATGCTTGACGATTTTCACTCCAAGTCAGAAAAGGTTCTCTCTTTGGAAGAAGAGCGGGAAGTTCGATTGCAAAAGGAGCGGCTTCAATTGGAGCAGGAAGAAGCGTTGCGGCGCCGAGAGGAAGAGAGCGCACAAAGAAGGCAGAATGAAGAACTTAACCAAGAAATACTCAAGATTCAAGACGAATATTACGAAGATACTCCGGACGGAACAACCGAGGAAGAAGACGGATCTGCAGACTTGGTGCCTCCTAATGCCGACGACTTTATTGTGTTTGAGAAACCAATGGTCGGATTCACAGAGTCACCCAGAGTTATGTTCACTTTCCGTACCGTTCTGGAACCGATACGATATAAGAAACCAGATCTTTTATCGTCAATCGCACACCAGCAAATTGTTACTCCCTACATTGTCCCAGCACTCTCCACGAAATTGCACGGTGCCCTCATACCCACGTACTTGCTTTCAGATATTATGCTTACATGCGACCATTGGCTCACCGACGACGGCAAGAAAGAAATACAACTGTTGGAATCAGAGCTCCAAAATGTCATGAATGTCAAGCACGAAAACATCTCGTCGTTGGTGGGATTTCAGATTGACAGACAGGAAAAAGGCTGGAGAATCCGTCTACTCACAGACTATTCTCCCCAATCACAATCTCTTCAAGAAATACTAGCTGCTCAACACAAAATATCCTGGTCCACCGCTCGCACCTGGTTGATACAAGTGCTTCCAGCCATTGAGTCCTTGCACAATATTGGGCTCGTACATAAAGCAATTTGCCCATTGACGGTAATTTCCATCCCTAATGGACTGTCTGCCAGCACACTAAAACTATGCCACATATCCTATGGATACTGCTTACTTCAAATGGCCCACGAATACCCTAATAATAATCAAAAACCGAAGGACCCTGTTGATGTCATGGGCAATTCTGCTCTTTGGATAGCTCCTGAGCTCAGCGATGGTTTTGAAAACTTCACCGTGAAAAGCGATATCTGGGATCTTGGTGTACTTTTCATGAAAGTGATGCTAGGAAAGAACTCAACAGAAACCTACAAGACCCCAACTCGCTTCTTGAGCAGTTTCAAGGCTTCTGATTTCCCAAATGACGAAGACAACGCCAATTTGGTGTTCGACCTTCTTTCAAAAATGTTCCAAAAAAAACTATTCAAACGTCCCAGTCCACTAGAATTGAACGCTGTTAGGTTTGTTCGTGATGGGCCTGTGGCCATTCAACAAAATAGCCAACTTCCACACCCATCTGGCTCTCCATCGCATCTGACGGGTATGTCTCATCTCAACTTAGCAGCTTCTAGGCGCCAAAGTAACCACCATGAACTGTTGGATGTTGGTGAGTCGAAGACCAGGAATGTAGGAAGATACGAGCGTGACTTCGAAGAGGTGGGCATCATCGGGAAAGGAGGATTCGGAGAGGTAGTGAAAGCACGAAATCGTTTGGAAGGCACCTTCTATGCTATCAAGAAAATCAAGCATAGAGCAGACAAACTCGACTCTCTTCTTAGCGAAGTGTTATCCTTGGCCAGGCTAAACCATCAGTACATTGTGAGATACTATGGAACTTGGGTTGAAGAGATAGACGAAGCTGATCAAGCGGCTGAACATGAGGATGAGGCAAGCGATGATGATTTCGAGAGCCCAGTAAATGTACGCTCGACATCGTTTTTAGCAAGCCAAGACAGCTCTTTTCAGATCGATTTTATTTCCAATTCTTTTGATCCTCAGTTGGACATTCCTAGCGAAGATGACCTATTTGAATTTGCCAATTCGACGGAAAACGACGAGTCGACATCCGGTGGAGATTTGTGGTCCGACATCACTTCTAACGAGGGATCCAAGAAAGAGAAGAGAACTAGCTCGAAATCGAAGCGCTCGATACTATACATCCAGATGGAGTTTTGCGAAAACAATACCCTTTTGAACTTGATCGAGCAGGGTCTTCCATACAATCCTAATGAGTATTGGCGATTATTTCGACAGCTTCTTGAAGCGGTTTCATATATTCATCAGTCAGGGTTTATTCATCGAGACCTCAAGCCTATGAATATTTTCATCGACAAATCGAACAACATCAAAGTTGGTGATTTTGGATTAGCAAAAAACTCACAATTTTCCCTGGTGGTTCTGACAAACAATCAAGTGGAGGCTGCAAATAAAGACCTCTCCACTGTTGTGGGAACTGTATTTTACACCGCACGAGAAGTGGCTACTGGAGATTACGATGAAAAAGTGGATATGTACTCACTTGGAATTGTATTCTTCGAAATGTGTTATCCCTTGTCCACAGGTATGGAAAGGGCACAGACTTTGAATGAACTAAGGCTCTCAAGTATCAACTTTCCTTCTAATTTTGTGGAGTCGAAATACAAAATGGAGAAGAAAATCATAAAAGTTCTACTTGATCACAATCCCAAAGAGCGCCCAAGCGCATCTGAGCTCCTACAAAGTGGATGGCTTCCGGTCGAACATCAGGATCAAGTTATCAAAGAGGCATTACGATCGTTGGCTGACCCTGCGTCTCCTTGGCAACATCAAGTTAGAGAGACTCTTTTTAATCAACCATACCTGTTGGCTCACGATTTGATGTTCGATAATAGCAGTCGAAACTCCCATAGTATCGAGAACACAACGAGAGATTATCTTTTGTTCAGCAATATGATTGATACTTTGTTTGGAATTTTCAGATTACATGGTGCAATCGAAGACTATAGCTCTGATATTCTACTACCCAAATCGCAAAACTTATCTGCTGGCCAGGTGTACGACGTGCTTGATCGGAGCGGTACCGTTCTTTCGCTTCCGTATGATTTGATTCTTCCCAAGGCAAGATTTTTGAGTCGAAATAACATTGATATCGCCAAGTTATACTGTCACGAGTTTGTCTACCGACCCAATATTCGGGGTCCAGGTACTCCAGACAAATACAGCTCGGTAAATTTTGATATAACGACACACGACAGAAGCCTTTTACCAATCAATGATGCTGAGTGTTTAAAAGTGGTCGATGAAATTTTGCATCATTTTCCCTGCTTCAAAGCCAAAGGTTCTCAGTGCTTAATTCTCATTAACCATTCCGACATTATCAATTCCGTAATAACCTTTGCATTTGGCAATATTGGAATCAGCGATCGCAAGCGCCACGAAGTTATTGGGGTTCTTTCTCAGCTTGGAATCGAAAAAAGTCCGGAAGAAATCAAAAGATATCTACGTGAAGACTTCAATGTTCCACACACAGTGACCAGAGACTTGGTGGATACCTTCAATTTTATGGGAGAGCCCGACGATGCAAGGAGAAAGTTGAAGAAAGCCATGGTTGACTCGCCATACTTTGTTAAAGTTGAGAAGGCTCTCGTTTATATTATGGATGTGTTGTCGATTCTTCGAAAGTTTGGCGTGAAGTCAGGAGTTTATCTTTCACCACTCAGCAACTACAATTGCCAGTATTACACTGGTGGAATAATGTTCCAGGCTATTTTTCGCTTGGATACCAAACGCCGGTTCGCCAGAGTTCTCACTGGAGGCAGGTATGATAAACTAGTTTCATCGCTAGCTAACGTGGACATAAATAAGGCAATAACTCCACATGCGGTGGGTTTGCTGCTAACATCCACATTTCTTTTCCTTCTTTTGAAAAGTAGGAAAATCGGGCCGAATGAAAAGTACAGCGAAACTCAATGGAGGGGAACCAGGTGCGATGTCTTGATCACCAGTACCAACAAATCGCTTGTTCGTCTTGCTGGATTTGAAATTGCTCAGTCTTTATGGAAGAATCGAATCAGTTGTGACTTTGCGTATTCTGCTTCTCAAACTGATATTATGGATCAAGCGGCCCAAGATGGGTGTGGTTGGATCGTCTTCATCAAGCAAACAAACTCACTGCTGAGAGTCAAATCCAGAAGAGGTCCAAGTAACTTTAAGCCGTTAAGAGTAAGAAGTGTTCAATCTGAAAAAGATACAGATTTGGAGTACGAAGAACTCGTTCCTTTTCTCGCTGAAGAAATCAATGGAAGTAATGAAGATGAGTCTGAAAGACACGACATGAATTATACTGACTCTTCACTCGACTCCATGCCCACAGGCCCATTATTTTCCACGGATATCAATAATAGAGTCATTGTGGTTCCCAATGATGCTCCAAGAGGCCGCAAAAATAACAAGCGTGAAAAGTGGGAGCTTGAAAACGATTCCAAAATGGCATCTGCCAATTTTATCAAAACTTTGTCTAATGCTCCAGTGATAGACCTAGATGTTCAAGATGAGGTTTTAGACATGATTCTGATCACTCCTCTTCGCCAACAAGATGAATGGGTACGCAAAATCGTATACTTTTCCAACAACTTTCCCAAGAGCTTCGGGGTCAACATCTACAATACTTTGAAAAAGGAAGCCAACAAAGGAACACAATGGGCAATGCTACACAGCTCGAAAACCGACAAGACTTGTGTCATAGATCTACAACGACAATGATTAAAGTACGCCTAATAAATATATTCACACAGACGACAAATGCTTCAGCTTCCAGTCCCAATACTCTTCCAATCGTAATTTTCCGTAATCAGCGTAGTCAAAGTCAATTTGACTAATTTCGCTTTGAATCATGGCCCAGATTCCCCAGTAGAACCCAGGCATGCCGTGAAATAGAGCAATTTCATCAATGAGTTTCTGGACTTCATCTTCGCTAGCATCAGGATTGTTAAGGTAGGAGCGAACCCACTTGACCATTACGGGATTATCCATGGAAGGCTCAGGTATAGCGGATCTGTCACAGTGGAAACCCTGCCATTCTGCCATATGATTGGCAATATCGAATGCCCGAGGTGCTGGAAGCATGTACTCGTAGTCTATGAATTTGATGGGGTTATTATCGACGGAAGGAAGGTCCGACTCTTCAAATGCAAAATCTGTCGGTATGATGACATTTCCTGAAAGTAAGTCACAATGCGCCGAAACCACGGGCGAGCTATTTTTTGAGGTTAAAGTTTCTTCAAGCCAATTAAGCTCTTGTCTCACCACTTCTCTGAGATCACTATCGATTTTTTTGTTGCGTGCAAACGAATCATGGAGAGCCTGGTTTAAAGGAACCACATCGATCCAATCGTGCAAAAGTTCCCATACGTTGTTGATGGTTTTCTTCTTTGGCTTTTTCTTCTTTTTGCTATTTTCTGCCATAAGGACCGGCAGCAGCTGCAACAGACGTCTTTTCTTCACCGTGACAGCATATCTCCGGAGCTTTTCCACACCATCTTCAATGTCGGAGCTTGATACTCGGTGATGCCAAATGCCCAAGAGTTGAGCAATAAGAGGGTACAAGGCCGGGTGGTATAGTTCGTTTGGTTCGAGCGAGCGGCCAGGGAGATAGCCGTAGACCAAACCGTTGCTGAAACGAGCATAGACTGGGGGAGCCAATTGCAAGGAATTGAGCACAAGATGCAGAATGTACTCACGATGTCTATCTATAATTAAGTTTGTTCCCTGTCCATAAACACGCATGAGCACGGTTGACCGGCCGTAGCTACACGAGAGTAACATGTTGGTAATTCCACCGGTTAAAAATTTGATTTTGATGTTGGCATCTTGGGGCCACTGCATAACAGCCAGGAGAATGGTTTTGACATTTTCGGCTTCAGAACTATCTTGCACTTTATCCTTGGCGGCGAGAAGTGCCACGAGGTCCACTTGGCGACGTGGCATGTATAATGAATGGGTGGGAGTAGGAATCTTCACTGTGGATCCGTTGTTGGTGGAACCGCCGGTTGACGGTGGAGTTAAATGTTCTGGCGAAGCCGATGCTTTCGCAGGATCCACGATGTTATCTGAGTCCAAATCCGAGCCGGAAGGGTTGTTGAGCTTATAAAGGAGGTTTTTGTTACGGATATTCATCATCTTCATGTTAGCATCGTGTGACTGCCAGTCTTCCACAACCGGATCTATCAGGATATCTGGGACAACATTATTAATTTCAGCCGCTTCCAAGTAGTGTACACGGCCATCGGCAACCATCCAATAGGCATCGTCGTCCATGGGGGTGCTTTTGGAGTGAACCATGTTTGGCGATAGTGGTCGCGAAGAATTTGGTCTGCGTGTGAGGCGGTGAGCCGCGCTGCGATAAAGCTTAATCGACGGCAGGTCATGTGATAGCAGAACCAAGAGATAAAGCGAGGAAGATATAGAAGCAGCAGGTTAGAATCGAGATAAGCAAGATAAAGCAAGGTAAAGAAAGAGAAAGCAACTTGTAGAAGCAGAAGTCTTTCTTCGTAGCAGCGTTAGATAGCGAATAAGTTTTAGCAATGAAATATCGATTAACGATGGTGAAACTCCAGTATTATTTTTAGTCCAGCTTCAAGCGATGTGCAATAGTGGCGATAGTGGTTCCAAATCGTGAATGGACAATTCTGATTTCTCTTGTTTTAAGCAGTGTACTCCTCTGTAGGCTCCGGTTCTTCCTGCACTGTCCATGGCTCGTAGGACTTTTCATGAGCAATACCAGGAAAGTAATGGCGATATATCACAAAAGATATCACCATTCCCAAAATGCTACCGAGTGTAACATCTACGAAATGGTGTCTGTAGTCCATGGTTCTACTCAAAGCAATGAGGGCTGCGCCAAATGCCGGCACCCACGCAACCACTATTCTCCAGCTGCCCACATTGGGACTGGCGACTACCAATTGGCCGCTTAGCCACAAGGAAAGGTAACCCAAGCCTGCGAAACTAAGACTCGAGTGACCCGAAGGCGTTGTTCTGAACCCGTCAAGAAGCCTTCCTTTATTTTTCGTGGTGCAAACGTCCTTTGCCAAAACGAGAATATCTGTCGGTGTCCCAGCAGCAGGTTCACAGCGTGCAAGGAAATCAGGACGAAGTCGTCCAAAAAAGTTCTTGAGTATATCTGTAGCCACGGAAGTCAAAAATACAGCAATTATCAACCCCAACAACGAAATATACGTCACGGAAGCCCTGCTTCCTCGGCGTGCCGAAACAATCAGCGCCACACAGATCATCACGAATGGCACTAACAAGCAATAAACAAAGAGTTCATGGTTCGTGACACGCTCATGTTCAGCAAATGGGTGTGATATTGTCAAATCATCAAGAGAAAACTGTCTTTGAAATGGTTCGATGGAACCGGTGAAGAAAAATAGTACAATTAAAACAGCCACGAGCCCCAAGTCGGCAACTTTGGCCCGCCCCGCAGCATGCAACGAGGTTTCCCAGTCCACGTCGTGTTTTCCCACGACGGAATATACCCACTCGAACGCCATAAGAGTACTGCAAGATAAGAATCACCGTCAAGGCGCGGTAGCTTTTATGAAGGTGAGGGTAGTTGGTGTATGGATGTGCATTAGGTCGGCAGAAAATGAGGGTCGTGAAAAGGGGCAATTTGGGAGATAAGAAGGTGAAAGTTGGCGAGTATGGAGGTAGGGGGTCAATTAGTCCGTGTATCGAGTTTCACCAAGTGAAGATGCATAGTTTTGCAAATATGTGCGTCCCATTTTTTACGCTTTTGCACCCAGTGCACCAGTTTATCTTCAGCCTCTTTGGTCACCTTTCAAGTCGCATTCACATACCATGTCCAATATACTTGGAGACGATCCCTGGGGCTCCTCTGGATGGGGAGATTCTCCTGTCCAGGGCTCCGCCTTTCTCACCTCGTCACAGCTCTTAAACCGGACTTCTTTGGATGCTCCGAAGGATTCCGATGAGGTGCTGGTTCCCGAATCATATCAAAATATCTTGGATCATTTTGGTGAACAATTGAGTTCTGTCAACGAATTGGAACAGCTGGTGATGGATAAGTTAGTTTCTGCCGGAACTTTTACCGAATATCAAAAATCCAGGTTAATCGATGTGCTTTACGAGCATAACATGCTTCCCCCAGCCCAGTATATGGTGGACATTCTTGGATTAATTGCACTTGAAGTAGACGCTCCAGGAACCGGAGACTATGTCACGTTGAAATTCAGACGATCGCATCTTCCAGAACTCCCTCAAAATGTTATAGACATACTTTTACTGTCTAGAGAACCTATTTCCGATCCACTAACCGAGTCTCTTGCTGCTGCCTCTTTGGAGGACGATCCTGTTCTTACCGACCATTCATCCATACAAAAGCAGCAGGATAAACAGGAGCCCACCATCGACACTTCTGGTGTACGCAAATACATGGAGAAATTACGGGGAGAATTCAAGCCGTTATACACGAGCAAAGAGTCCATCAGCATCAGAGAGGTGCCCGAAAAAGAAGGGCTCCTCTTCAAACATACCAATTATGCCATCACATACAACATGAACTTGGGAATGCACCAGCAATCCGGCCAAAAGAAAGTCGTTAGACGGTACAGCGACTTTGTATGGTAAGTCTCAGTTGATCTTTTTTCCTTCAAAAATTCACTAACACAGGCTCTTGGAGTACCTTTTGAAAAAGTACCCCTTCCGGGTTATCCCTGGACTTCCTCCAAAGAAGTTTTCTGGTAAGTTTGCGTTTTTCATTATTCCACAATAAGTACTAATCTCAGTAGGGTCCTCGCCAGATTCACAATTTCTTCAGCGACGTCGCCGCGGTCTCCATAGGTTTCTCAACCAGATTACAAAGCATCCAATCTTGCGTGCTGAGCCCATTGTGGTGACGTTTCTTACGGTTCCCACAGACATAACCAATTGGAAACGTCAGGCAAAAATCGACTACCTGGTTGAATTCAAAGGCAAGAAGATTCTGACCGAGTTCATTAACTCGATTTGGCCAACCGTAGGTGAAGAGTTCTTGAAGAAGTGGAAGCAATGCGAGTCGTCTACTGGAAGGTTGATTGAAATCTGGACAAAGCTTGTACTTTTGGTGGAAAGAAACGAAAAGAGACAGCAACAAATAGCATTCGATAACGGGAAGTTCGTGGAGATGATCAACCGATTTACTGGACTCGACGATGCTCTCTATCCTCACGACGATGGTATAGTCGGCAACAGCAACAAAGATGATATGGCAGCAATTAATGACTCTTTGGGCACAATTGGTGAATTCTTCAACAAAACAAGCCAAGCTCTCGTTGACGACAGTTTTGCTATCAACACCTCTACATTAGAAAAGTTCAAGAATTACTTGGACTATCTTTATTCGCTACAGGAGTTATTCGAGCGAAGCAAAAAGCTCCTGACAAATACTATTGCACAACTCGAAGCTCGTATAACCGAGAACGAGGCCAAGTACGCTCGGTTAAGTACAGACGACGCTGATATAAAAGGCAGTGATCTTGCCAAGCTTCGACAAGCCATCATTGCTGACAAGCAGGAAATGTTCCAACAGCTCAACCGAGACTGGCTCATCAAAAGCTGCTGCATGGATGAATACATAATGTTTCAAGAAACCCAGTATCTTGTTAGCGAAGCGTGGGTCGATTGGTGCCGAGGCAGAACCCAACACCAAGCCAAAATGGGGCTGCTTTACGACCAAATGAGCGGAATAATAGGAGACATGCCACTCAATTCTTAGTCTAAGTTCTGGTTCCATTTCTGTATGAGAGCATGCTTTTTCATACAAAGATCGTTGTCAAACCATTGCCGGCTTAACACATTGGTAATTACAAGCTCCCGCCGAGCTTCGTCGTATGCAGGTGTACCCCAGGTTTTGGCCAAGATCGACCCAACGGCTACCCCCAACCCAGCTCCGGTTCCGTAGCCCTCGTCGAATCCTGCCTGCAAACTGGATTCCTGGGCATGGGCGAGCCCGTCTACATAGCCCTGCTTAGTGTGGATTCTCTTGACCGCTGGTGTTTGGGTGGGCTCATCATCTCCCCATATATCGTCGTCATCAGATTCGTGAATAGATGTATTACTTGAAGTTTTGGAGTAGGCATGCGTTTCTGCGCCAACAGTTTTGGTCGCTTTGTCCATTTTGCCGTTGCAGACGCCGTCTTGACATGCACACAGCATACCTCTACGACAGATTTTTCAAAAGTTGAGGTTGCGAGTCGTGCGCGCACCGCCAGCTACATAGGGCGCTATTTGTGAGAAAACAGCTTAACTATCGCCGGCTCGATAGTCACAAATCAATACAGCGTGCAAACCAGATTGGTCCCAACAAGACCTCACTAATACTACCCGGGAAGCATCAGAATCATATACTGACCTTTTTAAGTCCAAATAATTCACCTCCAACAAATTTCACATTGCGCTCGTTGAGTCATGTCCGAGAATATCATCACCCAGGTGTCTCAGGACCAGCCTGTAGCGCACACAACGTACGAGGACTCCGACTACAACTCCAAAATCCAACTAAATGTTCGTGGGAGCCGGTTTACCATCACCAGAGATGATTTGATGAGCTTGCCCGAAAGCATATTGTTAGGCTTATTTCCCAATGGTGTCTTTTTGGATGAAGAGGGCCACGTCATCTCGAACTTAACAGAGGAAGACATCGTATATGTCAACTTTGACCCCTTATGTTTCGAGTACATTATCGATGTTTTTGGTACCGCACAACGTGAACTTGAAGCAGAATCTCCACATCTTCTGCCCCAGCCAACAAGCCACGCGTACGCTGGCTCTGAGTCGGTAGCTCAGGTACTTCTGCGCAAGCCTGCCATCATAGTCTTGCGTGAAGATCTCGATTACTATGTCATTCCTCCCAAAGCCGGCATGAACGCCGACGCTATCCGACACCTCAAGTTGGAAGTGGGTGGTCAACTTCTTAACAACAAACTGGTGTTTGCCGGCTTGGGCTACGACCCTGAAGGAAACTCCGACCAGAACTTGGGTCCTGCAGAGCGCCATTTGTTCGATATGCTTTGTACCTCTGGATTCGTTCCGCTTGAAACCTGGGGAAACCGGTCTCCAGAACCATCCAAGTGCGTTCTTCATTCTTTACTGTTGGTGAGACTACAAACAGCACTGCCCACACCACCGGAGCTGCCGCTGCCTTCGTTGGACCCTGTTACTAGCAATGGTCTGAGAAAATCTCGACTGAGAATCGCAACTTTGGCACATAGCGCCCTGAGAGCGGCGCTGAGATCGCTCCTGAGGTCGCGCAAGGCTGATGCCAACGAGAGCAAATTGCTTCTTTTCTGGCGGAAACCAGCTAGAAAATGTTGGTGGGCCAATGAGTGCGTCCAGGTGGACGGTGTCGACGTCAAGGTGCATCTCCGGCGCGTATGGACGTTGGAATTGAGTGTGGTGGGTGTGCAATAGTGATACGACTAATAGCTAAGACTGCTTAATAATATTATAGGAATTCTTGTAGGTTCGCTAGTGGTCCCAGTGGTAGATTCTAGTATTACGAGCCGTTTTCGCAGCTATCGAGAGCCACCCGCACACCTCACTCACTCCAAATTTCACCACCGCGTCTTCTTCCCCATGTCTGCACCCAAGAAACAAAAGTTGGAACAATACCAACAACAGCGGCTCGAACATACGCCATGGGTCGAGAAGTATAGACCAAAGAATCTTGACGACGTGGCATCTCAGGATCATGCCGTCAACGTATTAAAAAAGTCATTGGTTTCGGCAAACCTTCCGCATATGTTATTTTATGGTCCTCCTGGAACCGGAAAAACTTCAACTGTTTTGGCGTTGGCGCGTGAATTGTACGGCCCAGACCTCATAAAATCACGAGTACTCGAATTGAACGCATCAGATGAACGTGGAATTGCAATTGTGCGTCAGAAAGTGAAGAATTTTGCCAGATTGACAGTGTCGAATGCTTCGCCAGAAGACTTGGAAAAATATCCTTGTCCCCCATACAAACTTATCATCTTGGACGAAGCAGACTCAATGACTTATGATGCCCAGGCGGCTCTTCGTAGAACCATGGAAACGTATTCCGGAGTGACACGATTCTGTTTGATCTGTAATTATATCACCAGGATCATCGACCCTTTGGCGCTGAGATGCTCCAAGTTTCGTTTCAAGCCGCTTGCCAACGATAACGCTGTTCAAAGACTTCGATATATTGTCCAGCAAGAAGAGCTCAACGTAGACGAAGACGTATTCTCTTACCTCCTCACCATCTCAAACGGAGACCTTCGTCGAGCAATTACCTATCTCCAATCCGCCGCTCGCTTGGCGTCGACCACTACCGAAGAAACCACCATATCTGCAGCAACTCTCCGTGAAATTGCTGGTGTGGTTCCTGAAGAACAATTGAAAATCCTCCATAATACTCTCGAGGACAAAGACGTATCTGCAATTACCTCTGTTGTTGGCGATTTGGTTCTGCAAGGCTGGGGCGCACAGCAAGTACTCGACCAGCTACACGAGTTGTATGTGCATAGTGACTCCATTCTGACAGAGACCAAAAATCGAGCTGCTCGGTTGATGTTTGAAACTGATCGTAGGTTGAACAACGGAGCCGACGAGCACCTTCAGTTGTTGAATTTGTGCTTGCAGTTGGTCAAGTAGTACCTAATTGCTGAATGGCTGCAGTCAAAATTAACGAGTTGAACGAGTTGAACGAGTACATTATGAGTATTCAAACAATTCTTCAGTTATAAATCCAGCAACGAGTACTTTTTAAGGTAGCTCTAATGTCAAACATGCTCGAATTGACAATTGGTAAGAATCATAAACTTTCTGTCTTCCTCTGGCTAATAAATATAAGCTTATCAATGAAGACGAGTATCAAGTTCTGGCTGAAAAGTTGAATAATCATAATTTCCAATACTATAGTTTGTATGTCAATATAGAAGAAGTTTATGCTATTCGTAATACGTGCAGTGGCTACTTATGCTCTATTCAGGGAGAAGCTTCGCTGCGTTCATCTCGGGGAGACTGTGCATTCAGTGGCCCTTGTTGCATCTGCTGTCTCTGCATTGGATTTCCATACATTGGAAAGCCAGGAGGCATTTGGCCATGTGGATGATTCTGCTCATGAGAGTACATGAATCCTGGGGGAACTCCAGGTGGAAATCCTTGATATCTCATGTTCTTCTGATTCTGAGGTGACATTACATTACCTTGATTTTGCATTGAATTGCCTAGATTTTGTCCTGGATTGCCTTGGTTTTGCATCTGATTACCTTGGTTTGGACCTTGGGCCATCAAGCCAGGAGGCATGTTTCTGAATCCCTGGTGAGGAGAGTTCTGTGTCTGAGCCTGGTCTGGAGCAGTTCCTGGAGGTGGCATATTCATCCATGGAGGAAATTGAGTGATACCTTTCATGTTTTGCGGCGCAGTTTGCGGGTACGCAAAGCCAGGCGGAGGAGGGAAGCGTGGCTGCTGTTGTTGCTGGTGGGCGGTTGAAGGTTGAGGAGGCACACTTTTGTTGAGCAAAGTATTGAAAAAGTTGTCATTGGCACCAAATCCAGGCGGAGGACCACCGGCCGGAAGACCTGGTGGAGGTGCACCATACGGACCAGATTGTAAGCCTGGAGGGTACATACGGGGTAAGCCCGATGGTCCTTGTGGTAATATGTTTTGTTGTGGAGTTCCTGGAGTTCCTGGGGTTCCTGGAGCCCTTTGATTGTTGTTCAGAGATTGATTTCCACCAAAGAAGCGAGATGACGATTCATCTTGCGAGGGAAGTCGACGAGGAGCCATTGGCTGCGTTTCTTGAGAACCAATTGGTTGTGTTTGCTGGTTGGACTGTGGTCTTGAAGTTTGAGGAGAGTCCCTTTGAGGAGGAGCAGGGGCATTAAAGAATGAAGAGAAGCGAGAACTCTTGGAAGAGGTGCTGGTGGACTCTTGCTTTGGTTTTTCTTTTGGTTTCACAAACGAAAAGAAGTTATCCACTTCGTTGTTCGGGATACTATCGGCCACAGGTGGTTCATTTCCCAGAGGTTCGGACGAAAATTCACCTTCAGCACGACGACGCATTTCAGCTTTCCATCGTTCGAAGTCCTCTACAGTCTCTCCCATGTCTATTTGGGAGTCTTTGGATCCGTCAACTGTACCCCAATCTGGCTCAGCCTCATCAGGGTTCTCACCAAGTAGCTGATTAATCTTATCATGGCCCATAGTATCAAGTTCTGCTGCACGAGCAAAGCCCGAGGGTTTCTTTTCCCAGCGAAGTCCCTCAGCACCTCCTTTCTTTCTTCTTTCAGGACCCTTTTCTTTAGGAGTTTTTTGGCGCAGTCCCCAAAAGCTTTTTTCAGGAAGATCAAGTTCCTTTTGGATCTCCTTGACGTTTGCCGAGTTCCGTAACAGTATCAATTCATTGATAGAGTAGCTGTAAGCTGTGGTGCTCTTGTAGTCAACAGTATACTCTTCACCTTTCGACTGAAGTTGCTTTTCATTTTCACCCCGAGATTCGATTTTTTCAACTTCCTTCGGAGATCCTCTTGCAGAGCCGCTGGTGCGTGGTTCGAGTTCCGGCGTGGACTCCTTGGCAGCATTGGCAATGGCAGAATCGAGCAAAAGACTCAATGCGTTGCGACCTTCGGGTTGCTGAGCGATGTCTGGGGTAATTTTCAGGACTTCATTGGTGGGATTTGAAGCCGAAGTACCCAGGGATGATACCAGGAGGATGGAGGGATCATCAAATAAGGCTTGGCGGTCTGCCATGGCTGTAGAATGGCGAGGAAAAATTGATCAAATGTGTAAAGAAATTATCGCCAACGTCCGCAAATCGTTGACGAACCAGGTGCAGCCCATGTGCAGGAACGAGATGAAGGGTAGTATTCTATAACTATTTGCGTAGATAAGGGACGTTAAGGTTCATAACCTCGCGGCAGAAGACAAACCAGTCGATTTCTCGTAGCGTAAGATCCAGCTTATTCTTTTTGAGAAATTTTTGTTGTTCTTCCCACTTGAACAATTCGTACATGAACCGTAGGTTTGGCTGAATAATGATATTGAGTCTCCGGACTCGAACGTAGAGGTAGGCTTTAGCAAGCAGCACATTGAGTCTTCGCATGACTTCGGCCATCACAACAGTGGCAGATCGGCTCACACCAACTCTGCAATGGACAAATATTTTCGCCTTTCCATTACTCTTTTGGTGCTCGGCTTCAATGAAATCCAACATACGAGGAAGTGAAGCACTAAGTTCGTCTATACCATCATCCTGGAGATTGTTCACCTTGAGTATGGTGTCGACTGTACTTGGGTTGCCGGATATTGTGAATTTTTCAATGTTTCCATTGTCAATTTCTTCCACTGAAATGGTATGTGTCGACTGGAAATGACGACTGTTGAGCCATTCAAGTCGCTCTCCAACAGATATAACCTTGGTGATTCCAAGCTTAGATAGTAAGGCAAGGCTATTGGCGTGCTTGAGCGACCCCAAGTACAAGTACGGAAGAATTCGAGACGGCAATGATCCATCGACGTCAGAAACCCAATCTGCCTCAAGAAGAGACAACGAAGATGCTTTTCTCTCAAGCGAATGTTTTGCACCCACTGAGTGAGATGGCCGTGAACCTGTAGCTAGCAATATTTCGGTGATTTCTAGGTCAGAAAACACTTCGAGTGTACTCCATTCAACTTTTTTGACCAAAGGCAGTACTCGGCGAAGAAGCACTTCTAGCTTTCGAAGAATGTGGACGTCGCTGGAAAATATGTAGAATGGTCTCGGGTAGTCATTATGGAGAAGAAGCATGGCTTCGTCAAGGCTGACGTTCCGCGAGTACATCACATAAGAAAGCACGAAAAGTGACAGCTCGGTGTATCCATCCAGGCAATAAATAAGTGCCGAAACTACGTCTGGGTCGTCCGAAGTTGACAGAGAATACAAGTAAAGCAATTTGCAGCAATTGACCACGGACATGAGGTTTTCCTTCTTGCAGTCTCCAATTCCTACCGAGCCTGCTGGTGGGAATTCGAGCGTGTGGTACTCTGAACCTGTGGACCTGTGACTTGAAAGACTAAATTTGAACATCAACAGACGAAGAACCGCCAAGTCGGGGAAACTGGCATCGCTGCAACAGTGGATGAAAAGACGCCAATTTGCACGAGGTGGAGGAAGAATTTTCGTTATGCTTTGGTTAGCGATATCTTCCTTGTTCACAATGGAGCTGGAAGGACTACAGTAGCATCCAAAACCATCTCCAATCGACATTTCATTTCGAAATTGTAGGTGCATAATCATTGCTTGGTAATCCCACATGTTACCAGCCCAGACTCTTCCACCGATGCACAGCGCTGCTGACATTCGCGTGGTTTCCACCTTCTCTTTCATGACAAAATCCAGATCCCACACCGCTAAAGATTTGGGGTTGAATGACGAGAGCCTCAGTTCCAACAGAGTTTTTCGGGTATCGTTTCTGGGTTCAGGTGGAACCGTGAATAGCGTGGAGTGGTATGGCGACGATTGGCGAAGTAAGATCTTTTCCAAAAATGGGAGATCAGACATGATGAAGGTGTTATAATGCATTTTGTCCAAAGCGCCATCTTTGGCAAAGGTATATCGCTGTGCTAACCACAACACACGAGCGAGACTTGCACACTTGCACGAGCCCAAATGTTCGTTGTCTAAGCAGTAGATCACCATATCGCTGCAAGCTGCGAGTTTTGCAACTTGGATGTGGAAATTACGAAGCGAAACACCCAGACTAGGATCGAGATTTAGGAACACAGGCAAGTGCTTGATAGCATAGCAGTCTGCCACGATTGTTTCTAGCATATGGTCCTGATCTTTTCCTGGGAAAACTAGTTCAAGCACATATTGTAAGAACCTGACGACTTCGGCACGCGAAACGTCGATGGGATGAAGAATTTCCGGTGCATGAACTGTGTTTCGAAGTAGCGTTGGGTTGTCGACGGGGGAAACACACATAAGAAACCGAGGAGCCGTGGTAGCGTCTGGCGACAAAGATGGGTTGAGTTCGTTACTCTCTGGCGGCTCGCTTCCCAGGTCTGTTTCGTCGCTGGTATCTCGACAAAAGAACCGTTTCTGAGCAAAGTTATCTGGGTGTATACCGTGGAGCCACGGGAACATCTTTTCGGTTTGTGGGAGATTCTGGTTGAAATAGTACTTGAAAACGGCCGAAAGCTGGGCGTAGGTGAGTGAGCGTATAGTCATCGGAAACGACGACGACGATAAAGAACTAGGAAGTTCCGAGAGACTGTTGAAGAAAACCAGGTCGCTGCTGAGTGGGCTTATGTTATCGTTGGAAAATTCTGGTGTTGGTTGTCGTACTTGGAGTCTTGTGGTTTTCAGTTGAATGATATCGCAGACATCACAATGCGAAGTTTCCTCGTCAATAACGCCATTTTTCGAGGATTCTGTGGTACCAGGACTGTCTTCAGTATCCATTTTATCGTTTTGTCTACCGTTGAAGGTTTGAAGTCGGGCTCGAAACCGATCTCTTTCATACAACAAATCGTTAGACGACGAAGATGAACGTTTCGAAGCGCCGCGAACATACAGGTCCTCCTCGATTGACCTTGGCACTTCTGCTGGAGGAGGAGAGGAGACATTCGAGCCTGGGGGTTCCAGCAGGCTGGGGAACAGCAACAATGTCGACGACCCGTTATCCATCCTTATCTTGTGGGGTCCGCGCGATGCGAAAACAGGGTTGATGAAGGAGTTGTGTGCCGGAAGGTGAAGTTGTGTGCCGGACTGGTGTGTGTGCCGATTTTCGCAGGTTAAACCCAAAAGCACTTCAGCTAAACAACACCAATGGCAGATATAGTGGGGCAGCTCGAGCAGGCGCGCAACTTGGCGTTTTCCAACCGCGAGATGTTTCCACAGGTGCTTCGGCAAGTCTTTCCGTTGGCTGGAAACGCAGATTTGACCATTCAACGATGGTGCTCACAATTTTTCAAAGACGCTTTTCGAGCTTCCAGCGACAAATTGGACCCTGCCGCCAAGATAGACTTGGCTATCGATGCGGTGGATACTTTGCTGTTGCTTATGCAGGTCCCAGACCACGAAGTGGTGAAAAATACCATCGATGCCAGTGTGGTGGTGTTCCGGTTGGTGTACAGATATGTGGCCGATAATGACGGGAGCAATGGAATCTGGGCAAAACTACAGCAGTTGAAGGCTCATATTGCTGGAAAGTACTTGACTACATGGCCGTTAGATGCTGCTGATACAAATGAAGCCGATATGAGACGCAATATCGAGATCAATTTGGAGTTGTTGAAATTCGTCATGCTTGTTATCGACTACCAGCTGCGCTCGCCCACCCAACCAGGCTTCTTTTCGCTCTCCAAAGTAAACCCTAATCACACCCTCATGAAACCGCAACAATTGGAGGCAGAAGCCCACAAGTTGTTGGAAAAAGTGCTCCAGGTATTAGAGTGGGATATCCTCGTCACACCAGTCGTCACGGCTACTCTCACCCAACTTGCATTCGTGGCTCACCGAAAGCCCCAGTTTATAACGAGAGTGTTCAAAACAGTGGAAAACTTTGACCTGGCTTCTAAATACCAGTCCAACTATGAATCAGTGGAAGAATTCAAACTTTCAAGAAAATACACCGACCGGTCCATACGGATTTTTTTGAGTCACACGCTCAAGTATCAGCTTGTGCCTCCCAACTACCAACAAGTGGCAAACAAAAAGGTATCCCAGGTTGTTTCCCGTGGAGATGAAGTACGCCGAAGGGACATTTTGGCAATTGAAGATCCTTCCATCACCAAAAGAAAATTCGAGGGCTTTGAAAATGGAACCAAACGTCTTCAGAATCTTGACTACAAAAGCTTGTATTGCCTTACCGACCCTAATAACGAACTCAACTCGTTTGACCTCACAACGCTCCCACCCAACATTCTTGTCTCCATGACTATAGCGGCTTTAAACAAAGCACTGCCTGAGCGGTTGGCCAAGGGATTGGATATCGTCTGCCTGCGATATAAGTCTGCTCTCCAGAGAGCCACAGGGTCTGAAGTTAAGAAACTGGAGCTGGACGACGAAGACGACAACATGGAAAATTTCAGTTCTGATACCGTCTTTACGCTTCCTCCACCTCAAGCACTAAATTTTGCTGAGAAAAAAGAGCATTTATCATTAATCATTCAGAATTTCTTCAGTTTGGCAGATCAAAAGATTCCTGAGGTGAATGACAAACAAGATACCGGAGCACAACTCACCCAGATAGCTATCAAGACATGGAAGAAAGATTCGTGGTACGTGCTTCTCACGAGGTTGGCTACTCGAGGAATGCGTGCTGCTCCAGGCGAAGGAATAGATGTTGAGAAAGAGCAAGAACTTGCCGATATGGTGAGGCAAGCTATATTTGACTATTTCCTCGCCAACATCCACTCTCGAATCGACATTGTCATAGAATGGTTAAGTGAAGAGTGGTACGCAGAGAAGGTGTTTAATGAAGGTAAAGCTTTACAGAAGATGGCACAAGAAAATAATGGAGTTGTTACCGAAGAAATGCGTATCGAAGTTGACTTTCTTACCACCCCAACTCCAATCTATGAGAAATGGAGTTCCAAGGTTCTCGACTCTATGATCTCATTTATCGAGCCAGGCGATCGTAAGATCTTTATCAGATTACTCTCAGACTTGCCATACCTTACAGACGAGATGGTTTCACGCATCAAATCATTGTGCTATGATCCCGGAAGAGCCAAGATTGGATTTCTTTCGTTACAATTTTTGGTAATGTATCGTCCACCAGTAAAGAGTGCTTGTTTGAACGTACTCAAGGAATTGGCCGAAGGCGACCAGGACGATCTCAAGGAGGAGGCTACGAAGTTGTTGGAAAAGTATTCGTGAGGAGATAACTGGGGAGAATACTAAAAATGTCAAATTTTCAGTTGTTTTGTCCAAAGTGACCAATCTCGTCAAGCTGATACAAGGTGGACAGAAGATGTCGGAAATGGACAGAAAGTGGACAGAAATCTAAAAATTACTGAAAGTCAACTCTAAACCAATGCAGACTGAAAAATTGAAAACTTGAAAATTTTCAATTGCAAATTTCAACTGCAAAATTTAATTACAAATTCTCACCAGACTTACCAATTCATACAATAGACCATTGTGCCTTACGCACAAGCTAATAGTTAGACAAACATGCCTAAAACCCTACCCCAATCTCTCTTCGCTAAACCTGCACAGCCGCACCAAGCCGCGCGGTGTCGAGAACGTTTCAGCACGCGCCGAGATAAGGTTTTTTGCATAAGAAAATTATTCACTGAAACAATCCCAAACTACTACATATTGCATTCCCGGCACCCCCTGCACTACCAGACCCCATAAGTTTCCCTTGTAGGCCCCAAGTGGACAATGGAGCACTTTGATCCTCGTCGTGAGATAGACAAATACTCGCTTGATCTGTCTACTTTTGACCTTATAGATGTGGGAAAATTTCACAATTTGAAATGCTCGACTGTGTTTGATTATATGTTCACATGGCTGCTTCTAATCCTTGGTGTGGTACTTCTAGGCGTGGATATTTACACTTGTCTCAACATTCTTGTTTTTCACCGCTGGAGTTCCGACGACTATAAACCCTATGCATACTCAATTGCCAAATGGATATTTACCGGGTGTATTATTTTCCAGTTTGTGCTTCTCTTGTACCACTGGATATGGGCCATCCATACTTATAGGACCCGAAACATAGCATTGGCATACGTGAACAATATTGCTCGTCACTTGTACACGATTAAATCTTACGACTATCATTGTCTTTTCAACCTGGTGGAACATGACAATTTCTTTGATTGGGCATGTTTTCTTGCATACTTCGAGATGGACTCAGCTTTGCAAATTCTCGTCGCCGATACTCCTCGTCAAGTAATCAATATCTTGACCCTACGTTACTACGCTACCAACGAAAATTCTTCAAATGATATCATTCAAAATATCAAGCAGATCGCTACATCTAACATTCGGCTCTCGGTGATCTTGTCGTTTATGCTTCTTTCGGTGGCCATTTGGTCCATTTTCTTCTTTCGTTTCGTGTTTGGGATGCTCTGCTACATTCCATGTTTGATGAAAATTCGCAAAAAGGGCCACACTAGACTCAAAAAATACTGCTGTTCCGTTGTTAATCTGCACGTTCGCCGGTTCGTCTACAAGCATCACAAACCACGCAGCAAATTACTTGAAGAAGGTATTCTCGATTTAAAGGAAATCAATGAAAATCCTCTTCTCAACTCAGCGTCCACCACTGCCACATTTGACTCGGCTTTCCAGTACAAACCCGAACCAGCCAAAACTTTCCAGCCAATGGACCGTTCTTACGACACACTTCCACGCTACGGCTCAAGACAAAACACTTATGAATCGTTACCACTCCAGAACATGCCAAATATGCAACGCCGTAGACCACCATATGATCCATTTGGCGACGAGAACAAGATTTCGAGCAAAGCACATTTGATGCACCAGGATCCTTTCGGCGATCCTAAACTTGAAGATAATGATATGAGCGACACAGAAAACGTATACGAGCTCTATAGAGGTGTGGAAGTCGAGCCACCTATGCATAAACGGTATAATGGATTTGATCCACCACCCAGAACTGGTTCAGCTTCTTCGCTCACATTTTCTACAACAGGACCTTTTGAGCCAGTATCACAAACCCATACTGACCCGGTTGCACCGCCAGCTTCCACTCCGTCTATTTCTGGGCCTATAACTCGAACGGGGACAGCACCATATCCACCAGAAGAAACAAGCTCTTTGTTGGGAGAGACATCGGAAAGTGACTTGCATTCTAGGGAACTGGAACCAATGGAACTGGAACCGGAACCGAAACCAAGGGAAGCCCCATACCCCATACGCGAGTCGTACGCTCTCCCAAGAACCTCTGACGAATACTACAACAGGTAGAAACGACATATAGTTATTATTTACAGATTGACCCTTACTTCTTATTTGCATACTCCTTCTTCAACTTCGCCAACTCTTCGTCCGAAACAGGCGGAATAGGAATGTCGCTAAACTCATCCTTGTTCAAAAACAGCCATGTATAAGCGTAAACACCCAAGGGAATCGAACCGACGACAATGAATGCCAAGGTATTTCTCCAGAAATATGGAGCACGAACCCGCACCAAGGCAGGACTCATTTCAAAGGTTTTGGGATCCCTGTACCGAGCATGGCCCTTTCTGGGTTAGTTGACTTCTTGAAGTGATTTTTGAACTCATAATACTTACGGCTTTCCGATAACTGGCATGATTAAGATGAGATTTGAATCTGCAGGAAACTTCATAGAAAAGCCGGTGCACGGATGCAAAAGACCACAATCGGTTGCAAATTTAATGTACTTGTAGTTCTGATATATACCTAGCCGTTATCCATAGTGATTCAAACTCCACAACGTAACCTTTCCAGACTCGTTTCCTATAGCCAACATTTGGTTATCGGGAGAAAATGTTGCGGCGGTAACTTTTCCTAGTGGGGTTCCGCTTGTAGGCCAGTTGGCGTATACGCTTCCTTGAGCAACATGGACCAACCGCAATGCATCTCTTTTGGCTCTCAGGGCTATACACAAGACCTGGCCGTCTGGAGAGAACTCGAGCGATGAAATGGAAGTGACTAAATTTTCCACTGTCTTGTATGGTTTTGGAGAAGACTTGGCAAACGTATTTCTGTCATACAAGTTCACGATACCATTGTTGCTTCCAACCGCCATCCAGCGGTCCTTGGGACCTCCTAGTTTCAATTTGGTGATTCCAATGGCTCCATCGTCGTCCCATTTGCGAATAACTTTACCCAGTTGTAAATCGTATTCCCATATGGTTCCGGCAGAGTTGACAACCACAAGAAATTTTTCGTCTTGCGAGAACTCAAAATCAACTATGGTTCCTTCTATTTTGTATCCTTGTACCCACTGACCAGTTTCTCCGCTGAGCAAGTTACACCATCCGCTACTACCCACCATTCCAATCCAAGTCCGCAATGGAGATACCTTAAAGTATTCCATAGACCGTTGAAACTGCTCTCTTCCGTACATTCTGGAGATCTTTTCCACCTGACCCGTGGTAATATTCCACTTGTTGAGGTACCGTCTTCTTCCAGCAGCATAAACTACGTCGCCGGAAAATGCACAGGTTGTGATCGGTGAGTTTTTGAGGTACAACGAGGTGACGAAATTATTGGTTCTTCCATCAATGTGGTAGATTCTGATCGTGCGATCAAAACCACCCGTAATAAGAAGTGGGTGCGAATTGTGAAAGTTTAGCGACTGAATAGCGGCTCTGGAAGGATGGGTTTGGTTGGCGTTCTTGAGTCTTGTGATCAGGATCTTGTGTGGTGATATTAATTTGAGTTGTTTCGTCTGGGTGAACTGCTGGGTCGATGCTAACGTTTGTAAAATAGCATTTGTGTCGTTATTGCTGGTCTTTTCTGCTTGTTCCTCGGCATCGGAATCGTCTTCTGCCTTTTCCAAGTCTTCGATCCATCGCGGACGAGGGTAGATTTTTTCGAATTGAGCACGGAGTCGGTTCACATACGAAGATGCACTAATGCTGGTGTCGTCCGGGTTCTTTCTGAGCTTTTTGAGCCGGTCAGAATTGGTCAAATTTATGGTGATTCTCTCGTCGTCACTGTCGTGCCAAACAGCATCGATTTCTTCGTCGGTCGAAGTTTCTTCGGTGCTCTCCGCATCCAGCTCTGCCATCTCTTGGTCGTTGTCTGTGGTTCCGTCGTCAATAAAGAACAAATCCTCGTCCTGAACGTTGTCTAAATCAATCTCTTCGTCACTGTGAAATTCGTCAGAACCAACTTCTTCGTTTTCGGATGACGAGTAATCGTACAAATTGTCCACTTTCCTAAGGTTGGCAGCAAACCCTTCTTCGTCGCCGAAGACGAGCTTCTCCAACGCTATTTCCTCCTCGTCTTTGGGAAGCTCCATACTCATCTCACTATTTGGCGATGCGATGGCTCTCGATGCGATGTGGTGAAAAGATCGGTGCACCCACACTAGACATACTTAGTTCTACAATACGAGAGCAGCTTCTGTATTTACACTATGCGGACTTGAGCTGACTCACAAATGTGATAAAGTACTTTTTGAATGCCCGGTTGTCAAGCTTGACAACACTGGAGCCAAAATCGTTCATGAGTTCCGGCGCCATACCCATGGTCGTCAAGTATGTAGACAAGTATTGCAAATATGTGTCTCCCTTACGGTCGTAGCAAATCTTGATCAACTGGGAAATTTCCTGGGCAATTAATCTAAACTGGGCATCTTTGAGGTCAAACTCTGTTTTTTGAAATGGTAATTCGAAACAGAGGTGCATCGATTTTTCTATGAGGTATTCATCAACACCTTCTATAGCAGGCAAGCTTTCGCCATAAGTGTCATTAGGATCGTTTATCTTGCCTCCAGACCCACCTAAGACGGTGACAAAGTTGATGAGTTGGGTGACCGCCAACTTTGCAACTGTAGTGTCTGCCAAGTCGTAAGAATACTCGAATAAAGACGATAATATTTCCGGAAGCTTGGCCTTATTAGATTCTGTAACGAGCAAGCTGGACGAGTTGTTCATTATGATGGCGGAAAGGAGGTTCATGTATGCCTTTTTCAAGCCGTTCTTGTCACGTATGACATCTGGCATGGTATCAAAGTCGTTATTCTCGCCGTTGTACTTGAGTAGACTGAAGATTTTTTCAACAACTGGTGTAAGCAAGTCGTTGAGCAACTGGTAGACATTAGCGTTACCTTTGAATGTGTGCACAAGCTGGCCCAAAAAGCTAAGAAAATCAGACAATTCTGTAACCGTGAGGTTGCTTGCGTTGATAATTAGCAGAATGAGCTTGCTCAAGTGTACTGTGCATCTGTCACGAAGAATAGGCACAAAACGTGCGAATGCAAACCGAGATGCCTCTCGAACTTGTTCATGTTTGGCAAAATTACTCAATGTGATAACCACAACTTGGGCAGCATTGTCAACTTTATCCACCATGACCTGACCTGACTTCACGTTGGAGTCATCGTATCCTCTGACAAAAGTTCCAATAGCCATTAATGCGTGGTGTGCTTGCAAAGGTATGATTGGCTGTGAGTTTCTTTCTGATTCTGAAGCAGCTACGCATGATTCTAAACTGCTGAAAAGTGACGAAAATATGGCATCTACCATTCTGAGCTTGGTGCTATCGTCCACAGACATGAGTCCTATGAGCAAACCAAGAGCTTCAAAGAGATAAAGTTGGCTCGAAAACGATCCATTATCAACCACGTCGTCGTCCTCATCACGCACTGGAAGTTCAGCTTTGATCACAAGCAACGGTTGGAGCTTGAGGAGAATCTCCTCCACAAACGACGGGTTGGACATTTGTGGCTTTACTAGTTTGATGAAACGGAAAAACAAGTACCAGCTGCGAAGACGCACTTTCTCCGACTCGTTAAACATACCCACCAGCGAGCCAAACACCTTGAGAATTGGGTCAGGGTTGGTTCCAGATGCGACAAAAGTGTAGTGCCGAACCACAAGCTCAAAGAACAGAAGCTGGACCCGCGGATGGCCCAGAGACAGAACCACCGACGAGTCGATGAGCTGAATGAACAATTCACGGAGCACTGCAAACGCCTTCAGAGTGGTCAATTCCTTCTTGGGAACACCAACAAGGTTGTTGCGCACACCATCGGCAAAGTTACTGAGCTGGTAGAGTCCGAGTTCCGAAGTTTGCCAATCTGGTTTGTTGGAAAAAAGTGATTCTGAAATCACCGCAGGCACCAAATCAAGGTAAAGGTTAGGGACTAGAATGGCTATGGTGTCCTGGAATGTCTTAAGTTTGGCCCTAATTTCCTCAAATTGGGCCGCTGAGTCGTCGTCTAAACCGTCGTCGTCCCCATCGAATTTCATTTTGATGATGCACTTGGCGAACAATTCTTTCAAGAGGTCGTTATTGATCAAGGTCTTTTGCTTCTTGCATGCTAATAAATACTGCTGGATGTACGGAAAGACAAGTTGAGCAACGTCGTCGAATTCGTGAGTCAAAAACCCCAAAACCGACGGCCAGAGACCCATGAGTTGGTTCATCACTTCGGACGTAGAATCGCTCTGGGCTTCAAAAACTATGAGAAGCTCGAGGCCCACTTGGTTAGCCAACCTGGCCACGCTTTCTGTGAACTCCAAGTCGTCGCTATCTTGTGCAAGCGAGCCTACAACATCGGTAATATTGAGTAGGGCAAGAAGCTGGAGTTTATTCTCCGGCTTCATTTTTTTGGATATGATTTCCGCCACGGTTTCACACGCTGCCGTGCGCTGGTCTGGTTTGCGGAGATACGAGAAGATTACGCCAATGAAATCTGGCACAACAAAAAGACTAATTTCCATCCAAGAAACGTAGCACCCTACAACCCTCACAGTATTGGTGAGAGTGTCGGAAGTGTGGGCTTCGGCGTTCTCGAGAATCAGCCGCCACAGCTGTACCAACCGTTGCATGTCGTTGGCACGAATGGAGTCTTTTAATGCATTATTACGTTCCTGCTGCTGGGGGCTTCGGGCGATGAGTTTGTCACCGATTTCAGCGTGGATTGCAAGATGGATACGGACGTAGATGTCTGTTCCCGGGGGAGACGACGAGTACTCGAGGAGCTGGACGAGGAACTGGGGATTAATAGTCAAGTAAACATGGCAGAAAAGGGTGGCCATGACACTGGCGAGTTTGTTGCGAAGATAGATGGGATAAGATTGATGGTTGACAATGTAATTTTCTCGCAAGAATTGTAGCAAGCTGTTGTTGATGCTGTATAGGCGCTCATTGGACACCTTGGGGATGTTTTCCTCCACCACTTGGAGTACAAAAAAACGAAGTGCTTCTGAGGTGACCGAGGAAGACGAAAGAAGTATGGTCACACAAGACTGTAGACCATTTTCGGAAGTTTTGATTTTATCGATGAATTCGTATGCTTGGGACTTGAGTGCCGGGTCTGCGGTGCCGCTTAGAGCTATTTCCACAGCCTGCTGGATCTGGGTTTCCATCGACGATAAAAGCTGTTGTGGCAGTTGAATGAAAAATTGATGAGGTGGTGTGTGGGTGTGCTGACAGTGAGAGGAGGGGAGGCAAAAAATAAGTGACGAAAATTGGGTGGAGAGAGGATGGTCTGAATGGAAAAGCTGGATATAATAGCTGAAGGTAAGGTGGCAAGATGTTGTTTTTGGTTTTGGAAATCTTTGTTTTTTGGAAATCTTCAAGTATATAAGCAGACTAAATCTGCAGATTTCTCCTACAGCGCCAATATCCTCAGTACTATCAGCTACTAATCTCGCTTTGTCTATCCTTTTCGTTTATCCCTTCCTTCTTCGCTTTCGTTCCTCCGTTTTATTACTATTTATTTTGTACTCGATTGATTGCAGCCATTCTGAAATGTACGCGGACCGTGCTCCTGATTACGCTACTCCAAAATAGCGTACTTTTTCAAGTGGTCAGGGATCACATTGAACAAGCCCTTGGATTCGAGCCACAGCTTGGAGAACATCTTGTTTGCGTACTTGTGAGCAGAATCAGCCAACAATGTAACCACATTGCTTCCTTCTGGAACCATGCTAGCAACTCTCACCGCGGCTGCAACATTCAATGCTCCAGTTCCTCCAATATATAATCCTTCTTCATCCAAGAGTCTGTAAGCCATCACAATCGATTCCTCATCGGCAACACGTATAGCGTCGTCAATAAGCTCCAAATCTGGTTTCAAATTATCGGTAACTCTTCCCTGTCCAATACCCTCAGTAAACGAGGATCCTTCTCTGTCCATTTTTTCACCACCAGAAGGTCACATAGAGTACAAAACTGATCCTGGAGGATCTGCCCAACACACATTTGACCCAGATCAGAAGCCATAGACTTCAAAGTACCTTGTAACTCCAGCAAAAGTTCCACCAGTGCCAGGTGGAACAAGTCCAAAGCATCGACTTTTCCATTCAATTGGAGCCCATATTTCTGGCCCAGTAGTTTTCAATATGGGCTTGTCTATGGCGGTGTTATCGAACTGGTTTGTCCAAACCGCATTGTCCAATTTTTCAGCATGTCTTTTAGCCTGGTGATTATAATTTTGTGGATCGGTGAATGCCACAGCAGGCACTGGATGAACCTCAGCACCCAACAAGCGAAGTGTTTCGATTTTTTGTGGCGATTGGGTATTTGGCATATAAATAACACATTTATAGCCTTTTGCTCTACAAACATGAGCCAATCCAATACCGGTATTTCCTGCGGTTCCTTCAACAACCGTTCCTCCAGGACTAATTAAACCTCTTTCCTCTGCATCCTTGATCACATAGAGCGCAGCACGATCCTTCACCGATCCTCCAGGATTCATATACTCTGCTTTGGCAAAAATATTTCTTCCGGTTTCCTCAGAAATTCTTGGTAATCGAATTAAGGGAGTATTTCCCACAGCTCCAGGTAAGCCTGAATTCGATACAAGAGGAATGAATGGTAGTTGTGACGTCTGCGTCGAGATCCGAAGTCCTCGGCGAATAGTTTTGGAAAACATCTGAAACTACTAGCTTGAGTGGTGAATTCTCAGTGCAGCACGAAAACTGGAGTCGAGTTTGCACGTGACGCGAAGCGATTGGTGTTTGGTTTGAATTGGGTAGTCGTTGGTGTTTGGGTCGCCCTCCCCTCCTCTTCACATGCGGAGGCAGTAATTACAGTAAACATATGCACGAGGGAGCAATCGTGTGACGTGACTTTAACAACCGTACATGACACCTGGTGGGGGCACGGCCGAAATTAGTAATGCCGCTTTCGGCGAGGCATAGGGGTCCGCTACCGGGTGATTGCGGCCGGATCTATTGACCTACCGAATTGGACCAATTCAGAATGATGCATGCATGAAGCCTTGCATCTACGGTTGGACATCAGAAGGTCGGAGCGCGCGAGTACGCTTATTGCACGACGCTACTATGCAGGGTCTGATGTAATCGAACTTCTTTTCAATCTGGCGTTAGTCGCGATATTACGGAGATTCGGGGGCTGGACCGGCTTATGCGAGATTTCCAACTCGGCCCAATTCGGGAGGGGTTACGATTTTCGGAGTTATTTGTATAGCAACAAATTTTTCAGCAACCATGAACAAACATAACTAGGGGAACTTATTTTGCTCGCTTGGAACCCCTTTACTACCCCTTCCCCACCTATCAATTACAAAACGAGGCCACAACCACCCAACAGGGCAGTGCTCGTAACCGCACACAAAAAAAAAACTTTATCATGCATGTATGTAATATGCATAGCTTACGTGTGAATGTATGCACGCCTACTAGGGTGCAGGGAAAGGGGACTTTTGCAGGGTGCATGTTGGTCGCCGGCGGGGATGCGGATGGTGGCCGCAACGTATATAGTTCCGCGACATCTCTGATATCGAATTTCGTGGTTCATTTTCACCTTTTCAGTTCTTTTTTGCATAAATGTTACAAATTCAACAATTTGGTAATGGGGGTCTTAATAAGACCAGTACCCATAGCCTTCCATCATTTAATGAACTAATTACGGCCATTCCACTTCCAAACGATTTTTTATCGTCATCGTCTCCACCTCCTCATAGTACAACCCCTCCATCAAATTCCACTCCATTTCCCGAATATTATCAATTCCAACCAATTCGTCAAGAAATAAGACCCAAATTCCCCATTTCAAATCCACCTTCATTTGACGCACAATACCCCCGCCGTGAAAGCTTTTCGCCTGCCCCTCACCTGCCACTTTCAAGCCTCGGGTCCTCGGCGACTACCCCCGAAGATCTAGTGGTGCTGCTGGCGGCGGCCGCACCTCCTGTGACGAAACGCACAACCAAGACGCAGGTTGTGGCGCGAGATGTAGGCGTGACAAGCCGCAAGCATATTTGTAAGTGGTGTCACCGGTCGTTTACGACACTGGGTCATTTGGCCCGCCATAATAGGATACATACAGGTGAACGCAAGCATAATTGTCCATGGCCGCTGTGCGATGCAAAGTTTGCCAGGCAGGATAATTGTATGCAACATTACAAGTCGCACACCAATAACAAAAAGAGGAAGAGACATACACACTAACTTATTCAATGCATGACTTACGTTTCAAACCGTTGTTCATTTTAGTAATCGCACTAAACCCGAACCCCTAATAATCAAACTTTAATATGACAATCAAACTTTAATCTAAATTCAAAACCTTAATCGCCGCCAAGATATGCGGGCTACGATCGTTTATTTTCCCGGAGAATCTTAGCTTTTACCCTAATTAAATCTTTTTCGAATTTTTAGTTAAAATTCATAAATCCGTGTCCTAATCAGATCATAACTCCGTTACTAAATTTCACCGTATCTTACATGGTTGCAAGTGATGATTTTGGCGCGCTACATTCGCTACCTGTGACGTTTTTATTTTTGGGCCTATGCGAAATTTTAAAAAAAAAAAAATCACAGCTCGGGGATGCAGCCGCAACAACCCGCATACAGGACCACGGCCATCTACTTACCCCACCATAGCCCCTGTCCGACATGTTAACACCAACCTACATTATATCGCTTGTACCTTCCTCTATATTTAGCACAATCTACGTAATTTTTTGCTCCACAAACACCATTTTTCACCATTTGATTCTCACACCATCCCCGACAATATCCGAAACTTCCGACTCGTTAACAATTATTAATGCTAGCCCCGGTAACGGCAAGGGTCCATAGAAGTCTGCTCATCATGCATGTATGCACGCATGCATGTATGCACGCATTGCTGCTGTATGCGGCTGTCCGCATAGGGAAGGACGTTCCGCGTAAACCCGCAATATTCGCTCGACGCACGTTCAGATCATTTTTCATCATCATCATCTTCTTCTTCTTCTTCTTCTTCCGACAGCGATTCGTCACTGGAAACATCTTCTCCATGCTTCTTGAGTAGTTTTTTGTATCCTTGTATCTTTTCATCCATATCCGCCATCAAAAGCATCAAATCATCCACCTCGGACTTACGAACATATTGTTTGGCGTCAGGCCGCAGCTCGCGCGCAACAACATCTTCCCGAAGTGAATCGTTGTACTGATTTAATTTTTCCATTTCCCGTTCCCCACTTTGTCGTTGCAACTCGAGCTTGTGATTTTCCTCTTCGAGCGATTTCATCTTGGTTTCGAGTCTCGCTACCTCACTAGCCGTTTCTTGGCTAGATGCCAAGTCCAAATTGAGACGGCGTATTTCTTCCGTCATTTGTGTAACTTTCTGCTCTAAAGTTAAACTCTCTTTTTGCGCCTTCTTTACGTCTTCGTAATATACTTTGTGTTCTTCTGTCTTGGCACCCAAGTCGGCCCGCAAAGCATCATTTTCTTGTGAAAGTTTTTCTATTTGCTTTAAAGCCTCATTCTTTTGCTTCGCAATTTCGTCTTTTTGCTTCGAGTTTTCGTCCCGTTGCTTTTCAAGTTCCTCCCGCTGCTTTTCGAACTCCTCCTTCAGCTTGTGAACTTCCTTTTCCAACTCCAAAATCTTCTCGTCATTTTCATCAACCTCGGCTATTTTGGCTTCGTACGTAGAAAGCGAAGTCTCCAAATTTGAGATCCGTTCTTGCAACGACGAAACCGTGCTTTCCAAAGCATGTTTCTCACCTTCTGCTGAATTGTTCGACTCTTTAACCTTGGCCAATTCTTCCTTTAACGTGGATATTTGAGCGTCCAATTTTGTTTTCTCATTCTCGAGCTCTTCGACTTTTTCGTCAAACTCTTCGTTCTCCTCTTGGAGCAGTTCCACTTCTTTCCTGGCAGCCTCCAAGTCAGTTCTCGTCTTGCCGTGTTCATCCTCTGCACTTTTAAGTTTGTTTTTTGATTCAATGGCACTTTCTTTCAAGCCCTCGTGCTCGGCTCTTATTTCGGAAAGTTGCTTTGTCTTCTGGTTCGCCTCTTTTTTCAACTCCTTGAGCTGCTCATCCTTTTCCTCGAAACTTTCATTAAGCGTATCGAGCTTCTTTTGAAGATCATTTTTCAAATTGTCGATCTTGATATTTTCGTTGCTGGATTCCTTCAATTTTGCTTCGGCGCCCTCGAGCTTCTTTTGCAATTCCTTCACCAATTGACCCTGACGCTCAGCTTCATCTTCCACCTCTTTGACTTTCTCGTGGTTCTGCTTCTTCAATTCCGAAATACTGGCTTCCAACTTGGTTACTTTTTCGCTGTACTCCTTCACCGCCGTTTCGGAATTTGCACTCAAAAGAGCACGGTCTTGTTCAATCTCCTTTTCCTTGTCGGACAACGATACTTCCAATTCTTTGGCACGCCGTTCAGCGGCTTCAAGTTTGGTCCGGAAATCGTTCTTGCTCAGGCTCAATTCGTCCGTCAATTCTTGGAGCTTCGAAGCACTTTGTTCCAACTCTTTTCTAACTTTTTCCTTCAGCTCGTTTGTTTCTGATACTCTCGTTTCCAATTCATTGATCTTCAGTTTCTGGTCTTCAATGCTCTTTTCGTGTCGGCTAATGGTCTCCACATGTTTTTCGGCTATCGCTTTACTCTTGGAGACTTCTTCATCTTTCTTCTTTAAAGTATCGAGATTCTTCTTGATTTGCAATTTTGCTTTCGAGATTGCTTCTTCAAGTTCAGCGACAGAAGAAGCGTGCTTCTCAGAACTGGTGGTTTTGTGAAGCTCCAAAGCCGTTTTTTGTTCCTTCAATTGCTCGATTTCCGCCGCGAAATCTGCATTCTTAGACTTTAATTCCTTGACTTCATTCTCTAGTTGAGCAACTTGCTTTCTTGCTGAATTTTCCGCAGACTTGGTCTCTTTCAATTCTTCAGTGGTCTTCAAAGAAGTCGCTTCAGCTTCTTCAAGCTTCGTCTTGGCGATCAGAAGCTCACTTTCAAGCTCCTCCACCTTTGCCTGAACCTCAGTAATTTGAGAAGTCTTCTCCTTTAACTCCACTTCTTTTGTCTTCAAAGTGCTTTCATGTTCATCAAGTTTCTTTCTCATTTCGTCAACTTCAGATTGCAATGCCGTTGCCTTACTGTCCGACAACTTGGTAGCTTCTTCCAATTCTTTGCTCTTTTCAAGCACCTGGCTTTCCTTAGTCGAAACTTCCTTCTGTAGTTTTTTGAGCTGTTCCTTGGCAACTTGAAGTTCTTTGGTCAACAGTTCCTTTTCCTGAACACCGCTAAGACTCTTACTTTCGTGGTCCTCTTTGAGTGAACTTATTTTCGCTTCCAACTCTTCAACCTGCTTTTTGAGTTTGTTTTTTTCCTCTTCAGACTTTTCTGTCAGGATTTCGTTTTCTGCCTTCACCTTGGTAAGATTGTTCTCCACATTCAAAATCTTTTCATCAAGAGCCTTCTTTTCTTCCTTCAAGCTCTCGATCTCTGAAGTTTGCTCGTCTGTCTTCTTTGTCAAAGTGGAAATCTCTGTCTTGTATTTCTCTTCGGTCACCAGAAAAGCATCAACTGAAGCTTTACTAGCAGCGACTTGCTCATCCAACTCTTTTCGTTTTTGCTCTATCTTCTCCATCTCAGCCTTCATTTTCTGAATTGCATTTCCAGCAGACCTTAACTTGTCCATGAGATGCTCGTTGGAAGCTTCTGTGTCGACCAACTTCTCGTCCTTTTCTTTCAATTGCACTTGATGAGACTTTTCCAACTCTATCATCTGCTTTCTGAGTTGCTCCAATTGCTGTTCCACAGAGGATTTTTCTTGTGCAAGCTTTTTCAAACCCTTTTCCAGCTCATCAGACTTCTTGGAAAGTTCTTTCTTTAAGGAATTGAGTTCATTTTCAAGAGTCTTTGCTTTCTTCTCAGCTTCCTTCGTCAGCTTGGTAAGATTGAGTAGTTCACGGTTCATTTTATTAATACCATCTTCGGCTTTCTTCCTTCCTTCTTCCGCCACGGCAAGCTTGCTGGTTAAAGACTTGACCAGTTCATTGGAGCTTTCGGAAGCTTTTGCTGTGTCGTGCAACTCTTTCTCAAACTTCTTTGTAGATGCTAATAACGAATCTCGTTCAGCCTTAGTTTTAGACAATTCTTCCTGGAGACTTTTGAGTTTCTCTTCTGTGATTTTGTGCGCTTCCTTCAACTTGTTGAGCTCCCAGGTAGTAGTACTTAACGATTTCTCCGTGTTTTCGTATTGAGAAGTCAACTCCTTCAATTTCAGGTTAAGTTCATCCTTCACCGTCTCTGAAGCTTCCTTGGTACTGGCAACAACTTTTTGAAGCTCCTGGAAATCTCGCGTGAGTTCTTCATAAGTCTCATAATTGATTTTAGCTTTTGGCTGGACCTCGGGATCGTGGAAAAGAGCACGACGAAACCGGAGATGATTGTCCTTCATCATTTGAACGTAGATACCATCGAAATAAACCTCAGGCAAACCAGTGTCGTCTTTTTGATAATTGAAAATGGTATTCTCGTCAAAGTTTTTGATGGCTTCGTCATCTTCAAACTGTTTGACTTTAAGTGAGTAGTTTGTAGTTCCCACCGCTTTCAGGAGCAATTGGTATAGGTCGTACCGCAGAGTTGGTGAGTTTTTGGTGGAAAACTCGTATGCAATTCCGAGTAACAACATTATCATTCCATTCATTATAGGCAGCTCAGATGAGTTATTAGTGACAAACGCAACCAAAGAGCGCACGGTGGAAATATCTGAAAGAAATTCGTCGACAGCTTGAAAGTCTCCCACGAGCCAAATACTGAGTAGCATCATGTATCCGATGGAAATTCGAATATCTGTGTTTTCAAGCGTAGTGACTAACAAGCTTGACATTGCTTGGATTGAAGTCATGACTTCTTCGCCAGCACCTTCGTTTCCAACTTCGACGTTTCTGGCAGTTTGGCGGTTTTCATCGCAATCTTCAAATAAATAGAGAACGAGTACGGCTGCAAACCAAATCTTGTATGGGTTGAGTCTGATATCTGTGTCATAGTCCATCAAGGTTGTAAAAAGATTCGATTGTGGAGGTGGAATTGCTGAGCCGTTTCCGTTTGTTATAGCAGTTTCTGAAAAATAGAGTTCGATTTGTTCCTTCATGAATGCAGTTTTGGCTTCGTTATTATCTCGAAAGTACTCGTGCAAACAGCACACGGCTCCTACTCGGACGTCGAACACATTAACCGAGTTTAAGTTGAGAGCCCAATTCAAGAGAGCCAATGGTACGGCCACAGCATGGTCATATTCCACGCTAGTTGGTATCGATGGGTCAATATAGGGAACATCTACCTTTGAGAGCTCGAGCTGGAGTCGTTGGTTTGTCGATATAAGGTCCGCGGTGCAGAGAAGTGCAACGCTACGGATCTGGTTGACTGTTTCCTGGGAAAATACGAGTTTCAAGAGCACGAAAAGAATGCCACATTCGAAGAGTTTATCCTGGTTATTGCCGGTCCTGTCGTCTTCCACCAATGTTCGACAAATTTCGAGTCCAATAATCATATTTTGGAGCCGCTGTTCTGTCCAGACCATGGGTGGAGGGACAAATTGGTCGTCTTCTGGAGGTGCAAAATCGGGGTCTGTGTCTGCCAAAGGTTCACCCAAGAGTTTAGCCAAGCGGGCCACGCAATTGGTCTCGAGAAAGTACTTTTGGTTGGATGCGTTGTACATGAGAAGGTTGGTGAGAAGCGTCAAGCAGTCCTGGACGAGAATGGAGCCCCGGATACCACCTTCTTCGTCAATTATATCGAACAAGATGTCGAACGTGTTCTCGAAAGCCACAAGTTTCTGGATGTTGAAGTTTCTATTTACAGCAGCCATCAAGAAGAGAATGGCTTCGTTGCGCACGGGTTCATGGGGATCATTGAGGAGAGAGACAATGGTGGAGAATGCAGTGGGGATAGCAAGGAGTGCTTCTCGAGTCCGAGCAGGACGTGTGGACACAAGCAGCTCCAAAAGTTGGAGGGCATAGAGACGAATATGGAAATCTTCCACCTCGCTCACCACATCAATTATCACTTTCAAGGGGTTATTTTCGGGGTCTGGTTGTTGTGTGAGTTCGTCGGCGACCATAAGCAGAAACTGGTCTAACCCACCTTCCTCCAAAAGAATTGGTGACGGATATTTTCCATTTTGCACTCGCAGCTGTTGCGAGATCCATCCACGAGTTACATCTTCATCGTCTTGTCCACGAATAAAAAGCACCAAAAGGGTTTCCAAAACCGCTTTTACTATGGCATCCTGACTCGAATCCTTCACCAAAGTGGCCACAAGTCCTCGTAAACCATATTGGACCACCAACTCACGGTACTGGCGACTGAAACTTTTTAGACCCAAAACTGCCGAACGGCGGTCCGAAGTCATGGTGGCGTGCTGGAGCCTGTTGCATAGTGTGGGAATGGCCTCCTCCACCAGCAAGCCTTTTTGGGGCCCAAGAATGCTGTTAATGTAGTCCATGATACTGGAACTGAAAACGGTGAATTTGAGCGCGAATCAATCTGAGAATGGACCCTGCGCGTAAAATAAAGAGACAATACAAAAAAGAATAACAAAAAAGAATAGAGATTCGAAAAACTGAAGATCGAAATTGAACAGAAGACAGAAGACAGAATACCAATCCAGATCCTAAACTATAAATCTAAACCTTCAATAACTTCACCGTTACTATATCTGCTTTATTCCCATGAACTCACTTCTTCAAAACTCCATACAAACTTCATGTTCACTCAGTGACTCGTCACTCACCCAATTCTTTCCCGATCCCGCACAGTTTGAGCCTGCCAAAACCTTCAAACCATTGTCTCGGTGGGCCCTGATAAAAATTGGCACTCTCGAAGCAAGACTCGAAAATCTTCAACAGCGACTAAACAAGTCCCGGCATTCACTTCCACCTCGTCTGGTTGTCCTCTTAGCTTCTCGGGTCTTTGGTTACAACGGCTGGAGCTCTCGTGTTTGCAATTGTGCCGTGACAAATATTTCTGGAGAAGCTGAAAAATACACTGTATCGCACACGGCTGAAGTCGAAGTGATACTTTCTGACGGCACAAAATCTAGAGCAAATGGTTACGGAAAAGCCACCAATTTACCAAAGGCAAGAGCGTACAACAAGAGCATCAAGGAGGCAACGACTCAGGCGACAATGAGAGCTATATTGGGGTTGGTGGTGGTGATGGAGGAAGCCGATAAACGATAGTCTGTAAGCTTCGAAAGCTGCTATACTTACTATAAGCTACTGTAAACTGCTATGAGCTACTATGAGCTACTAGCCTTTGTCAAGCTTACTCAAGCTGAACTATGAACATGCAATTACCGAAACATTACTTCCTATACCGATTTTGCATTGGTATCTCATTACGAAACTGGTCCTTTAATCTAGTAATCGAGCATTGGCAACCGTGGAAACTCCGGCACCTTCGGAACAGGTATCTCGTCGATCAAGTACACTTCTCCATTATCATCAATACGCTCACGGTCCTTGATGTCCATTTTGTGAACCTCTTCAATGTTGTCGGAAATGTATTGGATCAATTCCACCCAGCTCTTTTGAAGACTGTACGCTTGTTCCTTCTTCTTGCGTCTCAAGAGTCCTTCAAGAAGTCTTACTGCATCTCCCTGGGTTTGCTCCAATCGCTCCACCATTCGTCCCACAGACTTGATGAGATACTCCTCCTCGTATATGGTGCCCTTCCTTCCCTTGGCACGCTTTCTTTCTTCTCTCTTTTTGTTTTTGGCAGTCTTTCTCGAGGCTCCAGTCTTGGCAGTTCCGCTGGTTTTGCCGGTGTAACGTGTGAAGAACGACGGAGCAGTCGAGGTCTCCGAAGCGGCCACCGATACGTTATCTGCTGTTTCGACAGCTTCAGGATTTTCGTAAAATGAATATGGATCTTGGCTCTTCTTTTCTCGCAACTCGCGCAAACGACGAAGCTGAGAAGTCATTTGGCCCTTACAGTCGGCCAAAAGTTCAGCAATCGTACCAAACCCATCTCCAAGTTGTCCGTCCACAACACTGTCAAGAAGGTCTTTGCGATTATTTTGTAAAGACAAAAGAATTGCTTCGTCATAACGGTAACTTTTGCAGTATAAAACCACAGCTTCCTCCACCTGGTGCAAATAGTCCTTCAGAATGACTGCCGCTTCAGAATACCGGTGATCGTCAGAAAGAGAACTCACGAGCTTTATGGCAATAAAAGTAAGCTTGTCTGTTCCAGCAACAAGAGCCAATGCTTCTCTCCACCGCTTGGCAGTAACATAGCTCTCACAAGCTGCGTCCAACTCGCCCAAGTATTCGTAGCTGACAGCTGCATCCACATACTTTTGTTGCAGAACCAAGAAGTCGGCATACAATTTGGTAATTTTTTGCACTCTTTTTTCGTCATCGTGGTGAATCTGCAATGCTCGCTGGTACAAGCTGTGGTTGACGGTATAGTCGTCAAATTCCTGTTCCGCTTCTGGACCAAGTTGATGTAACCAATCGAGTGCTTTGACGTGGTTTTTCAAGAAGTCGTCAATAAGGAACCGGCGCCGTAACTCGCTTTGTTCATGCAAATTTTGGAGGAAAGGTAAGTATTCTTTAGGGTCCATTTGGGATTTTTGGGCAATTGCCAAGGTCATTTTCACATTATAGATTCCCAACGCTGTCTTGTACAACTTCAAGACGTCTTGCAAGAAGCACAAGTGTTCAAGCGCCAGTTCCGCCTGAGCTGAGTTTTGGAGGCTGTTGATTAAATTGAGTGCCTCGGTCAAATTTGGAGGACTTTGACAGGCGTACGCCGTTACGATGGTTTGAAGATGAGAATCGAAATAGGCGGGTTTGCAAAGCACTTTCAATATAGCATCGCAAATCTTGTTCACTTTACTGTTTTCAACCACCGCAGTATTTTCTTTGTTGCGGATTATCTTCTTGACAGAATTGACATTATTGTCTTCCTGATCTACCTGGGCTTCAGCTGAAATGTCATCCACCTCGCCCAATGTGTCTCTGTACTTTGTCTTTGTCACATCCTCTTCGTGGATGCAAGAGACGAACAAGTCCAAATGTTCTACTTTGTTAATTTGCTTTACGAAAAGCTCCACATTGTCAAAAAATAACTCGCGATCGTAGTCATGAAGGATATCTAAATCAATTCGATGGACACGACAAGCCATGAATGCTTCACCAAACTGCTTGTTACGAATGAAATCACGAACAGCTGTGAGCACCATGATTCTCGGACAAACTCGTTCGAGATTTCCTCGAGGTGCTTGCAACACAACCGAGTATTTTGATGGCATTACAGTGACAAGCAAAGATCCTTGCTCGATTTGGCGGATTCTTTCATCGGAACCTGTTTTCGCAACCTCGTCAAACTCTTGGTATTTTTCGTTCAAGTGAACAAAGCAAAGGTGGTTACGCACAGTTGTGAAAAGAAGATGTGATTCTGTCACTTTGATTGAAGTGACACCGGAACAAATTTGGGTTTCGTTTGCAAAGAGCTTACCGTTGGCTGAGATCCCAAAAGCTGAAATATTGTTGTCTTGAACAGCCATCTCGAAATCTCTGCAAAGTTGAGGAAACCTGGTAACGGGTTGAAATTCGTCGTTTATGTGACGGTACACTGTTCCGTTCGAGGATTCAAGAACCCATGAATCGTAGTTCGAAGACAGTTTGAGAAGAACTATCTTTGCTGGAGTGTCCATTGAGTCTTTGAATGTGATTTTTGCGTCAAGATCGATGTCAAAGAAAAGTACTTTTTGAACGTCTCCGTCGACGAGAACTGCAGCGGTTGAACGTGCAAACGCTATTTGTCTTGGACTCTCGTCTGGCAGGAGAAAGTCTTTCAAGCTTTGCTTCTTCAACACTTTAGAAGGACCTTCAAAGGGCACCGCAATGGATGCCAAATTCTGGTTATTTGTGAGAGCCACCACCAATTCATTCGATGACGAGCAAGCAGTATCAGTAATGCATTCGCCAATCTCGATCTCTCTGTATGCCATTGGCGGAGGAACATTAGCAACAGCCATTGGTGTGACTTTGAGCTCGGAGCCGTCTGTCACCATCACTGTTCCACTGTCAAGTCCTCTGAATGTTGGTCCCGTAGAAAGCGACAGCACCAAGTCTATTATGCGTATTTGTTGGGGACATCCAACCATGAGGTGCAATGGTTTTTCTGGGTGAAATTTGAGGAAGGATATTTCAGCAAAGCTGATTTCCTGCTTCAAATACCAATGGTAATTTTTTGTAGTCCAGAGCTGGATTCGATTCGTGTTGTCGATGGTGCTAAGGACATGCACAGCTAGCACACTGCTGTCGGAGGACCAATGAAGACTTATGATCGTATTGGTATCTGGGTCTAGTCTCGAATTGAACTCTCCATGACGAAGACCATTTCTCTCATAAAATACAATATCGATTCCAGATTCCCCGTCTGTGTGTCTTTGAGTGGACGCTATGTGGCCCTGGGGTCTCCATGCCAAATTATGCTCGAGACCATCAACGGCTTCATTGACACTGTCGAGTTCACCTTCTCGACTGAATACTCTTATGACTCGACGATCGTACTTTTCGCCTGTATCTTCCACCACGACCAGTTCTATGGTAGATACTGCCAAGTAAGCACTGTCTCCTCTCCACGAGATGGTGTTAACTCCCAAATCCGCCGTAGACAAAATTCCTTGCTCGATTTCACCTACTGTAGGGTCCTTGAGATTGTCCACATTTTCATGCAAACCGGCATGTTTTAACGCCTCTCTTTCTCTCTGGGCAGCCATGGCTCCTCTTCCCTTGAACTGGGTTTCTTTTTTACCCCATCCTACGGAAACATGCTTGGAATCGGTGATTTTGATGTCGCTGGGATCCAACATTTTTTCAGCCACCGGTTCGAGTTGGCGGGAAAGAAGAACCAACTTGTACTCCGCCGTCAAAACAGCAAATGTTTCTTCGTCATAGGACCACTCGGCAGCCCAAATACCAGCATCAATTGAACCTACAATTTCCACTATGGTTGTGTCTGGATCTGGAGCGGTGGGATCATAAGTTGCCGTGATAATATCTCCGTTGCTGAAGGCAAACACAAGCTGACACGAGTCCACAAAGTGCGCAAAGCTCTTTAACGAAGCGTCAGACACCGGAAATGACGCAAGAACGGCAGTTTCACCGGTTTTCATGAACAGTTGAACTTCGAAAATTCCGGACTCGGGCAGCGTAAGTGCAAAAAGAATGCTATTTTGTGTAACGTCGAACACCGCATCGGCTATGGTGAGGTCAGGGTACGTCCTGGACTCGGGAACCACCTGGCCCTCATTCAAAATTCGAAGGTTCCTCATAGTTCTGAAATCTGCGATGAGATTGAGATTCGCGAGTTGGGATGGGTTTGCACCCGTGCACCCATACTTAAGGTTTTTCTATTCATGACATGCTCTTATCTATATACTCGGCCACGGCATCTTTGATCACCAAATTGGGGTAGAGTTGGTCTTCCAGCACCCGCTTTCGTGTGAGAGGGTCGTAGGGTCCGTTATGCATGAAATGGTGGAGAAGATTTTTTTTCTCGTACGTGATTCCGCAGGGTGTAACCACCGGATCTAGGAAAATATTGAGTGATATGGGATCAAGGAGCGAATCGGGAGCATCGTCAATTTCGGAACTTTTTGAATTCCGATTTTGCTGCAAATGTTGCTGAACCACTGCGCTAGAATGGTTGTTCCTGCAGATAGCCCGAAACTGGTCCCATTCCTCAGCATGCCGTTCTAGAACAGCCACCAATTTGTCAGGGTTTTTCTTGTCAATTCCCTTGATTTCTAGACGATGGTCTTTCTCCAAGGCATGGTAAAGACGTTTATAAAGTGTTTTGCTTACAATTCCGGTTGATTTGTCGAGGCTTTTGATGTCGCGTTTAATGGCTGCAATATCTCGATCTATGTACGCAGCCACCTCAGAAGCCGTACCTCGTACCATGTTGTTCGAATCGGCCACGAGCGTTTTGGTCTTGAAAAAATTCATGCTTTTTGGTTATTTTTCATCGGTGCAAACTATATATTTATCCGTAACGTCGATTGACGTAAGCGCCGCACAGAGTGCAGACGCACTCTCGATCACAGAAAACGGTTGCTGCGGCTTCAAAAATAGGAGAAAAAGCTGACAAACTAACAGAACATTTGTAAGACTATCCAAGTTGACTTAGCCAGACTTTGATTTGGTTCAAGACAATTAGCTTTTGGTTCGTCGATGAAAATGTCGCGCGACATTCCATTGTTCCCGGAGTTACGTCATAGTTGACAAGCCACTCCTCAGCGTTGCTTCGAGATAAAATCTGCTTTTGCTGCTATTTTCTTTGAACAACCAGCTTTTCTCTTCTTCAGCAATAGGATTTTTATTGAATTTTTCTCTTATCGGATTCCTGTCTTACCTGCAGTTTGTTTCGTCGCCGCTTATCTGCAGTATCCTCCCTCCTGCAGTACCCGTCTCTTCCAATCTCAATTCTCATTTCACCCCAACACTTGCCATCATGACGGACAAGTATGAAGCTGTTTTTCGTAAGTCTTTTGGTTGTTTCCGGTGCATCGTGACACGCTGCATTGATCAGTCACAAAATTACCTTCTTTTTATACTAACACAGGCTCTGCGGAAATGCTGCTTGTCCAGCTTTATGTTCCTACCGAAGTGTCTCGGGATATTATTCATCAAATTGGACAACTCAATCTCGTTCAGTTTCGGGACTTGAATGCGAAAGTCAATGAATTCCAAAGAACTTTCGTCAAAGAGCTTCGAAAACTCGACAACATTGAGAGACAGTACACTTTTTTTAAAGCTCAATTGGACCGTAAGGGTATCGAAGTAAGCAGCGACCCATATGCCGTTGAATCGACAGAGATTCCTCCCCAGTCGGAGATCGACGAGCACGCAGAAAATGCTCAACTCTTGGAGGACAGAGTTAGCCAATTGACCGAGTCTGCTGGTGTTTTGTACGACCGCCAACGGGAATTGAAGGAGAAAAAATGGACGATTCATGCGGTTGACAACTTCTTCAAGTCTTCTGTAGGGGCCCCTTCTTCGGGTCAAGACGAGACAGAGGCACTTCTTTCGGCGTTGGAAGAGGGTGGTGGAGCCACTGCTGCCAATGGTTCTCGTGGTGACTCGAGTTTCATTTCCGGTATTATTCCTCGTTCCAAAGCCATTACGTTGCAGCAGATTCTTTGGCGTGTATTGAGAGGAAATCTCTATTACTACTCGGAGGAAATCTCCCAGCCAATTTACGACTACAAGTCCGACACCTCAGTTGACAAAAATGCTTTTATCATTTTTGCTCATGGTTCGTTGATTCAACAAAGAGTGCGCAAAATCGCCGAATCGTTGGATGCCGACTTGTTTGACGTGGATATTACCCCGGATTTGAGACGTGAACAACTTAAAGAAGTCGACGAAAAACTTGCAGATATGTCCACGGTTGTGGCCCAAACTGAGCACGCTTTAAGTTCTGAGCTCATCGCTATTTCCAGAGACTTGGCTAAATGGTGGGAAGTGATTGCTCGTGAAAAAGCCGTTTACTACACCATGAACAAGTGCGATTACGATGCTCTGAGAAAACTGTTGATTGCCGAAGGTTGGGTTCCAAAAGACGAAATCGAAACCCTCCAGAAAACCGTTCGCAGCGACTCAAACTTTCCCACCATTGTCAACTTGTTGGAAACCTCCAAAATGCCTCCTACATTCCACAGGACTAACAAGTTTACCGGCGCATTCCAGAGCATTTGTGATGCATACGGCATAGCTACCTACCGTGAAGTTAACCCCGGATTGCCCACTATTATCACTTTCCCCTTTATGTTTGCAATCATGTTTGGTGATTTGGGACATGGTTTTATTTTGGCATTGGCAGCGCTGCTTCTCGTTTTGAACGAGAAAAAATTGGGGATGATGAAAAAGGACGAAATCTTTGATATGGCTTACAGTGGTCGGTACATTCTTTTGTTGATGGGTGTCTTTTCCATGTACACCGGTTTCTTGTACAACGATGTCTTTTCCAAGACCATGACGGTGTTCAAGTCAGGATGGGAATGGCCAGAAAATTTCAAAATAGGTGAAACAATTAGAGCTACTCAGGTAGGAACCTATGCATTCGGTTTAGACCCTGCTTGGCATGGAACTGAAAATGCACTTTTGTTTTCCAACTCCTACAAAATGAAACTCTCCATTTTGATGGGGTATATCCATATGACATACTCGTACATGTTCTCCTTGGTGAACTATGTCCACTTCAACAGCATGGTGGATATCATCGGAAACTTTGTGCCAGGTCTTCTCTTCATGCAAGGTATCTTTGGTTACTTGTCGTTGTGTATTGTCTACAAGTGGTCTGTCGATTGGTTTGCAATTCAACAACAGCCTCCAGGACTTCTTAATATGTTGATTTCAATGTTTTTGTCTCCTGGAACCGTCGCAGAGCCATTGTATAGTGGCCAAAGTGGAGTTCAAGTCTTCCTTTTGTTGATGGCTTTGGTATGTGTTCCATGGTTATTGTTGTTCAAGCCTCTTTACTTGAAACGTCAAATGGACAAAGAAGGCTATCACGCTGTGGAAAATGGAGCCGAAGAACATGGTGACGACGATGAAGAGGGCGAAGATGGACACAACTTTGGTGACATTATGATCCACCAGGTGATTCACACCATCGAATTCTGCTTAAACTGTGTTTCTCACACGGCCTCTTACCTTAGATTGTGGGCCTTATCGTTGGCCCATGCCCAGCTCTCGACTGTGTTGTGGTCCATGACCATCCAGAACTCGTTTGGAATGACTGGATTTGTTGGCGTATTCATGACAGTGATTTTATTTGGTATGTGGTTCATCTTGACGGTGGTGATTTTGGTGGTTATGGAAGGTACTTCTGCCATGTTGCACTCTCTCAGATTGCACTGGGTGGAATCTATGTCCAAGTTCTTCGAGGGTGAAGGTACCTTATACCAGCCATTTGGCTTTACCGACTTGTTGGTCAATGTTCTCTAGACATTTAGATATCTGCACTATGCAGGAAATAATTGCAATTCTCACCGATGCTCATCTCAACTTTTTGGTATCGCGATTTCTTCTGTAAAGCATGTTGCCATTGGCTGTGATTTTGAGTGAGTTGCAGGAGCCTAAGACAATTGTTCCGGTGCTCTCCAGTCTCCGCAGTGGCTCTCCCGTCTGGCTGAACATTTCTGGACCCGACCAGAAGCATTTGGTGTCTCGGACCTTGAACCTTACTCGATCTTCAATTCAGTTTCGGCGGTGGTTTGGCATAAATGTGATACGCGTGTTGGCTGACAACTACAAAATTATGGCTGGTGATGGTCTGCAGATCATAGGACAGCTTTTAAAGCTTTTAGAACAATGTAACCAGTTCACCAGTGCCGTCTACTTCAAGTCATTAGTTGAGTGTATCGACCATGTTTGCGATAGTATTCGAGGAAAACCTACTATGACTCGAGAACTCCTCACTCCCAACTTGCCTGCTATCATTGGTTTGTACTTGGAGAAATTTTCACACGATCCAGCCTACTTGGTTTCCAGATTAGCACCGTATATCAGAGCACATCCAACCACGTTTCGTCCTTTTGGGAACAAGCTAAGATCAAAGATCATGGAAACCATACTCAGTCCTGCGTTCTCCAACTTTCCAGACTCCAGCAAGGACATTTTTTGCAATACTCTTTCCACACTCTGTGCAGTGGAAAAGATAGAACCTGAAGAAAGGTGGTCACTGGACTTATTTTCTCTTATTGGAGAGTTATCCAATACGCTAGAGATATACGGAGAGTTCCTCAATTTCGAAGACGATGCCGAATTGGGCAAATTACTCAAAAAAATTCCCCGTTCGTCATCTGGTGAACTGGAATTTCCTTCTCTTTCAATCGACATCAACGACCCTTCCTCGTTTTATTCTTTGCCTGAGAGACTTGATATCCTCTTGCGACTCATTCGTGGTTACTTACTGGCTCCTACATCGTTTGTAGCCAAAGTTCCATTGGGAATTATAGCGTTGGTCGTCGAAGCCGTCCTTTCAATTAACTCTCGTTTTATACCATTTAAGCGAGAAATACGAGACGAAAGCACCAAGCAAATAATTCGAAATACTCTCCAGTGTGCTCACTCTTCTGCTTTGGGGCTTTTGAAGGTATTACCTCTGATTTTCCGTGGGTCTTTGGTTCCATATATGCGGCGAATTCTTGGATTGTTGGAAACTTTGATCCCAATGAAGAAAAAGTCGCTTGATACCGACCAGATTGTGGCTAATGAACAATTCATCTGTCTTGTTCTTGATTGTGTTGCTTGCAACATTTCCTTGGTTTCCTACTACCAAGACTCCACCGGACTCGTGAGGCTCATAGATGCCGCAATGGCTATAGTTCAGCCTAGATCAAGTTCGAACACAAGCTCAAACACAGCAAACACAATTTCCTCCAATGGTAAGAAGAAAAAGAAACAAGCTTCTGTTCCTCTTGCCGATGTTTTATCGCACCAGCATCTCTTCAACATTTCAGTTTCCGAGTCCACCACAAACCATGTTCAGTCTTTCGTCAATACTTTGATTAGTTGTGCTGATCTTCCCTCCGCCCAGCATAATAAGGTGTGCAAATTTGTCATAGTGGAAGCAGTCAAGGCATCTCATCATATTCAAGAGGGAACTGTTCCTAAGCAACTTCGAAACCTCTTGGTCAATGCTGTGTTGCATCCCGGTTTTGAAACCACCTCTATCTTGCCAATTGTGTGCAGCATTTTGAAGGAAGACGAATTGTTGAGTGTTTTCAGAAACCCAAGATTTCCACCGGTATTGAAGGCAGTTGAAGTGAAGGAGGAAGAAGAAGAAGAAGAAGAAGAAGAAGAAAGCGAGGAAGAACCTGAGGAAGCAGAGGAAGCTGAGGAAGTGGTTAACGGAAGCAGAACGGAACGGGAAGTTGCACCAGAAACCAAAGAAGTGGAACCAGAAAACAAGAGACGAAAGATCGAAATTCCCGAGGCTGTTTCTGTTGAACCTCAAGTTTCTGAGCCCCAAATTTCCACAAGTCTCCAGCATAGCATAAGCAATCAACCTGAGCCAGCTGAGCCAAAAAACTTACGAGCACCAGAGCCAGTTAAGCAAGCTAATAATCCCAAGTTGACCGAGCCATCGGCTGCGAAAGATCTTAGAGAAGATTTCTCAGACGACTCGGATTTCGAAATGCCCGAGATCGATGTTGACTCGGACGACGAGTAGCGGATCCCAGTGGCCAAATTAGCCATAAGTAGTAATAACATTTTTCTGTCTCATAATAGAATACTTTTTGCAGCATTTTTCATTTTCGCGAATCTTTATTTCCTTTATGACGAATGTACTACTCACAGAAGACATTACTCCCATCCGAATATGTCTACTTCTTCTTGTATCCCTATATGCTGGAAATCGGATCCCCATTGAGTGCTGTCGACCCTTGATGACTGTGGTGGTTAGGTTTCTTGAAGACGAGTCACTACTGAATGACAAAGGGGAATTGTTATTGTTTCCTGGACTTCTAGAACTCATAGAACAAGTCAAAATTGAGGCATTGAGACACGGAAATGACTCCACCTCCAATAGTTTGACCCTGTTGTTCCTTCTGGAGCTCTGGAGCATAAAAAATGTTGATGATCTTGACTTCAAAGTCAAACAAGCCGAGCTGTTTCTTCTGCCCAAAGACACCATAGTAGTGCAAGATGGCCCAAATGCCACCACAAAGGCCATATCACCTCGGTCTTTTCTTGGGGGAGTTATCCTGAAGCTAACCACCACGTATCGGCTTCTACAGTTTGATGAAGTGTTTCTATTTTTTGCATCTTTTGTCGACTTTAGGGCTGAATCTCACCACTTGTTTGTCAGTCTCGGCGGAAACCCACCACATGACACAGCCCCCAACACAGATGCTAACGTCTATACACACCTCACCAGCCAATTGCACGAAACTTTGGGCATATCCATCACCGCAGCTGAATCACATAATACCACCACCGGGCTCGTCTCTTTATCAAAATCATCCACCCAAGCTCTTCTTGAAAAACAGGTAATTCTTTTGGAGACTTATGGCGGTACGCTTCCTTCTCTGATGCGCCAGGTGCTTTCTGCTATGGCGTTGCAGGACCAAGGGCCATCTCTGGCTCTCAACTTGACTTTCAGCCAAGCCCCATCTTACTACTATGCCAACTACTTACAAAACCTCCATGAGTCCAACTACCACGGAGCTCTCGATTCATTGCATCAGTACTTTGACTACATGGTTTCCAATAACTCAAAGTACTTTTACCATTTTGCCTTGATTTCCCGAGCGTCGTTGCATCAGTATTTCGGTGAGTACGAGCAGGCTCTCGATGCTATCGAAGAAGCTATATCGGTGGCGCGGGAAAACAAGGATAACTCGACGCTTACCTTTATTCTTTCGTGGCTCTACAATCTTATGAAATGCAAGCCCGAGCTATGGAAAAAACAGACTTTTTACCACAACAATAATGCCCTGCATCTTCTCGACTTTCTCATTACCAAGTCGCAATCGGTGTCGCTACTGCTTCATTGCATGAGCTTTCTCTATGAAACCGTTCATATCATGGATTCTGCCGGAACTATGGGAAGATACCTTGAAAGTCTCGTGAAAGCATTGTATCTTTCTCTCAATGATTCGAAGCCCACTTACATTCGTGCCCTCGAAATGGCAACCACGGCTTGGGCAAGAATAGGCCAGCCACATATGTCTGAGTTGTACATTTCAATGGCTTCTGATACCGCAAATGAAACTGGAAAACTTTCTGACCAGGTGACGATGGAAATTCGGCGCTGCTTTCTACGGTTTGCTCATGAAGACGGTGAGGAATTATACAAGAATATTTGTTCACTTCAAAAGCTTGTAAACAAGAAAGACCAGGCGTTGGAAAACATGGTCAAGATGCGCTGTGTCATGTTGTTAATTGAGCTCCATCTTCGAAATGGACGCCTCTTCCAAGCTAGGGAGCTTGTTGGTGATTTGCTTTGCAGCGACAATCACGAAAACGATGTACGAGTTGAGCTGGTTTATCTTAGTGCAAAAGTGGAAATGGCACTTGGAAATTATGCTTCTGCTCTTGCCAAAATCTCTTCGTTTTTGTCTTCGTTAGACGAGCTGGCTTTCGAGACAGATCTTAGTCTTTATGGTCTTTTCCGTCTCAAATTACTTCAATGTACCATATACAACGAAACGGGAAACCCGCTGAGAGCGTTCAGCTTGTTGATGAGCCAGCTTGTAAGGGCCCGAGACGTTGGTTTTTCGTCAATAGCATGCGAGGGCATTGTACTTTTGGCTTCTGTTCAGGCCAATCTTGGTGGTTTTCAAGACTCCTACAAGATTCTCACTGCAAACATACCCCGGATTTTGGCCAACTACAACGTGGAACTTACATCAAGCGCATATTATGAGCTAGCTACTGCGTGCTATGGTATGGCAAGGACAAAAGATACCACTATTGGTCCGGAAAAAGATCTTTTCAACAAATTTCTACGCTATCTCAACGCTGCTATAAAAGGATTCAAAGCCATTAAACATTCCAAAAACCTTTTAAAGTGTTTTGAGCTAGAAGAAAGTATGGCAACGTTCAAAGAAAACAATGATTTGGTGGGCCATGCTCACCGTGCCATAACCAAGCTCAATGCACAATTGCTGGAGGAGTGTGTGAAAATGATGGTTTGATGCGGGCATGAAAGATTCATACCACATTCTGTATTCCACAATCTCTGTGTCCACATTCTCTGTATTGCACTAACTACTACACTGTATTACTTGACCAATTCGGCCTACCTCTGCTCTTACTCTCTTACTCTGCCTTGCGCTTCGACTTGTCAGCAGCATCCAACTTGATCATGATGAGTGCGGCAGCCCGAAGCTGGATCACGTTGGCAACCTGCTTGAAAAACCACACGGGAGCACTGACAAAAACCAACACGGTTCCGAGCCAGAAAAAATTAAACGAATGCAAATAGACTGCCACGTAGAACAATTCGTTGACGAGACACACCCCAAACAAAACCTTTCGGTTTGTGTAGTACAAATTTAAGATCTTGGACTGCTTGGCATCGACATTTTTGTGCGAGGCAGAACCCGAGGTTGTCATGGCATACATGTGCATGTAATGAGACGTCAAATCAAGCGACACCAATAGCTGCCAAACAAGAAAATATTGCGGGTACAACACACACAAGTAGCATATTAACGATGTAGTGGCACATCTATCAGTTACCATATCCAAAACGGCTCCAAACCGGGTTCCCTGGTCAAATTTCCTCGCAGCCCATCCATCAAATGCATCCAAAAATCCAGAGATTCCATAGAGTGAAAGCATGGCCACCGGGTGGCGTTTCATACACACAAACGAGAGAACAGCCGTTAGTATTCGGGTATAACCAATCAAATTGGGAATGAAAAGTAGAACATCTTTGGGAGTTACGGATTGTTCGGAAGGTGCCGAATGATCCTCGGGCAATTTCGACGCCATATTCAATCAGATGCTGCAGCTGTAACGATGTATCAGTTTACTAGAAGTCCTCAAATCAAGTGTGGATCCAGCACGTTCAATTGGGCTTCATAGATCTGGGGAAGAAAACTCGCCTGGGACACTTTTTTCATTGACATGGTGCTGCTGATGTAAGCGGCGCATGCGACACTCCCGGAAACTGCTCGGTTGGGCGAGGCTTGTGCTGAGGGCATTGAGATGAGAAAGGCAAGTTGAGGTGATTTTTGTTTGTTGTCTTAATGGTTTGTCTGTTTTGCCTTGGATAAATATCTTCGTTTTGTAAATATTTTTCTACATAATTTTGTAATTTTGCAATTTGCAACTTTAATTTATTTCTCATTCTTCGTATTATTATATCATTAATGTAGTTCATCAAATACCTCTCACAGTTCAATTGTTCCGTACTTTAGCACTTTAATCTCTCTCTTTGTTCAAGCCTGTCTCCCTAATTCACAAGCTAAATCTTCATTTTAGTCTTCATTTTGTCTTCATTTTGTCTTCATTTTGCAACCTTCTTCAACTTTATTCTCGACTTTCCATCTACCACCCCACAGCTTCCTCTATTGTCTGGTGTTTCTGGTCGAGCTGCGACTTAAACACAACGCTTCGAATCCTTTCAAAATACACATCACAGCTTTGGTTCTCGCATTGTGTTTCCAAGCCTTGAATCGAACTGCCACAAGCATAAGTGGAGCTAATACAATGATAACAAGTTCTTGCAACTTCAGTCAAATGACGTTCTCTGTAACGAGTGCTCATCACGGAATTCACCATCAATGCCTGTTCGTTGCTGAGGCACTCACGGCACACACTTGTAGATTCACCCTCGGCAACTTGTCCTCCACAGTTAATGCAAGTTTTCGACTTGATATGTCTTGACATCTTCAACACTCCAGTGTGGAGATCTGTAGCCGTCTGCTTGGGAATTTCCTTATACCAACCTCGTATATCCGCTCCAACTAGATTGAAAATTCTTTCCAACGGAGGAATCAAAACTCGTCCTATGTAGTATTCATAGTCAAGGCGAACCGGCCGCAAGTGCCTATAAGCTTCAATGAACTCTTCTGGAGGCACGCTTCTATCACGTATTCGAGGTTTCTCGGCATCTTCAATAACCACATACGGTACTCTTTCTCTATACTGAGGTTCTGACCGAGGATCTCGAGCCACCTTGCGCATTGCAACCATGGCTCCAGCAGGTATGTGGTTCAAGCTTTTGTAGGTTCCAAAACGGACTTCCTTTGCAAAGCAAAAGTCCCGTATCGATATTCGGTTGGCTATGATTTTGCGGAACTGAGTGAGAGTGTAGTCCTTGACGAGCGACAAGTCTTTGGTAGTGAAAAGTATTCTTAGTGCTTTTTCAACTATCTTCTGTTGAGCTGGAATTCCATCTCTTCGAATCGTCTCAATTCCTTTCGCCTGGAATGTAGCTTCTTGTTGGGACTCATACTCAAAGCAGTTACCAACATACCTCTTTTTGCTCAATAGAACGCATGGATGGTATACCTTTTCAAACTTCAACTGAATGGGATCCGGAAAAAGCGAAGTTATATGTGCTGCTACTTCACGTCCAATCTTAAATGAGTCTTCCTTGCTTCGTCCAGGCAAATACATGAACAAAGAGTCAGTATCACCATAGACAACTTTAGCACCATAGTTTGCCAGCTCAATGATATTAATTGATTTCGTCAAAATCTCTCGCCCGGTGGATACAATTGCATCGGCAATGGCAGAATTCGGCATTCTTCCGCTGAAAGATGCCGAAGCATAACCATAGGTGACATTTGCAATCAACTTGAGGGCTAATTGTCTTGAATTGAGCAATTTGGCGAGATTGGTGTCGTCTTTAAACATCAGCATAACCGTTTTCACCTGTATTCTTGTATTCAAGATTTCCTCAAGCATCTTGGAAAGTAGCGATTTGCGGACAGAACTCTTGGCAAACATGTACCCATTTGGTGAGAGATTGATGTCGTCGTTCTCTTTCAATAGGTTAACAAGTCCTGGTGGTAAGTCCAAGTGCTTCAAGAAACCAATGGTGTTTTTCTTGGGATCAAATCCATCTAGTCTTCCCAATAGTGTGGTGAAACAGTAGTTGTACGCAATCATGATGGATGGATACAAAGATTGAAAATCCAAAACCACCAAAGGCGACTTGTAAAAGTTTGCGTCAGGTTCCAATATCAACGATATAGCCTCGAGCGGCTTCATATTACTCACTTGGGTCTTTGAAGGTGAATTCAATAGTAAACTTTCAACCTTTGAAATCCGCGATAAAATCGATTCCACTTTATACTGAGACCCACGAAAGAATACAGAGTAAAAGTCAACTCCAATGAACCTGGCTTCTTCTACATTCTTGGTGATAATCTCTCTAACGTCAAGAATCTTCTGGACCAAAAGTATGCGTTGCATGTAATAATTTAGGACGAACAAGAGCTTGCTTGCATTGTCACTGCGGAACCACTTCGATAGGGATCTATTGGAACACTTGGCTATTGTTTGGTGCAAAATATGAAAGACAACGTTTTCCAAAGAATACGACGTTAAAGTCACATTGGATCGAAAAACTCGCCAAACGTTCAACAAGTGCCGCCCATTAATCTTGAGAGCCGAGGTATGAGTATAGCCCCACCTATCTCCAAACTTACCATTGCTTTTGAAAGTACAACGACTAAGCAATGGTAGCAAATTTATGTCGTATGCCGCTCGAAATCTCTCAACCAAATATCCCCAGCTCGAAGCATTGATTTCGTAGCCACAAAGAATGTCTGGGTCGAATGCTTCCACGAGAAAAAGGAGACGGTCCACCATTGATTTCTCATCCTCAAAGGTCTCGATTTTCATGTCAACAGCAGACTTTAATAGGTGGACGTTGTTACAAGTTTCACGGTTAACTAACACTCCAGTAACGGGAATCTTGTCAAACATAAGATTTGCATCGTCAAAATGATAAAAAATTGCAGAAACCAGATTTAATTCTGGATCTGGAAGCGAATTGGAATCAGTATTCACATGGATCTCAGCATGAAAGTTCGTTAGTCGAATGAAAGAATCTGGTCTTCGTGACGACAGTTCCAGTCGATACGAGTACTTGAATTTGGCAGCGGTTCCACTATTAGGATGCTCAATTTGTGTGTATGTGTTCCGCTTCTTTTTCTCTGTTGCAAGCCAATCTTTTATGCTTGCAGACAGCGGTGGTGTAACAGCATACTCCCATAAATACAGCTTTTTGTTCAAACCCATGCCACCTGAAGCTGATTTCAACACACTCTTGACACTAAATGAAGGAGTGCTTTGACCTTGTAATCTGAATGGAGCAATGGTGGAGTCATTGAGACAGGGAACCACGATCTTTTTATTGGCAAAAACCAAAGGTTTCGCTGCCCCATCAACGGACTTGGAATAGAAAGGATCAACATAGTCCACCTGGAGAATGCCTTCTGAATCTAGTCCATCTTTAAAGCATTCTTTCTGTATTGCAGCCGGTTGTTTCAATTCATAGCAGTATCCATTGCAACTCGACAATTCGATTTGGCTGACTAACTCTTGTTGCGGTTCCAATTCGGAAAACGAGCTATTCACTTGTAGAACAGGAGACAGAGGAGGCTCTTCAAGTGGTCTTTTGAGAGAATGCCTTTGAGTCATCTGCAACATAGCTTCATCATTGATGATTTGGGAGTGTTCTTCTGGCTCGTCCGTCTCAGAATTGATCGCCAAAGGTTCATTTTGTTCACTCTTTTCTTCATTTTGTTCGCTCTTTTCTTCAGTTTCGTTCTGGTCAGAGTCCCACGGCAGGTCCAGAACCTCTTTTGAGGAACTCAAAGCATCTGAAAGAGAATCGAAAGAACTCAACACTTTCTTTTGCTCTTTGGCTTGCGAGAGCTGAGAAAGTTGCGACTGAAACGATTCTTGCTTTTCGCTGAAAAGAGAGTCATAACCAGACCATTGAAGTAGTTTAGGTTTTGGATCGTATGTTTTTTCAATATCGACGAGTGCAAACGACGACGGAAGTTCTGGATGGTCGTCTTTTATTCGGGCTTTCGAGTAGCTTTTGTAGTCGGTTTCGTAGGCTCCGGTCAAGGTTATAACATAGTCCAATGATTTTCGAAGTTCAGTTGAATTAGCCCACTCCGTTGATCTGAACCCTAAATTGTTACCGATGTTTTGTGAGCTCACCGGCTGTCTTCCTCTGATCTCACATTGGTATTTCAAGTCCTTTACGATATGCAGTGTGGATGTCAAGTAAGTTGGAGTTTCCACCAGATTGGGGTTGAAATTGTATCGTTCAACAAAGTCATGGTGAAGATGCCTAGCATGCAAAGTATTTCTATTAGCAATCGAGGCAGTGATAGCGTCTATTTCAAGGACACTGTTGGCTATTCTGGGATAATGTCGAGGATTGAGCACTGATTTTTGGGTCAAATATTTGCGCAAACTGTGCTTTAAATGTGCTGTATTCGTAGTGGAAATGAAGCTAAGAGCCGGAGAATTGTAGTCAAGAACAGGAGACCTGAACCAGAAAGAGTCCAATTCAACCCAACCACAGCCATATAAGTTGAAATCCGTGAGGAATTGAAGAAGCATAGGCAAATGGGTCTCGTATACATTTGGCTTGAACTTTTGTTTTGTGGAGCAAAAGTTGGCAAAGTTGATTTTCTTATCATGTATCAAACGTACCAATCTTGTCTTGTAAACTGGAGAAAGCAATGATACTTTCAACATGCATTTGTTACCCACTTGGTACCCATATACCGGGGTACCTTTACAACGAGAAATCCGTGCAATAAATCTTCTTTTCTGGTCCGATCCTCCAGCAGTAGCCTCAGGCAAATTGGTGTTGGTTCCCTTTTCATTTTCGTATTCATCATCGTCACCTGGATTGCGAAGAAACGACTCTCCGAGACATGACTCCAAATAGGAAATTATCGTTTGTAATGGAACGCTATGAACAGGAGCGTCAATATAAAAGTATGGAAAGAAGTTGTGCACGTGCAAGACGGTGGTAAATGACAATGCAGACTCATCAAGAATGGTTGCAGATGCAGTAGTTGAGGAAGAAGTTGCAACCGAAGATTGGGGTTCGGTATTAGAAACCGAAAATGAGCCGTAGATGCGTACAATTGGCACCACATGTACCTGTCCATACAAGCAGTCTATATCCAGCGGTAGCGACTGATAGGTGTCATAGTCGTTGAACTGGACTTTAAAGCCCATGCACTGAGTAGATAAAAGTGCAGATAAGAAAAATTGAAAGGAGTGCAGATAAAAGGAGTGCAGGTGAGAGAAGAGACTGCATATGACAAAATGAAGACTGCACATAAAACATTGTCTTAGACTAAAAATAGCGCCGTAGAGATATGCCAATTAAGTCATGTAATAGGCGATGTGGCGCAGGAAAGAAACCAGTCTAGTAATAACCAAAAGCATGAGCCAAAAATGAGAAGATTTGAAAATAAGTTGCATTGGAGTGATTAGAATGTTTTATATCAAGACCTTATGGCCCGTTTACTGCTTAAATAGAAGATTCTCGTAATACTATCCAAATTGCGTAATTCTATCAAGTTGACCTACGGCTGCAATTTGCACGTCTCGGATTTATTCATTGTGGGCTAACTCCGTAGACGGCATACAACCGGGTCTAGACCGTTTCGCTGTCGGCTAATAAGTTGGAAAAACAGCCTCGTTCAAAAGCGAAAAAAAGCTCAGTGACTCACACCAGACAACAGAAGTAGTCGTGTAGTTTAATTGACCTCAAACCACTCTCCAATCCATCATAATTCGTCAAGGGTCCGCTTACATAAGCGCGCATATTAAGTGCGTTTTGCAGCTTCTATCAACTGCGCAATCATGCGAACGACAATTACAAGTAAACAAACATTAAGAAAGAGATGACCGTCTACAATGTTTGGCTATGCAAGCCAAGTATACGTGAATCATGAGATAATCGCAAGAGCAAATTAATCATAACAAACTGCAGTTAATCAAAATTTTCTTAGTAAGCGCTGTTGATAAGATAGATCACAATTTATCAAGTCCACCAGAATCTTCGTTCTTGAGCCTATATTAATGTCAACTAACATCCCACCGCACCCAGTAAACTTCCAAAGTTTTTGACTCAAAATGACTCATTTGTGGCAAGTATAACGAAAAGTTGCGAAACACCTTGTACTTGCAAGACAATGCATGAGCTATTTTTACAATCGAAACGGTAAACATAGACGGTTATTTTTATCGGCACACAATTGCATATGCGGCGGAATGCCGGAGTCTCCGAGCCGAAGACTTATAAAAGTGGTTGCAAAGGTAAATGTGAAACATAATTAACCAATAATGAAGTTACGAAGTTGTTTTTTGATAGCAGTTACGGCAGCAAAAGCTGCTGCCGAAATGGCACATAGTGGCTCTCAAGACATGAGTGACTCTCAAGATGCGAGTACGTATGATGATGTAAAGCCGGTACCTCATCTAAGCAGCCACCATCATGGAGTGCCTATTTTGCAAACCGATCTTAAGCCACCAGAACGAGCTTATTGGGAGGCTTATAACACCACAACCTTCTTTACGGTCGATGCTCCACATAAGGGGGCATTGTATATGCACGTAGGGCTCATTTCCGTCGCAATGGTGGTGGTTTATCCGGTATGTATGGTGATGAATAATGTTCAGTCAATGTGGTATTTGGCGGGCTTGACATTAAATTCGGCAATGGTGGTGTTGGCGCTCCTCAACTATTTCCGTTTCATGCAATCGGCACCAGATTTGTACCCTGGAAATGCCTATACTCGTATGTCGTGGATTCTCTTTTTTTCCACTTGCATCCACTGGTTTTTTGCATTGTTAAAGACCGGGTTCAATTACGTCCAGGGGACCAATGAGGGACAATATGCTCATTTATATGACCAGGAGAGCCAAGATCTGGAAGCCACAAACGAAGGGCCGTCTTCAGCCTTGATTAACGATGCTGACTCGTTTGAAATTACCGACGAAGAAAACGAGTACAAGACACCTCCAAGACCACAAAAACTCCAGAATGAGTCCCCTTCGCCATTTGCAAAGTTATTGGAAAGTCGCTGGGTTCGAAAGTGGGTGGCATTTTTCGGCTCGTCAACGGTAAGAATTTCCCAATATTTGAACTGGGGCCACTTTTTCTTTCACCTTGTATATATCCCCACAGGCGTCGCTGTTCTAGGATGCTTTGGTCGTGGAAACAGTTTGTTCAACATGTTGGCACATTTCATTAAAGGAGGAATTTTCTTCTCGTTGGGAATGCTCTATTTGGCTCGGTATTGTGGTGCATACGCCGCCTATGGTTGGGCATGGAACCACAAGTTTGTCACCGAGGCCGAAACCAGAGTCAACAGATGGGCCAGGTTTCAATCGTCTGGATTGTGTACCATGGAAATGGTGGAATCTTCCCTCATCTTGGTCTACGGAAGCACCAACATCTTCTTGGAACATTTGGCCAATCCAGGAGGAGAATGGTCCGCTAAAGATTTACAGCACGCATCCATTGCGTTCATATATATTGGCTGTGGTCTTTGTGGGGTAATTACCGAGTACAAATTGGCAACTTGGAGATATGAAAGGGCCATGCAAGCAATGCAAAATCATGAAGAAACAAAATCAAAAATTGTCAAAGCCACTCCAGGATTTTCTCCCAATCCGTTCCCCATTATTACTGTTTTCTGGACAGGTATTCTCATGTCGAAACATGAGCAGGCTTCACACTTGTCTACGGAAATTCACACCCAATGGGGAAACATGTTCATCCTTGGTTGTGGGTTCAGGTTTCTAAGCTACATCCTTCTTCTCGTAGCACCACCTGAAAAGAGTCCCACCAAGGTTCCTCGGTCAATTACAGAGTTGGTGGTTAGTTTTTCATTGCTTTGTGGAGGACTCATTTTCATGGAATCTTGCGACCCAATTGTATTGGCATTTGAATATAGGGGATTCACGTCCATGTTCACGCTTAACGTCTCTTTGGGAGTCATCACTCTCTTGATGGCTTGGCAGATTGCGTTATTTGCAATCAAGGATTGGATGGTGGATCGTAGATAGATGAGTATATGAATCATGATTTAAGGAGCGACCATCAGAAGAGGGAGTTCAATTCTTTCCGCATTCTTTCCATAATTTCAAGACTCTTAAGACTCTTTCAATGCTTTTTCGATGCTTTTTCACTAATTTTTCAATAATTTTCACTCATCTTTAAGTATTTTTCAGTACTCTCTCAATAATTTTCACTAACTTTCCAAGAATTCTCATAGTTTTCTCATTAACTTTTCATCAATTCACAATTTTAGCATCATTCAGCAATGACCGACTCCAGTTTTGCATCCAACTCTTGCCGTTTCACTTAGCCACAATGCCATGGAACTCCTGCATCAAAGTGGGCTGAGACGTCAATGCAACCGTCTTTTTAGCCGCCTAAATTATGCGGGAGAACCACAATAAAGAACACTAAAAATGTAACATGATTCCAGAATGCATTCCTAAATCAATTGAGTCGCTGGAGTATTCACCAAGTCATTTCTCTGCTTCACAATTGGATCATTACCAGTGCGAAAAATTCACAATTTACGAAGAACGAATCTCGATTACCGAATCCGAATTCCGAATCCGAATTCCATTCGAAGCACGATTTCTTAAATTCTGTTTTTAGACTTCGATGACGCTAAGTTTAGATCTTCGTCCGTTTAAGGCAGGTGTGCAACGGTTTTTAGTTGCATTCTAATTATATCTATGCGTCGTGCAGAATGACAGAAATACAGCCAGTGAGAAATACTGCAAATAACTTGCCAAGCATTTCATTATGTCAACTTGCGAACAATGCGCATTGAAGCAGGGGAACTTTCGCTTGAATAGGAAAAAACAATGGGGGACAATCCAAAAAGGATCGCATTTTTACCGTTATGGATGCGGCAACGTGCAGCAATCAAGGAAGAAGAAGAACTAGGAAGAAGAACTAAAGAATGAAGAACTAAAGAAGAAGAACCAAAAAAAACAGTAAAAGCAAACAAAAAACACTAAAACTAAACATAAGTAACTCTACATTCTCTTTTACTCTCGCAACTTCGCATTTTCTTTGCACCGATGCGCGCCTGTGATGCACTCTGCGTAAAGACAATCCGTTAGGAGCAGGGGAACCGGAATTATGCAAGCAAGATGCACTCAATGTAATTTTTAAGCGGGGAGACCCGACCCTTTAAATTTCATTATTTGGCCAAATTTTCTGTCAAACTTGTGTTAAGCTTTACTAACACGACCTTTTTGTTGGGCGGATTTTAGCCCCCACTCTCGCAGACTGCATAGACTTGGCTTTGGCCGTTCCGCCCTCCATCAGTGCACCAGGCGCTTGCCCTCAAATTTGATCTTACTTATTTTTATCTTATTGAACATATCAGCAGTTTGTCACTCCTTTTACCTTTTTTGCTGGTTGTTTCTACTGAATATTGTCCTGTACACCCCTGTTCCCATATAGGGCCATATTACCTGTTAATTTGATTTTATTGGTCTTTTCATATCCTTAATCCACCAATTACCACCAATTAACAACCAAATATTTCACCAATTATTCCAGAAATTTATTCCATTATTGACATTTCCATGACTGACCTCCCCGAAATCGACAGACTATCACTCAAACCCAATCAGTCCGCCGGAAAAACCCCCGTTTCCGAACACACCTCCAGTGGCTCCGGCACCCCGGTCACCCCAGGACGAGTGCCCCAGCTGCCTCCGCTCTCCACCAGCCATATACACATGAACGAAGACATCCAGGCCCGTTTGTTGGCGTTCCAGCAAAAGCGAACAAAAGCGCCCCCCATTCCCACCGAGCGGTCGCAATCGGCCAACGACGTGGGCGACAAAGCCACCATTCCATCGCCGTCCGCAGCCGAGCAGTACCGCAAACCGGCGGAGAAACAGACGCTCTCGCAGCGCCGGGGATTGGCGCTAAATATTGGTGACATTGCTAGCGGAACTACAAGTCCAGAAACCCTGTCTTCGCCGGGTCTTAGTCCACCGATCCAGATGAACGAGGGTGCTCCTCCACTTAGTACCACCGGTGAGCTCGGTCGGCGGTTGTCGGAAAGAAGAAAAAAGCCCAATTTCAAATTGCGCTTGGACCAGCCGTCGTCGAATTTGGCAAATGGTGTGGAACTGAAGCTCGCTGCCGCCGAAGAAGTTTCCGACAAAAAACCTCAGTTACAGGGACTTTTCGCAAACTACTCCAAATACGTTGACATCAAGCTGGGCTCGCTCAATTTCGCTGGAAAGGCGTCGCTTCATTCGAAAGGTATAAACTTTCTGTCGGGTTCTTCGTTCCACATATCGTTGGACCAGCTCGAGTTTCTCGAAGAATTGGGCCATGGAAATTACGGAACCGTACGTAAAGTGCTACACAAGCCTACCGGGGTGCTCATGGCAATGAAGGAAGTGAGACTAGAGCTAGACGAATCGAAATTTACTCAGATTTTGATGGAGTTGGAAATTTTGCACAAGTGCGATTCTCCGTATATCGTTGACTTTTACGGGGCCTTTTTCGTCGAGGGTGCTGTTTACATGTGTATCGAGTACATGGACGGTAACTCGTTGGATAACGTCTACAGCAAGGACGAGGGGATCCACGACGAAGCATGTCTCGCATATATCACCGAGTGCATTATTCGAGGACTTAAAGACTTGAAAGACAAGCATAATATCATCCACCGTGACGTTAAACCCACGAATATTCTCATTAATACTCACGGCAAGGTCAAGCTCTGTGACTTTGGTGTGCTGGGTAATCTCGTGGCCTCGTTGGCGAAAACGAACATTGGGTGCCAATCATACATGGCTCCGGAACGTATAAAGTCACTCAAGCCTGACGATGGAACCTATTCAGTACAGCTGGATGTGTGGCTGTTGGGATTGTCGATTTTGGAGATTGCCTGTGGTATGTATCCATATCCTCCAGAGACCTACGACAACATTTTTTCACAGTTGAGTGCCATTGTGGAAGGAGAACCGCCACGACTCGATCCCAAGATATTCTCCGCTGAAGCACAACAGTTTGTGCGTTTATGTCTCAACAAAAACCCCGATCTTCGTCCATCGTATGACAACTTACTTGAACATCCATGGTTGGTAAAGTACCGAAATGTGGACTGCCATATGGCCGAGTATGTTACTAAACGACTCGCGGAGAATGCCAAAAGCAAGACTGATGCTCCAGCACCCGAAAAAGCTGGACCCAAGGGTCCTAAAGGCGCGGAAGATGTGCGGACATTGCTCAAGAACAAGGTGCGGGCACCTGCGTTGCACCGGGGAGGACTTCCAGCAGCGCGGAGATAATAGAATTAGAGTAATAAACAGAAGAAAACAAAAAAGTAAGATGTAGAAGCAAGAAGCATAAACTATTAGATACACAACTTCAATTGAAACCCTACTCTACAATATTCAGCGTTGTCGCAACTATTTTCGATTTTCGCGCACAATTTCAGCGCTCACCACTCCTCCTTATCCCATGTTACAGTTAGACCAAAATAACCTTCTAATCACAAAGACGCTCACAGAAAGGGTCAATGCTGTGGAGGAAAAGAGCTTGGACAGAATCGTAACCGACTTTGATTTCACCACATATCATCTTCTGACATTTCCAGACCAAAAGAACCAAATCTTGATTTCTGTTTACCTCAAATGCTGGGACGATTTGGTCAAATATGGGGTTGTAGACTACTTAAAGGGCAAGTACTCGCCCTACAGTGACGTGTTGACGATTTTGGACCCCAAAGATGCCGAAACGAACTACAATTACTCAATAGTATTGGACTTGGAGAGGGCCAGACAAAGTGATGCCACCAGTGTGATCAACGAGATTTCGTATTTGAAGAGACACTGTCTTGCTGCTCCGTTCGAGCGTGGATTTGCACGGTATGATGAATTGGCTGAAAAGTATGCCTCGTCCAACACTTACTCTGAAGAAATTCAAGGTGAGTTGCTGACTGAAGAAGTGCTTGTGATCAAGTATCGTGGAGCCGAGGAGTGCATTTTCATCAAGCCATCGTTTGACAGAGTGACGGTCATTTTTTCCACCACTTTCAAGGACGAAATGGACAAGACTTTTGGAAAAGTGTTTCTTCAAGAATTTGTAGATGCCCGGAAACGGTCGGTACAAACGGCTCCACAGGTGTTGTTCACTCATAACGAACCTCCTTTGGACATAAGGAAGGCAGCACCAACCACCAAGTTTGATACTAACAAGGGATATGTGACGTTTGTCTTGTTCCCACGGCACCTTGTCAAAGGTGATCGCAGAGACAACTGTATTTCTCACATCCAGTATTTCCGCAACTACTTCCACTACCATATCAAATGTTCCAAGGCCTACATGCACTCGCGGATGCGTCACCGGGTGAAGGAGTTTCTCAAGGTGTTGAACAGAGCCAAGCCGGAGAATGTCGATAACGACGGCCGCGCAATTGAGAATCGTAAGACTGCTAGTGGACGTCGTTTTGATGCTCGGGCATAAAAAAAACCAGGGAAGTTCAAATAGATGGAGCAGATAAAAAGTGGAATGCAATTTGAATTATGTTCAATATGAATCATGTTCAATATGTAATATGTTCAATATTCGCAATGTGCTCACAATGCTCGCAATTGCCGGTAATGTTTATGAACTACTTTTCTCTTCTCTATGTACACATGCTAAGCCTTGGGCTTCTTCACTCCGTATTTGGACCGACTGGTGGCTCTGTTGGCCACTCCAGCCAAATCGTAAGCACCTCGAACCAACCGATATTTCACACCAGGAAGATCCTGCACTCTTCCACCACGAACGAGCACAACATGATGTTCCTGGAGGTTGTGACCCTCACCAGGAATCAAACATGAAACTACGTTTCCGTTACTTAGACGAACTCTACAGCATTTTCGCTGAGCCGAGTTTGGCTTTTTAGGTTTAACAATCATCACTCGTAACACCACCCCTTTTTTGAACGGATTGGCATCTAGATGTGGTGCTTTGGACACATATGGCTTGACTGGTTTTCCTTGTTTTCCACTTTTAAGCTGATTTAAAGTGGCATAGGTACGACTGGACATCATTGAAATGGGGGTGAATAAGCTATATTTAGCTGCCATTGGTACACTATTCGAAATGGGAGCCCGTATTATACTAGGAAAACCGTGGGGCATCATCCGTGCCAGCACGCCCATCATCGACCGTATCATGGTGCACTCAGATTTTTGGGTGAGCCTTGAAAAATTTCCAAGGCTCACCAAAATGTCGTCGCGGTGTCGCGGCACTCTGGCACCGTCGCATTGAATGAGAGCCAATCCTTTTCATACATCCACGTAAATGTTGAGAACCGCCCTTCTTGGCAGCTTGAGAGCCCGTATTCCGGTGGCCACTGCGTCGCGCATTCCAAAAATCACCTCCATTTCATCGCAAAAACCTTCGTTCGTTCGTTTCTACGCCGGCTTTCCTGCATTGACCAGAGATGTCGCCAAGGAAAGAGTGTTGGAACTCTTGGAAGGTTACGACAAGGTGAACACATCGAAGGAATTGACCGAGGACACCTCTTTCATTCTGGATTTGGGCTTGGACTCGTTGGACGTGGTGGAAGTTATCATGGAAGTGGAGCACGAATTCAACATCCAGATTCCCGATCACGAGGCAGACTCATTGAAGACGGTGGGACAAACTATCGATTACATATTGTCGCAGCCCGATGCTTGTTAATATAAGAGAGAGAGACGGGAGTGTAGAGAGAAATGTAGAGAGAAAAGAGCAGTAGTAAGTGAGAAGAGAGAAGAGAGCAGCAGTGAGAAGAGAGTGAGAAGAGAGAAGTAGTGAAAAAAGAAGAGAAGGGTACGTTAAAAGAATAGCAAGAGATTTGAAAAAGAGTAATATGAAAACTGACAGCATACCAGACAATCCCTTCCTAGAATGACTAGACATTATATCTCTTCTACTCATTCTACGCACGTGACACCGACCAATAGAATTCTCACCATTTTCTCATTCTTCCTCACCATGGTTAACGTATGTACACTGCCACTTACTCGTAGTTCCTACTAACCCAGTACGTAAGAGGCCCTGCCTACAAGTCCTTGAAGAGTATTGCTGGTTTCAACTTCCAACTGGTTCGTGCTTACGTGCCTGATTTGATCCTTTGGGGTGGTGCTGCCGGCGCCGGTGTTGCTACCTTCACCGAAGGTTGGCCATTATTCCAAAAGGTTTTCTACCAAAAGATTCCTGTGGTTGGAAACAACTGGGTGTACAACCCTGACCCTGAAGATGTTCCTATTTAGACAACAACAACATTAAATACAACATGTAATTCATACATCATGACATTCAATTGAGCTAGGGAACGTAGACGATTTGTGTAGCTTCGCGCAGAACGTACTGGCTTTGGACTAAGAAATCAAGATTGGTGTTGAAATCGTCGAGTGAAATGGGCCCTTTTGGTGCAACTAGCTTGAAAACAGCATCAAATAGTTGAGGCACAGTGGCATTTTTACATTGTTTCATCGTCTTCACAATTGCGGCTCTGATTTCTTGATTGCGGTTGCGCTCAATTGCTCTGAGCGAGTTCTGATCCATAGTGGCTATTTCCTTTTCTCTGATGAATGGAATCTTGAGTTTGGTATTCTTATCTTTGAAGCTAGAGTTGTAGCGATATGTTGGACCCGATGCCACAAGAATAGGGTATTTTTCAGACAAAGAAACCAATACCCTTCGTATAAGTTTTTCTTCAATATTGGTCTCTTTCATTAGTTCCTCGATGGTATAACTGTCTCTTTCATTAAAGAGCATAACTATCATCGCTTGCAACAAATTCAAATTCAATTCCTTGGGACCACTTTCAAATTGAGCTACGATTTCCATCTGGTGAAGAGTGTAGAGACTCCAATCAAGAACCCGGTCCTTGAACTTGTCATTGGACAGATAATACTTCGCAGCAAACTCATCCAAGATGGTGCGAAACTGGGGCAGAAGTTGCACATCTGAAACACTTCCCGGGATCTCTGGCCAGCACAGTTTTGTGAGAATCAATGCTGAGAATTCAACACCTTCAATTGTCAAATTATGGTCCAGTTTCGACAGCGAAATATCACTGAACATAGTATCGATTTCCCTGCCCATATCGCTATCTCCAATCAATTTGAGAAAAGAAGAAACCACACTACGCTCTGATTCGAGGTTAGGAGAACGGCTCAAAAGGAGTCGCTTGGACAATTCTCGTTTGTACAACACCATGAATGAGTCCTTATTGTTGATAAGTTTGAAGATGAGAAGCACACAGTTCAAAAACTCGTCGAACGTGAGCGGAGCAGCGGATTTTTTTGCTTTCTTGGATGAATCACGAAGGTAAGAATCACAGAATTTGTTCAAGTGGGTGAGAATTTGCATATTTGTTTTACGTTCATTGAAAGCTTTAGAAAAGGAATTTCTCAACTCAAAGTCAAAGTCGTCGTCTCCCAGAAACAGGTGTTGGCAGATGCCCTCGAGACGATTGTACAAATCAACCAACGGTTGTATCCAGTTTTCACCTTTTGGAATTTCATGGATCAGACTCACGACAAGCTTGTGGATGTATTCTCCCCAACAGAAGACAAACATAGTGATAGAATCGAATGCATAGTCACTTTTGGTGGTGCGACAAAAATCGTATAGGACTTGGAGCTGGTTTTTGCTTTCTGGCTGTAACAAATACAAAATGGTTTTGGAGAGAATTAACCTGAAATCTTGGAAGAAAAGTATCCATTTGACACGAAGTAGCAATTCCCGCAAAAAAGACTTGGGTGCACGAGCCGCTTTAAAGTGTGCCATTTCTTCTGTAAGACAAGAGAGAGCATTTTGGAAGTAAGTTTCAGGCTTGGTCAACCATTTCGCTTTCAATCTAGTAAACTGAGACACTATCAGCGTAATGAGTTTACTGTGAAGCGCTAACCTGTTGTTGGAATTTAGCCAAAAAAGTGTGGTGGTGAATGCAGATGTGATCTCATTGAGGTGCTTATCTTCTCTATTTTTCTCAAGAAGCACAATATACTTGTCAATTATGAAGCCCAGCGTAGGTGCAGACTCAACCAACAAATGGTCAACGAATAGACCCGATCCTAGCTCTATAATTGTGAATTTTGTGGGGTGGTTCATGAGGTACGCTCTGTCCAAGTAAAGAAAGAGAGTACTGAGAATTCGAAGTTGTCGCTTCCACTCGTTGAAAATCTCTAGAAAACCTGTGGCGGTGTCTTCTGGTGTCCCATTTTCATTAACCAAAAGCTCAACTCTTTTCTTGACGTTTGTATGAAAATGGTCGGTTAATTCCTTGGAAATATGGTCAGCAAGCTGAGACTGTTCGGCATGTCTAGCACGGCAAACCACTTCCACGCTTCTGTAGTAGGTCTCGTAGCACTCTGGAAGCTTCTGGTTAGCAAGAATGTGCTTTATGGCTCGTTTGCAACGGGTTCGTACCACCTGTAACGCATCGTCATTCGGTAAATCAGACGAATTTCTTGGTCTTTTTCTAGTTTCGGAACGTTGAGAAAGATGGGATGGCACTCCAGACGTCGAGTCGTCACCGAAACTTAGTATACTATCCGTCATTGCCATACAATATCTGTGCAAAATATAATAATGTGGGTATCAAGATAGCGTCTTAAAGTTCGCGCGCACCGATTTTAAATAAAAATTCAACTTCTGTATCAGGTTGAACCCAATCACCATGGCAGAAAACGAGCCTCCTACAGATGCCAAGCTGCTTATGAGCATCTACAAGCGTAGTGGTGCCTTTGACCAGCAAAGAAAACGACTTTTGGAAGATTTCAAATCATCGGAGACACATAAAAACTTACTATTGAAGCTCCAAATGATGCTAGACAACAAGGTTAAAAATGACCCAAGCATATTGGCGAAGAATCGGGGCAAGATGGGGGCTCTCATACAAGGAGAGATAGTAAATCAGCATTCTTCAACCAACGATCCTGGTCTTTTGGGCATTGTAGATAAAGATATCCAGGAGAAGATAATCGAGTCGCCCGATTTCCGCCACTTAATTGAGAGTGAAATCAAAGATATTCGTCGAAAAGTGCTTGGTATCAGCGATGAAGACCACAAGAAAATGCTCGAAGAAGAAGAAAATCAGAAACTCAAGGACCAAGAAGAAGCAAAGCGTAAAGCGAGCGAGCGAGCTCAGGAAGAAAGAGATCGCGAAGAACGAGATCGGGATATTGCATACAAGAACAACTTTAAGGTGAAAAAACCAGCAAATAAGCTGTTTAAAGCGCCCAGGATAAAGTTTGCTGCTCGAGACGGCGGCCGTGAAGACGATAAGGAGCCACGGCCATTGATGTATTAGCTCTGATATAGCCACTCTTCTTACGACTCACGACTCTACGATTTCCTTCATGCTTAAGGTCTACTCTTAGGTCTACTCATTTCTTTAGCATATTATACAACTATTCATCTTCTGTATCGAATATCTCATTAGCGATGAGCATAAGCTCCTCCACCACCTTGCTCTTGTAGCTCAAATCTTGGGGACTCAAAGAGTTATCATTGAGCAATGCTGGACCCCATATAATGGACAAGCTTTTAGCTGACATCCGATTGGTGGCCTGGTGTGCTGCTACTTTGTTCAAGTGGAACATTATTGCTCTCAAGGTAAAGTAGGCTCCATCAGGAAGATTATAAACCAAGTGATGTAACTTTTTGGCAATGAAGGTTTCGTCTAGTGATTTAACAGTCTCGATGAAAGACTGATAGTACTCAGCTGTCAAAAGCGGTTCAGGCAAGCACGAGAAATAGAGCTTTAATAACAGCGCTATGCAGTAGACTTCACCATCAACGACATGGTCTGGATCGATGTCCTGGCCAATTGTCACGTAGTTAGTGAAGTCCTGATCTATCTTCTCCTTCATTTGTTGCACGGTACTAGCATTTCCGCTGGTACGATATATGCCCTCAATGTCAATGCCGTATGTCTCTATCATTTCGATACATCTTCTCACCACGAGCGGAACATTGTCGATGCCAGCAAACTGAATAACATCTTCAATGGATACTCCAAAAGTGGGCTGTGAAGGGCGCAGCTGGGACGTGAGTGATTTGGGTCCCTTGAGCTCCAGAGTTGTGGGTGCGTTGCCGGGATCGAGAGAGTTGTATCCGACGTCTTTGTTTTCGTATTGTGGTGTAGAAAGTCCCAGGTTCAGATGCAGACTGAACAGTTGATTTTGAGGAGTCTGGGTCTGGGCCATGGGGCTGGGAGAGTGATTGGGTTCAGGTGTGTTGGAGACACCCAGATTAGCCGACACCAGGCGATTGTTCAAAAATGGCTTGTCCAGTTTCATATTACGCTGGAATGAAGAGTGGACGGTATATGCCACGGGGACAAGAGTCTGGCGTTTCATGGTGGACTCGTTCTTGAGGAGATATTCATACAAATCTTTCTCGTTGTCGATGGAGGAAGATATAGTTTTCATGGATGGTTTTCCCGCTTGCAACGGCATGATCATCACCCCGGAATGCAAGATCAAATTCTCACTCCAGGTGGTATATTTCTGGAGCTGAACGTTCATGGCGATATCTAGCTCCAAAATCAAGTTTTTGAGCTTCTTCGAGTTGGTGGGGCGGTGGACGTGGGTAAGTTCGTCCTTCAACTTTTTGCAAGTGTTCACCTTCAGTTTGTAATCCTGGTCAGCTGCGTCGATTTTGCGCTGAAGCTCGTCTTCCTGCTGGATTGCCAGTCTGTTCTTGAGCGAGAACAGCTTTTTATTGGGATCACTACGAAGTTTTTCCAAATCGTCGCAAAGATGGTAGTACTTTTGCTTCGCCTTTTCCGCCGCAGCAATGGCGTCCAGACACTCCTTTTCCCGCCGCTTTCCATCCTCCTTGATCATTTTTCGAGATCTGGCAACCGTGTTTACAAGCGAGGTCAGCTCGTCGTACATTACCGTGAGAGCCTTCACGTACGAGCTGCCAACAGAATACAATTTTTCGTCAAATTCGATAATTTGGTCCAAAGCCGAAGTGAACGCTGACTTCTGGACCTTCAGATTCTTGATGGACATCCGTGCCTGGGACCCAAACTTCTTCATTTGGTTATAATGGTCATCTTCAATAATGGCCTTTTTCTTGATAAACTTGGCAAACTCTTCTGCGGTACTCGTGCTCTGTTTTAGCCGCTCTAGCAACACATCCAAGCTGGCGTCGCCTACAAATAAGTCCTTGATGCGGTCCAGATCCAATGCTTGAGCGTACTCGGATTCGGTAGACATGATGTTGACCTGGGGAAAGAAGAGAATCAACGCGCGAGTTGGCGCAGCGGCGATGCAGGATTAAAATCTATAGGGCTATGAACTAAGTTTAAAATTTTGGTCAGGAAAAGAAAGTGCTGGATCGTTTTTCGTCAGCAAACGCAGACACTCCCTGCTCCACATTGGCAACAGAGAACTCAAGGTCGTCGGTGGTGATCATGTCCCAAAATTTGTAGATCATCATTACAGTGGAGACATTACACAAACTGGCGAAAAAGAGTCCGTCGACGTAATGCGAGGCACCTTTGCAAATGGTGTCGGAGAACACGTAGCAGAGAATTTGGCCTGCCACGAAGAAGAAAACCCCAAGAAGAATTGCGCCGAGAGGCCAGTATGAGTCGAGTGCGAACACCACGAGAACGATTTGCGATACCACGTACGCTGCCAAGATTACCGCGTTAAGTATGAAGGTGATGACGAACATGGTGGTGGTTTTGCGGTTGTCGAGCGACGTATTCCAGCCCTTAAATGTGACGAGGCATACCACAAAGTTGACCAAAAACCACACGAAGCACAACCCTCTGAGCGTCCACAACGATTTTTTGCTGCCATCTTCCCAGAACTGGAAACAAAGAATACCGTTGTACAAAAGACAGATACACAACGCTGACGAAATACCAAGCTGGAGTGCAACAAAATATGCATAACTCGACGACGAAGGAGGTGAAACACCGCAATCTACCACCAACGACGACACGATAAGTCCAATGAAAAGATAAAAAAATGTAAGCATTTCCGACCTTCCGATGGCAGTGTACTTCGATCTGACGTTGAATATGATGATTAACAAGATGATAAGGCCGCCAAAATGAACAAAGGCGTTTCCGATCTGGAAAATCATGGTATTAGCGAGCTCCACGGACCGGCCGTAGCATTCTGGAAGAATTCCCCTGGTGAATGACGACTCGGGGTCGACGGAACCTAGCACCGAGCAGAGCGGAAACGGGGTCTTCGAGCAAATCGAGTCGAAACTACCGAAAGCCATGGCGAGGAAAACAATGCGATTCTAAAAATGGCGCGCACAAATTTATTCGAAAAAATTGGCAAACAGAACCTGGTGTATTGATGCGGGAATCGAATCGAGAATCGATCCCGAAACTATGTACATTCTAGACCTGGTATGGTGGAGGAGGCGGCATTTCAAACCCAGTGTCCAACTTGCGACCGGTACCAGGGTGCAGTTTCACGTCCGGAATTGTGTGAAGAGTAGCATTGAGTTTCGAGTTGAGCTGGGCAATGTCAAGGTGGTTGATGGACTTCTTGCCGGTGACCTTTTTGTCTTCAAGTTCCTGGCTCGACCGGCGAATAGGAGACGTGGAGATTTGCGACTGACTGGCAAAGTTGAAGTAGTTGTTGCCGAGGCCAATTCCTGCCAACAAGGAGCTGTTGGAGGGGAGCTGGGGTGTGCTGCTCACGTTGTGATATAAATAAGATTGTGGATTGGCAAGCTGTAACGCTGCGGCCCCGTCGGCCTGCCGAGGTTTGGGGTGGTAGAGCGAGATGTGCGAGTCGTTCTGGTAGTACTTTGTGGGCGAGACATGCTCCGAAGCAGTAGCAGAAGACATTTCACTTGGAATTGGCGATGCGAGAGTTTCCGCCAGTGGTGTCGATTTAACCAGCGATTTCTTGGAGCCAAGCTTGATGACCCGCCGCTTGGGACGGCTCGACGAGCTACGGTAGTAGTTGCTTGCTTGGATGCTAGAAATCTCGCGCAAGACATGGTTGGTCTTGCTAAAGTCTGCTCCCGATACCAATTCGACGGGAATTTCGTTGGTATGTTGAGGTGCAGCAACCAAATCGAGGTTGAGGTTGTCGTGCAAGCAGCGAACCAAGCTGGGTTGTGTCTTTGTAAATTTCTCGAGGCGGCACCGCTGCACCGAGTGGCGAATCTTTGGCACTGCCAACCGCAAAGTCTCACGAGACTTGAAGAGTGCCAGCACTCGGGAAAGGTTTTCAGGGGAGTAAGGAACGTCGGGATCAATGTCCATCAAGGAAACGGTTTCTTCGTGAAGAGCAGCCAATTGCGGACGGAGATCATCCAAGAAACTGGAGTCGTCACTGGACAAATATTTTAATGAAAGACGGTGAATGAGGGTAGGAAGTGTTTCACGGAACAAGTCCCTTATCTGGGTTTCAATTTGGTTCTGGAGAAACTTGGCAAGAACCTGAACGGTATCAAAAGTCGACGTAACTTTAATGGAATCCAACGGGTCGTTTCTAAACACCAACGTGAGTCCCTTCAACCGCAGAAATACAATGATACCAATTCCCAGGATGCGGATATCGCTCAACTTGAGGTCCAATGGCAACGCAAACGGGTCACTTGCAAGCAAGAAATTGGGCGTCACAAACGCCGCGTCCGAAGCATTTGAGTTTTCCTGGTAAATTGTCAACGGATTCGCTTGAACCCGCGTGTGTAGTGTTAGATGGAAATCGCCACTGTAGTTGATCTTGAAGATCCCTCGGAACCGATCCAGGTCGAGTTCGCCGATATCGAGGATTTCGAAATCCGGCGCCACCTTCCCAAAATTTAAATCTTTAATTTGTATATCCGAAGCAAGAATAGGGGGTCGTTTGCCCGAGTTCAATGCATCCGTGAGGAGTTGGCTTGTCCACTCACGCAAAGAATCGGTTTCTAGAGTGTTCCAGTTGACCTTGAATGACATGATGGTGCAACTAAAAAGTGCGGCAGAAAAAAAAACATCCCCGGGCCGTTTGCTGGTGCACTGGGTGTCAGGAGACGACCGGAATTAGGTGCCAGGGGAGGGAGGGGAAGAGAGGGAGATAAGAGAAAAAAAAGGTCAGGTTTGGGAAGAGGAAGAGGAATTGAACTAGCTGGTGTAATCTTGAATTCTAGTGTTTATTGTTAATGGTTTTTTTTTTGGGTCTGTCTCTGTTATCACATTTCCTATTTGGGCTCGCACACGATCAGAAACCTCAGGGCCTGCATATAGCTCCACTATCGTTTTCCTGCACTTGTTTCGGTGATTGAGTGATGGCACCTACCGCAATGTTTTATGATTTCACCGTCCTTGATAATCAAAAACGACCTTTGCCATTGTCACTTCTCAAGGGCAAGGTGGTGGTGGTTGTCAATGTAGCAACTTTGTGTGGGTTTGCTCCCCAATATTACGAATTGCAACAAATATGGAACCTCCATCGAGATAAAGGTTTGGTCATTTTGGCATTTCCTTGCAACCAATTCGGTAACCAAGAGCCGTTACCGGCAGCACAGGTGGCGGCGCAGGTGCACGCTGAATACGGGGTGACGTTTCCTATCATGGAAAAGGTTTATGTCAATGGTCCCCATGAGCATCCTTTATACACATTTTTGAAAAACCAGCAAAAAAACTGTTTGGGGTTCAAAGGCATTAAATGGAACTTTGAAAAGTTTGTCATTGATAGAAATGGCGAGGTGGTACGACGGTTTGGTACGGATACTCCACCAAGAGCCATAGAGCCATATCTTCGTGAGCTTCTCGAAAATTGACCTCTACTTCTTTCTGCGCTTATGGTCGTTCAGAGGATGTATTTCCCGCAACACACACGCTAATAGAGTTGCGCATCGTCTGGAAAGCTCACTGGCATTTCGGGATTGGAAGAAAAAATCAAGTCGGAACATCGGAGATTCTCTGATCACATCTCGAATTCTCTCATATACATCAGGTCTGTCCACTCCATAACGATAGAGTTGCACCAACAAAAACCGATCTTCTTCGTCGGAAAATGTTCTTTTGCTAGTAGCAGCAGGTGGATACTTCAATGTTAATTCTTGAAGTGGGTACTTGTATTGTGCCATTTTACGACGCAACGATTCCTTATGGAGCTTGGTTTTCATAATCTTATCTTCTCCCGTCTCGATTTGATTAATATACCGCTCGTATCCTTCGATTTCCTCGTAGGACGTCCAAAACTTCTTGGCGTACTCTCGTACCTCATCGATGGTTTTGTCCTCGAATTCTCGGGCAATTAACCCAATCGAATTCCGTCCATAACGACTAGAACTCAGAATAAAATGCATAAAGTCTCGACGGTTCCAGTTCCCGTATCCTTCAGACAACATTTTCTCTTTTAATTTTTTTTCTTCGTCTGTAAGTGGACGTGAATTTTCAATTTCTTCCTGCTCGAGTTTTTGCTCCAATTGACGCTCGTTCAACGTTTTGGGGCTTCCTTGCTTCAATGGCACTTTGTAGCCGGTTTGCTTCTTGAAATAATTCTTTTCAAGTTCGTACAACTCAAAAAGCTTAGTCGGATAGAACTGGTGGTCGTAGATATTAAGCTGTTTGGGAGGTCTTGGTCCTCCTTTGTTTGTGCTGCGGCCACCAGTATTCAACACATCCTTATAATACATGTCAATTGAGTAGTTTTCCTTTCTCTCACGTTTTCCAGGGTTGATCCATCCGTGGCCAATGTTGGCAATTGTGGACGTTTCCTTCTTTTTGAAATTAGATCCATTCCATTCATAGACGGATTCATCGTTGGTAAAGTTCTGTAACGCATTCAAATCGAGCTTTTCATACTTTTTATTCAACTCAGCAGTCTTTTCCTCCGAAGCTTTCAAGAGTTGGTCAATGTCCAAATCATCGTCCTTTGTCTTTTCTGCAAACACATCAGCTGCTCCATGCTGAATCATGTTGAGCAATTCGTCCTTCGAAGCTGCTTTGTTACTCTGCTGGCCAATATTGCTGTTTCTTCCTTGCTGGATAACCAATTGGTCCAACCGCAATTTCTGAGCTGCTCTTTCCAACACCTTTTCTTCAATTGCATTTTCAGTGATGAAACGGAACACTTTCACTTGTTTTGTCTGGCCTATTCTATGGGCTCTATCCATGGCCTGTAAATCCGCCTGTGGGTTCCAGTCGGAATCGAACAAGATGACAATATCGGCCGACGTCAAGTTGATCCCCAAACCACCTGCTCTTGTAGTCAAAAGGAACACAAACTTTTCAGACCCAGGTTTGTTGTACTCGTCAATTGCGTTAACTCTGTCAGCATGGTCAGTTTGTCCGTCAATACGGCAGTATTGGAACTCTCTAAATGCACAGTAGTCTTCCAAAATATCCAACATACGACTCATCTGAGAAAAGATAAGCACTCTGGATCCTTCGCTTTGGAATTTCTTCAAGAGTTGATCCAAAATTTTCATCTTCTCGGCATTGTACACCAAATGCTCATCTGTGGTGAATGGAGGGCCGGGTTCTGCACCCTCAAACAAGTATGGATGGTTGCAACACTTTCTCAATTGCATGACAATGTTCAATAACCGGGTCTTGGACTCCTTTTTGTTGGCTCCGTTGACGGCATCTATATCTTTCTCCAAGATTTTTTGGTACCACGACCGTTGCATATCTGTCATTCCACAGTAGATATTTAGCTCCTTTTTGGGAAGCAACAGCTTTTCGACATCCGATTTGATTCTTCTCAACAAAAATGGTTTGAGTACCTTGTGCAATTGCTGTACAAGATTTTCCTCGTCGCTCTGAAACCACTCGTCGAAAGTGTCGCTGTCGCCGAAAACATCAGGCAACAAAAAGTTCAAGAGAGCCCATAATTCATGAAGATTGTTCTGCAATGGTGTTCCTGTGATGAGGAGTCTATTCTTGGAGTGGAACATGCGAACTATTTGGGACAAGAGCGAGTCCTCGTTCTTGATTCTATGGGCCTCGTCGATCACAATATACTGCCAGTTAAACTTTCGGAATGCAGACTTCTCCCTTATGACAATTTCGTACGACGAAATAACCACGTCAAAATCGCACTCCAAGAGTCTGTTTTGGATGAGATCGTGACGGGTATCCTTGTCTCCTTGAAGAAGAAGAACATGGACCTCGGGAGTCCAGCGGGCAAATTCTCGAGCCCAATTGTCCAAGGTGGATTTAGGAACCACCACGAGGTGTGGGCCATTGATTTTTTTGATGTAACGCAAATAACCCAAGAAGGAGATCGTTTGCAACGTTTTACCAAGACCCATCTCGTCGGCAAGAATACCAGAGAGATTGTTTTCATGTAGCGAAACCAACCAATTCAAACCCTGGATTTGATACTCACGCAATTTTCCATGAACGTAAGCAGGACTGTCTACAAACTCGGTTATGGCTTCTGTAGACTCCTCGTCTTCGAGCAATTCTTGGTCTTCTTCTTTTTCCGATCTGCGCTGACGGGCGGCGCCAGATTTGTGATTTTGGTTTTCCAAGATCACCTTGATGGTGGCATCTTTTTCAGCTTTTGCGGTTAAAAAATGACGAAATAAGTCGGTGAGACCCAACAAGTACGAAAACCGCTTTGCTGCTTGTGCTGGATCTATACTGGGCTTCTCAGATGTAGCAAAATACCTTTTTTTGTTTGCTTTTATGTCGGTGAAAGTCGTCGCATTTAGCTGTGTTGATTGGACCACATCAGTTTGCGGTGGTTGATCAATATCTGGGCCTGCTGGTTCTACCAGTGGTTCAGGAGTAATAGGCTCCATCTGATGTTAGAAATGAACGAGGCAAAGAGAGCTGGAACTTACATTGTGGCCGTTTTCCATTTGACGGGTATTGAGTATGATGAAAATTCAAGCGCGCGTTTTGAATTCGCGATAAGATGAGAAGTGAATAGAGAGGAAGGAGTGATTGCAATTGATTTCTAGGAAAGACAGGAAGAAGTAGGAATCTTATAAATTGTGGTTGCTTGGGTGAGAGATATTTTTATCGGTGACCAAAATGGCCTTTGCTGCTATGCCGACTATTCTAGAACTGGAAGGCTAGTCGTTGGATTCTTTGGGATACGAATGAGTCGATTCAGCTTCTTCGAGACGTACCAGAGTACATTCAAGTACATGAAAGGTTTAGGTTATAGCAACTTACCGTAAAGAAGTGTGAGAATTTGAGGATTCAGCGTTTCCGTTCAGTGTGGAAACTCACATAGCAAGTGTAACAGTGGTCAATCAATTATGACTTACTGGTGTCAATTGAATGACTCAGATACCACAGACTAGTCAATGTTCAAGTCATTCTGGAAACCTGTCATGTTGACCAGATTTATACTGTGAAGAACAAAAATGACAATAGCTGAGATGCGATAACATCTGCTTGTATCGTCGCTTCAATTTCCAAAAGATCAGTATTTCCAAATCGAGGAAATCTTACTCTCATGACGTAGGACTGTGCGGTATTTTGAGTTTGGCAAGTCGATTATTTTTCAGATCAAATTTGAAAAGAAATCAGAACGCAAGTTGAATCAGAAATCGAAGTCAAATGTTCAATTGAAAATAACCGAAATAGCGGAGACTGAAATGAAAGCTTGGTTACATCACTTCCATAATTAGTTCTGCTTCCTCATTATTTTTCTCGTCTGTTCTCCACCAGTGCACCAACTGCGCCAATATTCTTTTTTGACACAAGCCGCAGCCATTCTTCTCTTAAACGACGATACCGTTGCGCCAAGATGTGCATTTCGTCTCCGAGTTGTATGCGAATCGGCTTTGATCCACCGTTTAAGCGCAATACTCGTCTGTTGCTCCCATAAACCTCCCCCTTTCAACGTTTCATGTTCCTTTCATGTGATGTTGCAATTGGGCGGTACTTGACAGGTCGTGCGGCAGGTACACCTTTGTGCAGCAAGATCCACCGGCAATTTGTTTCGAGGTGTAATTAGACAATTGGCTCATAATTCTTATTTCCTGTTTCAACTCGGTAATTACACCCGTATTCCTGATTTGTCTCGTGCATGAATTTCAGTATATATTCATGTCGCTTCGAAAAAAACCGTCTCCAAAGCATCCTCACGCCCTTGATGAGTGTATCGACGAGTACTTGAACAAACTGCCACTCACGTCTCCGTTTCGCGAACAAAACCCAAACTTGCATCCACTCGACACTGCCTCAATGAAAGAAACTGAGAATTTTGACAATCCGGTCAATTCGAATTTTGACAATTCAAATTCTGCCAATTCGAATTCTGCCAAGTCTTCCAATTCGTCCAACTCCACTTCCTCCTCCTCGCTTCGGCGCTCCTCCACTTTTCGCCGACTTCTTCCCAAATCAACCTCGGTCGGCAATATCTCCGTTAAGTCAACTTCTCGAAAACGATTTTCTCTCAACTCGTCGCTCTCCAAACTCAGTCTTGGCTCTCCCCATGGCTCGCCAGCTCGTTATGTGGCTGCAAATGACGACGATATAGAAACCACCAGCATCAGCAGCTCCGAAAAAACCATCAATAATGTACCTTACTGGAAGTACCATGTTCTCAAATTTGGCAAAGATTTGTACCTCACCACCAATCCAGGTCTTAAACACATCTACTGCCGTAATGGACCCAGCTACTACGTTGAAGTAGTGTATCCCAACAAAAGGCAGAAGACTGCAAAAAATGGCTATACTCTCATTTTCAAAGAGCTCGATGGAGTCGAGAAAAACGATGCTAAACCACCCATAATGATGATCTATAAAAAACCAGAAAAGGAAGGCGGTCATTATACCCTCTCCATACCCCAGCGCAGTCGTTTGGTACAAGATTCCATCCAATATAGTCCGCAACCTCACTCGTTGTTCCATGGAATTGTCATTCCAAAAGGTATCGATAGCAGCTACATTCCCTATGATCGCATTGCCAATATTGGTCGTTACCAAGAATTGCGAAATTATGAGTTCAAGGACTGTAACAACATCAATTGGAACGTAGGAGCGATCCCTCGTCTTCGAGCCACCACTCTCAACCGGTTGAAAAGCAAGGTTTTGCAGGATGAAGACGACGAATCTCTCAAATTGTTTGGTCCAAGAAACGTCTACTTTCACCAGAATTACATCGATACCCGACTGGCTCTGAGAAGCCGAGCCAATTCCCTAGGTGCTGACTACCTCAATGGAACCACTCATGACTTTCCTCCTGTTCTCGCAGTTTTCAGACCTCTTGAAACCAAAATCCGCAGAAAGTTGATGTCTAAAATCAACCGGATGCTGCACTCAAAACTGACCACTCGAGGCCTTGAGCAAAATACAGCTACTGCTGGCTTGGATATGAACGCAGCTACGGCTGGTCTGGATATAAAGTCTTTTCACTCTCTGGGAGATGGACTCTACTACCAGACTCATCCAGTAGACGATGAGCCCAATGAAAATAAAATGGGATGGCTCACTGTGTATGAAGATAAGCAGGTTTTCGCCGAGCTGAAGTACCGAGGAATGTTTGATATTGTCGTGGGCTTGACTTTGGCGGTTGGATTTGAGTCTCAGATGGAAAAGCCGAAGAGTGAAGCCGAAGCGTAAGCTGAGGCGTAGCTGTAGAGTAAGCAGACTAAACCAGTCAATTGAGTCAAAACCGTCAGCCTCGTATTTTCATGTCGCCAAATAAATCCGATTACGGGAACCGCCAAGGCCATCCCTTTCGGTCATAATGTATTAAATAGCATTTCGCATCGAAGTACTTGGCCATTATTCGAGCTCATAAGCCACCAAGTCCGGTCCGGGCTATGGCATGAATTTAACTTCCGAAACTTGAGATGAGCTTAGACATCGTACAGGGCATCGAGTATGAGCCAAGACCTAAATTTTTCAATGGAAAAGTTTTCGGCAAAACTTTTGGAAACCGGTCCGAGTTTCGAAAACTTCTCTATTAGGCATGTGTTCTAGTTGCGAACAACTCGTATAGTTGCCTTCGGTGGCATTATATCCCACCTGTGAAGATTTAACAATAGATGGTGTTCCCAATCGGGAAAGAGGTTGCAGCACCGACGCGTCGACGTGCAGGCAGCGTGCGTTTCATGGAAAACGCCGAGAAATATAGCACGAGGCGTCAATTGATCAACCAACAAGAAATTTAACTCAAATCTTGGTGGTGTGGTCCTGTCCAACATAAGATACATCTGCCCGATTTTGCTCTGATTTCTGAAAATTTTGACCACTTTTGTCGGGTGCCCCCTTCGCTGGTGTATGGGCTTTTCCATTGTTGCCTAAGTGACAACAGTATTCTATTCCTTTAGGAAAAATCACATCGGAATCTTGCGCCCGATCCGGCAAGTATGCATGCACATAATTAAGGATAGTTGCAGCCATTATTGTTCAAATTACTTATTGTCCACGATGGGCTCCCTAAATATAAAATGCATCCGCCCGCAGTTTTGCGACGTGTACGAATGCCCTCCCTCGCGTCTCTTACAACCAAGTTTAATCATTTTTACTTTATTCCACTTTTTGGATTCTTCTGCTGGTATGGCCTTCTCTTTGGTCTAGTAGGAGCATGGGTTAAAGATGGACATCATACTTATCCGCAATATGATGAGCTCAATAAACCAACGCCATTAGAAAGAATTGGTGTGATTGTGGAGCCAGGATTTTTCATTTCTTTTGTCATAATTCATGCGTTTGTATTTTGCATCTCCATGTACCTTGAATTCTACCACCGCAGAATTGGAAAATTGATCAAATTTATCAAACCCACCATCCAGACACGTCTTGCTTATGCTTCGCTTACCATTGGAGTCATTGGTCAGGTTTTCTTTGTGGTTCAGGCCATAGTGTCTACAGTGTATATCCACAACCATGCTAGGGCCAAATCTCACTATGCTGTTCTTCTTGCAACTTTTGCAGTTTTGATCATGATTTCATTGGCACTTAATTTCACCAACTACTACATTATGGGTCAATACTATCGCAAGTATGTTAATGGCGAAAGATGGAACAAGTTTACCATTTCGTTCATTCTTAAGATTATCTGGTTGATAGTGACAATTGCTTTGGCTGTCACATGTTGCGTTCTTTATGTGAAGGATTTGAGTACTCCTTCTAGTATTCTAGAGTGGTGTTTCCACTTTTGGTATGGTCTTCTCATGTTGTTTTGGACTTATGATTTGTACCCATTGACGGAGTTGAGAGCATTGAGACAAAGCAAGAAGGAGAAGAAACAAACCCTCAAGTCCAAGTTGTCTCGTACTTGGCGCAAGGAGAAGGACGGGTCAGTGACAGCCATAAATGAGGTGAACTCGAGTCGTTCAGAAGACCTTTCACCTTCGGGTTCACTGGAGATGAACTCACCAGAAACCAACAATAAAGGATTTGATTATACCAGTTTCAACCATGTGTGAGCAGCGGGCTGCGAGCAGACTATTTATAAAGAAGAAAAATAAAAATAAGTGAAAATGTAAACCTTCTATGAGATTGCAAAACGAATAAAAATGGTTGCGAAGATCGCGGGAGCTAAGCCACCAAAAGCAGCGTTCGGCGAAGAATCGAGGAAAAAGAATCAAAGGTAATAGTATGAGGTAGAAGTTTCTTTAATATACTTTTTATGTCCAATTGATCTCTACAGACCAGGAACCATCTCCAAAACCATCACAAAACCAACCACTACACTTTATAAGTTTCCTCGCATTCAGATCCTTTTCTGTTCCTTTCTGTTCCTGCAGCAATTACCGCGTTTCATTCTTTTTTTATTGTCCTTCTTTTCTTCTCATGACCACCACAGCGGACTTAGAGGACCGTGTCATTGATGACATTGGTCCCATGGCATTTTCTGACAAGTACTGTCCCAATGCTCAACAAACGTTTCGAATCTGTTTAAATTTAAAGAAACTCATTGATCGGGTGATAGCAGTGGAGTACAAAGAGGAAGAAATTACCTCGCTGAACTCGCCCGTTATTAACGATAAAGTTTTGAAATTGGCATACAAGGCTGCTGGTGGAAAAGGGAATGGTAAACCAGGAACTAGCTCCATAAAATATCAGGCTAGTTTGGTATTTTGTTTGCTTCGCGTGTGCGACTGGTACTGGCAGCAAGCTGAATATGAGCTCACCGACAATTATTTGTACACTTTGCGAGCCATTGCTGCTCAGAAACTTGCTGTTATGATCATAGATGGAACCAGGAACGATGAGGTTTTGTTTTTGGGCATGCTTTGTCACCGTTATACCATTGCTTTGAATGGGGTTGATGCGCACCCAGTTTCTGCTTTGGAGCTTGCGGTCGATATGCATTCGACTATTGTCATGGGTTCTTCAGGCTACCAGCGTTGTATCCGCTGGCTCTGGAGAGGGTGGATCATCCAAAGCAGCATTGACCCTCACTCGTATGTTTTGTACAAGGGAGTCAATTCTTTGTCGATTCGCAGCCATTTTGACCCGGCGAGAGTGAGAACTCCTTTATACCAAAATATTCTCGAGGTGGGCTTCAGTTTCATCTACTTGCTTCTTTACACCATCATCTTGAACACAAACCAACAAGAAACAAAACCATTGGACCCATTTGAGGTATTCTTTTATCTCTTCACCGTTGGTCTGATTTTGGACGAGGTGATCAAATTGTACCATATTGGGTTCAATTATATTCGATTTTGGAACGTTTTCAACGATCTGATGTATGCTATCATTCTGGTGGCTATTGGGTTCAGGCTCCTCAGTCTCAACAATACCGGCCATTTACGTGACCGTTACGACGAAATGTCGTTCAGGATCTTATCTTGTGCTGCTCCGTTTATGTGGTCGCGGCTTTTGTTATTTTTGGACGCTCAAAAGTTTGTGGGTGCCATGATCGTGGTGCTCAAGGTGATGATGAAGGAATCACTCATCTTCTTCGTTATGCTTGGAGTGGTAATTTTGGGATTTTTGCAGGGATTCTTGGGGCTCGATGCCTCGGACGGTAAGAGTGAGGCTACACGGCGGATTCTTATTTCGTTGGTCAAATCGGTGATAGGCGAAGCCAGTTTCGACGATGTGGCTCCTCTAGTCCCACCGTATGCTCTGATCATGTATTACATCTACTCGTTTCTTCTCACGGTGATTTTGATGAACATTCTTATTGCATTATATTCCACCAGTTATGCTTCGATTGTGGAAAATTCCACCAGCGAATACTTTGGTTTGGTGGCCCAGAAGACTCTCAAGTACATTCGGGCTCCCGATGAGGACTTGTTCGTGCCTCCGCTCAACTTGATCGAGGTATTACTTTTACCGTTTTCGTTTGTGATGAGCTACAATAGCTACAAGGCTCTCAACTACTATGTGATGTTGGTGATCTATCTGCCATTGCTCTGTTATATCACCAGTGTGGAGATATCCAATGCCAAGAGGATCCAGTACAATCGCTACAAGGGGCTTCCTGACGATGCCAACGAATACGACGCCGACTGGGATTTGACCGATGGATTTGACGACGACGTCAGCACCAATTGGGCAGGAATGAGAGAGCAGGACGACGGGACGAGGCGCCGGCTTCAAGAACAGCACGCGGGCGAGCAGCAGGATCCGGAATTTGCCATAAATCAGCACGAATTTGAAGATGATATCGAGTGTGCAGTGCAGCCAGTGGAACGAGCCAAAGATGCTGGGGTCAAATGGGAATTGTTTGTCTTGTACGCCAAGGTAGATGAACTCACCAAGATGGTGAACGAGTTGGTGCAGGAGAAGAGAGAGAAATAGATAAAGTTAAATAGCAATGGACACAACCTTTGGGAATGGAGAATGTGAAATGTTCACCTCCCCACACCAAAAATTTTGTGCGACTCAAACTTCACCAAGTAACATGAAAGAGCCAGACGAGCCTGGAGTAGCGCTCAAAAACGGCCAGGGCGTGCATTTCGACTACCACATGCACCCGGAGGCACGAAAAGATCTGGAAAGTACCGTTGTTGCTGGCGAAAGTCATCTGGAAATGCCCATTTCCTCGAATGGACATAACGGAACTATAGCTGTACCCGAAGGTTATGGTGCAAATTCCAATGGAACCAGCAATAAAAAGAAGAAAAAGAAGTCGAAAAAGCGTCACATAGACGCCACCATCAACGACCCCGACGCCGAATACCCTACATCGCGAGTAATCAAGCAGGCACCAAATGGCGATGTCATCGTGGAAAGTCTTGAAGATGAGCACCACGATCACCACAGCAATCTCAGCGCCACCATATGGGACAACCTGACAATCGAGGAGCAGGAGGACTTGAAGAGGTTTTGGGAATCGTTGGAAGAACCGGAAAAAGTCAAGCTTGTCAAGATCGACAAGAAGCTGATCTTGGACTTGTTTCGAACATTTTCGTCGAACCAGCAAGGAGGACAACCCACCCACCATAGTCCTGCTTCCAGCTCCACATCCTTGGCAGGAACCCCTCACCATGGGTGTACTTGTAGTTCGTGTGGTCGTCGGAGCAGCATCATCGAAGCCGAGCTAGAGATGATATACGACAATCATTTCGACGATATTATTGATTTTATTCACGAAGTGCGAGATATCAAGGATTTGAATGCATTGCCCGGGCTACTTTTCGGTGGTTTCCACATGTTGGAAGAAGAACATCGAATGAAGAAAACCAGAGCCCGTCGTCGCTCAACCGACCTACAACCCCAAACCCGCATATCACCCATCACTTCTTCCACCGACGGTCCTCCAGAACCCACGACAACTTCCAATGTCTCCACCCCAAGCCACTCTGAAAGTGTTTCGTCTCCATCTCCATGGACGAATGCTGTAGCTGGGCTTCTAGAAAAGTTCCTTCAAGAGAACCCCGGCGCCTCGTGGAATAAATGCTCGCAGCTCTTCCAGGAAATACAAGAGGCTGGAAATCAAGTTAATCCCGGTAATGGATCTTCTGAAGGTTCTGATCGGGAAAATGATGACAAAAAAACCGCTTTTCTCAAGGACTTTGGCGAGATGATCTCGGGGGGGTTTAACGATATGACTCTGGGGAAACAAGAACAGTTTCACGAAAACTTTGCCAATGGCATACACAAAATTGCCAACGATTTTCTCAATAATGATGGTAAATCGTTTGTGGAAATGGTGGAAGCACTTTCTGGATCTCGGTCAGAACGAGCCGACCTTCTCAAGTCTCTTCAGGAAATAGAGGATCACAGCAATCAGCAAGAACAACCGGGAACGGTTCGAGAACAAATCGAGGAATTGCATGATGAAGAACCTGTCATTCCAGAAGATATACAAAATCAGCCGAAGGAGGTAGTGGGACAGTACGTTGATCAGCGTATCAACCAGCTCAGTGAGCTTCGAGACCGGCTTGAAGAAGAGTACGACTACGACACCTATGACGATCCTGAATACGACAATCAAGAGTATGATGAGGAACTCAGCGACACGGAATCCGAGATATCAGAGGAAGAAAAGATGCAGGAGATACGACGGTTATTCTTGATCCAGGTTATCAAGCTTTTTCAAGAGCGGTTGAAGAACGCTTACAAGGAAAAACTTTCTCAGGATCGAACGAGAAGGTTGATAGAAGAGCTTGAAGCCGAAGAGAACGCCAAGAAGGAGAAAGAGCTCAAGAAGTTGAAGCAAAAGGAAAAAGCGAAAGAGAAGAAACGGCTTCAACAAGTTGCGAAAGATGAAGAGCGTAGGCGAAAGGAGGAAGAAGAAAGAGCTCGTGAAGAAGAATTGCGGTTGAAGCAGGAAGAATTGCGTGCTGAACAAAAGCGTCGCAAGGAAGAAGCAAGGCAGAAGAAGGAAGAGGAAAAGAGGAAGCGGATCGAAGAGTTGCGATTGAAAAAGGAAGCTGAAAAGAAGAAGCAAGAAGAGAAGGAGCGAAAGGAAAGAGAGTTGAAGGAGAAAAAGGAGCGGGAACTGAAAGAGAAGGAGGAACGAGAAATGATGGAAAAGAAGGAACAGTTGAAGAAGGAGCAACAGCCAAAAGTTGAACAAACTCAAGAAAAGCCACAAGCTCCCCCTTCGCAGACAAGCCAGTCTAATCCCAGCGTTTCTGATCCCATCTCTTCTCGTCAAGATAATTCTGTGTCTTCTCTCGATCCAACACACGATCTTCAAAACGCCATTCTGAGTGGACTTGAACAGCTTTCTTTGGGCCAACAGCCAATGTCTCACATTCTGTCTCAGCCTTCTCAGTCTATCTCCCAACTACCCATTCAGCCTCCAAGTCAACCTTTCTTGGATATGGACCAAATACGATCCCCGGTGACTGCTCCAGCTATGCCCACTCAAGCTCAAATGCCCCAATCGGCTAGAGGACTGCTCTGGGGCCAGCCGGTGAACAACTTTAGTCCGTTTAGCGAAGGTGTTTGGGGCTCGAGAAATAACTCTATCTGGGGAAACAGCTCGATGAGTGGAGGAAGTATTGGATCAGGAACTATGGGATCAGGAACTATTGGTTCAGGAACAATTGGTGGCTCTGCAAGTATCTGGGGTTCACAAACTCCAACTCTTGCAAATACCACAATGGGCATGGGACTCCAATCTGGAATCAATGGAATTCAGGGACTTTCTCTTGAGAAGGAAAATGGTTCTGCTTCAATTGCGGGTACCCCAGGAAACTCACTTCCAGGAAATTCCCTTCCTCCAATTTCTCGAAACTCACTTTCCGGAAACTCAATTCCTGGCTCAATTCCTAGCTCAATTCCAGGAAATCTTTCTGGCTCACTTCCAGGAAATCTTTCCGGCTCAATTCCAGGTAGTCTTCCTGGAAATCTTGCTGCAAATTCTCTTCCTGGGATGAGCCCTTCGATGTCCGTCCCGTTGCCGCAACCCTTCCCAGCCAACGTAGACAACGAGATGATTCGCACGGCTGCTTACCAGGCATTTATGCTTCTACAGAACTCCAACCAGCTAGAGTACGGTTTAGCTGCTGCCGTTAAACTCTATCAAACCACGATTTTGGTGTTGTCTATGGAAGTCAGTTTCAGCCAATTTCTCGGGCTGTGTCGAGACGATATCGAGTCTAGTTATCGTTTCGATTATGTGTACGACGACTATGGCGCTGTGAGCCATATCAAGGCTTCATTGAGGAGCAGTCTCTGGAATTGAGAAAAGAACCTTGCAACCATTTTAGCAATTGCGGTGTATGGGTGCGCTCTATAGGAATAGTGACAATACGTAGTTTAGTTTGTGAGACAGAGAATATAGGGCGTGACGAAATTTTGTCGGGATAAGCCCGGATACAAATAAACGCTGGTCAGATGGATGCACTAGTAAGGCGAAAAATTGTCATTGTGGGTGACGGAGCCTGCGGGAAAACCTCTCTTTTGTATGTGTTCACACTTGGAGAATTTCCAACCGAATATCATCCTACAGTTTTTGAAAATTACGTCACAGATTGTAGAATCGATGGGAAACCGGTCCAGTTGGCTTTATGGGATACTGCTGGACAAGAAGAATACGAAAGACTCCGACCTTTAAGTTATCATAATTCCCATACCATCCTTATAGGATTTGCTATAGACGACCGTGATTCACTAGATAATGCCCGAACCAAATGGGTGGATGAAGTGAAGAAATATTGTCCAAAGACAGCCTATATGCTAATAGGATTGAAGAAAGATCTTCGTAAATCGACTGCAGACTCTCGATACGTTCAAGTACATATGGGAGAACAAGCAGCTCGTGAAATGGGTGCCAAGGTTTACATGGAGAGCTCAGCACTTACAGGAGAGGGAGTAGACGACATATTTGAATATGCCACGAGAACAAGTTTGTTGGTGAACGAGAGAGACGGTAGCAAATGCTGCACGATACTATAAGGTAGAAAAGGAAGGAAAGGAAACAAAAAAGGGACGGAAAGAAAAAGGTAATAGGATGAAGGCGGGTTTACTGGTCAATGTTCTATCCAGTTATTGTCATTTTTGAGTCAATTGGGCATTTAGAAGCCAAGACTGCGGGCAGCAAGTCACTTAGAAGACTTTTTTTTGGGTCGAGGCTGTTCAAAGAAAATACAGCTTCACAAACATGGAGTTTATAGCCGTAAGAATATCAATTTGGCTTCTTCGCTAATTTTTCACTTGTTTCGTTTACATTGTTGCAGCCTCGTTCATTGAATAGTCGGCATTGTCAAATTATCTCAAACAATAATCATTTATACAGAAATCATTAAAACAAAAATCATTCTAACAAGAACGTAGTAATCATCAACACTTTTCTGTATCCCATTTATTTCTTGATTACCGCAACCTGTCAAACGGCTCCTTTCCTATTGCGGCTTAATTTCGTGCATGGTGCGGCATGATAACGTCATCGCCCCGAATTCCCTCTTCATTACTCATTGATCTATGGATCCACCTCCTTCTAGTTCCAGCTCATTTGATCTCCTGCTAAGTTCGCCGCAGATAGCTCATCACAACTCTACATACTTTGACAAATTTCATTCCAAACTATCTGCGGCACACTCGTATATCAATGCAAGACGGCCACAGTTTTTTCATTTATCGGAGTCGAATTTGGGGTTGTTTTATTTGTTGATAACTCAGGCATTCAATGCGGTGATGGTTACCACTTGCAAGTTGTTGGAAATGGATAAACTGTTTGCAAAACCCATCCATCCTCTTCAAATTTTGTTCGTACGAATGGTGGTGACATACGTTTGTTGTGTGATATACATGTATTTCAACAAGTCGATCCCAGACGCTCCGTTCGGACCGAAAGAAATAAGACCGTTGTTGGTGGTTCGTGGCGCCGTGGGTTTTTTTGGAGTGTTTGGTCTCTACTATTCGCTCATGTATCTCACATTATCGGATGCTGTAGCCATCACTTTTTTGGTGCCTATGGTGACAGCATTTTTGGCGTACATGTTGCTCCGCGAGAGATATTCCATCCTCGAGGGAGCCTGCTCGCTATTCTCATTGGTGGGTGTATTGCTTATTGCAAAACCAAATTTTCTTTTTGGTGAGGCTGCGAAAAGTAACGATGAACTGTTGGAATCCAGCTCCACAGAAAAGAGGCTCATTGCTACGGGCCTCGGTCTCTTGGGAGTCCTAGCATCGTCTTCCGTATACATTATTCTTCGGAAGATTGGCATGAATGCTCATCCTCTAATCACCGTTAGTTACCATTCACTGGTGACCGCCGTCATGAGCGGATTTGGCCTTTTGGCCGTACCTTCTCTTTCGTTTGTGTTCCCTAAAACCGCCAAGCAAATCTTCTATTTTTTGTTGATTGGAATCTTTGGTTTTGCTATGCAAATAGCTTTGGCTGCTGGAGTGCAAAGAGTCAAGGCGTCGAAAGCTGCTCTCACAAGTTACACTAGCATGATATTCTCGTTGATCTGTGATCTTGTGGTATTTGGACATGTTCCTGGCTGGTTGAGTCTTACTGGAATTGTGGTGATTATGGTGAATGCATTCGTGGTGATCAAATACAAACCGGAAGACACCGATACCCAGTATACCAGCATACCACTAGAAGAGTTTGATATTGAGGAGGAAGAACCATAGACTAGATTTCCTGCTCAGTGTCATTCACTTCATTCAATTCAGTCAGTTTTGTTCATTAGTTTTGGTTCATTAGTTTTGGTGTTCATTTCATGGTATCTCTTTCTGAATTGTAGTAGTTTTTGCAATCGTCAAGATTCAGTGAACGGTATATTTTCTCTTTGTGGCTCATTATTGCAAAACATTCACGAATCGCTCTTGAAAACGTCCATTTCTCGTATCTCTCGTACCTTTTCTTCAATCCATAATCCACGATATCGTAGTCAAACAATGTAGGGTAATTTTAATTAATGCTTGGTTTCATTCACTTCTGTCTCTAGTTTCATTGATCCACGACATCTCCTCCTTCACCTGGTGCAAAGGAAGCATTTCGGAAGCAATTTGGCGTTCGGGAGACGTATCGCTCGGCAAATTCGAATTTATAGAATCAGCAAGATCGTTCAAATTGTGGATGAGTTTTCGCAGATTTTTCAAATTTACATCTATATAGTCTGTCTTCAAGACGTCGTTATGTGAATGGTGTGACGGAAGCGCTCTCACCTGTTTGATCCATCTGTAGTCCATGACTTAGTGGCAGGTTCTTAGTTGAGATTTGTGTTGCAATTGACATGCGCATATACAGGACATGAAGAAGACATACCAGGCAACAGGTATACCAAGCAACAAGGTATTTGGTCCATTTTAGAGCGTCGAAACCTCTTGTACAAGTCTGTCGTGTTTGAAAACCTTGGACAAATCACGGGGCAAATCGGTTTGGGGAACACTTTCTTTTGACCAAGTATGTTCATCCAACTGCTTCATCAATTTAGCCATAGGATCAGCATACCACCTTTTTCCTGTGAGAGTAAACCATCCCAAATGTCCTCCCACAGTAGTAGTGATGAGGAGTGTATAAGGATTTTGCTTGACTTCGTCATGAGGAAGAGTACGGTAGCCGGTAATAGGATCATCTTTGGAACTAAGAATGATCAATGGAACTCGAACTTTGTGCAAGCGCTGCACTGGCGATGCAAGACGGTAGTAATCGTTGGCGCCGTTGAAACCAAAGAGTCTGGATGTGAAAGCGTCGTCGAAATCTCTCAATCTGTTCACACTATAAGCAGCTGGGTTTTTTTTGAATTCTTCAACTGCCGGGTCTGATTTCAAATGTCCTTCGTAGTGTTCATTCAACAACTTGAGGAGGTTCTGGCACATGGCAGGCGAGTAGATATGGTGGCCCAAAAGACTTTCTCGTAAGAGAATCAGCGAATCGGGAAAGTCCCAAGGAGTACCAACGGTAGCTGCTCCCTTAATATTGTGGTAAACTTGGTCAAATTCCTGACCCAAGTAGTTGGCGGTGATAGCTCCACCTAGAGAAAAACCGATAAGGTATATCCGTTTATTGGGCCATTTTTTGCTGATATGCTCGTTGATAAGATACCGCAAGTCGTTGGTCCAGAGCCCGTTGAAGAGCTGAGGCGTGGTGATGGTGTGGTTTGCACAGCCACGAGCGTTCAAAACCAAGGCATCGAAATTGTACTCGGTAACTCTGGACACGAAAGCACGGATGTACAGTTCGTAGGAACCACCAGAGAGACCATGAAGACAGATGATTAGTGGCTTGGAATCGTCGGAAAGCAAGTCAAATTCCGTCTCGGGGTTGAGGTATTCCGTGCGTGGCGGAAGCTCTTTGGTCTGAGATTCTGGACGATACTTTTCATGGTCCGGATCCGACATGGATTCGGGCACGGCATAGTCGATGCAAAAGGTGGATTTGCCACTCCACTGGTCGTAGTTGAGGAAATCCTCACCCACCTGGTAGCGGAGGTTCTTCATTTGGAGCACATGCCGCTTATAGTGGACCTTATCGACGTTTTCAAATTTATTTAAAGCAGTATAGGCGGTTTGAAGATGACCCGATGGAAGCAACGGATTTGTCCAAAATGACGCGCCTTCATTCAACTCGGGAACAGAGCTCAGTATGATTTCCGGGAGGGTCAATAACCCCCCTTCTCGACCCGCAAGCTTCAACGGTGCCTGGGGGGCCAGCAACGATACATAGGACTTGAACATGAGATGAATTTTGCAGCAAAATGTACCGAGGTAGGTTGGGATATGTGCAGGAAAAGGGCACCGGCTACGGCCGACAAATTTAGCACACATTCAGTAAATTTTCTGCCGGATTGGTTCCTTCCTGCATCTAGGGTCCTGCCGATAATTGGCGCTGGCAGTACATAGGTCACCTAATTTACATTTGCCCTCATTATGAAACTTTCAATTTCGGTTTTGGGAGCGGTTGCTTTCGCTCTTTTTGGCTGTGCCGACGCAGCGGTCCATTCTGCTAAGCTCAACAAGATTCCCGTCGAGGAAACCTTGGCGGCTCACCGGTTTAAGGAGTACACTTCTGGTCTTGCTGCCAAGTATTTAACGGCTTTTTCAACTTCCGAAGGTATTACCGACCAAACCCAGCAACAGATTCTTCAGCAGGTTCCATTTGTTGATGGAAAATATGACAGTGACCTCAGCAACTATGTCAATGCTCAGTACTTTACCGAGATCCAATTGGGTACCCCAGGACAAACTTTCAAGGTAATTTTGGATACGGGGTCGTCAAACTTGTGGGTTCCTTCTGCTGACTGCTCGTCTTTGGCTTGCTTCTTGCACACCAAATACGACCATGACTCGTCTAGCACCTACAAGGCTAATGGATCTGAATTCTCCATCCAGTACGGATCCGGAGCTATGGAAGGTTATGTCTCAAGAGACACTTTGGCGCTTGGAGACCTTATCATTCCAAGGCAGGATTTCGCCGAAGCCACCAGCGAGCCTGGCTTGGCTTTTGCTTTTGGTAAATTTGATGGCATTTTGGGTTTGGCTTACAACACCATTTCCGTCAACAAAATCGTGCCTCCTATCTACAATGCCATTGACCAGGGCTTGTTGGACGAGCCTGTGTTTGCGTTCCGGTTGGGCGACACTTCCAAGGACGAAAATGACGGTGGAGTGGCTACTTTTGGTGGCTACGATAAGAGCCAATTCACCGGCAAAATCACATGGTTGCCGGTCAGAAGAAAGGCTTACTGGGAAGTTTCTTTTGAAGGAATTGGATTGGGAGACGAGTACGCCGAGTTGACCTCGACTGGAGCCGCCATCGATACCGGAACCTCATTGATCACATTACCATCTTCTTTGGCCGAGATCATGAACACCAAGATTGGCGCAACCAAGTCGTGGTCTGGCCAGTACCAGATTGACTGTGAAAAGAGAGACTCGTTGCCCGACTTGACCTTGAACTTTTCCGGCTACAACTTTACTCTTTCACCTTACGACTACACTTTGGAAGTGGGTGGATCATGTATTTCGGTATTCACTCCAATGGACTTCCCGGAGCCAATCGGTGACCTCGCCATTGTTGGAGATGCGTTCTTGAGAAGATACTACTCCATCTACGACTTGAAGAAGGATGCGGTTGGATTGGCCAAGTCTGTTTAGATCAGGTATAGTTTGTTTTAATCTAGTTTTCGTTTCATTTGCAGCAACAATGCTTATCGGTGCATCCAGTGCACCTGAAAGATCTACATCCAGTGCACCGGGTGGCTGGTAGCCAGCCTTTTGGCTGCTGCACAAAACCGCCGTAGATCACCCAAATCACATCATTGATCTCCCTGACGCATTTCAGGCTGGTGATATAACATGAGTCGATATCACAGAAATAAGTCGCTTCAACAGACTATAGGAATGACCGGATCTCAAATTCCGACCTCACCAACCCCGGAAACCATGAATCGGTTGGAAGTTGAATCGGCCTCGTCCACTTCACTTCCCAATTCGGTGCCATATTATAACATTAGTGACCATCACAGCTCTCTTGATACCGTCAGCTTGCTTCGTGGACAACCTCAGTATACCAATACTTCACATCTTAATTTGGGAACTTCCACCGGAAATCGATCATCTGGCATTGCAGGTGCACCTGTCAAAGTTGACACCCCTCGGAATGACGATACTTTCAATCAGGTCCCTAAAAGATTTTCCCAGTTCATACTTGACCAGCAAAACCCCTATGTGGCCCAGAGACTCGATAATCTTTCACTCAACTCGCTAAGTGTCAGCGAACAGCTGAGAGAGCGTCGGCTTAAACGGCGGACGTTTTCTCGTGCGTCACGTCAAAATAAGACCGGAACTGCAACCCAGTCGTTAACATCTGGTTTCGGCCACAGCGCAGTAGCCCGGTCTTCCACCAACATTTCAGAATCTATGGGGTCTCAAGCTACAATTTTTTCCACCAGAGACCAGCTTATTAACCGCAGAGCCACCCGGCGCCGACAACGGCCCCATCTGCATGCCGCTGCAAGTGAAGGTTCGACGCTTTCACGTCAAAATGCAGTGCGCATCAAGCAGGGTGGATGGTTCTACCGGTTGCGAATCAGACTCGCTCGGTTGGCGAAAAAGCTCAAGTATCGTTTTTTCGCCTCGTCCAAACGGACGGGCAGCGTTAAGCGCCATGGAAAAAGAAAAGTGAGCATTTCGCACCCAAATCGCCGTCTTGGTGTTGCACCGGAAACGGTTCCTTTTCTCGACGAAAACCTCAAGCTGATGGCGGGGGCGTACCCGGTGCATCTTCGGTCAAGGAGTCCGCAAAAAAGGATGGAGGAAAACCAAAAAATGAAAAATGCAAAAAATCAAGAAATGCAAAATTTGCAAAACTTGCAGAATTTGAATCAAAATTCACAGCTTCCAGTTTCGGCTTCCCAGCCTCCAGCTTCTGGCTCTCGCCGGTCCCTGGCCTCGTCCTCCACACCTCCTCCAGTTCCTCCCCATTTTGTGCGGAGGAGCATGACAGCTCCACTTTTCGACGACACCAACGACACCATTGAACTTTGGCGCCAGTATCTTGCCCATGTTGTATGTCGGCGAGTGCTTTTGCGGCAGGAAATCAACCAGTTTCAAAACTACTTGGCTGGTCAAGATCCACTTCTTCATCGTTTAAGTGCAATTCGCACCCAAATGCCGCGGGCCTCGTATCAGGCAGTGGTGAAAAATGTGGGGGATTCATCTTCAGAATACGAAACCGTTTCTGATTTTTCGGGATCAAGTATTCTGGAAGGGTCTGAATTTAGCCAGAATGTACTCCACAGGCGCTCAATGTTGGGAGAAATGCTTGACTATGACTCCGATGGAGTGTCGGTTACTTCGCAAAATCTGGAATCTGACTATTCTCACCAAACAAATCAGTCCAATTCTCAAAGTTTTCTGTCTAAAAATTCAAACTCAACTGAGTCTTCAGAGTTGTCCGCTATGAAAAGATACGGAACAGTGCGTCGTCACAAATTGCAAAAAAGTGTTACTCCCAGCTTGGGCTCGCTTCGACGGTCACCGGGAGTCCAAATGGACCTCAATGGGCATAGCAGAGAATAAACTGGAGATTGATTTCTTATGACAAAATGATTTAAGAATTGATTTTCTGACATTAATGTTCTTAAGATTAATGTTCAGTATAATGATTATGACTGAACATCGCCTTAGCAAAATAGCATGAATGGATGAAATGAATGGATAAAACAAAGCATACAATGGATTAATGGCACGGTGGAGGCATATAATATATAGTGAAGAAGCTAATAAGCTTTGAAAAATACGATAATTTACAAAATGCTTGCAACCATAAATTGTGAGAAATATAAACCTTTGCTTATTCAAAGTAGAAGTGACTTATTTGAAGTAGAATTGACTTATTCAGAAGTAGAATTGACATATTCAAGAGATTAAAATTAACATATTCAGAAGTAGAATTGACTCATACAAAAGATTAAGAATTGACTTAATCAAAAGTAAAATTGACTTATTATTCGAGAAATTAAGAATTACTTATTTGAAAGTAGAATTGACTTTTCAAAGAATTAGAGTTCAATTATTCAAAAGTTGAATTGACATATTCAAGAAACTAGAATTGACTTGAATTTTACATGGTATAATAATCACATGTTCACTAACAAGCCAATACAATTACTGAGATTGACAAATAAGAACAAGTTGTACAATTTTTTAAAGAACATACTTGACAATGAGACTAGCTATTGCAGGCAATCCGTTTTCATAGATCTAACCATGGCTCCTCTTTTACCTGCTTCTTCTTCTACACCTATCAAAACAGCATTATACTGAACATATTTACAAGACACTATACATCAGTTCTTTGGCTCCTCAGAACCAGAGTTGTTCGATTCGTTCGATTCGTTATTCTTGTACAACTTCTCAAACACCTTCAAGGATTCATTCTGCAACTCCTCAGTCTTGCTCTTCAACTCGTTAGCATCGACTTCTTCACCGGCTTGGGCCTTAACCACAATTTCCCTCAAAGATCCAATTTGGGCTCTGAGCTTGTCGGCATCAGCAGATTCAATCTTGTCCTTAAACTCGTTCAAAGAGTTCTCGGTGTCGTTACACAATTGATCTCCTCTGTTGGCAGACTCGATGGCCTCTCTTCTGGCCTTATCGGACTCGGCAAACTTCTCAGCATCATTCACCATTTGCTCAATCTCAGATTCAGATAATCCAGAGGATCCAGCAACAGTGATGGAAGCATCCTTGTTAGAAGCCTTATCACGGGCAGACACCTTGATAATACCATCGGTGTCAATGTCAAAAGTGACCTCAATTTGAGGAACACCCTTTGGTGCTGGTGGAATACCAGACAATGTAAAGTTACCAATCAACTTGTTGTCTCTAGTCAATTCTCTCTCACCTTGGAACACTCTGATTTCCACGGAAGTTTGACCAGCGGATGCAGTAGAGAAGATTTGAGATTTCTTGGCTGGAATAGTGGTGTTTCTGTTGATCAATCTAGCGAAAACACCTCCCATGGTCTCGATACCCAATGACAATGGGGTGACATCCAACAACACAACGTCGGTAACATCACCAGCCAAAATACCACCTTGAATGGCAGCACCCATAGCAACAGCCTCATCGGGGTTGACAGCCTTAGAAGCATCTCTACCAAAGATAGACTTGACGGTTTCAATAACCTTTGGCATTCTCGACATACCACCAACCAAGATGACCTCGGAAATGTCGGAAGTGGACAAACCAGCATCCTTCAATGCCTTCTTACATGGCTCGATGGTCTTCTTAATCAAAGGCTCGACCAAGTTTTCAAATTGAGATCTAGAGAACTTTTGGTTGATATGCTTTGGACCGGAAGCATCGGCAGTGATAAATGGAAGGTTGATTTCGGTGGAGACAGTAGAAGACAATTCGATCTTGGCCTTTTCAGCAGCTTCTCTGATACGTTGAATTGCCATTCTGTCTTGAGACAAGTCGATACCAGACTCCTTCTTGAAGTTGTCTACGATTTGTCTAACAACAGCGATGTCGAAATCTTCACCACCCAAGTGAGTGTCACCATTAGTGGACTTGACTTCGAAAACACCAGCACCGATATCCAAAATGGAGATATCGAAAGTACCACCACCCAAATCGAAAACAGCCACAACTTGACCATCGTTCTTCTCCAAACCGTAAGCAAGAGCGGCAGCAGTAGGTTCGTTGACCACTCTCAACACATTCAAACCAACAATCTTACCGGCATCTTTGGTGGCTTGACGTTGGGCATCGTTAAAGTAAGCAGGACAAGTAACGACGGCGTTCTTGACTGGCTTACTCAAGAAAGATTCGGCAGTCTCCTTCATCTTGTTAAGGATGAAACCTCCGATTTGTTGAGGAGAGTACTTTTCGCCACGAGCTTCAATCCAGGCATCACCGTTTTCGTGTTTAACGATCTTGTATGGAACCTGGTTCAAGTCACGTTGGACTTCCTTGTCTTCGAAACGACGACCGATCAATCTCTTGGTGGCAAACAAGGTGTTCTCTGGGTTGACGACAGCTTGTCTCTTGGCAGGAATACCAACCAATCTCTCACCTTCTTTGGTGAAAGCAACAATGGAAGGAGTAGTTCTTCCACCTTCAGAGTTTTCGATAATCTTTGGGACCTTTCCCTCCATGATAGCCACGGCGGAATTGGTGGTTCCCAAATCAATACCAATGACAGGACCACCGGGGGCAGCTGTGGAGTTTGCACGAGCAAACAACCGTTTGCCCGCCAAGTTACGAACTGAGTTTCTAGCAGCTAACATATTAGTGAGGGAGCTGAAAATTTGCCGACTTTTCACCGCAATATATCCGAATTGGCGCACGACCATGGAATTTTCTAGGTCATGCCGGGGGAACACCCGTACACCAAATAGGCTGCAAAACACAACACGAAACACCGAAACAAAGAAAAATTTACAACAGCAAAAAGAGGCTCTTATATAGACATAATTTACGACATTTGGCAGCCATGCCATTAAATATTTTAGTGCAAGATTTTGTGCAGCTGCATGAACCCGTGCAACCGAGGTTGCATGAAGGCGGTTGCATGAGGGCGGTTGCATGAAGCTGTCGCATGGAGGCAGCTGCAGCCGCCTCCATCATCCCATAAGGTCAGCAGGAAGGTTGCCATTCATCACCCACGTAAGCAGCTTATCTCCGCGAAACTCTTCTATATAACCAATGATTTCGTCTGCTGATTTATCGTACTTTTGCATTCCTCGAGTTATGGCATCGCAAAGTTTTTTACGTCGTTGATACCGTTTTGATTGTTTTGAACGCAGATCTCCACGCCATTCATGCTTGCCAAATCGAGCATCTAATTCACATAAAGCAGGTTGGCCTCGAAATCCTTTTGTAAATTCATCGTAGATTTCACGAACCGTCATTGGATTGTGTAAAAAGTCAATGGTGATTTTCGGTTTTTTACTACTGGTGTTACCATTTGTGTCTTCAGAAAATGTGCGTTTGCGATCGTCGCCATCTAATGCAGTTGATGCATGTTGATTTGATGGTGCATGATGATGAAGAATGGATGACCCAGAAACGTGCTGTTGAGCCCTTACCGCTGCAGCAGCCACTGCCACTTGATGCAATTCCGGATCCATATTACTATCGAGATGTACTCCCGGTTGATCGACATTGGATGCGGCATCACCACCCTCGGATCCATTATGCGCGTCTTGTTCATTTTGCATCGCATGAAGAGATGAAAGAATTGCTTGTTGGTTTTTGTTTTCAAGAACTTCCGCCACAATAGCTGAAAGCTTATCAAGTTTATCAAGTTTGTTATCAACGAGTTGACGTAAATAATTAACCTCATTTGAAAGAATTTGTGAATGGTTTTGGTCATCAAGTTTGGTGACAATATCGAGGATCTTATCAAAGCTACGCAGAATCATATCTGCAGATACTTCTGATTCTGCATCGGCCACTGTAACTGTATCCATGTCATGCAGCACATCGCCGCGCGTTATCGATGGCGCATTCTCCATCAGAATCGACTTGAGCGACATCTGGGGGTTAAAATGTCGGGTTCAACGCAATGTAGGCTATATGCAGGTTGAAATGAAAGACTATAACATTCTAATAAATTTAGCCTCTATCGAGTACCAATTCCTATTCATACATGGGCTTTAGATTTGAACCCAAACACACTTATGATGAGGACATATATAAACTCTCACTTTCCGTTCATATAAGTTGTAAGTTGTAGCACCTTTTAGCATCTTACTCACTACTGTCACACATCCACCGAGCTTGTTTACGGGCTCATCATTTGTATCACAACCTGTTTTTTTAACTGGTATTCACTTCTTTTTTCAATGTTTTCCATATCTGTGGTGTTTAATGCAATTGTGTTCAGATCATTAACCCCATCATGTAATTCCTGCCTTTCGCTATCCAAACCTTCATCATCACTCTCGGATGAAATAGTCATTACACCATAAATATCTTGTTGCTCTAAGCACCCTAACCAAACATCAATGTCATAACCACTTGGATCAACAGGTATTAATCTATATTCTTGAGTACTCGGTCTGTATAATCTAATGTTTTGAATAGTAGTATTAGCGCATTCTGCAAATAATTTCGCGTCAAAGATAAATGCAGATATCGTTACAAATAACGACTGCAATGTCAAATATATTGTAATTATTTTCATTTTGAAATTGTTATATGATATCATCAAAGATATGCGGTGTTTAGGTGTATCTATATACTGTCCTTGTACTACTGATAACCTAAAAGACATGGGTAAACTTGCGTAGGCCTGTCCCTATAGCGTTCACGTTGAATGTGTGAGTGGGCGGCAGTCAAGATAGTAAAGCTATGTACTTCGAGAGTTTTTTGTTCTATCGTATAATTCTTTAAATAAGAATACACAAGACTTCTCAATTCTTCGGTGATATTTCACGGCACCAGCACGCTAACGCATTAACCATCTTGGAAGTACTTAACCGTTAGGCGCTCATCGAGTGCTTAATGAGTTGCCTCATTGGCCACGAAGTAGGAACCTGCATGGCCGCCTTTCTGCGGCAGGTCCTGCATTTTCCAACTGCGTGGAATGGCTGCAACTGAGTCAACTATAACCTATTCGAAATCTATGAAGTGTGTTCATTACAATATCCTATTTTGACCTCTGTTGATCTGAACTTTCTTATTTGGCACCAAGATTATTCATCTTGTCGATGAGCCGCTGTCTTTAGAAATTAAGTTCCTTTTTTCCCTTTTTGGCTCAATAGCTTCTTAGTCTTTTGAATCTATTTTGGTTTTACTGAGTTGAAATATCGTGAAAGTAGGATTTTGCTATATGAGTTCTGTTGAGATAATCATACTTTAACAGAATTGATGAATGCAATAATAAGTGAAAATAGATGAAGGTGAACTGAACAATGATTATGGAATCCTAAATTCATTTCCATGTTTACTTGAACTTTAAAGCAGCCCCATATTATTGAGCCAGATACCATCATTTTCGAACAATCATCTTTTCAAACAATCATCTATTTCGGACAATAATCTATTTCGGACAATCAGTTGGTAACTATTGTGCTTGTTTCGTATGCTTTCTTATGTTCTAATATATCAACAGGTCTATATTCACCTCCTTCATCATGGCGTTGCCAAACAATGCCAATAACCCAATTTCCCTGCCGTCATTACTGAGGTAAATTGTTCGACAAAAACCAAGTTTCAATTTTTCAGTAACGTCTCTGATTTGATCGAGGTTCAGTTGTCGAGGTAAAAGAAAGCCAAAACTGGATGAAAATTGTCGCATTTGCCCGCAAAGCGTCTCCAAATTAAACGGTTTCATTTGCTCAAGATCAAACTGTCCTGACTTCTTGTACAGTGGTCCACCCCATGGAGGAGAACAAAAGACAAAGTCGAACATTTCATTTTTCAGTTTCTTGTTCTTCATTCTGATGCCATAAGGAATCCAGTCTGTTTTATTTTGTAGCTCATTCCAGTCTCCCAATTGTGTCCATATTCGATCCAACACTCCATAAATACCAGCATTGTGTACCGTACACTGAAGATTATTGGGCAGAATATCCACGGCCCCGACTGATGGAAAATAGTGTGCAAATTGAATAGCATTTCCTCCTCCTCCGCAACATACATCGAGTATTTTCCGTGCATTGGGAAGCAATTCTTTCACTAATCGTGCAATAAATATTGCCAAAGCTTCTGGAGTCACCGAGTACCATAGTTCAGATGTCATGTATACACCTTCATCGAATCGACTAAAAAGGTCGTATCTCTTTTTCCAGTACTTTTTGCATTCTGAGGGTAATGTGTGGTAGTTGTGGAGTAGTAGCTCGTCCTCGGGAGCTATATAGAAGTCCATGAAAATGAAAATGGAGAGATGAGATAAAAGTGGAGATGAGATGAGATGAGATGCGCGGCTAGAATTATTAGATGATTTTGAATTCGATTAACCATTTTTTCAATTTGATTGAAAGGATTTTTCAGTTGGATCAGTCAATCATGCTCATTCCTATTGTCTATATTACATCCTCATTACTTTTCCGTCAGTCAAAAATATCTTCTCTTCGTTATGCATTCTCTCGAGTGCCGCGCGACTCTCGGTTGGAGCATATACTTCTTCCTGCGCAAGGTTTGCATTGACCGCTTCCACAACGGTGTCAATGGCACAAGAAGTGGTCTCGTTCTCGAAGAGCGGCGTGCGCACAACTTCGGCCATAAGTCTAACAAACTTGGCGTATCTTTCGTTCGTAATCTCACTATTACGATTGGCGTTTGATGCGGTCGAAATATGAAGATTATCAAGATTGCGCTGAACTGAAGTGTCTGCTAGCGACTCTTGTTCTGAGGAATCCGGAGTTTCTGCTGATTCGGATGAAGCCGTGGCATTGGACTCGGGTGTTTGTCTTTCTCTCAACCTTGCACTGGTTCTTGTTCTTGAAGGAATGACTTCTTCCTCGCTGTCGGTTTCACTTTCCGCACCATCGCTCTCATTGTCTTCCTCCGTCCTTCTCTTCTTGGCATGGGACTTTCTTGTGACCTCCTTGAAGAGAGCAAAACGTAACATCTCTTCCGCAACTTTGGCATCCTTGACATCAATGGTTCTGGATAGACGAACCTTGGCATGTGCAGTTGCAAGACGAATAAGCGTTTCCAAAGTTCTTGCCGTAATAGGAGCTGTGTGACGCTGGTTCATGTCGATGAGATCATTTCTCAATGCAGAATACGTCTCAGTGATATACTCAGACGAAGCATTTGTCAAAACTGGTTGCACTCTCTGCTTGGCATATTGAATATACTTTTTCAAAAACGGTATAGACACAAGCGTCTTCTTACGTGATGCCTCTTCGCCGGCAATGAGTGCATTGAACTTTTCAAAGACTGGTTGTTCTTGTAATTCTTGTTCTGCAGTAGACTCGTCGCCAACTGCAAGGGAAACCGTCGATTTTTCACGAATCGGTTCACCCTCCACTAATCCTGGAGGAATAAACCGATGCATTCGCAAAACGTGTTCCGAAATAATACGGTCTCTTGTAGGTTGTACATCATCAGTGACCACGAAAAGTAAATCGAAACGAGACAAAAGGGAGTCAGGCAAAGCGATGTTCTTGTGTGGATCTTTATGGACATCGTACTGGCCAAACACGGGATTTGCGGCGGCTATGACCGAACAACGAGCATTTAACGTAGTATGAATACCTGCCTTTGCAATGGTAACCGTTTGCTGTTCCATGACTTCGTGAATGGCCACACGATCAATGTCAGACATCTTATCGAACTCATCAATACAAACAATACCTCTATCGGCCAATACCATTGCACCTGCTTCGAGTCGTCTTTCTCCTGTTTCCCTGTCTGAAGTGACGGCTGCGGTGAGACCAACACCAGACGATCCTCTACCGGTTGTAGCAATAGCCAAGGCTGCGGTGTTTAAGACAAATCTAAGCATTTGAGATTTGGCTGTCGAAGGATCTCCCACCATCAAAATATTGATGTCTCCACGAAGATGGGTACCATTGTCGAGATTCTTTTCGACACCTCCCATGAGCATAAGCAATACTGCCTTCTTGATGTAGTCGAATCCATAGATGGAAGGAGCCAAACTGTGGGAAAGAATGTCGAAAATTTTCTTCTCTTTCGACATCTTGTTGATGTTTCTGATATCTATATCGGTCAATTTGTCTTGGAAAGCAACACCAGTAGACCTCGCATGCAACGGATACACCGAATTGGCCAAAATTACCGTTTTGAAAGACGAACTATTATTATTGGCACCTCCAAGGGCACGATATACACCCACAATCTGGATACGATCGCCGGGCTTGGTGGTGTCCACCAAATCATCATCCAAAATCACGTCCACCGAACGCGGAAGCTGACCTGCTGGGGCAGATTCGGGCATTTCTTGCACCGAAATTTTTTGATGATCGCGATAAGTAGAGTAACCATATTCGGTGGTTAATTTGTTACCGTCCAAATCTTCAGTGGGGTAGATTGCCGGAGTGGAAATTGGGTCGAACGAGGTGGTTTGGTCGCGGTAATCTCTAGCGTAAAATCGATTGGTTTCCTCGGCGTAGTGGACGGAGCGAATGATTTTTGGCCGCACCAAAGACGCTCTGGTGACAATACCTTCTACAGACACCATTTTGGAGATATGGTTCGAGGTAATGGACCGGGGCGACACGTGATGGTCACCTAAAGACCCTTTAAACGAAAGATAGAACTGCTGGTTTTCATCCATGTGGTCAAATCTCGAATCATTGGGGTCGTAAATCGTCAACACCGTATCACGCAACGCTCTTTCGCACGCTGGGAGGAAATCTGCTGGAGTATTAAGAAGACCCAGCCAGAATTCACGGTCAAATTCCCGGATTTCATCGAGAGAAACCGTCAACCGGAATTTGCCCTTTGTCAACATATCGCGGATTTGTGACCTGTATTCGACATTATTGGAGTCGATTCGATCGAGAAATTCTTGGAAACGACGAACGCGGTCACCGAACACGGCATCGATGGGCTGGTCTGTCAGGTCGTCCATGATGAAGAAGAAAATGCGGTGCGACGCGTTCAATTTGTCTCGATTGGGACGCTAGGTGCAGGATGAGCTCAAACGGATTAATTGCCTGACATCATGCAGGATATCACCAAGAGAAAAAAGGTGGGGTGGGGGGCTATTTATGTGGTGGCAACGGGCAAACGGGGGTCATTCCGTTGGGTAGTTGGCAGCCGAAATTGCGCTTGCGCAGCAGAAGCTTGCAGTGGAAGCGTGCATTGGAAATATGCATTGGATGCCGTAGTGCATATGCAGGTTCGCCGATGCTGCAGTATGTTGCAGAATAAAGAATAAGAACTGAAAGTTCGTCTAAGGAGTTATCGATCATTCATATGAAGATCAATCGATGTCGTCGTAATGAACTCCACTATTGAAGTCTATAAATTTTTCGATTTTTAATTTTTTCAATTTATTTTTGCATTTTACATTATTTGCAATTTTTATAAACTCCACCCAGTGTAGCTTTCCAGCCCGAAAACTTTTGGCCATCTTTCAAACTCAAGCGCAGCCGGACGGTACTTTCTGTTCTTCTCACTTTCCAACAAACTAGCATAGCTCCAATCCAAAAAGTCTTCGAGATTGTAATTGTGCTTGCGAAATGGCTCTTTGAAAATCGTCGCCAAAGTTGCAACATTGGGATGGTAATGGGTCATAAGCGTCTCAAGTTCCCACACAGAAGAGCCAATGGCCTTCGTTTTAAGAGGGTCTTGTTCATCGTTGTCAAAGGGATCCGTATAATTTGTAACGTTGGGATTATGGACCATAATCATGCATGTGGGGTGTCTTTTGAGCAAGTTATATATGAAAGGAATGACGATAACCACTCCAGAAGCACTGGATGTGAGTGCTAGTCTAGCAAGTCTCTTGATAAACGAAGCTATAAGTGCTGCAGACAAATGGGTGGACGAAAGGAAAAGATCACAGAGACGAAAGTACCTCGACCGATACCTGGTGTACATCATTCTCGGAGTAAGAAGCGAGTATAGCTTGGTGTAGAAGTCTGGGTATTCCAAATTGAATGTTTTCATGAGTTCATAGAGCGAATTGAGTGCTAAAATAGGCACAATTTCTCCTCCGCTGTTATAACTGTCTGTCAAGAAATCCATGAGACGTTGAGGTTGAGCCATGTGGGGGATGATCCGGTTGTGGAGAATGAGCAAAACTGACTTGTACTGGTTCTGGGTCAAGGGAAAAGTTAATAGGGTTAATATAGCCTTTTGGAATTGGCTCTTGAAAGAAGACCGTTTGTAGGCACCATTGGGAAGAAGTCCATTAGTCCATAACGGAGCGTCTTCCAACACCTCGGCGACCACGAGAGGGTCCTTGAGAATGGTGTATACGTTGGCAAACACCAGCTGTAATTTTTCAGGCGAAAAAGTCTTTTTGAGTGTCTTCAATTCTTCGTCCAACTGGTTGAAAAAATAAAATTGAAGGTCCCAATTTGGACCGAAAAGTGATTTGAATTCGAAAACCAAAAAGTCATCGCTGGTCCCGTCACCCAAGGGAACACAGTCACGAGATATGAGAGAGGTGACAGCCCGGGTATAGGTTCTAGATGCAAAATATGGATCGGAAGGTGCCGACTTGAAATACTGCGATTCCAACCGCACCAAATTCATGAGTATTTCCAACAAGTCCACCTGGATCGAGAGCCGGGCGGAAAACGTCCCGGAAACCAATTGGAACCCCAAGTTTTTATATCGTTCGTACTTCTCGACCAACCATTTGACGACCAAGGTCTTCTTTTCATCATACGATTTGCGGCTTATCAAAAGACTTTCGGCCATGAGCTTCTCAAATACGTTGAAAAGAGACACCGCGATCTTTCGACCTGATTTTTCCACTTCTTCATCATCATTTTTCTCCAAAATCGTAATGACTTGATCAAAGTGATCGAGCAATTTCACAATATTATTGTAGTTTTTCTGAGAAATTATAGGCTCAGCCAACGCATCCACGTCACTCACAGAGGGAATTGAAACACCCTTGGCCCGTTTCCCAGCCTGAGAAACACTTTTGGCCTTTCTTTTTGGTGCCATCTTTACAGTACTATAACTCTACAATTTCCGATGAGCATCGCATCCTGGGTTACCCGGCCTCCTCCCACCACTATAAAGCGCGGCAGATTTCGCACACTTCTTCAGTATGACCTTCCAAGTTTTTACAACATATGATGAAATCTCGCGTACTAGCCTACATTTCCCCCGGAGTAGAGTCTCTCGAGATTCCTCTGGAATGCTTTTCATACGAGAAGATGGGATTTAATGGTGAAAGCGTTTGGCGCAAACAACCTTGTTACAACAAACAGACGCGGAGAACTTCTGACCCCAAGGTATACTCCTCTCTATTATTCTGCTACTCTGCTACTCTTGCTAATTCTATCGCTAAACTTTATTGCTAAGCTTTTTGTCTATTTCTTCTTCCTGTGCTTCGATTTTTCGAATGCGAAAGTACTGCATACAACCGAACGTATACAAAATCAGACTAACTACAGCCTAACCTAGTGATTCCATTCACTTCGGTTCCATTGATTAGCTTATTGAGCTCCATTGAGCTCCATTGACTACAGCGCGGCGGACTAATTATACATTAAGCGACTAGATGAAGGTTTCGTAAGGAACTGGGGCCAAGGTTTGAGGAACATTGTCAACGGTTTTGACGATCCTAGCCTCTCTAGGCTTGGCTGGCTGTCTCTTCAAGAACACAGTCTCACCCTTGGCCTTGGCCTCTCTCTTCTTAGCAGCATTGGTCTTGACTCTGTTCAAGAATTCTTGACGACAAGCGGAGTGCTTAACGTGCTCGACTCTCAAGTTGACTCTCTTTTCAAGGTATCTGTTTCCAACAATCTTGTGGATAATAACTCCAACGGATGACTTGGTAACGTTGTAAACCACACCAGTCTTACCGTGGTAGTATTTGTGGGGCATACCTTTTTGGATGGAACCGTTGGCTTTAATGTCTACGATATCACCAACCTTGTAGGTCTTCATGTAGGTGGACAAGGGAATGGCACCATGCTTCTTGAAGTCACGCTGGAAAGCGTAACGAGTACCCGATCTGTAACCATGCGATTTACCCATGTTGATGCAGTTGAGAGTTGATTGAAAAATTTTGAGGTTGAATGCGCGGTCAGGTGGAGGGGCCCAGGGCTCCGCCCTGGTATGTGCAGGTCCACTGAGATTGGGTTGCAAATCAAGTTGCACCTAACTGAAATGCGGTTGCAATTCTGTGTCAATGAAGACAATTTCTACTAGGTAGGTTTTCAATTATTGTTTCATTCATATAAGCCCGCTATATGTGTTTGAGGTTAACATCGTGTTTAAAGTGGTTCCGGCTGTATCCAAACCACAATCCTATGCCAACAAGGAAGGTAGTTCCGAGAACTGCGCAAGCATAATTCATATTGGAAGTTGTGACTGGGTTATAGAGGGGGAAATTGAGCCAAACCATGATGAAACACGCCCAAATAACCGAGGCAATGTTCATAGGAAGTCCGAAGCGACCGAGTGAAAAATATGGCAAGTCTTTGTTTTCCACACAAACCACTTCCAGGGCTGGAAATCTGACTCTGGGAGACAGCGAGAAGCTGGATTTGAACATAAGACAGGCAATGGGGAAAATGTACGACAAATTGATGCAAATCATTGCGGAACCCAACACCGCATTTAAAGCGGTACTGGAGCCGAGGATGATGGTTCCGATTATTAAACCAATTATGGTGGTGAAATAAAGGGCGTTTATGGGAGACTGGAACGTTGGGGACACTTTTCCAAAGAAACTTTGGCCAAAAGGAAGTCCGTTGGATTTTGCAAATGCCCATATTAATCGAGAGGTGGAGCAGTAATAAAGGTAGGTGGAACCCACAAATGTCAAAATCAAAAACAAGATTCCGATGGTGGTTAAGGCGTTGGAATTGAATGCATCGTACATCAATTGCACAATGGGAAGTCCACCCATGGGTGCTTCCATATTTTTCTCGTTGACAATACAGAACATGTAGACGATGGCTGCGAGGAAAGCTACCAATGCCGACACAGTATTGGAGATAACCATCACCAAAGGCACATTTTTTTCGGGCTGAATAATTTCGTCGGTCATATGAGCAGCACAGTCGTAAAAGGTAATTGAAGCAATACTAGGAAGCAACCCCAAAAAGAAAACTAGTCCATTGGAGCTCCATCCGGTTTCATTGGAGAGTTCTTTGAAGACATAAGTGGCAGATCTTTTCGGATGAGCCTTGACAAGCAAGGCAATAAGAATGAAAAGCGTACCAATATTTATCACTCCCACAAGACCATTGGTTAACCACGTTAAGCACCGAACTCCATAGGCATTTATGAGGTGTCCCAGGAGATACACCGCCATGTAAATGAGATAAAAGTGCCATTTTTCAGCAACAAATTCCGGATGGTACATGATTGCAAGTGACAAGATGAACAGTGCTGCAATATAGGTGGAACTTACACAAGCAAATATCCATCCAGCACAGGATAAAACCCCGACAAAAAAGCTCAAAATTGACTTGGCATGGTCGGGAGCAAGACAGTAAGTCCAATGGACCTGGGCTGAAGAGTGAGGGTAAGCGGCTGCAATTTCTGCCAACGAATAGCAGACTATCAAGTCAAAAAAAACCGCCAATATGAACCCATAGATGAACACAGGCAGTCCTCCAACTCCCACTACGGTGGAGAGAAATGTACCAATGGCCAAAGCTGAGCAGATCAACGAAAATTGAAGACCACAAGCTGTCCAAAGGCCGAATCTTTTGACCAAATGTCCATCTTCAGAGGTGATGGAAGTTTGTTCCACGGTGAAGGGAGATTTGTCTGACATGGAGCAATAAATAATAATTGGTATTTAAACCAGTGATTCAAGAAATTGAAAAGTGACTGAAAAGTGACTGGAATCTGAACTAGCAGATTGGATTGACGATCGATAAGTTGAAATGAAATATAATTTTCGGAATTCAATTCCAATTGTTTGATCCAACCTATTATGGGTGCAAATCTTCAATTAGTCAACTAAGCCTTCAAATTTTCTTTAAACGTTAAATCAGATTTTAGTTTCTGATGCAACTCTTGCAGCAATATTTATGCTTAAGGCAACTAATGGCGATATGCTCCAATCTATATATATCTGTGATGAGATAGCCGCTAGTAAACGCCCGCGGTTCCGGCCGTATTTGGCACCAAATCGCTAGCGGCTGATAGTTGATTGAGATTTTGCGCGGGGAAAAACCGGGGCACACGACCCCGCTTATCTTTGGCCATAGCGAGGAATGCATATGTATCTGGGGCGGGCGGCACTGCCCGATGCGGCAAGTGCGCCTCAGGGCGCATCGACACGTCAAAGTTTATCAATGGATCCTGCACACCGCCGCAAAAACGCCGCACACACCGTGCGATCATTGCATTTTGGCTGTAAAAAATCCTGCACCACTGCATTATCTGGCTATAAATGTTGTTGGCGCTACGAACCTGGGTCATCATTCCTGATCGGGGGTGTAATTGATATCATTGATGCCAAGAAGCAACTGAAGAATATCTTATCTATAAAAGATACTAAGCCCCGTCAGATCTCAAAATAATTTATCAATCTGATCAATCTCCATTAATATCTCGATCAATAATTTCATCCATAATTCAATAGCTTCTTCAATAATGCTCAAAAAAGGAGACTACGTCGTGGACGTCGTGGACGTAGAAAAGTGTGAGCCCCATACCAGTCAGGTGGTCACCACTGGATTTTCAGATTTTAATGATAAACTCGATATTGAAAAATATGGCCAGACAGAAAGACGACTTTCGTCCAGACATGTAGCGTTGATGATCATTGGCCAATCCATAGGTACTGGATTATTCATAGGATTGGCTACCCCCTTACAAACTTCCGGGTCACTTTCGCTTCTTCTTGGATTTTTATGGTGGTCTTGTTTGTGCATCTGGCCATTGATGCAATGTGTGGCAGAAATGTGTTCTTATTTGCCAATTAAAGGAACTTTTATTCATTTTGCCGCCAGATGGGTGGACCCAGCGCTTGGGTTTGCTTGTAGTATTATCTACATTTACACATCGTTGATGTTTGTGTGCCTTGAAGCTACGGCGGTGGCTTCCGTGGCCAGCTACTGGACCGATGTCAGTCCTGCGGTTTTCATTATTGTTTCGCTTGTTTTGTTTGCATTTTTCAACGTGTTCGGTGTCAATTGGTACGGAGAAGTTGAGTTTGTTTCGTCAATGCTCAAGGTGCTTTTGATCGTTGGGTTGATGTTTTTTGGTTTAATTTCCATGTGCGGAGGAAACCCTCAAAAAGACGCTTATGGCTTCCAGCATTGGAAGGAGGGTGGTCTTATGAAACCGTACTTGGTAGGCGGCTCTACAGGCAAGTTTCTTGGGTTGTGGAATGTTCTTATCTACGCAGCTTTTGCCTGTGGAGGTCCAGATCTTTTGGCTATGATTGCCGGTGAAGTTACTCATCCACGAAAAGTGATCCCCTTGGCAGGAAGAAGAGCGTATATCCGGATCTATTTGTTCTACTTTGGTGGTATTTTCTTCATGAATACCCTCTGTGCTTCCAACAATCCTACCCTCGTTGCTGCTTCCGCAGCTGGTAAAGCCGGTGCTGCTGCTTCTCCCTGGGTTATTGGTATCAAATCTGTGGGTGTACATGGGCTCGACGATATGGTGAACGCCGTTATTATGACGGCTGCTTGGTCTTGTGGGAATGGGTTTGCTTACGGTGCCATTAGATGTACCTATAGTGCATCTTTGGCAGGTTATCTTCCTCGGTTTTTTTCCAAATGCTTGAAGAATGGAGCTCCCATTTACTGTGTGTTTCTCACCGTCGCTGTGGGCTGCTTGGCTTTCTTGAGTGTTTCCAAATCCACAGCTACAGTTTTCAACTGGTTTGTCAACTTGGCTACCACCGGATTATTATGCGCTTACTTGGTGCTTTGGGCATGCTACTTCAAGTTTAGAAAGGCTATTGAAGCCCAAGGAATCAGCTACAAGAACGAAATGTACTTCCATGCTCCACGGTTTGTTCACCCTATGATGACATACTACGGAGTATTTTTCAATGTGGTTGTGCTTTTCTTTAACGGGTTCTGGATATTTTTCCCCGGACAATTCAGCGTTGCAAACTTGTTCACCTCATACTTTGCTCCAGTATTCATGTGTGTGTTGTACTTTGGATGGAAGTTCGTGAAGAAGACACACATAAGAACGGCTCTCGAAGCAGATATAACTACTGGAAAGGCTGAAATTGACGAAGAAGAGCTTTTGGAGCTTGAAGAAGACCAGAAACATCCTCGCAAGACGGGACTTGCATGGAGAATATGGTATGCTGTGTCGGACTTTTGCTTTAACTGAAGTGATGAACGAACAAAATTTGTTGAAGCTCTTTTTATGAGCAGAGTTGATGAAAGTTAGTGGTGGATAAAGTTTTCATACTTTCAGCATACCTTGAGTATTGATGAAGTCATGAGCAAAGCCTTTGAAAATATAACATCTTAAGAAATGGAACGTTTAAGAAATTCAAGACAGATCTAGACAAGGAAAGTCTCTAAACATAAGTCAAAGAGATCATAGACAAAAATGGTAATACAAGTCTTTTATATAACTTGAAAGCTAAAGTTACTCAGATATCTAATAGAACCAAATGTCATATATAACATACAACCAAGCCAATCGTTTCATATAGATACCCTCTAGTATCCTCTAGTATACTACTGTCTCATTGATACCAAACCATACATTTCTCTTCAGTTCGATGTCTAGCAATCCGACTATCTCGTAAGTCTACGACGCACAAAGGTTAATTCGCAGCCACTATCTCCTCCACTTAATGCCCTGCATGCATAGCTGGAACTTTCCAAACTTCAAGCATTTGTATGCAGCGTTTGTATGCGGGGAGACAAAACGCTCGTACGTCAGCCTAAACGAGTTATCTGGGATTCTAGACGACGTATGGGCAGATTGTTGATATGTACAAGAACGCCCGCGGTGCGGCGCTGACGTGCAGGTGACAGGCTTCTATACATAAGAAGAGAGCCGGCCCTTTCAACAACAAAAGTGAAAGTTCCTCTATCTACACTGAAGATTCATCTTGCTCCACGTACGTGTATTGTCGGGGTTCAAAGCTGAGCCCCGGACGAGATGTCATCCCCGCAAAAGTCTTGGCAGACGGCAGATAAGCACGCCGTGCATATAAGTGAACGGCATTGATGTGTCTTATCTTGAAAAGTGCCTTGGCGAGATAACAAAGAGTATAAAAAAGCCAGGTTTTGCACACAATCAGGCACGGAGAAACCGGTACAACCAACCCCTACCGTTTGACTGTTTATTGTTAGCCAATTGCTGTTGGTTTTATCACTCAGCATCTCATCGTCAAAGCATCGCTTTCCTGCAGATACCGCCGGGGTGTTCCTAATCGGGCCATAAAAAGCAGCAACGCCGTGCGTATCGGAACGGCGAAAACTATATTTTCTGGGGAACTCCGACTCTTTTTCACAACATGACCACAGATTTTGAGAAGGGCCTCTCGAGGCAGTCGACTGATGTCCACTCGATGTTGTCGAGACATACCGAGGATTACAATCTTTATGTAGCACGGTCGAACCCATCAACAAATCTCGCATACGAAGAAGGTCATGCATTGAAAAAACGTTTAGATGCAAGACATGTTACTATGATCGCTATTGGAGGTGCCTTGGGTACAGGGTTGTTGATTGGAACCGGTTCCGCTTTGAAAACGGCCGGTCCCGGTGCTATTTTGGTGGCCTACTCGGTGATCGGTTTCGTGGTATATATGGTTATGTGTGGGTTGGGAGAGGTAGCAACGTTTGTTCCTCTTGCCAATGGTTTTGCGGGTTACTGTAACCGGTACGTGGACCCAGCTTTGGGTTTTGCTTGTGGCTATGTCTATCTTTTCAAGTACTTGATCTTGCCGGCTAACCAGTTGGTGGCTGGTTCACTTACGGTACAATATTGGGTCAGCAAAGAGAGATTGAATCCGGGGGTTTGGATCACGATCTTCTTGTTGATTATCGTGGGTGTGAATGTGTTAGGTGTGAGATTTTTCGGAGAAATCGAGTTTTGGTTATCAACCTTGAAAGTCATCACTTGCTTGGGATTGATTTTACTCTTGTGGGTGATTGCTCTTGGAGGCGGTCCTACCCACGACAGAATTGGCTTTAGGTACTGGAAGAACCCAGGAGCATTTTTACACTACGCTGATGCTTCCAAGGATTTGTTTATTCCCGGCTCAAAGGGCCGTTTTGTGGCTTTTGTTTCTGTCTTGGTCACAGCAGTTTTCGCTTTCTTGGGTACAGAATTGTGTGGTATCACGTTTGCCGAGTGTGCTCGTCCCAGAAGAGCCATTCCAAAAGCCATTAAATTGACATTTTATCGTATTGTGGTTTTCTATGTGCTTTCCATTTTCTTTTTGGGAATGTGCGTTTCGCCTAAAGATCCACTTCTTTTGTCTGCATCTGGAAGCGACGCCAGTGCTTCTCCTTTTGTCATTGCCATCAAGAATTCAGAGATACATGGATTGGACCACGTTATCAACGCTTGTATCTTACTTTTTGTTTTATCGGCTGCAAATTCTGATATGTATATTTGCTCCAGAACCATTTATGGGTTGGCAGTTTCAGGTTACGCGCCCAAATTCTTCTCCAAAACTAACAGAATGGGTGTTCCTTACTACGGAGTGGGCTTAAGTTTCCTCTTTTGCTTGTTGGCATACATGACAGTGTCCAGTGGAGCCGCCGAGGTGTTCCAGTACTTTGTCAATGTCGTCAGTTTGACCGGTTTAATTGCCTGGGCATGTATCCTCGTGATCCACATAAAATTCATGAGAGCGTGCAAGAAGCAAGGAATCGATAGAAAGCGGGATTTGGCTTACAGATCTCCATTCCAACCTTTTGGTTCATATTTTGCATTGGTGGTTTGCGTGATTGTGATCTTTGTGAAAAACTTTACCGTGTTCTTGGGTAGCACTTTCACCTACAAGTCGTTCATAACTGGCTACATCGTGTTGCCTGTGTTTGTGATCATGGGTCTTGCCTACAAACTCATTAAGAAAACTTCGATAATCAGATCGAGCGATGTCGATTTGGAAACTTTTAAAGACGTCATTGATGCTGAAGAAGAAAAGTTTGCCGCAGACGCTGCTGAAAAGGAAGCTCTCAGAGAGGCACAAGGAAACCCCCACGACAAGGAATGGTACTACAACAAGTTCATCGGATGGCTTTTCTAGTAATGTAATGATTATATTAAGAAATTCGCAGCCAATTATGTAAGCTTCCCGTTTGTTCATCTCATCTCGCATCCTGTCAAACTAGGTGCATATGCATGGAACCACGATGCCCCATTCTGATCTGAGTGTGCTGCTTTCGCCGTTTTTTGAGATTTCTGCTACTGCCTATGGCAGAGGGTGCATAGCCACCTCGGATATACCGTCTGGAACCATTTTACTCGAGTGCGCGGCTCCTTTGGGTGCATGTGTGATAAGACCGTTCCGCAAAGAAGTGTGTCAAAGATGCTACGAATACAACGGCGGAAAGACATTGAAGTTTCGCATAGAGAACAAGAAGGGCAGTATCTATTTTTGCTCCGAGACGTGTCGCGCTTCGTTTGAGGAAGAGGATAATGAGAGCATTTTGCGATCTTGTCTCTTTGATTTGGAACACTGGTACCGATCCAATTCTTGTGAAGATAACTACGACGACGAGAAAAAAAGTCTTGAGGAAGCGTGGAGCGAGATAGAAGCATGGGAACAAGAAATTTTGAAAACAAAGAGAAAATCACACATGGTTCCCAAACTCACTGAAACAGAATATAGCGATATCATCTACATTCTTGATGTGATGTTCTCCCAGTACAAAGGTACGAATGAGCTCGAGCTTTCGCTTTTTGTGAAATTACAAACAAATGAGCAAGACAAGGTTGCAAAATACCCATATCTTTTGAAGTCTTACACTCGAATGTACAAGTACCTCAAACTAACCTGTGGACCTCAGCTTCAGCCATTTATAACTATTGACAATATCAGAAGAATCATAGGTACCAGTCTCACCAATGCGTTTGGAATATGGTCCTCCACCGTTCCTGGCGAGGATAAAGAGTACTTTGGGTGTGCATTGTACCCATCCGCATCATTTTTCAACCATTCATGTTCAGCCAATGTTTCACGAACTCGTCACGGCCGCCTGATTTCTTTCGTTACTTCGCATCCAGTTTTACAAGGCGAGGAGCTATGTATTCAGTACGGGAACCACACTACGGAGGATTACCATACCCGACAAAAAGATCTTAAAGAATGGTTTTTTGAATGTGGGTGCAAAAAGTGTGAAATGAGAATATAGAAGCAGATACACCTTAGAAGCATTAAGTCTATTATACATGATTCAGTCACAAAGTCAGACTAGAGAGAGTCAACATTGAGTAGGAAGTAGGACTCAAAGCCAGGACTTGGTACTTTTGTAAAGATGACCAAAACTCAAAACTTATCTCAGTAGCATTATAAATTCTCAACTCTTGAATGTTTTGTGCAATCGCCTTGTAGTTACCAATACCATCATCGCATCTCAGCAATGCCTTCAGTGCTCCTTACAGAAATAATTATCAGGCTTTTTTGTGAATTTCAGTTAGTTCGCTAATCTCTTGTAAAATCATGGGTCTCAAAAAAACTCTTATAATCCTCGCAATCAGCGGTTTCTTGGATCTTGTTCTGCTTGCACTTGTCCCAACGGGCTCTTTTTGGGCACTTTAATGTAGCCGCCAACACTCGGCGTGGAAATTGCAAATCAACCATTTTGGTTGGGTCGGTCAATCTAGCAGCGTATATGGTTTTTGGCGAAGAAAAGACATGGAAAACAATGTGGTCATAGTTGTTGATAGTATCCAAGAGCTGTGGGTCGGAATCAGAAGTATATTTGTCAAATTTGAGATTTTGGTTTCGTTGAAATTTTTCATTATTGAGAGCAGTTTTGGATTCAAGTTCTGCTTCGAAAGTTTCCAAAAGTGACGAATGGATGGGCAAAAGTTGGACATGCAGGTGAACGTTATCTGCTCTGTTAATCTCAAAAGATATAAGCACATACAGTGGGTATTTTTCAGCCAATGCATCAACCACAGACAGCCGGAACCGATTCATTTCCAAGTAGGTTGCATCTTCCACCACATTTGTTTTTGGTGAACGAAGGGTGGAAACGTGGTCTATGGGTATAATGATAGCATGGCATGGAAAGGGTATGTCTTTGGTAGGCTTGGGAAGTGGCCCTTTGGCGGTGGTGAGATATGCGGATTTACCGATCGAGACAATCATATGTTTTTCGACATTAGGATTGGAAAGACAAAAGAAACAGGATTCGGGACCAACTGCCTTCGCTCGTTTTGAAGAACCTCCATCAATGGTTTCCAATTGTCTTTTGCGTTCCTCATGCAATTGAGGCGGTAAAGTTGTAAATGGATTAGCAATAAGGTGAGAATCAGGAACAGCCACAGGCATTTGTGGATCGATTCCAAAAGCATAAAACCACTTTTCCCCAGTCCCTTCTTGACCCAAGCTAATAAATCGGGTTGTAGTATTGTCTTCCCATTTAAATGGAGCCAATTCGAAAAATTTCGAGGTTGGTGAGCCAATCGCAAAATGGTACCGAGGTCTTAAACGACTCACAACTTTATCAATATTGGAGTCTGCGACCAAAATGAGCTTCTCACGCGCTGCGATTGCCTTGGGCCACTTGTACGACACCAAAACGTCAATTGTTCCTGTTATTGAATCCAATTTTTCAGTGACCTTTTCAGCATCGAAATCTTGTCCGGAAAGGTACCCAATTTTTACTCCACTAGAAAGAGTCAAAACTGAAAACGGAGGCTGGACTAGGGTCAAGTTGGGCTTTATGTCTATGGAGGTGTCGGATGGAGTACTCAATTTGTCTTTGAAGGAGTCTGAAGGACCTTTAGTGAAGTAAGTTGGCTGATCTATTTTTGTTTTTGGAGTGGATACCACATCTCCCAAAAGCAAGACTGCGTCAAAAGCACCATTCTTTGTGCCCTGTAAGTTTGCTTTTTCGACAACTTTGTCGATATCCGCCGAGGGGTGGAGCACCAAAAATTTGGCTCTCATGATAGATGCGATGAGCTTGGTGCGATGAGCGTGAGAGCGCGAAGAGCATCAAGTGCGAAGAGCGAGGAGGAAGTTAAGAAAACGATGCTAAGAAATAGAGTATGAGCCATACCTTGGAGCTAGATAAGTTTAAGTAGATACCGCTGAGTAGATAGAGTTGATTAAAGAACTAGAAATACTTTTGCAGATTATCGCATTACATACTAGACATATATAGCGAAGCCAGTCACTATTCAGTCACTATTATCTCGACTTATCCTGAAGATCGGGAAGCGCAATTGCCTTAACGGTGATGTAGGTGTTCTGGGAATTGGCAATACCGGCGTAGGCATTGTACCAAGCTGCAAAAGCCGTGAGAATTCCAAAGACACCAGCGGCAGTTTTCACGCCGGTGGAGTTCTTAAACTCGGCAATTGCCAAAAGAAGGAACGTAATTGACAAGAAAAAGAACACCAGGAAGAAAGCTACCGTCGACTTCAATGTCACGAGCATCAAGAAAAACGTAAAGATGAACCAGCCAATGAGAAAAATTCCCAAAGCGAATCGAAGTTCTTCTTCGGCACCAGCGTACGCTGCGGTAATTCCAAAACTGGGGGTAAGAATGGCAGCATACGAGCCCCAGAAACCACCATAAGACGACAAAGCGACACCACCAAAAGTGTTTCCAACAGCAATCTCAAACATTCCTGCCACTAATTGAGCAGCACCACCATAAAAGAATGCCAAACCAACAACAATGTTAGGAATAGTGACACCTCTGGCACCAGTATTGATCAAACTCAACACAAACGTAGTCAAAGCGAACGCAGACAACCCAAGAGGTGCTGGGTTGGCAAAGTTGTGTTTTGGAGGAGGCGATAAACCGGGGTTCAAGGTACCACCAAACGCTTCGTTTAATTCAGAACGCAAGTACTTTTCATTTCCAAAGTGGATGTAGTCACCCTCCGAACGAAACTTGGTAATGTTGTGGTGGTTTGTATTGTCTTTGTCGGAACCATCATCCACCATAAGAGTGTGGGGTTTTGGTTCCTGGTTTTCCAAGTCTTGAGTTGCCATGGCGGAGTAGTGCAAAGTTTTCCGAAGACGATTAAAAGGTTTAGTTGTAAGCTACCAGCGCTGGCAATAAATAGTTGCGATGAACCTGGGGTATTTGATGATAGAACCCGGTATAAATATGCAAATTGTGGGGTCGGCTCTGTTTAAATAACGCCGATGGGCCCACAACGTAAGTCCGAGTCGCAGCGGGGTCGATGAGGTCGGTGTGCAGGACACCCCACATGAGTCTGTGGAGTTAGGATTCGGAGTTGAGGATGCGTGAAACCGAGAGACGACGAGGTGGACTTTAGATTGGAGCAAAGCAAGATAAGGAACGAAAGCAAAAGCGAAAGCTTTGCTTTTGGTTTCGAATCTAGTTCGGATTTTGATTTTTCCTTTTACTTTTCCTTTCTGTTCATTTACCTTTCCTACTTTTCGCTTTTCGCCTTCCCTCGCCTCTTGGCGGTAATATTTCGTATGTTCCCACGCGCACAAGTGACACCACCGCTTGGCACCCCGCATCCCCGGGCTTCCTCAGAAAACTCCGGACTGCACGGACATCAAACCACCCATTCACAGTCGGGCACGTGAACATGGTTGCAGCTGGTTCTAGTGGTTAGTCTCTTGGGGCTTCAATTTGGGATCAATTTCGATAGAAACTGTTCTTCATACCGTTAATCGAGATAACTGAATGTTCAGCTGTGAACTTAATCAAGGTATGGAAGATTGGTGATGAAGTAATGAAGTGATGAAGTATTGAAGGCTGGTTATGACAGGGAATGTGTACCTTTCGATGCGCTGAATTGCATCAGTTAACTCAAATTGAACCAAATTGACTGTTCACAAAATCGCTTTTCAGTACTAAATGAGTATCATTTTTGAGAGGTGGGAGCCAATCAGTAGACACTTCGGTTCCCGGTTCTCAAGCCTAACAGATCTTATTGGTTTCAGCATTTTCCAGTATGAAGTCGGTCTAGTACTGAGTCCATTTGTCGATCAGAAGACGAATGAATAACCGAAATGACGTTAATCCTGCTCATGATGCTTGAGTTGAACAGTACCACAACTAAACATTTCGCATAAAAAAAAGGTTATTAAACCACGCTGCTTTCTGCTCCTCTTCTTTAATAACCTCCCTAATCGCAAACAATGGCTTTCAAAATGGATTCATGACTGTTCCATTCGTCTCCTACCAGAGATAACAGGATAAAGTATCCTGATCGGGTGTGTCAGTCCATCATTCCTGCACATCGCTGCTGCTTCTTTAGGTTTGTAGAAAGTTGTTTCGACATTGTACTTATTGAACCGGTAGCGTTCAATGAGCAGACAATTCAAATAGGTCCGCTTGACTCTCAAATCCAATGTAGACCGCTTTTCTTTAAATCGAATCTTCTTCTTACTTGGACATCCAAGCATCAACTACTGCTCAAGCAATACCACTTTCTGCTTTCAAGTCACCATTAACTTTTGATTCCTCTGAAAATCTGGCTGATTAGTACTCAATTCGACGGCTACTCATCCTCTATGACAGTACGATACCACACAACTCGAATTGATTCAGTTGATCTCCTCACTTGCTAAACCCACAACCTTAATTGCGAACAATGGCTTTCTAATGACCGTCGTCTAGCGGAGATAATAGTACTGCACTGTTAAATCCTGAATCTGACACAATCAAGTACTGTTTGATAGTTCGTAAAAGCTGTGATAGGAAGGTCCAACTGCTAAAGACCTAATATAGATCTTGACTCTCATCAGATGAGCCAAAGCAATGAGATGTGAATTCCATATTTGGTATTCAGATTCCTTTGTAGGTGTCTTTGTTTCAGCTGAGCTTCTCTGTTTCATTTGAAGCATCTTATGAACTTATAGCAGACATGATATCCGATGACTTGCGAGGTGCTCTGGTTCAAACACCCATATTTTTGTAAAAGCCGTGGTAGAAAGCCACCATTACTGCCCATTGAACTCTGTTTTTGGCAGATTTACAGTTGTGATGTGGCATTCAAAATACCTTGTTTGGCTTAATCTGCCAGTTGAGACTAAATCTGGTTTATGACACCGGCTGCTAAGGCCGACTGCCGCCGCAATTTTTACTTATTCAACAGGTCATTTGGCGTCAGTGCTATTGCTCTCAGAATTGGATATAACAGTCGAAATTGTCATCCATGTCCTGTCGCTATACGAACTTTGCCAATACCATATGATCAATCTATTCGATCTCTAGTGCAGATTCATAACAAACAGTCTGGTTATAATGTCAATCGAGTTCTGATCTTGTCTTTCGATAAACAATGAATTATCAAGCTCAAAGTGTTGTCTTTGTTAGCCTGTTCTGCAAGACAAGCAGCTAAAATGTTGTAATTTTCGCAGGCAGTGGTAGAAGATACAACCGCAAAACTTGTAGTTAACAAGCTTAGAATGCACCCTTTCATAGTTATCTGCTCCAGGCGTCACCCAGAATGTTGGGAACGACGACGCCTCGAGATTGAAACAAGTACTCCCAGATCTCATCCGGACATTTTCTGATCATTGTGAAAGTCTGAGTGTACTTGATTGTTTCAAGAATCCCTTAGCATCGTATCTGATTCCATAAGTGTGGGCTTGAAAGGTTTCATTGTATCAGAGAAGGTCCAACATGGACAGAGTCTGCAGCTAGAAATTTTCATCTTCTTCCAACTGATAAGCGATTGTCACTTGATATAGAAAAGACCAAAGATACTGGTGATCTGAAAATCTGATGAATTCAAGATATTAAAGTTCTATCATCAGATGAGCCGATATATACACTCAAAGCTGGGGAATACATAGGCTCAAGGGTTAACTTGTTTTTGAAGGTGTCTAGATTGAGTTTGAATTTAATTAGTCTAGAGGAATTCAATCTTCATCCTTTAATCTGAAGTAGACTTATCATCATTTTGTTCTTCTTGTCCTTTACTGATTAAGATTTTTGTTATCTAAGCGACTGATCAAGTTCGGTGCACATACCTCACTCTCACTTTCTAGGCTCTGAGTTGAACCGCGCGGTTTCCTGCACACACCCAGAGATCATCCTGCATCGCTTGCTCGCTGCGCTCCCAAGCTTCACAGATCCTGCATTGTTTGCTCGCTGCGCTCGCAATCGCTCTTCTCCTTTGGGCTGTTTGTAAACACTCTCATTTAGTATATGTAATTGGTGTTTCCTTCTCTCACCATGCTTTTCAAATCCAAACGTTCCGATATGGAGAACCTCTCGATGTCAATGGACAACGTGTCTCTTATGGACATAGATTCACCGAGCCATACTGCTGTGAACAAGGAAAATATTACACCGTTGTCGTCGCCTACAAAATCCATAGTACACAATTCTTCGTCTCCGGTAGCAAACCATGCCTACGCTGCCAGAAACCCACCCAAATTTGCCATAGCTACCACACAAATGCCAAAACGAATCCCACTCACCGAGGAAGAATTCAGAAGAAAAGCCAATGATCCAAAAACCAAAAGATTGGCTTCGGTAGCTCAGCTTTACTTTTTAGACTATTATTGTGATATGTTTGACTATGTGATTAGCAGGAGGGATAGAACCAAGTTGGTGCACACAAAACTTGTGCAAGATCCCAATTTTGCTGCCAATCCTCAGCGCCAGCAGCTTGAATGGAAAAATTACATTGGCAGAGAAAGGGCACTTTTGCGGAAAAGAAGACTCAAGCCAAAACACAAGGATTTTCAGATGATCACCCAGGTGGGCCAGGGGGGATATGGACAGGTTTTCTTGGCACGGAAGAACGATACGAGAGAAATCTGTGCTCTCAAAATCTTGAACAAGAGCCTTCTTGTAAAGCTTGATGAAACCCGCCATGTGTTGACGGAAAGAGACATTTTGACCAACACTCGTAGCGAATGGCTCGTGAAGTTGCTCTATGCTTTCCAGGACCCACAAAAGGTTTTTTTGGCTATGGAATTCGTACCTGGTGGAGACTTTAGAACTTTGCTCAACAACACTGGCTACCTTGTTCCTCCCCATGCCCGGTTCTACATCTCGGAAATGTTTGCTGCCGTCAACTCTCTTCACGAATTGGGGTTCACCCACAGAGATCTCAAGCCTGAGAACTTCTTGGTCGATTCGAAAGGACATATCAAATTGACCGATTTCGGTTTGGCCGCGGGAACGGTGTCTACGGACCGTATTGAAAGCATGCGTATGAAATTGAAGAATCTTCAAGACTTGGATAACTACGAGCTTCCTTCCAGCTCGATGTCTGAGCGTCAAAAGATTTTTAAAGAGAGCCAGGGCCATTTGAACTTGGCCAATTCCATTGTAGGGTCTCCCGATTACATGGCACTTGAAGTGTTGGAGGGCAAGAATTACGATTATACTATTGACTATTGGTCGTTAGGATGCATGCTTTTCGAGGCTCTTTGTGGATACCCGCCGTTTTCTGGTTCCAAGCCCGACGAAACATACTACAACTTGAAGCATTGGAAATCGTCGTTGAGAAGACCCCAGACTAAAGACGGCCGTTATGTGTTCAGCGACCGTACATGGCAGCTCATAACTCGCTTGATAGCGTCGCCAGAGACCCGAATCAAGACTTTTAGACAGGTGCAAAAAATGGCGTATTTTGCTGATATTAAAGACTGGGCCAACATCCGCAAGAAAACACCTCCATTCACACCACAACTTGATAACGAAGAGGATGCTGGATACTTTGACGATTTTGAGGATGAGGAAAGTATGCAAAAGTACAAAGACGTATTCGCTCGCCAGGAACACAATGAGCTGTTGCTCGAAAGATCGGGAAACAAAAAAGTCTCCAACAACAACTTTATAGGTTTCACTTTCAAGCACAAGCTCAATCCAAACAACAAGTTTCTGAACGAGTTGAATCTCCTCGCACAGACCGGCTCTTCGCGCATGGACCCGTTAGCAACTTTGTACTGACCACTTATATATTCGTTCATTGTTTCCAAATAAAGTCTTGGGAAACTTTCTCCTGTAAATATGTGCGCTGCTCTTGGTGAACACTTTCGCATTCCTTTTGAGCAATATCCAAAACTTTAAAGAGCTGTTCGCTTGTAAAGCTTCCCTGACTCTCCACAAGCAACAACGAGTCTGCTTTGGCGTCGTGGATCCCATAACAGACTACATGGTTCGATTCGCTTTCGGTGATGACTTGCGGAGCAGGATTTGCAATTATTTCGTTTTTGTAGATAGCAATGGGCACAGCAGCAAATGAGCAAAGTAGTGGCACATTGGCATCTATTAAAGCATAGTAGCAAGCATTGGCAGCGGCACTTAGCTGGGAATTGGTATAATGGTTCGGTATAGGTTCGGTGATGAGAAACTGTATAACAATTTGAATAAGTTGTCTGGGGTTCTGGAACCGAGCTATCACATTCTGAAGGAGCGACAAAAGCTTATCCTCCATTAGTTTTTCTCTGGTGGAAGAAACACCAACAGCAGGACGAATTATGATTTCGAAACTGGATTGGGTTGGAAGTTCGTGACGTAATTTCGGCTCGATGGGGCCAGTTACAGACACCACGACCTTTGTGCCGCCTACAGTGAGCTGTGAGGAGCCATCTACCTTTGTCAAGATCGACGTGGAGAGGTGGGAAGTCATGAGATGAGATGAGATGCGAATTCGAACGCAGTGAGAATTCGCGAACTTAGTGCGAAGTTTGCCAGTACATTGTGCAAACTCCAGTAAATTGTGCGAATTTGCGGACTCAGTGCGAACTCTGCCGGTAAATTGTGCGAACTGCCAGTAATTTGTGCGAACTCCAGTAAATTGTGCGAAAATGTCCTAGTAAATTGTGCGAACTCCAGTAAATTGTGCGAATTCGCGAAACATCGCCAGTAACTTGTGCGAACCCTGCCGTAATTTGTGCGAACTGCCAGTAATTTGTGCGAACTGCCAGTAATTTGTGCGAACTCCAGTAAATTGTGCGAAAAAGTCCCAGTAATTGTGCGAATTAGCGAACTCTGCCAGTAATTTGTGCGAACTCCACTAAATTGTGCGAACCAGAATTGTGCGATCGCATCGAATTCAGGTGATGGACCTTCAGGATGAACTCCTACGAGATTGGGACGACAGTGATGTGGAAGCTCAAAATGAAGCTGAGCATGGTGGTGGCACTCAGGAAATAGGAAATGATACCAAAAGCGAACAAGACCACCAAAAAACAGAAGAAAATGACACCCTGAATAACCCTTCACCACAACAAAATTCCCATTCAGACGAGTCTCTTCTAGAATCTGTTCGCCAACTTCTTACCCAGAGAAGGCAGCACGATATACAAACCAAATCCATCACGAAAGAAGTTCCAATTTTCACCTTTCTACCACAATTGAGACAGCTGTTGGAGCGATTTCGTGGTGGTTCAACAGACTATATGGAACTCTTAAACAGCATAGAAAAGCCCGAATCCAACGAAGAGTACCAGTTTGTGCTTGCTGTGAACGATTTGGCAACGATAATCAACGACGAAATTCGATTTCTTCACTCTTTTGTCAAACACCATTACAAGCTCGTTTTCCCCGAACTTGACTCATTGGTTGCATCTGCTATAGATTACGCCAAAAGCGTCCTTGTGCTCAAGCAGGACTTGGCACTGGTCCGCGACCACCGCGACGAGTTGGCTGGGTTTCTTTCCAGCGAGAAAATCTTGCTTTTGACGATGGCTGCGGTGCAAAATGGTGATCATTTCAGGCTCAATGATTTCGATATCCGCCAGGTTCTCGACGGATGTGTGATGATGGTGGAGCTAAGCTCGTTTTTGGACGAGTCTAGGACGTACATTGCACTGAGAGTGCAAACAATGTGTCCTAATTTGGCGAAGTTAGTTGGTTCCGTTACTGCGTCTCAGCTACTCGTTGCAACCGGTTCGTTGCGCCAATTGGCAGCGACTCCAGCATGCAATCTTGCATCTTTGGGGGCCAGAGAATACTCAGATACCGACGATAATACCGCAAAAGGCGCTGTTCGCCAAACTGGATACTTGTTTCATTGTGATCTCGTGAGGTTTCTTCCTCTAGAAGTTGTCAAACAAGCCATGCGAATTGTAAGCGGAAAAGTTGTGCTAGCCGCCCGTATAGATCTAGCAAGGACCAGTCCAGACGGCTCTGTTGGTGCTAGTTATCGTCAAGAACTTCATGAAAAAATCGACAAGTTACTCACTCCTCCAGAGAACCGTGGAGACAAGGCACTTCCTGTTCCAGTGGACCAGAAACTGAAAAAACGAGGCGGAAGAAGGTTCAGGAAAATGAAGGAGCGGTTCCAGATGTCGGAATTGCGCCGAGCACAGAATCGGATGCAATTTGGAAAAGCTGAAGATACAGTTTTGGACAGCTTTGGTAATGAAGTTGGGTTGGGAATGAGTGCTCGAGAAAAGATTGCTGTTAATGAGAATACGGGTGCACGAATGTCTAAGCGAATGGCTGAGAGGATAGGAGGAGACGACAAGAGACAAAAGCGATAAATGGGAATAGAAGAGTATGGCTGCAAAATACTAAAAGAGGTATAAATCAAAAAATTAAAAAATTAAGAAAACAAACTAGTCATCGTTCGGGATAGCTTTAATAGCGTTGTTAGCGTTGCTAATCTTGATATCCTCAATAACCTAGTTAGCCTGATAGCTTCTTTCTTATTTCTCTTATCTTCTTCTGACTCACGTCCTGCACCGTCGTGAGCCTCCCTGCACAGAGGCTATACCTCGAAAAAATTTGTCGTTGTATGGTCCATAAGCTAGGGGTGTTACGGACTGTGGTACAAAGACTGATACGATACTACACGATGAGTGACGCTACGATTCCTCAGGCCGCGGCTGGTGAAGGATCCAGACCTAAAACAGCCAAAGAGTTGGAAAAAGAGAAAAAAAAAGCTGAAAAGTTGGCCAAATTCAACGCAAAAAAAGCCAAACAGGCTGAAGATGCCAAGAATAAACCTGCTGCCAAACCTAAGAAGGAGAAGAAGGTGGCCGAGCCTGTTCCAGAGTGGAACGATACCACTGTAGCTGGAGAAAAAAAGGTTTTGGCTTCACTTGATGATGCTGCTTTCAAGGCATACAATCCGAAAAATGTTGAGAGTTCATGGTACAGCTGGTGGAACAAAAAGGACTTTTTCAAGCCCCAATTGACAGAAAACGGCGAGATTAAACCAGAAGGAGCGTTCACCATCCCTGCTCCTCCTCCAAACGTCACTGGTGCTTTGCACATTGGACATGCTTTAACGGTCGCACTTCAAGATACCTTGATTAGATACAATAGAATGAAGGGAAAAACGACTCTTTTCATCCCTGGGTTTGACCACGCTGGTATTGCCACCCAATCGGTTGTGGAGAAGCAATTGTGGGCTAATGAGAAGAAAACCAGACATGATTTCGGACGTGAAAAATTTGTGGAAAAAGTGTGGGATTGGAAAGAAATTTATCACCAGCGTATAAAAGACCAATTCAAGAGATTGGGTGCCAGTTACGACTGGAGCCGTGAAGCGTTCACCATGAGTCCGCAATTGAGCGAGGCGGTGGTTGAAGCGTTCGTTAGACTTCATGAAGACGGAACCATCTATCGTGCTTCGAGATTGGTCAATTGGTCTGTCAAATTGAACACGGCTCTTTCCAACTTGGAAGTCGATAACAAGTCCATTCCCGGACGCACGTTGCTTTCCGTACCCAACTATGACTCCAAGATCGAGTTCGGTGTATTGACTTCATTTTCTTACCAGGTTGAAAATTCCGACGAAAAAATCACCGTCGCTACCACCCGTCCAGAAACCATGTTTGGTGATACGGGTATTGCTGTTCATCCCGACGATCCTCGCTACAAACATCTTCATGGAAAGTATGTTCTCCATCCTTTCTTGGACCGCAGAATTCCCATTGTCACCGATGCCGAAGCTGTAGATATGGAATTTGGAACTGGTGCCGTCAAGATCACGCCCGCTCACGACCAGAACGATTATGGTTGTGGTAAGAGAAATAACCTTGAGTTCATCAATATTTTCACTGACGATGGTCTTTTGAACGAAAACTGTGGACCTGAATGGGAAGGAACCAAACGGTTCGATGCTAGATACAAGGTGATCGAAGCGTTGAAAGAAAAGGGTTTGTTTGAGGGCCAGAAAGATAACGAGATGACAATTCCTATCTGCTCTCGTTCTGGTGATGTCATTGAACCTATCTTGAAACCACAATGGTGGGTCAACCAGCAGGAAATGGCCAAGGATGCCATCAAGGCTGTCAAGGACGGTGAGATCACCATCACTCCCAAAAATTCAGAAGCTGAATATTTCCACTGGCTCGAAAATATCCAGGATTGGTGTATTTCCAGACAGTTGTGGTGGGGACACAGATGTCCAGTCTACTATATCAAGGTCGAGGGAGAGACTGAGGACAGATTGGACAACGAAAAATGGGTTGCTGGAAGAACTTATGAAGAGGCCTTGGAAAAAGCGAAAAAGAGATGTCCAGATTCCAAGTTTGAATTGGAGCAGGATGAAGATGTTCTTGATACCTGGTTCTCGTCTGGTTTATGGCCACTTTCGACCCTTGGATGGCCCCACAATACCAGAGACATGCAATTGTTCAGTCCTTTATCCATGCTTGAAACTGGGTGGGACATTTTGTTCTTCTGGGTGTCGAGAATGATCTTGTTGAGTTTGAAACTCACGGGAAAAGCACCATTCAAGGAGGTTTTCTGCCACTCGTTGGTTAGAGACGCTCAGGGCCGTAAGATGTCCAAATCGTTGGGAAATGTCATTGATCCAATCGACGTAATTACCGGTATTCCATTGCAGACTTTGCACGATAAATTAAGAACTGGAAACTTGGATCCTCGTGAATTGAAAAAGGCCGAGGAAGGCCAGAAGGCTTCATATCCTAATGGTATTCCTGAATGTGGTACAGATGCCTTGAGATTTGCATTGTGTGCTTACACCACTGGAGGAAGAGACATCAATTTGGATATTTTGAGAGTTGAAGGGTACCGTAAATTTTGCAACAAGATCTACCAGGCCACAAAATTCGTGTTGGGCCGTCTTGGGGACGACTACAAGCCACCAGCATCTTCCAATTTGACCGGTAAGGAACTGTTGGTTGAAAAATGGATCTTGCACAAATTGACCCACACCAATAAAGCCATGTCCGAAAGTTTGGATAAACGGGATTTCTTCGAGGCTACCAATGCCATCTACAATTTCTGGTACGACTTGTGTGATGTGTACATCGAAAACTCCAAGTCGTTGATTCAAGACGGATCTCCAGAACAAAAGAAGTCAGCACAAGACACCCTCTACACATGTATCGACAGTGCCTTGAAATTGATCCACCCATTCATGCCTTTTGTCACCGAGGAAATGTGGCAGAGACTCCCTCGTCGTGGTGGAGACTCTACCGAGTCGGTTATGATTGCCAAGTATCCAGAATACACCAGCGACTTTGACGATGTCAAGAGTTTGCAAGCCTATGATTTGGTATTGGATATCACCAAGGGTGCACGTTCGTTGTTGGCACAATACAACATTTTGAAGAACGGTCAAGTTTATGTTGAATCTTCTAACAAGGAATCCTACACTATAATTTCTGAACAACTGGACTCGATAGCTGCGTTGATCAAAGGTGTAGAAAGTGTCAAGGTTGTGTCGAGCAGTGAAGAAATTCCTAGTGGATGTGCTTTGCAGTCGATCAACACTGAATGCTCAGTGCATGTTCTTGTTAAGGGCCAAATTGATTTGGACTCGGAAATCACAAAGGTGCAAAAGAAATTGAACACCATCAAGGACCTCGAAAAGAAGGCATTGGAGGCTATTGGCAAGTTTACGGAAAAAACCAATGCGGAAGCCAGAGAAGCGGCACACAAGAAGGTGGAGAACTACAAGGCTGAAATCGAGGGCTATGAGCACACGATTGAGGTTTTGGAGAAGTTGAAGTTGTGAGTGGAGACACAATTGACAGTAAGTAGTAAGTAAGAGTGTAAGAATAAATAAATCAATTGAGATCAATTGAAAAGAAATTGAGTCAATTGAGTCAATTGAGTAAAACAATCAATCAGGCAATTGACCGGGTCAGGTTAATCAAGTTTGAAATTTGTCACTTCGTGTTGGATTCCGATTTCGTGTCGCTCGTCTTCTGCATGGAGGTGCGTCGTCGCGCGGGCTTATGATGTCATGCAGCCCGCATTAGGAAACAGCGCCGCAGAGAACAATCTGCCACCCAGTCGGGGTGAAATTCACTCCACCATATAAAAGGGGTCGCGTTCGCCCCTCAATTGACATCAACATGGGTTTTGACGATTTATTAAAGAAAGGACAAGAGGCTTTGGCTGGCAAGGACGGCAAGATCGATTACAAGGAGTACTCCAAGGACGCTCAAGAAGCTTACAAGGACTACAGTTCGACCGAGGGAGACTTCCAAACCAAGGCTAAGGCTGCTTACACTGGTTACCAAGAAGATCACAAGAAGGATGCCAAGAAGGATGAGAAGAAATAGATTAGATAGTATTCATGCAATAATATGCAGGCGCCGCTTTTAGATCTCATGTAGGTTTGACGTCTGCACGTTGAAATTTCTCTGCGCAATACATGCATCCCATTATAACCACCGCCTGGATCGACCGAATACGACTGCTGTTTCAAGCCATTGAGCTGGTTCTCGTTCTCCACTATGCGACCAACACAACAGACCCTGTTTTGGCTCGGCTTCTCGATACCGCGTCGCTGTATGCGAATCTTCGTATCAACTTTGCCCATTTCGAAGTTATTTTGTATTTAGTTCCGGGGTTTTATTTCGTATATCCCGACTACCAGCAGGTGGATGCCGTGCATCTCTACCGGATTTCACCTCCAAAACGCATCCAGGTGCTCGAATTTACCAAATCCATCGAAACTCGGCGCACTCAGTTTAACCATGCGATTGAAAAATGGCTAGCTGAAAATCAAAATCTAGGCTATATTCCCGCCGTAGAAATACGAGACGTTGCTATGAAGAACTATACAAAGCCATTGGCCAACTCTCCCACGAAAAAAATGTCTCCAAGTCCCACCAAAGTCACCAAGCTCAAAAACGATGTTTCTAGATTCCGGTTTAAAGAACGTCTGGAACAAGAAGAACTGACCAAAACAGGTATGTCGTTGCTTGAACGTATTAGGCTGAAGGAGAAACTTCGAAATAGTGAAAATTCCGCGACTCCACAGCAAAAATACGATACTTATATCGCTGGAAAATTGCACCCAGTTTACGATATTTTGTACCAAGTTTGCAGTAGAGAACCATTACCAAAACTGCTTCTGATGACAAAGTTGATAGGAACCGTCCGTGATAGCTTTTCGTATCCAATTGCAATTCTGGAAGTTAAAGATACATTGCACAAACTTGATGAGATATTACCGTCTTTGTCAATCATCACCAAAGCAGGCACTACAGTGGTGAGAGTTGAAAGCTTCGACAGAAGCAGGGACTTGGAAAGGATAATGAGAGTGGAAAAGGAAAGGGACTAAATGTGAATACTGTAAATATTAATCAAGTTCAACTAACACTAAATCGCACTATTCATTGAGCAGTGACCCATTTTTATCTTTGACTTGATTGTCTTGACTTGATTTTCTTTCTTGATTGTCACTTATCTCTATTATCAATCTCTTCTGGCAATGTCGGCAGGTTCGGAGTTCATGAACGCCATCTTCAATCCGACCTCAATCAACCAAGTGGCACCCAAATCCACTAAAATGGAACCGGTCAATTTCGTTTTAAACAATGTGTCCATCTTGACAAACTTCATTTGCTCATTTAATTCGGGGAAGAACTCAGTAGACCCGGCGAGTGCCAATCCAGCAACTCCCAACAACCCATACCACATTCCTCTATTATCCTTGATGCTCTCCTTGAAAGGAGGACCCTGGTAGTTGACAGCAAACGTAGAAACTTGTTGTGCCAATTGCAAAAGGAACATACCCGTGTTTAATAATGATGGAGAAAATTCCTTCTCGAGATCAACCTGGGGCTCACGAGGTTCCAAAATGTAAATCTCTCTAGTAATGTAGATCAAGGTAATTATATGGACAGCAAACTGGCCAAGAATCGATCCCATAATGTACTTGTTGAAGATTCCCGCTTGGGGTCTTTCTTTGGAAAGCTTTTCAAGAGGTTTACCCTTCGATATCGACAAAAAGCATACCGACAACAACACACCACTAATGGTACTTTGGGCGTCTCCAAACTTGATACCTGCAAGATAAAGTACCGATAAAGAGTAGGCCGAAATCAAACAGTTGAGTGCCAAAATCTTGTACATTTGAATGGTGGTGACCAAAGCACAACGTCCTTGACGAATAAGGTGGGTAACAGTAGACACAGCAGACAATTTAGAAGTAAATGGTGCAGCAACAGAAGCATCACCAAGTTTAAGAGTTGGTGCCTCGTCCTCTCCTTCGGCTTCATTCAACGCATTAAGAACAGAATCAGCAAGCGAGGCAGCTCCAGTTTGCTTGTCGACCTTGATTGGCGACACACCTGTTTTGTTAGCAAGCGAAACCGTCTTTCTCAATTCTGGAGTGATTTCAACTCCTTTCTTCTCCATCGCTTCAAGGTATTTAGGATTGTATGGTCCAGGAGGGTACAAATGAGCAATAATAGGTGGGACGGGAGGAGGAGGTTTGTTCCAGTTGGCAAGAAGCTGTACCTGTTTATCGTAAACTTTCTTGGTGGCTTCCATCTTTCTGTTCTCAGCAATCTTTTTCATTCCCTCTTCAGTACCATTCAACAAGGCCACACCAATATGAGCTTGTTTCAATGCACCGACATCGTTGGTACCATCACCACACATGAGTGTCGCATATCCAGCGTTTTTCAAGGAAGTCAAAATGAACTCCTTCTGAGCAGGAGAAACACGAGCATAAACCCATGTATGCTTCAACAAGTCTAAAATTTGTACGTGCTCACTCAAGAAATTAAGTGCGTAACCAGTAATACAAATATCGTGTGTTTCGAAAAGACGAGTGTTGATACGATCGGCACTTCTAAAAGGCATCACAAGCAGCTCATCAACATTACGCCAAACCAAGTTCTCCCCTTCTGACACAGTGTGATGTTCCTCAGGGGCATCTAAAATCAAAACATCCTTGGTAGTGATCTTGACTTCTTTGGCAACATGGCAAGCAGTTAATGGATTATCACCAGTAATCATCACACATCTGTGCGACGACTCGTTCAACATTTTGATAGTCTCTACGGCATCATCCTTCAATGGACAGTGGAAAACAATAAACCCAGCAAAGTGTAATCTAGATTCGATGTCTTCACGGTTGACTTTGAGAACATTGACATTTGATTCCAAGTGTTTGTATCCAAGAGCTAGAACACGAGAACCAGATCTGGTGAAAGACTTGTAAATCTCTTCGTACGAGTCGGGAGCATCAATGATCATCTTACGGAGTGTTTCAGGGGCGCCTTTGACAGCAACAAAGTTTTGCTTTTGGCCAGAAATCGAGGATATAGCTGCTGATCTTTTCAAAGCAGACGAAAATTGGAAACGACGGAGAATTTTGATCTTGTCAACTTTTCCCTTTTCGTTTTCACGCAGAACAGTATCATCCGAGCCAACTTCCCAGTGGGCAGCTTTCAATGTAGCTTGTTCCATTGGGTCACCAACGACTTCACCATCATTTAAACGCACCAACGCATGAGCTGATCCTAAGACTAAAGAGGTGGTTTCTGGTGCTTCCTTGCAGGTGTACAAATGGTGAATATCGTCAGACTTGAATCCTGCCAAACCTTCAAAAACGAGATCTTCAGCGGTGAGAGTACCGGTCTTGTCGAAACAACAAACATCAAGGCGACCAGCGAGGGGAATTCTGAAAGGCTCAGTGCAGAAGATATAATGCTTCGATAAAACAGCAAGCGAAGCATTGACAGCCATGGACAATTCCATTGGAAGTTCTGGTGGGACAACAGAGGTAATCACAATAATACAATCAAGGATAAGCTTGGACTGAATACGTCCCATCTTCGTACCTTCAACCCAGACGTACCAAGAAGCGGCAATAGCGAACTGAAGCAAAAAGAGAATGAAAAGGAAGGATTCTTTGTTTCCAACAGAAACTCTTTCACTTGTAAAGACCATCATTCTGACGAGCGAACCTTGCGAGGTTTCAAATCCAGTCTTGATAACGTATGCAAGAGCACCGTTATCTGGGGCCAAGCTAATGCTAGAAGCTGATGGAGCAGTCACTTGCAAAACCAGGGTTCCTCCATGAAGCAATGAGTTCTTATCCAATCCCTCGGGGTCAAATCTTTCAGAACCTGGTCTCAAGCTGACAGACTCTTTCAACAACGGTGTCAGTTCACCGGAAAGCATGGCTTCGTTGACAATGGCACTTCCATCCAAAAGCAAAAGATCACAGGGAAGAGCGCTATCTTCGGCGGTACGTGTTACGGAAACAATATCTCCAGGAAGTAGCTCGGTAGTTTCAAGCTGGGTCCATTTACCGTCACGGAAAACGTAAAGTAAGTATGGCTTGATTCCCATGGTCTGAAACTCTGTCATTGTGGTACGACGTTGAAACACTGTAGTCATTTCAAAAGACACCAACATGAAGAGAGAGAACAAGGAGAAATACCATTGATCGTCCATACACCAAAGGGCAACACAAAAGATTTGAAACACGAAAAACGGAGCCACAGCGTGCTCTTTGAACAACTCCAAAAAGGTAGGAACGGGAATGTCGAACCGATTAGAGCCATACTGACGCCTCAACTTTTCAAGGTCGCCTTTAAGACCTCTGGAGGTTTGAAATTCGGACAACGTGGGGGATGCATCAACCAAGAACTCCGGTGGAGAAAACTTTCCAGTATCCTTGTGGAACAAATGACGACGTTTTTGGAACAGAAAACTGACCTGGATCTCTCCATCGGGAAAAGTTTCCCTCGATATAGGACAAATCTCGCCGGCACCAGTGTTGGGAGCAGGGGTGATCTTGATGTGAGATGCTTCAGGAATCGAGTTCACCTTCACATAGTTGAACCGCGAATTGATGTCGAGATTCCAGTGAGGCATCAACCAAAATAAAAAGTTTAACGACACGATAAGAATCGAATACACAAAAGTCCACTCCGAACCGCCAATATACTTATCGTACTGTTGGGTGTAGATCTGAATACAGATCGGATATACGATTGCAAACGGCCACACGTACGGCCTAGCCCACAAGGGCTTCGGCACCATGAGCTCAGCCGATACAATATCGGGATTGTTGACCAAAGACATAGTGAACAAGTAGTGAAAAATCGTGGTCTGGTGGCGGGTGTCGCAGTACAGATCCAGACACCCGTAGATAAGCAATAGGTCCAACAACGATGCGGCGGTCAGTGCAGTACAGATCCAGACACCCGTAGATAATCCCTGGATCCAACGATGCGGCGCTTGGTGCAGGTTAGACTGTGGCATGGACTTGGAGAGGTGGTGAAGTTCTTTTGTCAATCCCTTCAAGTTTTGTCTTCTTTCTCATTTATGTCGTTTTCAAAAATACCTGTCGTGGACCTTTCTCAGGCGGATACCAATCGATCTCGGCTACTTGACCAGATCAGGCATGCGTTAATCGAAGTGGGTTTTCTCTTGCTCACGAATTACCAGGACTATGGGCCCACAAAGGAAGATATTTCGGCTATAACCGAGCAGGCTGAAGAGTTTTTCAAACTTCCACAACCGGTCAAAGATGGTTGCTCGATGATCCACTCCAAGCATTTTTTGGGGTATACCAGACTTGCCAATGAGATAACTGCTGGTCGCATTGATTGGCGTGAACAAATTGATTTGGCAACCGAACTTCCAGCTCCGCCTGAAGATGCTCCCATATATCGCAATATAGAGGGTCCCAATCTTTGGCCCGACGAAAAAGCAGCACCCAAATTTCGTCCAGTTGTTCTTCACTGGATTGACAAAATGACCCAGCTCAGCACCTACTTCCGCCAGCTTGTATGTGAGGCTTTGGGGATTGATAAGGATGCAATGGAAGCTTATTTCAAGGAAAATCAGCAGTGCAAAATGAAAATTGTTGCGTACCCCGATGCCGGTTCACTTAGCAGCAACGAGGGCCATTCTAAACCTGATGGTCAAGGTGTTGGACCACATCGTGATTCAGACTTTCTTACTTATATCCACCAGGCCACACCACATACTTGTCTCGAAGTCCAAAATTTTCAAGGTGAATGGATCTCAGTAGAAAACGTTCCTGATACTTTGGTGGTTAATGTGGGCCAGACACTTGAGGCTATCACACAAGGAGTGTGCAAGGCTACTATTCACCGAGTTATCACACCTAAATCTGGGTCTGGAACTCGTATTTCAATTCCTTTCTTTTCAACCATTGACCTTGACGCTAGAAAAGCAGCACTTGGATTGCCGGATGAAGTATTGAAATTGCGAGATGAACGAGACAAATTGATCGACAAGTGGGCGGTGGATGTAGGGTTCCAATTCTCTCCTGATCTTGCAAAGTATCCAGTAGGTAGGGCCGTGTTTCAAAATAGGATAAAGTCACATCAGGATGTGGCTCAAAAATGGTGGCCCGAGATCTACAAGGAAGTGATGCTGCAGTTCTAGCAAGCAGGAGAAGAAACAAGAGTAGCAATGAGACAAGAAGTTAGCAAGCGATTAGCAAATGTTATCAGATAGTAGCAGTTGAAGGAAGCAATTAGCGTTCAAGTTATTAGCAAGTGTTAGCAAGTATTTCAGATTGTAGTAGATTGGCAGTTTAGCAGTTTAGCAGTTAAGCGTGGTTTATGCGGTTTCGGTCTTTGCTCTCTCCAATTGTCTCGATCGATCAAAATACAAGTTTGGATGTCCAATATGCTCTGCTTGTACGTTATGTGTTATCTCGAAAACTCGAGTACAAGCAACCGTATAGTCTTTTCTTTCCACATCGTTGAGTACTCCTTTCATATCCACAGCGCCAACACCCATTTCTCCTAGTTGTGTTGTGAGGGCATCTACACTCAAATCACGATAAGGGCAGCCATGGTACTCGTTTTTGCCAGGAAGTGGTCTCAGGAGAATTCTAGCACAGTCCCAAGGTTTGTAGTTTGTCCGTGCACCTTCCAAACCGTAGGTGTGACGAATGTTATATTTGAATTCTTTGTTGAACCGTTCTGGGGTCATTGCGTGAGGACCGCTGGTAAAACTATGGGACCAAAATTTGAGGGCTTCGTCGACACTCAAACCAATTCCCTTGAGGAAGAGAGAGAGCTGCTGGCGGCCCTCATGACGAAGATGTGAGCTAGCTATCATGTTAGTCTGCAAGTGTTTGGCACACAATGGATAGTGATTGGTGATGGCAGGAGTCGTTACTGACGCTGCGTTTATGTCCGAGACAAGCGAAGGGTCCGCGCTGAAAGCTGGATCGTATTCCATGCTGGCGAAGTTTTGGCCCAAATGGTTGAGAAGAGGAAGAAGTCTATCGTCTTCCTCAAGACGTGGAATAGACTGAAACGTGCGGAGAAGATCGCGTTGAAGAAGTTCCTGGAACTCCAGTGCTAGTAAGCTGAGCTGAAGAGTTGAGGGAACGTATCCGTAGCCCAGTTTGAGCAAAACCAGACGCGTGGCCACGAGACTGGTGATTTTCTCAAAAGGTACCTTAATAAAGTTTTCGTTGCGAAAGTGAGCACGGAGCTGATCGGTGGTGATTTGGCCATCAGATTCGGCCGCTAAAGCGGATTTGACGGTGGCACCCGTGGCAGCAAAAAGCTGGTCAAATAACGCCAGTTTTTCGTCGGAATCGATATAATTCCACGGCAATTTATCGTGGTGATTTGTGATGAACTGGTGTTGTTCCTTGGGTTGCATGGCATTGTATCTGATCTTGAAGAGCACGGTTTCGTTCCGTACAAACTTGCGACGTAGGTCCTCAGTTCTGCAAAATACGAGACGAAGAATGAAATGTGAGTAATAATCCTTTTTCAATTCATCAATTTGAGAGTTGTTATTTACGGGCCACGTTCCTAAGGGAAGTAATTTCTGAAGCAACGGTCTCACCGCCGTCTCTGTTTCCCGAAACGATCTTCCACGAGCCATACAAGATTCAATCTCGATCAAAATTTTGAGCCTGTCGATGGCCCAAGATTCGAATTGCTCCAAAGTGATTTCTTCTGTAGGAGGAACATCATAAAACGATAATCTGTGATTGGGGAGGTCATTACGAGGAGTATAAGTTCCCTCAAAGTTCCTACGGCCAGCCGTGCGTCGTTTAACTTGGCGGAACATGTACGCGTATAGACGGACGCGTTGATTTTGAGGTGGTGGTGGTGGTGGTTGGCTTTGTGGTGGTTGGATGTGTTCGGTATTCTCACTTCTCAGCTCTTGCGATCGTCGTCATCATGTCTGTCACCATTGATGCTGGCACGTTCCACAAACGGCTCCTGGTGTTGCAGCAGAGCATTGTGGGCCTGGAGAACGGGGCTGTACTTTTAATGACTGGTACAAACGATGATAATAACATTTACAAGAAAACCACCGTGACCCAGACCTGGCTCTTGGGATACGAGTTTCCTCATACTGCCATTTTGGTGACCGCTGACAAGTGCATAATACTCACTTCGGAGTCCAAGACGAAGCATCTTCAGGAATTACCGAAAAAACCGTCGCCAAACTCGTCCGAAGTGGAGATTTGGACGCGTACGAAAGAGGCGGAAAAGAACCGTGAACTTTTTGAAAAATTGAAGAAAGTTATGATGGATTTGAACAAACCAGTTGGTCGTCTTGATGTAGGTGTCTACGAGGGCAAATTTGTGGACGAATGGAGGGCAGTGGAGTCGGTGAAAAATGAAGATGGTGGGGAGCTTCAGTATAACGATGCCGCTCCTCTAATTTCGGAGGCATTGGGTCCCAAGGATGATGAAGAAATTTCCCTCACAACGATAGCAGCAAACGCGTCGGTGGTGATGGTGGACACTTTTGCCAACGAAATGGTTTCTGCAGTGGACGCTGGCAGGAAAACCACTAATTTGGCGCTTTCTGAAAAAATAGAAGATCTGATTGAGTCCTCCAAATGGTACACCAAAGGGCTTGGAAAAAAGCTTTTGGGAGGTGAGAACAATTTTGACCCGGATTTGGTTGAATGGTGCTACTCCCCCATCATTCAGAGCGGAGGAGACTACGACTTGAAGGTGAGCGCTACGTCCAAAAACAAAAAGTTGGCCGCAAATGGAGTGGTTTTGGCCCTGATCGGCATGCGTTACAAGTCCTACTGCTCCAATTTGGCCCGGACCTTTTTGATAGACCCCACTCCCACCATGGAGAAGACGTATGATTTTTTGCTCGAGCTTCAGCGGCATGTTGTTTCGTTGCTCCGCGCCGGAGCTGAGGCCCTGAGCGTCTACAACGGAGCTGTGGACTACGTCAAGGAAAAGCGCCCCGAGTTGGCACAGCAACTAACGAGAAACTGTGGTTTTTTGACTGGTATTGAGTTCCGCGACTCATTACTAGTTTTGAACGCCAAAACCGATCGGAAATTGAGAGAAAACGAGGTTTTTTCGTTGTCTGTAGGATTCCACAACGTTGAAGACGAGAACGGAAGTCCTTTCTCCGTGTTGTTGACTGATACGTATCGAGTCACTTCGGGAGAACCTGTTTCTATGACCACCTATGCCAAGGAACGGCCGGAGATTTCCTTCAAATTTGAGGACCAAAAGGTCAAGACGGAGACCAAAAATGGGCTTGACCACCAAGTGGGTCGCGCCGAAGCCAGTGGCAGAAATCTCAAGAACAGGACAAGAAACGAACAGGCGGAAGATGAGACAAATGCCGAGCAGATTCGTCAAGAGCAGCAAAAGCGGCTTCATGAAAAGCGCCAGCAGGAAGGTTTGGCTCGTTTTTCAAAAGATGATGCTGCTGACGGATCGGAAACTAAACCCATTTTCAAGAGATATGAGTCTTATATTCGCGAATCGCAGATCCCGCTGACGGTAAGAGACTTGAGAATCCATGTAGACTACAAGAGTCAGACCATTCTCATTCCCATTTCCGGCCGTCCAGTTGTTTTCCACATCAATGCGTTCAAAAACGGACTGCAGAACGAAGAAGGAGATTTCACTTATCTTCGTCTCAACTTCAATTCTCCCGGAGCTGGAGCTTTTGGTGCTAAGAGAGCGGAATTGCCGTACGAGGACGATCCTGATTTCCAGTTTTTGAGGTCGGTGACATTGAGACTGAGAGATCATCAGCGAATGGTGGATGTGTACAAAGCGATTTCCGACATGAAGAAAGATGCTGTGAAGAGAGAACAAGAGAAAAAGCAAATGGCTGACGTTGTGACACAAGCATCTTTGGTTGAATTGAAGGGTTCGAGGGTACGTAAACTTGAACAGGTTTATGTTCGTCCACAGCCAGATACAAAGAAAGTAGCGGGAGTTTTGCAGATCCACGAAAATGGTTTGCGATACCTTCTGACGTTCAAGTCTGATCACAAGGTGGATGTGTTGTTCTCGAACATTAAACATCTTTTCTTCCAGTCGTGCAAAGATGAGCTTATTGTGTTGATTCACTGTCATTTGAAGAGCCCAATTATGATCGGAAAGAAGAAAACATTGGACGTCCAGTTCTACCGAGAAGCTAGTGAAATGTCGTTTGACGAGACTGGTGGAAGAAAGAGAAAGTACAGATATGGAGACGAGGATGAACTTCAACAGGAGCAGGAAGAACGTCGTCGGAAAGCTGCGTTGGATAAGGAATTCAAGGCATTCACTCAGCTTATTGTGGACTCTCTGCATGGAATGGTTGATGCAGAAACTCCATTCAGAGAGCTTGGATTCCAAGGTGTACCATTCAGACTGGCGGTGTTCTGTATGCCCACTGCTTACTGTTTAGTGTCTCTTATTGACCCACCATACTTGGTTATTACCTTGGAAGAGATTGAAATTGCCCAGTTGGAAAGAGTACAATTTGGACTCAAGAATTTCGATTTGGTGTTTGTTTTCAAAGATTTTAAGAGACCGGTTGCCCATATAAATTCGATTCCTATGGAAGTGTTGGAAGATGTCAAGTCGTGGTTGACGGATGTGGACATTCCTTACAGTGAGTGGCAGATGAACTTGAACTGGCCTGCTATTATGAAGACGGTTCAGGCCGATCCATATCAGTTTTTCGAAGACGGAGGATGGGGTATTCTTGCTGGAGACGATTCTGAAGACGAAGAATCCGAGGAAGAAGAATCGGAGTTTGAAGCATCTGACGTTGATCCCTCGGACGAAGACGACAGTGTGAGCGAAGAAGACGCATACTCCGAGTCTGGGTCTGGGTCTGGGTCCGGTTCTGATGTCAGTGAAAGTGAGGGTGAAGACTGGGACGAGATGGAGCGCAAGGCTGCCAAGGAAGACAGCGGATGGAAGGATTAGGAAAAAATAAAGAATAGCGATACGCAGCGAAAGATAGCTATAATAGCTATATCAGTTTATAGATTAATCTATAGCCTTCATATCGATCAGAAGACAATTTCTATTTTATTTGTAGTTTACTTTTGTAACCTGAGCCTGTATTCCTTACGAGACTTCATATTCTGTAAGTCTAAAGTGAGAAATGGTATCTGAGAAGACATAGTATATTTGATACGTTTATGGTAATATCTTATGCCCTACATTATGAGAACTACTCTTCATAAAGTGGTTCATATACCTCAGTAACTTAAACTATGAAATAGGTGATGCCCTCAGCTTATGATACTTAGTAGATAGTTATCATTTTTAGATTTAGTTCTTTAGAATGACTTTATTTAAATTTCAACCTATAAAATTAGGAGAGTCTTTGAAAGTAATTATGATATCAACCTACACCAAAAGTCAAAATTCCATAAATATTAAGCCTTTGAATGACATTAGATTTCATGCGATTACATCAAGATTTATTCGTTTATCAACTCTCGCTTTTCGCTTTCATTTTCCTGCACACCCGCCTTTCGCGACTTCGTCGCTTTTAACACAGTTACAACATCATGGGTGACAACACTGACGACTACTCATACGACTATGAGTACCTCTACAAAATCGTCCTTATTGGAGATCTGGGTGTAGGCAAGTCCAATCTTCTTTCTCGTTTTACTAGAGATGAATTTAACCTCGAATCAAGATCCACCATTGGTGTGGAATTTGCTACCAGAACTTTAGAAATTGATGGTCGTCGAGTTAAAGCTCAAATTTGGGATACTGCTGGTCAGGAGCGGTACCGGGCCATCACCAGCGCATACTATCGTGGAGCGGTGGGGGCGCTTATTGTGTATGACATTCTGAAAACGGAGTCTTATGAATCGGTTTCTCGGTGGTTGAAGGAGTTGAAAGAACATGCCGATACCAATATTGTCATTGAGTTGGTGGGAAACAAGAGCGATTTGGACCATTTGCGTGCTGTACCCACAGAGGAGGCCAAGCTGTTTGCTAACGAGAATAGTTTGTTGTTCACCGAAGCGTCGGCGTTGTCGTCCGATAATGTGGATTTGAGTTTCCACCAATTGTTGAAAAACATATACGAGATGATCAGCAAACACCAGCTTGACACGAACGACCAAGGAGCACAGAAACCTTCGGGACCTACCATTTCCTTGACCCCTGCTCCGCAAGAAAAGAAAGGAAAGAATAACTCCAACTGTTGCTGAAACACTCCAACTGTTGCGAAACAACTCCAACTGTTGCGAAACAACTTCAATTGTTTGATCATTCATGCTAAATACTGCTGCGCCTAACATATCAATGGTCATCTATTGCTTGCTATTGCTAATGCTACACATCTCTCTGCTTTCTGCTATTCTTCACTTTGATTTCTGCTTTCATTGCTTTGATTTCTGCTTTTCGTCATTTTGCTTTGCTGCTTCACTGCCGCCGGAACCCTCGTGGAACCTTCACCGGCCGAACAGCCTTGGTGGTTCCCGTGCCTTTTTCAAGACGTTCCGTCACTGAGGTGGGTGGTGGAGACTCGATGCTAAGACCCACTATTTGCTCCCCGCGCAAAATAACAAGTCCCAACGACCGTTTCTGCTCTGTGGGTCGCTCTGCACTGTTTTTCTTGAGTTCTTGAACTGCTTTCTTGGTAAATCTGCCTTCTTCAGCGTTGGCCAAAACCAAGTTTAGGTGTCCATCGAAGGCCAAAAGTTCTCCAGTAAAGCTACGGCCATCTATACTGCTCACTCTCAATCGGTAGTGGAGCAAGTCCGACATTTTTGTCTTCTTGGACACATTCATTGGCACCAAACTGGTTAGTGATGAGCGCAGGTTTTGGGACTGGTGCGGGTGTTTGGATCTTTTTCATAGCCGCGATTAGTGCAATTGACTTTCATTATCACCCAGTTGCTATGGCTGAAGAAGAAAAACCCCCAGTTTCCGAGTCCATTGAGGACAACAAGGACGACAAGAAGAGAACCATTGACAAGGTTGATGATTCTGTGGAAGATGGAGCTGAAAAGAAGCCCGAAGCGGCCGTTAAGAACGACGGAGAAACCGCAGAAAAGCCCGAAAAGAAGCACAAGAAAAGAAGAAGAAGACAGTACGAAGATGAGGTGCCCAAGGAAAAGTCTGAGGATGAGGGAGAAGACGAGGAAGACGAAGACGATGACGGTGACGAAATAAACGACGAATTGGCTGATTTGGACGATGAAGACGATGACGATTTGGCGGAAATTGACCCTGCAAATATCATTCCCAGTGGACGCAGAACCAGAGGAAAGGTGATTGACTTTACCAAGGCTGCGGAAAAGTTAAAGGAGGAGGGTAAAATAGAGGACGACGAGGGCGAGGACGGAGAGTATGGAGAAAAGTAGGAAGGAAGAAGAAGAGAGGAAAGTGAAGAGAATTGAGTAGAAAGGAAAAAAATTGGTGAAGTCCTATGGTAAAGCAGCTAAATTGAGTAGAGACCATAAGACTTAAAGGAAGTGTTTTAATGAAAGAAGTCTGATAAATGTAGTAGTGAGAAACTCTTACCAGAATTACCATTGAAAAGATTTTCTTTAGAGCATTGTAACTACTTATAGCTTGCAATACCACAAACTTATGTTAAATTTTCATAAGAAACCTCAAAGAGAACTGAGCTTCAAGCTCTACTTATCCAAACTAAGACACTCAGAAAAATAAAGAGTCTAATACTAACGTTAAGAGAGATCTGAAACTCTATTAGAACGAATCATAAACTATATTTAACTCTGACCTAAGGCCCTTTTTCTTTCTGACTTGAGTCTATAAGCTGCACTTCTGACTTGTCATTCTATAAGCTGCGCTAATACGCGGTGCTTCCGTAGTAAGGATTGGTGTATCCCACCACGTTGGGATTATAGCCATACATTGGGTATGACCACACATTGGAGCCACGACAGCTCCAGTCGTCCTCGGTGGATGTGGGGTACGCACCGGGACTATATGGTTGATAAGACGAGGATGAATATCCACGATGATGATATGGTGACAATGGCGAAGATGGAGGAGGAGTGACACTGTCGTTATACTTTTCGAGCCACGTGGACCAGCACTCTTCCAAAGTACGGATATTGTGTTCGAAAAGTACCACGCTGAGCTGCCATTTCATCTCCTTAAGCCATGATCTCTCTTCCAAGTTGAGAGACTCGATCAGCAAACCGGTGGCACCACACCAGCTGCGATTGGTGAAAGTGTTGTCGTCGTTGAATTTGTTGGCGAGAACCATCGAGGTGACGATTTTGGAAAAGATGTCAGATTCCAGCATTTCAGAAATTTCGTGCGAACAGAACCGCTGGTTGATATACTCCAACGCCACAATAATGGTTGACCGTGAGAGTCTGGTGGCGTAGAGAACCGACACCAAAAGGCTCTTGAATTCGGCCAGAGCGGGTCTCAGTTGTTTGAGCATGCCATACCCGCACCACGAGATAAAGTTGGCCATGGTGGAGATGTCGTAATCCAACACTTGGCTGATTCCGCCAGACACTGGAGGATGATCCGGCAAAGGTGCAGGGGGAACATGCACCGGAGGAGCCGGAGGAGCCATTAGTGGCAAGGGAGCGGCCATATAGTGGTGATAATTGTGAATAATTGGATGACCACTGTATTCGTCGTAGTAATCATAAAGTGGTTGTTGTGGTTGTTGTGGTGGTTGTTGGTGTGGATGATAATAGCCATACGCCGGAGCCGAAGCTGGAGCCGGCGCTTGCTGAGAATAATACGATTGAAACATCAAACAAGTCTTAGTGAAAAGCTCGTTTGTAGGCAAAGTAACCAAATACTTCACCAAGAAAATCCAGGAAATGGATTATGGGATGATGACCTTAGAGGTCTGAACTATATTCCTGTGATCACCGAAAACGTCTATTAGAGACAGAAACCGATAATTCACAAGGAAAGGAAAAGATGCATAAGTTTCTCAGTCATATATGATTATTTGTACGCAGGCCAAGTGACACAAAACCGCCGCAAATTTTTTCTGCTGTCATGAGTCGTGCGGTGGCTAGTGGCTGGTCTAGACCGGGCAATAGGGGCTATGCGGCGGAGTAGGAGTTAGTTATGTGCAGGATGCTCTTGTCCTGCAGGGAGTTCGGTTGCAACCAAGTTTCGTAAGTGCGAACGATAGTTTCGTCTAAGATTTCGTCTAGAAGGCTATTTTTAAATTGTATGATGAAGTAGGTAGATTAGCGAACGTCCTTCTATATGTGAAATGGATTTATGATTTAGAATCATACTCTGGTACTGGAGTATAATTTCTGGTTTTTATCACGTTCTAGTATTTGGAGTCCTACATTATACTTGGAGTCTAACACTCCAAATTTTTAGAATGGTAACAATTCATACGTAGCTCATTAGCACACTTTTGGCTCGTCAGAATAAGGGCTATCTTTAGAAAATGACTGTGTCAAGATGATCCTGATTTCAATGCTGGCTTCAAAGTTCAGGATCTTCAGAATAGCACAGAAACTTCAATTGACAAACAGTATCAGATTTGTTTACAATTGTTGTCAGCATTGAGGCATTAGACTCGTTTTCGATTTTGAGTGAACACGTGCTACTTAACTATTTGTTCATTAAGATCAAAAATCGTTTGAGTATCCGATTGTTGTTCAATTGATGGAACTCAGTCGATAGTGATATAACTCGAACACTAATAGCGTCTCTTAGCTGCCAAGAAAGAGGCGGTATTGCGGATGTCAAATACAACTTTGAATTGACCGCTACTCTACCATAATCGACAACTATTCTGCTTCTTAAGTTCAATAGAAGATGGCTCGTTATAATACATCAATATGAGTTCATGAAGTCAATTCTTCAAATAAGCGGCCAGAAGATGAGAAAAATATCAAGTTTAAGATTCAAAGATCATTAGCTGTGTACAGTTCCACGTTTTCATGTTTGTTACCGTTGAAAATCCTAACTTGAAATAAAATTGAGACTCAATTTATAAACTGCAAATCATCATAATTAGCTCCTTGAACATTTGTTCATGAATAATCTGTGTACTACATTGTCTCATCTTTAATTCCTATTTTTCTTTTACTTATATTTTATTCTATTTCTCGTATCTGTCTATAATCTATTCCCCCAATGAGGTAAAAACGCTGCGAATTGGGGGAAGTTTTGTTCCGCTAACGGCAATGCTGGAATCGGATTGAGAATTTTGGGATGCCTCCGCCACGGCAGCAGCCGCCCCCACCAAATTGGGGGATGATCCTGTTGGGGTTGAAACTGTTGATGGTGGTCGTTGAGGTTGCAAATGAGGTGATTGCAGTGGGGTTTGAAGTGGGGTATCGGTGGGGGAAATAATAAATCCAGCTTTTCCAGGAGCTTGATCAAAATTATGCAAAACCGGAGATCCGGGCCGTGACCGTTTGGATGGTGGTTGTCCAAATTCGAGGTTAAGCGAAGATGATGAAGTTTGTTTAGGAACAGTAAATTGATGCGAGGGTGTCTGGGTCCGTGAAGGTATATTTGGCTTTATAGGTGTCATTCTTTGTAGGGAACTTAGAGATCCGAGGGAGGTTAAATTTGTTGCTGAAGAAGATGCAACCCTTGACTTTTGATGGAAATAATCATGTAAGTTTGAAAGTGACAAATTGCTCTGATGAATTGCGGTGGTCAGAGGATGTAAACCGAGGCCATGAGGTGGTGGTCCTCCTCCTTGTTGGGGGGTGGAACCGGGTAGTCCCCCACTATACCCCACGAATGCGGTGGGTGAAGTACTGAGGGAATGGGCGGGAGAAGTTCCGGCGCTGCTGGCAGCGAGTTTGAGCAGCAGGGCGGAGTCGGATTTGGAAAGTTGCGTGGGGGATGATGGAAGAGAATAATGGGCGCCATTTTGCGGGGTTGGCGTTTCCATGGGGATGGGACCCGGACCTAGTGGGCGCGGAATTTGATTATGCATTGGGATGGATCCCGGAGGTGGAGGTGGGGGTGCCGATCCTTGCATTTGATGAGAAAGAACGTAAACCGGTTGATGATAATACCGATTCCCATTTTGGTCGACGGTGACCGGAATAGCAGGAACTTGATAAACCTGTTGAGGTTGCTGATGAATTCCGGGCCGGTCATAATAATCCGATACCAACTTTTCGTTTTGACGATTCTTGCGCTTGCGAGCGCTCGGATTGTTATGTATCCTTAAATGACGGGTGAGTTCATCCGACCTCGAAAATCGCTTGGTACACCCCGGAAACGTACATGGGTGGGGCTTTTCACCGGTATGAGTTCGGATATGCCGGGTTTGATGCTCCAACCTGTGAAACGCCTTATCGCACATGGGGCACTTATAAGGCCGATCCTCTTTAGGTTTGTCCGACAGCATGGTGGGGGTTTCTGGGTCACACGCGGAAAAATTTGGTAATATTATAAAAATTGATTGATTAAAATGTGGTTTAAAAACAAAAAGATATGCTGAATTCAATCTCACTGCATCGTGTGGCTAGCATAAAATGACACAAAGAACCGCGGAAAAAGTTTTTCCGGACGGCATACAGCCCCCACACAGTTGCATGATTTCCCCCGCTCATTGGCCAGACGTTGGGCTGTGTGCCGGAGACATTTCTGCCCCATGGGGTGCGGGGCAATAATAGGGAACCACCAAAACCACAAGTATCAATACTATAATACATAGAATAAATATTTGCTTATAGAGTCATGTTATATTGTCCGATCTTGATCTCGTTGTCTCGTTGTCTCGTCGTCTCGTCAATATTTAGTGGTCAATGGTTTGTGGTCGATGGTGATCCGGAAAAATTATCGCAAATTTGACTTTGTCAAATTTACTTCAAATTTAAATATCATAGTTAAAGTCCATCCACTGGTCAAACCACTGTAAATTACCCAAATGCAAATTTTCATCAAGAATCCCCGAAGACAGCAGTCCCGGGGTAACATCGAGGTCGGGAATTGGCTGCGGCATGGTGGAAGAAGGTGCATAGAACGGATTATATTTGGATTGCGGCGGGTTGGGGGTTTGCTGCGACGACAGGCCCTCGCCATAGTCTTCTTCGGCAATTCCCATTTGAGAAAAGTGCTGTTTGTTGACTTCGGAAGAACCATGGTCAACTCCGATATTATTCAAGTCGGAGAAATCTTGTTGAAGACGCAATGAAAGAGTTCTGCTGGTCATTTTAAGAGCCCATAAGCACTCGCGCACCATGGTGAACCTGTGTTTTGCCTGGATTTTCCCCTGGTCATTGTGAACCGCAGCTTTTTGAAGAACGGTGATGAGCTTGATGGCAGTTCGAAACATATGTTTGGCTTGTTGGACTCGCTGTCCGGCATGAATAAGTGTTAAAGAGTTGACTCCGACATTAAATAGCAACACTAGAGTGCTGTACCATGGAACATAAAGAAGTTTGGCCCGGTGGACTTTTTCCAATACTCCAAGAATACCCATACAAGAAGTGAAAACCCGGTCGATTTTGAGTCCCTCGTTGACAATTCTTTTGCCGAGAAAGTCAAAGAGTATCTTGCCGTGAACACACATTATCAAGTCGTAGTAGTGTAATTTTATCTGAGCCAATGCGAGACCGGAAATTTGCAGCCGTCGGTTTTTGCTGAATAAATCGGTGTCGGAAAATTCATTTTCCACAAACCACCGGTTCAAATCCTCAAGCTCCTTTTCCACTTGCTGGTACTTGATCAAGTCAAAGTCGTCGTGCTCGGAAGTATGCACATAGGTGGCTATTCTGGCAATATGCAAAAGTGCAAATGCCGGTTTTGGAAGCCAGGTATCATTTTCCGACTCATAATCCAAAATGGGGAACGGTCTCTTGACGTGCTCCATCGTGAGAGCTCCGTACCGACCAGTTTGTAACCCAAAAACTCGTTCCATGGTGAAAACGGCCCAAAATATTCGCTTCGCTTTAAGCTGCTCATACGGCGTAGAATTGGCCATAACCATGTGGTTTTGTCCCAACCCCATCAGCCGGACCATGGTGGTGGCCCGGTTAAGTGCTGTGTTTGCTGAGGTTTGTCGGTGGGAAATTCTGAGGTAAAGCGTGATGAGAATCCAGGCTTGGACAAGTTCGAAAGATTCCCATTCAAAAGACAAAAGATTGACCACTGAATATCCGTATCGAAACGCTGCCACCTCGGCTTCTAGTGCTGCCATTGAGGGACCTTGTGGCTTCAGAAATTCCTTAAATCGAGTGGAAAGTGCATACATGAGATAGAGCTGGGCCAGAAATAACCGTGCACTATTAAATCTTGCCAATGATTCCAGCGACTGATTTTGCTTATCGGCTTCTTCCTTGACCAACTCATTGTATGCCATGAGCTGCTCACGAAAAACTGGCTCATGAATAGCCCCAAAAACACTGTTGATTTCTCGGAAAAAATAGTCCACCAAATCGGCCTCATCGACGTCTAACTGCGGGGCGGTCGGAAGCGGTTCTGACGGAATATATTTGACGCCGGATAAATTCCACCCAAAATACTGCGACCTCGGAACTGATACAAGCACCTTATTTTCGTCCAGAAGTGTCGTATAAAGTGTGGAACAAAGATCATGAAGCAATCGATTTTGGTGTCGACGCAGGAACCGCCATTTGGACGTTACAGCACTAAGTATTGGTGGTCTGGGATTTTCTTGTTCCCCAGTATTAATATGCAAGGGTGCAATTGACAGTGAGTGCGGCGTGAGAAGCAGTTCGAGATAACGCACCCGGTTTTCGAGGTGCATTACGTATGACAGATCCGGGGCAGGAGCTGAGGCAGACGATCCAAATAATACCGGAACATTAATATCCAAATTTCTTCCAAGCAGTTTGGTTCCATTATCTGTAAGTTTCAGAAACACGCATTCTTTATTATGTTTTGAACAATTAAGACAAGGCTGTTCTCCAGAACATTTAACCTTTTGACTTCGGCATCGGTCGCATGCCTTGGATGCACGTACTCTTACACGTTGCAGTTCTCTAGCGTCAACAGGTGTTTGCAGCCTTAAGTCTGCAGATTGATGAGCCATTGGTGGGGGGACATGGACCGGGAATATCAGGGGAGTCGGGCCGGATCCGAGGGTGGGATGCATGCCCGGAAGTAGATTCGAACCGGGTAGATCCAGATCTAGCGCCCGTTTTCTCATATTGGACTCGGTGCTACTGTTGTGAAACGACATGCCCGAATAAAGAAGGGGTTTGTTGTCTCTTTTATCCATGGTGGATATGAACATGCAAAATCGATACTAGGGTAAAATGTCGTGCGCGACATGGCTGCGGCTCACACCAAAGCCGGCTCGGCCGGTTTAACGGGCGCAGCGCATAAGCACTATTTCTAACGCGCTCCACAAAATTAAAGTAAACGATATGTGAGTTACGTATCATTTAAATCATGGTTACAGTTGCAATTAGACAGGTAACTTCTAAACCAAAACTTTACCATGTCTCTTTAAACTACTAATTAACCACTCTCTACCTTTTTCTTCATATCATTATACATATATTTACTTCCCTTCTAATTCCACTCCTTCAAACACCACACTAGCACACTGCCTCCATGATCTAATCTGTTCGACTATTTTGCAATTGGTAACCTTTCGCTATGTAATTTTGCAACATTGCAATTTTTCGCAACTTCGCATTTTTAGATTCAAGTCTTAAGTCGGTGTCGCATTTCTCAAACCTCCTCTTTCTGCATCACAAATTCATGACGCGGATGTGCAGATGTAGAATTGGGTTCTGTAGCACTATTGTGGTTGCTGGGCTGTACTGGACCATTATAAGGTGCAGTTTGAGGGTTGGAATACCGCTGGATTTGAGGTGAAGGATATCCGGCTGCGTACTGATTATCTTGTACACCTCTGTAATCTTGTCCAGAAACTGGTCGTGTTGATGGAAGCGTAGTGTCTGTAGGCTGGGGTGGAGGGCTATAAGTTGGGGCACCCAAAGTCAGAATTGTGTGAGCATCATCAAGTTCATTTTTCACATGGACGTCCTCAAATTTTTCCGGATGTCTTACTCTATAATGCTTTACAGCAGACGGGAAGAGATCCATAGACCACATCACCAAGAGCAATCCGTACCAGTAAGAAATCAACCACTCGAAAACGGCCGATTTACTGTTCTTATCTTTCTTCATATAAGCGCCGAAAAAGCATGCGAAAACGGCAGCACATACGAGCCAGAAACATTTAAACCAAAACGAAACCATGTACAAGTTTCCCCATCTGTGATTGCTGAAAATGACTTTTTCGTGATTGGGACTGAGCCGGTGGGGATAATTGCCAAAAATAAACGAATTGAAAAAATTGAAAAGACAAGCAAAAAAACAAAACGCAATAAATACTCCCACCATGGAGATATGGACGCGATGAAAAGCATTGGTGTTGAAGATTGCCACGAAAAGAATCCCCAACTGGCCAATAATCGCACAAACAATACTAGCAATAGCAAGCTTGGGTTGTCTTTTCAGAACAAACGGCTGCAATTTATGTTTTTTTCTCAAAACAAAATCCATAATTAATGATCCCACAAAGAAAATCGCCTGGAATCCAGCACATGAAATGAACAACGGTTGTAAATTAGTAGCCCCCACATCAGAAATATAAACTGGATTTTGCTTTTCGTCCATAAAACTGTAAACTGGTCTTCCTTGAACACCCCAACAAATAAGCATGGCAGTAAGCATTCCCCACCATACTACCAATGCCACTAAAGGCACAAGGTAGTAGTGGACCTTTTTGAACCTGAAAATCGTCCAGATGGGATCCATCAAGAATATTGAAAGCAAGCAAGAAGAATGAGCAACAGTCCGCAGCCGATGCGCAGCCGATGACACTGGAACTGCAGGTGGCAGTGCAACCAGTGGGACTGCAGAGAACAAAGAGCTATACTGCATATAGAACAAGGAAACGGACTGCAGATGGAACAAAGAGCGATACTGCAGATAACCAGACAATATACTGCATACAAAAAGAATACAGCCTGCACACAATGTCTTGTCCTCCTGCATTGTGCGCCTGACCGGCCGCACCGGCCTGCACCGGCTCGCTTCCCGTGGCGGCACACGACCCAACAATGAACAATAGTTCATCGCTACTTATTGTAATAAGCAGTGGCGTCCCACTACCGCATTATCGCTTGCAGCAAATGCATGACTATTGATTTACTGCAGATGTTTCAGAAATGCAGGTTAGGGCACATGAAACAAGTGCATATTTTTACCCCCACCGTCTCACATGCCGTCGCGTCTTTTAATTTGTATCGGTTGCAACAACCAATGAGGGGAGCCATTCTTGGTATGTTAGTTCCGATTGCGATAACCCGCCGCACATGGCGCATGAGCCCAAAAGTGCAGATCAAAAAAAGTGCGTTTCAACTCGATTTCCTCATGCGCATATGGGTCACGTGAAAAATAAAACAATAGATTCCGATGTTCATGCCCGACGATGCAATGCGCGAGATCAGGTGGTAATTAAGCTTCCAATTTGTTCGCATGCAGCGGCTCACACTAGACGCGGAGCAATGCGGTGATAAACTACGAAGTACCATTTCGTCAACTTGAATTGGCCACGTAGACGGTCGCCTAAATTCTATTACATTTCATCATCATACGATATTTTATTCTCAAGTACTGAATTGAGTTTAGCCGCCTGCATCTAGAATTAAGAAACCGAATTTCATTTACAATACTAGGTTATAGTTGGCCGCGACACTTTTGCTTCTTAAGTCGCAGTGCGGAAATGAGTTTGTCGGCAGTTGAGGAGGTCGCAGTGCGGCGGCGCACTACTGCGTTATGGCGTAAGCTGCACCTAATGCATTGGTGCGTATGTAAAACCTAATCTATGATTGCGCCAGAATGCGCCAATTCGTATTATGTTGTCTAGACGAATTCCTAAAGACAAAGGTCATCAAGTTTCAGTTTTCTATTGTTTTGCCATCCTGCACCCATGTTCCATAATTTGCTTTTTTTTTATTAATGTGTTGCAGTAACCAACCATACTAGGCAGAAATCTGCAGGTCGTGCAGTTTGTCTTACCTCGCATTTGCTTAAAGGATTTGTACCAATAAAATTTTTTTACTGCAGTGCATGCGGCGGCCGTGAGGCTGGTGTGCGGCTCGTGCTAGGGATGAGCTGCGGAAAATCCTTGGCGCTGCAGCTAAGGTTGCAGGTTGGTGCGCGGATCCCACATACTGCTGCACTTGCTTGAAATATATAGATAACTCGATGGCAGCATTATATTAATCTTCACATTTGCCCTCTTCAATATGGATCTGCATAATTTTTGTCTGCAAGCAGGGGCAACCATTGCAGGGAACATTCCTGCACGCTACTCACAGTTTCTAATCCAATTAATATCAGCATCTCAAATGTCGAAAACCAATTTAGCAATTGCCCTTCATTACCTTCGATTATACAAAAAAAATACCGTGAATCAACTCGATCCAAATGAAAATCCTCAAATGGCTAACGCCGTCATTGTTACTGCATTAATCCTTTCCAATAAAATTTTCGATGACCACTGTTACACAATCACCACCTGGATCAATATGATCAATCAAATTCCAGATCATCCCCAATTCACCGTGAAACTTTTAGCATCATTAGAAGCGCATTTTTTGGCGTGCGTTGATTACAAAGTGCTGCTTCACTCGGTAACTCCTCACCTAATGATCAATCGACCAACCGCAAATTGCATCCCAACCTGCATGATGCCTGCGCACCTCCCGATAATTCCACCTGCAAACACCAGCATCACTACACCACCAATCTACACTCAGCCGCAGATGGCCACGCCGGTCACGGTTATACCAACGCCGATGGTTCCGGCATTTGCCCCCGGTATAACCACCGGTATAAACCCCGGTATAACCACCAAATATTCCGACATTTACATGCCCCTCACCCCCGAAACTCCTGCATACTGCCGTCCTAAACGACGCCAGCCAAGTCCTGTAGCCTATAAAAGGCCTCGGATAGACTACCGTTCACAAACGGCCATTTAGCATATATTACGTGACACGATTCGTATTGTAGACTTCAATTGCTATATGCACTCCCATACATAAACGCACTTTAACACCCAATGCTGTATGCAGTCAAATAACTATATGCAGGCCGAAAGATACACCAACATTGATGGATCTCATCCCTTTATGATATGTGGTATTTGTAAAGAAATCGAGGCCAAGTATCGATGTCCAAAATGCAATGTGCACTACTGCTCTATAGGCTGTTTCAAAGGACCAAATCACATACACACCGAAAATGAAAAACCAGTTCAAAAAAATGCAAATGATGAAAAATCTATTGAAAATAATAGTTCCGATTTATACGCCCGTATCGCTTCAGATACCCAAATACAGTCGATGCTCAAGTTCAAATCTCTTCAGTTTCATCTTTCTGTGATTTTGAAGATTCTTGATGATCCGCAGGTTTCTGGAGAACAAACTTCGGCAGGACGACGAGAAGTTGCAAATGCAAAATTGACCCAATTACGAGAGGGAGGGGTTGAGGAAAATGAGTTGGTGGAGGATTTTGTTACGCGGGTATTGGAGATGATGGAGGAGAGGAACTAGAATGGGAAACTAAAATGAGAAAAGTGAAGAAGCATCAAGAAGAAGAGTTGAAAGAGAACAAAGGAACTTAAAAAAAGGTATAAGGCATTATCAGCATTATTAGCATTATTAGCATGTCAGAAATCAAGCAATTTCCTATTGACCACAATTTGTCACAGTTGGAAGCAGGAAAATGGCAGTTAGAATTGAATACAAATCTGCTCAAAGCAACAGTATTGATTGAATGTACCAAGTAAATCAATGAAAGTTAGCCAATTTTAGCCAATAGTACTTGTTCGAGTCAGTTCCACTAAACTCTTCCTCCCCATATATAATTTGGCTGTGGTTCATAAGATCTATCCAATTGAATCTTGAACAAGTATCCGCCCGAATCTCCCTCTTTATCGTTGGCATTTGGAACAAATCCCTTTTCTTCATGGTCGACGTGCGCTGTGTTCACAAACAATTGGTCGTTGTTTGAGCCTCCAATATGAGCATTGGTGACACATTTGGCTGGAATTGCAATATCTTCAACAACATTACCCACAGAATCAATGTGTGTAACTCTCGACCCATTGAACATAGCAGCAAATATATTGTTGGTTTTCGTCATACACATGCCGTCAGGAGCAAAATCTCTGTATTTCAAGCTTTTTTTAACATTCAAAACTTCTTTTTTGTTGCAAAGTTCGTTGCGCAGAACATCGTAATCGTACTCCACAATCACCCCGGCAATGGAATCGGTCCAAAACAACTTGCGACCATCACTACTGAATGCCATACCGTTCGGAATGTAACATTGATCAATCATAGTTTCAATTTGAAGACTATGGCAGTTAATTCGGTACAATTTACCCTCGGCGACAACATCTCCAACGTGGAAATCGGTCATGACTCCGATCCACAAATGACCCCATGGGTCAATTATACCATCATTGGACCGAAGACGACTACTTTGATGTGGATATTTCAAAAAATACTCAATTTTTCCACTCTCAAAATTGGCATAAGCAACACCATGTTTGGCACACGCCACCAAAATATCGGGATTTGATGTCAATGCAATGGCTCCAATAGATTCCGAGGGCGAGGAAAACTTGATAACCTCGTGACTCGCTTCTGGATTTTTCAAACAAACTCGATGAATTTCGGCTGCAATTATATCCACCCATATTAACGTATCATTCCGTTTATCGTAACGAGCACCCTCAGTCAACGCCCCACGATACTCGCCTAAAAGAATCTGGGTCAGCATGAAACAGGAAGAAAAAGAAAAAAGGAAAATTACTCACGTCTTTATCTGAACTTTTCATGTTCGCAACAATCGTCGGAATGATTGAACTCCGCGATAATGTGTAAAACTGGGGTGGTGTTTGGGTCTATGGTGCACTGATGTCATTTTGGTTCCACGCCCGTGCCAATTCCACCATGGCCTCGGTGTCGTTGGCGGCTCCAATCACGTCCAACGGCACCTGATTTTCTGAATGGTCTTTGGCCGCATTGCGGTGAATGTTGTTCTCGTGCAAGAGCCGGAACTCGTAGTTAGAACAATCACGTGACGTGTCACGTGACACACACAAAAGTTCGTTCCATGTAAAGAGGAGCGGATCGGTTGCCCTTGAAAAAGGGTTTATATCGACGAACCAAGTTTTGTCAAATGGACGCGGCAAGTACACGTCCAAAACGCAATTTTCCAAGGTAATTTCCGAGGGCAAGAAAACGGTTGCGAAAAACTGGTCTATCTGCAGGCGCAACTGCGGTTCCAAATTTGCAAGATAATCATAGTAATTAGGGTCTCTCTGACAGACTCCAATTATACGGCGACGATACACAAATACTCGAAACTCAAGTGCCGGGTTCATCTGGGTCCATTGGCGAAGAACCAACTCGAAAGTATCCGGTTGTTTCCCCGAACCCGTTTCTTCATAAGCATGTTCCATATCATGAACTATATGACTCGAAGCATTGAGCACCAAATATACATCGCTAGCATCGTGGCATTGAAGAACATTATTGGGAAGCATCCATTTCGCGTCTTTTGGCGCCGACCAATTCATTTTCGGGAAAACCGGTCCCAATTCGCGAATGGCTGCAACAACCCGGTCATGCATCGATTCAAATCCGGCAGTAACATCGTCCTGCACATCATCATCTTCACTTTCCCAGTCGCTGTACTCGTTATCACTGCTTGCAATAATTGGCTGGTGCGATCGAGGAAGCTTGATGGTGTCGCTAAGAAGGTAGCTTATGAAGGTTGTGGGAAGTGGATTGATAATTATGGAGGGAAAAACATGGTTTTGGAAGAATGTGGACCACGCTGAATACCGACACTGGTCTATTTCGTCCACAGATGGGCGCACCGTTTCAAACTCAAACGGACGATCTGAAGTCATGGCGATGCGATTTTGCGAAGCTGAGAATGTAAGCGATTTATCGCTTACATAATCGCGACAATGCTTACATCAGCACATTAATCCTTACCGAAGCTAACCCTTCGCGCTCAGTTCAGAGTATGTGAGCCTTACGTAACTCTCTCGCGAGAGTTACATAACGCACTCACACTCTCGCTCTTCCCTTACGTAACTCTCAGACGAAAGTTACATAATGAAAGACCTCATATCTTTTCTCACCAACTTTTCTCGTCATCATGTCTCCCGCAGCCGCCCCCAGCAATGCTCGGTTCAAAGACAAGGAAAAACCCCGTGAGGTTCGTCGCTCCAACATACTAGCAGCAAAGGCTGTTGCGGATGCAATTCGTACGTCGTTAGGTCCAAAAGGAATGGATAAAATGATCAAAACCAAGTCTGGTGACATCATCATTTCCAATGATGGAGCCACGATTTTGAAACATATGGCGGTTTTACACCCTGCTGCGCGTTTATTGGTGGATGTGAGTGCCGCTCAGGACGTGGAGGCTGGAGATGGTACCACATCAGTTGCAATTATTACCGGAGCATTTTTGGGAGCTGCTGAAAAATTATTGAATAAAGGTATTCATCCCACTTTAATTGCCGAATCTTTCCAGAGAGCTGCTGCCCGGGCGTCGGAGATCCTCCTTGACATGTCACACAAGATCGATTTGAACGATAAGGAAGCATTGATTAGAGCAGCACTGACTTCGCTTTCATCCAAAATCGTGTCTCAGCATACTTCTCTTCTCTCACCTTTGGCGGTGGACTCGGTGTTGAAAGTGGTCAACGAAGAACGCAATAACGTAGACTTGAACGACATCAGGCTCATCAAAAAAGTGGGTGGAACCATCGAAGATACCGAACTTATCAACGGGGTGGTTTTGACACAAAATGTGGTTAAAAATGCCGGTGGACCTACCCACGTCGAAAAGGCTAAAATTGGGCTCATTCAGTTTCAAATCTCGCCTCCTAAACCAGACATGGAGAACAACGTCGTGGTCAACGACTATCGTCAAATGGACAAGATTCTCAAGGAAGAACGAGCATACCTCCTCAACATGTGTAAGAAAATCAAGCGGTCCAAATGTAATGTGTTGTTGATCCAAAAGTCTATTTTGAGAGACGCCGTCAATGATCTTGCTCTCCACTTTTTATCTAAGCTTAATATCATGGTGATCAAGGACATTGAAAGAGATGAAATCGAGTTTTTATCCAAAGCCACCGGCTGCAAACCGGTTGCAGACATCGACAGTTTCACGGAAGACAGATTGGGAACCGCCGACGTGGTGGAAGAAATAGAATCGTCCGGTTCCACCATTGTTCGTATTCTCGGCGTCACCTCGAAAAATATCAAACCCACGGTTTCTGTAGTGGTTCGAGGCGCCAACCAGTTGGTGTTGGATGAAGCCGAGCGGTCGATTCACGATGCTTTGTGTGTGATCAGATGTTTAGTTAAAGAGAAGGCCTTGATCGCTGGAGGTGGAGCCCCGGAAATTGAGGTATCAAGAGTGTTGATGAAGGAGTCTACAAAGTTGGCGGGTGTTGAGCATTTTGTCTACCAAGAATTTGCAGAAGCATTGGAAGTGGTCCCCACCACTTTGGCGGAAAATGCTGGTATGAACCCAATTAACGTGGTGACAGATTTGCGGAATCGTCATGAAAACGGCGAGAGAAATGCCGGTATCAGTGTCAGACGTTCGGGAACTTCCAACACGTTTGACGAGCATGTGTTGCAGCCGGTGTTGGTGACTCAAAGTGCCATCACGTTGGCGAGTGAGTGTGTCAAGTCGATCTTGCGTATTGATGATATCGCAATAAGTAGGTGAAGATAATTTTCTCGTCTATTCTCTATGATCCTACAAGATTCTTAGACTGTAAATTTTCATGTCGTCGTCTGCTTTTTATCTTCTTCTTTGATTTCTAGCCATTACTCAACTTCTTTATGCGTTTTTCTATCAACTTTTTGGGACGCAACGCAAAGTAGCATTTCCGGTCAATGGCCTTGTTCTCTTCAACGGTGGATTCAGGTAAACCAAGTGCGTCTTTTAAACACAGCTGGACAGTTTCCAAGAGTAGCAGTAGTGTCAAAGGAGCAGAATCTAAGGCAGTTGGTTCGTTTTCTGTAGATTCCTGTTTTACTTCAGTTTCTTGTTTGACTCCTTCTTCTTGTTTTATCTCTTGTTTCTCCTCACTTTCTTTCTCCTCCTTGATAGACGTGAGCTTGTCTTCAAACTTGATTTTCAAGTACAACTCACATACCTCTTTATCCACGGCATAAGCAGCAGCTAGCGCAACTTGAGGAGGGGTGTACAAAAACGGAATATCCGACAACAACGCTTTCTCCATTATCCATTCCTTGCCCTTGTCTAACAAAGAAGCAAGTCTTTCGTTTGTAAGGCCCCGAATCCGAGGTTCCGGATGCAACAAAACCGCCTGGAAATCGAGATAAAATCCGTACAACGGCCGGAAAGCATGGTGCACCAAAAGTGTGAAATGCAACGCTTCCAACACCGTGAACTCCAAATCCAATATATCCTTGTTTTCTGTATTTCGGAGTGCTTTTGTGAACGAATTGATGGAGATAAAGTAGTTTTCCGATTTGGCAGCGAGAAACACGCAAGTATACATGATATTTTTAGGGTGATATTCCATGGTAGAATGCACAAGATAGAACTTTCTGAAGAAGGAAACGGCAGTAGCCTTCACCTGTGTAGGCATTCGGAAAAAATTGGCGGTTTCGATGATGTTTTTGCAATAAAAATTGATGTATTTCGTTTCCTCTTCGAGCGTAAGAAGGTCTAGAAGCAGATCCACCGTGAGTTCCGAAGCGTGGGCTTCATACTCAGTAGAGTTGGTCTGGCGGAACTGGGCAAGGGCGTGGTTGAACGTTTCTGTGGCTTTTTTTCGGCCTTTTTCATTGGTCTTAGTTTTGATTTCATTGAGCGATTCGTGTGTAAACGACCACATTCGGAATTGCGACGACTGCCTATACAAATCATCAATAGTACGGGGCTGTCTAGGTTTCTTTCCGGCGCCAGAAGTGCTTCCAGAGCCCTCGTCGACGTCATTGGCCACCATTACTGTGTAGTGATTTCTATGAGTTGAACAAATTCATCGCATTTTATCCAAATTATATACACACCAAGACTACACCAACTTGACGGATCTGGACAATCCTTTCTTGATACCGGTCTTTTCGCCCTCGTATGGTCCCAGACTGCCCTCGTACACTTGGCGAACAGACTTGAGTTTTTTCTTGGCTTGTTCGTACTTCTTTCTCTTTTTGACTCGGGTATTTCTATTGTCCTTCTTCTTGTGTGGAGTAAGACCTCTGTTCTTGAGGATTTGGTAGTTGATGGCACGCTTTCCGTCCTCGCCCATACTCTCCTGGAGCTCCTGGAGCTTTCCAGCCTTGGCAGCCGCAACTGCCTCTTCATGGGCCATTTTTCTGGCCGCCCTTTTGGTCTTCTTTTCTTGTGCAACATTCTCATAAAATTCATCATCTTTGGCGTTGACTTCTCTCGCTGTGGCTTCGTCGCCAGATCCAAATTCTTGCTCGTCGAGTTCTTCGCCGAGATCTTTCTTTTCCAATCCTCTTTTCCGCGCTTCTTCCAATAATCGTTGTTGTCTCTCGTACAATCTCTCTTTATATGGTACATCAATATCACCAGTAAATCTTTCGTGATTCGCCTTGGCGGCTGCCTGGTCGATCTTGGAGGTGTAGAACCGCAAAGTGCGCTTCCGGCGCTGTTTGTCTTCCATATCCACGGCATCGGTGATTTCAGTAAAATCGTCATTTGCAGCCGATTGCGACGGTGCGAGATTACGACGAGAATTGATATCGATGCGGAGCGGAAGATGCTCGTGGGCATCCACAAAGTCTGATTCCGAGTCGGAGCCCAGAGAAGAATCTGGTGATACTTGTGGTGAATCTGGTGAACTTTGTGGAGAATTAGGTGAGATTTGGGAAATTTGTGGAGAGTTTGGTGATATTTCGGTTGAGAATTCTTTCTCATCTTCGTTATTTTCCGCAAGCTCGTTGGCCTGTCTCCATATTTCACGGCACCCCAATATGTTTTCCATTATTGGTTCGTCTTTCATCGAAAATACCTCATTCAGCCTCAACTTTTCCATGAACAACGCAAAGTACGAAGAAAGACATCCAAGGTAAGCTCGCAAAGCCGTAGCCTTGGCCACACCAGAACGACTCTGGAGCCTCTCCACGGTCACTAGAGTGGGCTGGAGCTTCACCATCTCCTGCAACAAAGGTACAAACTCAGGATACGACTGTAACAATAATTTTCGCTGCTCTTCCGGTGTCAATGAATCTAAAGAACCACCAACATTTGCATTAATTGACACTTTTTGCTGCTCCTCCTCGGTGGTGGCAACCTTCTTCCAGTCCTCCATCATATCGTCATCAACATAATCGTCCATAGCCAATTCTTCAAGGTGCTTCTTCTGCTGTCGCCGGGCCTCTTCTGCCATTTCATCATTGGCGTCGTCGTCTTCTCCGCCGTAATAGTCCTGGCGCCCACCCCAGCCGTGGTCGTTCTCCTCGTCCTCTGGAGCGCCCTCGTCGTCCAAAAGAGCGTCGTCGTCATCAGAAACGTCATTTTGCTCATCGTCATCGCCGTCTTCATTCTCGTTTATTTCCATCACTTCCTCATCTGAGAAGTCCAGGACCTCGTTTTCTTGACCGTACTCGCCAGCACCGTCCAAGAAGATCTTTTCCCGGTTCGAATTGAACGCATCGACCTCGTCTAAATCGCTGTCCATGATATCAAAGTTGCAAATCGCATCGCATCGCATCTCATTTTTTCAATTTTGTGTCAATTCTCATCGCTGTTTCTTCCACCATAAAACATGTCCAACCGACTCGAATCGCTAAATTCGCCCAGAAAACCGCCCGCTAGCAAACCCTCGTTGAAGTTCAAGCCCAAGGTGGTCGTAAGAAAGTCCAAAGAGGAACGAGAGAAGGAAACCGTTGTGAAACCAGAACCGACTCCGCGAGTCGTTCCCAAAAATAATCAGTCCAGAGGCCCGAAAAGTCGAAAACCCGCCTATGCTGGCACTCATGTAGTGTCCGCGGGACCATTGTCCATGGGATCTGTTTCTATGGGAACTCCATCTGGGTCAAAAACCGGAAACACCAAAGACATGGTTTTCAATTCTGTTTCTCCATCACCAGAACTCTTTCAAAATTTGAAGCGGAAGACCAAAACTGAGACCACAGGCTCGCTCAGCGAAGACCTGGACGACGAGGACATGACACGCATCAATATGAACAAAGAGTACAAATTTGCAGACGAAGAAACCGTTCTTTTTCCAGTGCGTCCAGAACGAGCAAATACTACGGAAGTTGACAACACCAAAACGCCAGCTACAAGAGAGGACACTCCGGATAATGAACCAGTCTACGTCAGAGAAACTTCAGTTAAAAGCGAGGAGCCAATTGAGGAGGAACTACTTAAAATCAAAGAACATAAAGCAGAACTCGAATCCAAGATCGCTGAACCTGCAGACCTTTTGGGCCAAGAAGAATCAGAGAAACTCGCCAGGGACCACGAAGCAATCTCGTGTATGCTCTCAAGAAAAATGGAAAATTTGTCTGTCGAAGAACCATATTTTCTCATCCAGCTTCCTCAAATATTACCCCAGTATACCAATGAAGACGGCACTCCAACAAACCATGGCCAAATCGGGTCCATAAACATCCACAAATCAGGAAAAGTCAGCATGAATATAGGAAACGATAATACCTTGACTCTTGCTCAAGGTGCACCCTCCAAGTTTGTCCAAGAGGTCGTTGCAATGGAAATGTTTCCACCATCAGAAGAAACCATCTACGATGAACAGGGTGCGCTTATCAAGGGCAGAATGTACAATTTGGGTAAAGTAGACGGCAAGCTAGTCGCCATTCCTAAGGTAGCATGAATAACGAATATTAATATGCAATGTAGATACTAGTGGAGCCGATACTAGTGGAGCCTTTCTACTGAGTAGTTTGCCAGTGGGTTCAACTTCCAATCAACTTGGCGGTCAACGCTTCCAAATCCTCAAGTGTCTCAGGTTCTTCAACCTCAACAATATCGACCTTCTTCTTCTTTGGTTTCTCTTGCTCAAACCACTTTGGTTTCTTACTTGGAGGCTGCTCGTCCTCACTTGAACGACCATAGTCCATGTCACGATCTATGTCTGCACCAGCTAGAGTCACCGTGTGGGCTTCATCTTCTGAGCCCGAGAACTCGTCCTGTTCACGAGCTAAACGCTCTTGCTCCTTCCATCTCCGCTTCTTTTCTTGACGCTTTTCTCGAGCAGTAGCCTTATCGTCCACATCAGCCTTGGACATAGCTTCGTTTTCTTTACTGACGAATTCGGCTTTTTGAAGTTTGGCATCGCCTCTCAGCTTAAAGTCTTCTTCGTCTTCAAATTCATACAAGTGATGAGTGACACCCTCGTCGTCAAATATCAATTTGGTAGGGTTTCCTTTCAGTTTAAGAGACGCTTTTTTCGAAAGAGCTTTTTTGCTTTGACGCTTGGAAACAGGAACGGACAAATCAGGCAACTCTTCATCTTTAATGATGTGATCTTTTCTTTTAACCGACATGAAATCATCCTCACTGCCACTATCGTCACCAGCAGCCATGTTCAAGTAGTTTTTGGAAAGTACAGTTTGATTTTGGCGCTCGAACATTCGGTCGTATTTCGTTCTGACCTTTTCCGAATCTGATTTTTGCTTTTCTGGCTTTTGAAGTGCCAATAACTCTCTCGACATATTCTTTTTGTCCTTGTTACCTGCTCCGTTCTTAATGTTGATGTTGGGGGTTCCTGGTAATCCCAAAGCTTTGGCATATTCTGCCGCTGGTAATTCCTCGACTTTGAATATATCTTTGTCTTTTTGTATGTGAACCGATTTCATGTACGATATGAAAGCACGTTGGCCAAGATTCTTCAACTCTGGGTCCTGGAAACAGAGCGATTGGAGTTGTGGAGATATGACTTTTTTATTTTTTTGCTTGATGTTCATCATCTTCAACGAGATCTTATGCGCTTCTAGTCTTTTGACCATTCCCTCCTCTTCTGAAGGTGCAAGCATCAAAAGCGACTTTCCTTGTCGCCCAAAACGAGCCGCTCTTCCCACACGATGAACATAAGTGGCAGCGTCTTCTGGACAGTCTACCTGAACCACCCAGTCAATAGCCGGGAAATCGAGTCCCCTGGCTACTATATCTGTTGCAAATAAGCACGCATGCTGAGCTCGGGAAAACTTCATTGTGGTCTCTAAACGGGACGTTTGCTTGTGACGACCATATAATTTCAAAAGTGAGATTCCCGGCTGAAGTCTTCTGAAGGCCTCATACGCAAACTGGACTTGTTTAGACGACGAGAAGAAAACCAAGATCTTGCTCTTGAGATGTGACTTGAGAAACGACCATAACACATCCATCTTGGATGCTAAGCTGATCTTGATGTAGTATTGTTCCAAAGACTCGGGTATACTGGACACTTCTTGGTCAGAACTGACTCCAACACGCTTAGGATTCACCAAAGATAATCTTGCAAGGTCCTTGACATTGTCTGACTGGGTCGCTGAGAACAAAAGTGTTTGTCTGGTGACGGGTAAATGACCAAGAATATTGTCAATTTGCTTGCGGAAACCCATGTCCAAGCATCTGTCAGCTTCGTCAAGAACCAATACTTGCAAATTGGAGGTTTCCATGCCCACCGCTTCGTTCAAGTGCTGCGATATACGGCCTGGAGTACCTATCAAAATGTTCATTCTTGAAATACGCTCTTTTTCGTACTTGACGTCTTTTCCACCGGTTACCAAACCAGCAGAAAACGAGTTGTACTTACCAATTTTGGTCAATACCTCAAACGTTTGTACCGCAAGCTCTCGTGTAGGCGATACAATCAAAGCTGCAAGTCCGTCGTACTCAGTAATATTTTCGCGAATCAACTTTTCAATCACTGGAACGAGAAATGCAAGTGTCTTTCCGGATCCTGTTCTGGCAGTTCCCATTACATCTTCGGACTTCAATGCTACAGGGATGGCTTTCTTCTGAATATCGGTCAACGAAACAAAGTTATTTTCAAGAAGTCCCTTGTAGGTTCCTTCACTGATGGGGAGATGCTTGAACTGAGAAATGGACTGTTCATCTGTAGCCGGGTCATATTCGTCGATACGCTTTTGCAAATCCGCTATGGTCTGGAGAACCTTCTGGTTGCGGGATTTTCTGTTGGGGTTATTGACTTTTGCTCCTTTTTTGGGCTTGGCCATGGTGCTCTGACTACTCTCAAAGCGATGCGATCAAAAAGCGGATGCGATGAGATTTTCGACTATCTGCAGGATGTACCCCAGATGAACAAGAACGGCTATCCTTCGGCATCTAAAAGTTGAGAATCTCGGCCAATTGCAAGCACAAGTCTCCGTACTTGTCCAATAAGTTCGGGTCCAAAACTTCAGCGCATATCCTTCCTTGGGGAATTCTGTAGCGTTGAATTACGGGATCGAACACAGTAGCATCAGCGGTAGTTATTGATGGGATTTCAATTTGAATCAATAAACCTTTGAATACACCATGTAGAAACACATTAGAGGTTCGTATGATCACCCGCTCGTTTTCGAGTTCGTAAATTTCTCCTCCATCGCCTTTCACGGTTTGTCTTTGGGTCCACATGCTTTGAAGTTTTTGAGCAACAAAGTAGTCAAATGGGTCATTGAGCCCAGTAGTGGCTCCCTGGTGAAGGTGAGCGTCTGGAATGGTAAATTCAACATTTTCATTACCCGCTTCTTCAGCAATTACTTGAGAAAAGACACATGACGAAGACTTGTTAATGAGTGCTACGCCCGTTCCAGGTAAGTAGGATGGTGACCAGGTGTGTAAGTACTTGGACTCGTCGGACTGCAGCAATTCCAAAGCTTTTTCTGGAGGAATTGAGTAGGGATTGTTTCTGAAAATCTTGAAGCTAAAGTTCCAGTTACCTTTTAGAACAGGAAGTTCGTTCAGCAATTGGTCATGGAACTGCAAAATCGTATCTGGAGTCGCGTTTGAGACGAGAATAATGCTGAGTTAGAAATTGTAGACAAATTTGGTGAATTATACTTACGCCGATACCATGATTGCAGTACTCACCAGTCGCACCCAAATTACATTTATCATGATTTCTCCTGCAGACAACGCACGATTTTTCAACTCTTCGCAGCCTTTTCGATGTCATCGCTCGACTTGATGGTGCTGCAAGAAGCAGTTTTTATAGGAGCCAACACCCAGGCAAACATTCTAGACTACGATCCCGGATCGGAAATAGTAGCATATGGAGCAGGCACCTGTGTAGCTATATGGAAGCCAATCAAAGATGAAAAATCAGGTGTTTACAGCACCTTGAAGGGTCATTCTCGGACAGTCACAGGGGTCAAATTCGTTCCAGAAACACCATTTCTCGTTTCTATCGCTGAGGACGATACCGTTATTGTGTGGAAACAAGCAAATAATGATTTCAGTCTTTTCCAGACATTGAAGGGTCATACCAGTTCTGTCACATCGCTAGCTGTAGTTGATAGCTCGATATTTGCAACCGGTGGAGCAGATGGCAACATAATCTTGTGGGGATTTCAAGAAGACAACTGGACCCAGCTCAGTAATTTTCAAGTCCAGAACGGTTTTTTTCCACTCACACTTGCATTGCAACAACTTTACAAAGACAGCTACATCTTGGTAATTGGTGGCACAAATAGCAAGTTGTATGTGTACTCTGTGAAGATCCTGGCCGATTCTGCGGCTGTATCACGTTGTGCCGTTCTTACAGGTCATGAAGATTGGATAAAAGCTCTTAGTTTTGTGAAGCAGGAAGAGAACAATTACATACTAGCATCTGGTTCACAGGATCGTTATATTCGTCTTTGGAGAGTCAAGGTGGACGATAAGATCGACGATGCGGACGACGACGACTCGAAGCTCATTCTTTTGTCTAACAAGCAGCACAAATTCCAATTGGCACACCATCGAGTTGCCATATCTTTTGACGCTCTTCTTATGGGCCACGATGACTGGGTTTCAGGATTACAATGGAACCCTCAAGGAAAGCTCCAACTTGCTTCTTCCAGCGCAGACACCGCAGTAATGATATGGGAAATGGATAAAGAGAGCGGTATCTGGTGTTCCATAAGTCGTCTTGGAGAAATGTCCATTAAAGGTGCCTCCACTGCTACTGGTGCCAGTGGTGGATTTTGGTCGTGTTTGTGGTTTGCAAAAGATGATATTGAGTATATCATGGCGAGTGGAAAAACTGGTGCTATACGAACATATTGCAATGGTGAAACTTCGGGAAACTGGAACCCAAAAATAAGCGTTTCTGGACCAGTTCGTGAAGTGACAGACGTAAAGTGGTCAAACCAAGGATTCTTCATGGCAACTTCTCTCGACCAAACTACCCGTCTATATGCTCAATGGGCAAAAGATCACACATGGCACGAGTTCGCAAGACCCCAAATTCACGGCTACGATATGGTGTCTTTGGACCACATTGACGGTCTGAAATTCGTTTCTGGAGGAGAAGAAAAGGTGTTGAGGGTATTCGAGATGACAAAGCTGATAAGTCAGTTGTTACAGGATGCTTGCGGAGTCAAAATATCATCGCATCTGCTTCCAGAATCAGCATCTTTACCGGTCTTAGGTTTGTCCAACAAGGCTGAAAAGCAGATGGAAGCCGGCGACTACCAAGAGGATAACGACGACCAAGAAAAAAACGACTACCCAGAAGAAAAAGACATTCTTCCGCCATCTCCACCACTTGAAGATTATCTCCAGAGACACACACTCTTTCCCGAGCAAGAAAAACTTTATGGGCATGGCTACGAAATATCCAGTGTGGCCGTGTCACCTAACGGCAACCTCATAGCCTCTACTTGTCGTTCCAATACTTCTCGTCATGCTGTAATTCGTGTATTCAATGCTGCTTCTGAGTACCAACAATCTTCACAGCTTCTCGAGGGACATAATCTTACGGTAACCAGCCTAAGGTTCTCCAGCGACGGACAATATTTATTGGCAGTGTCGAGAGATAGGCAGTTGAGTGTATGGAAAGTGGTTGACGAAACTAAGGCACTATTCGAACTTGTGGAACTCAATAGCAAAGCCCATACAAAAATTATCTGGGATTGCTGTTGGGTCAAGTCTACAGATCATGGCCACTACTTCCTTACGGGATCCAGAGACAAACTGGTCAAGTTGTGGAAACTTGAAGATAAAAAAATTCAATTGGTTTCCTCGATGAAATTGCAAGATAGTGTTACCGCAGTGGATTGCGACATCCAAAACGACCAGGGACGAGTCGTGGCAGGAATGGAGAGTGGAGCGATCTCGTTATTGCTGTTTGAGTTGAATAAACCAGAACTTGTGCTCTGTGACGAATTCGATGAGAAAATTACTCCGGCTGCAAGAGTCTCACGAGTGGGTTTTAATAAGCACAGAATTGCAGTAGGAAGCTGGGACAACTCCGTAAGGATATATAGACTCGCCGCTAGCAACCCCTAGTCGATAAGACAGACATTTGCGACACTTTTTGCATCGTCGTATTCTCCAATAGCAGTTGACGTATTTTTCTACCCCACACTCGACCCCGCGCACCACCCGACTCCGGCCGTTGACCCCTAAGTGTCAACCAAAAAATTGAAACCACACAATTAGACCAGTCACCTCGAGAATATCACCACCATCGTATCCCCCACAACTCCCTACATCTCCCAAAAGTTGCCCGTTTCCAAGCCTCTTGTGTTCAAGCCCTGCTTATCTAATAGCGGTATCGCACAATTTCATATGACTGAACAAATCAACGAGGCAGAATCTGATCACCGGTGAAAAAACCACTATTTTGCATAGAAACCCAAATTTATTCACCATGGCAGACCCTAAACCACTTCCGTTTCAATACCAATTTGCTGCTGGCGCCGTTGCTGGTGTATCAGAAATCTTGGTTATGTACCCGCTCGATGTGGTTAAAACAAGACAACAATTGGACTCCACTGGAGCCTATAACGGTACGATTCGGTGTTTGAGAAAGATTGTCGCCGAAGAGGGTTTTTCTCGTCTTTATAAGGGAATTTCTGCTCCAATTTTGATGGAAGCACCCAAAAGGGCTACCAAATTTGCTGCTAATGATGAATGGGGAAAGATTTATAGATCATTTTTTGGCGTTCTGACCATGAGTCAGCCTTTGGCTATCTTGACTGGAGCCACGGCCGGTGCCACGGAGTCGTTCGTTGTTGTTCCGTTCGAATTGATCAAGATCAAGTTGCAAGATAAAACGTCTCGGTTCAACGGAATGGGAGAAGTGGTTAAAGATATCGTCAAGAACAACGGTGTTCTCGGTTTGTATAAAGGTTTGGAGTCCACTTTGTGGAGACACATCTGGTGGAATGCTGGATACTTTGGTTTGATTCACCAGGTGAGATCGTTGATGCCAAAACCAAAAACCGCATCTGAAAAAACCTTGATTGACCTTACTTGTGGTACCATTGGTGGTACTTTTGGTACCGTATTGAACACACCATTCGATGTCGTCAAGTCCCGAATTCAAGCTGGTTCAACTAGATACAGATGGACGTTTCCTTCCGTTTTGCTTGTCGCAAAAGAGGAAGGTTTTGCAGCATTATACAAAGGTTTCATTCCCAAGGTGTTGAGATTGGGTCCCGGTGGAGGTATCTTGTTGGTGGTGTTCACCACTTGTATGGATTTCTTTAGAACCATTCATGAAAAGAAATAAGTTCACTGATTTTCATTTCTCGTCGAGTGCCATCTGATCTATCTTCAAAATGTTCTTATCAAACTGGAAATCAATGGTTGATCCATAATACACAAAGGTGTCTTTATAACTGTAGCTTTTAGTGCCCGAGCTTTTCACGCTGGTGGCTAACATGGTTTTAAGTTTACCGCTTTCGACCAAAATTCGGTAGTCAAACTCGGAGTCTTCCGACTTTACAAATTGATTCAATTGCTCAAGAAGAGCACAAAGAGTGGAAAGATGAGACTTGTCTGACAATGCCAAGTCTGCGAGTAGAGCAGTCAAGTCTTCAGCATTGCCCATAATCTGATACAGAAGCTCATAAACGACAGGAATCGAGTCGTGAACTATGCCAGAAAACTTTGGTCCAAGCAACACATTGATAATGTAGAATACTTCCTCTACCAACGAGCTGAGTTGAGGCAAATCAGAGTGTTTGAGTATCTTTTGCTTTCGAATAAATGCCAAAAATCCGGTAAGAGTTTTGTACAATTCCACCCATGCGTAGGTGGACGGTCCTTGTTCTGGCTCACTATCAAGTTCTTCAAGCGCTTGAAGCAATATTGTGGAACATCCTTTGAAAATTTCAACATTTAGTTTTCTGGTTAAATTGGCACGAAAAAAGACTTGACAAATATCCATGATATAGTACAATGCCGACTTGCTGCCCAGTTCATCCAAGGAAACTGGAATTATTGGTGTTGACTGGTGGCACAATTTGTACTTGAACTCGTCAATAATGTAGGATTTCAAGTTGGTGACGATTTTTTGGTAGGTGCTGTTTCTGTAACTTCCAACATTGGGCGACGTAATCTTGAGCAAAATTGTCACCAAGAGAGTACTCACGGCTCGAAGATGGCGCAGATCATGGGTATTCCGAAGCACGTACGAGGCTGTACAGAGCCATAGGTCAAGTAACTTGGAGTTTTGGGCCGTAGTCAAGTGCCATAAAAAGCTATCGTTGAACGAGTACGCAGCCATCCACAAACTTACCCTTAAAAGAGGCAAGTAGTTGATACTTTGACCGGTCGGGTGGATGATTTTAGCAATCTCGTTTAAAAATGGACTCGGTTCATGGTCCACAAGAGCAAAAGCCTTCAAATTTTTGTGCAAATTCGTGGTCTCGTTAACATCCAGTGCAACATATGGACTGCCTCCTATGGTGTTAGCGGTAACCCACGCCACGAAAGAAGTGCTTTTCACTTGCTCGACATACAAGTCAGGTGCCTGGTTATAGAAAGCAGCATACATCCTCGCCAAAATAGGACTTATTCGCGGAAGGAAAAACTCCATGAACATTTGCTCGTCGAAAGAAAGCACTTTTATGTAGCTGGCGTACACACTCGAAGGCTGTTCTGAGCTGGAAATATCGGGCTGTGTAGAGTAGGCATCAATAGGTAGAAAAGGTCCAGGAAGCGTGGTAAGAATACCTTCTGTTAAAAACAATAGTGAGTGCGCTTCATAGGAAAGTTGCACAGCGGCATTTTTATAGGTATCGTCTTCAGACTTCACGGCGGTGTTGGCGAGAAAGTCGTGAACAACAGACGATAAGTTCACTTCGTATAAGGTGTGTAACACGGAAAGAACCACAGGATTTTTTGAGCCTTCGTAGAACACCATGCTTGAAATAGTTAGTCGTTGTAAAGAAACCACGAACAGAAGCATATTTTTCGACGCTATAAGACAAAATTTGTCGTCAAAAGTGTCGTCTTTGAGCTTGGAAGCTGCAATAGTCAATAAGCTTTTGAAATTTTGGAGCAAGTTGTTCATGTGTTGTCTAGCGTCTTTCTCAGAGAACAACAATTCCACAGAGTCCAGCTCTGGAGCGCTTCCCAAACTGTTTGTGCTGGTGTGTAGCTCGGCATTGGCCCTTTCTACAGTCTGAATCCACACAAGTAGCACCAAAGTGATATTGGAAGCGACTTCGAAATCGGCCACCATCGAAGCTACAGAAACCAGTGGTTTTCGTTGAAGTGGCTTGGTATCGATATCTGTAGCAGAATCCAGTCTCAGGCTTCCATTGTAGAGTCCGTTTTGTTCAGACACATCTTCCTCGGGTTCTTGGTACGTTTTTATAGAAACATTTGGAGCTCCCCGTAACTGAGTGATATCTTCTCCGTCATTAAATACCGGTTTCTTAAGCGGTAAAGTTGGATTCTCTTCCCTGCTGGTTACAGTTTCCCCTAGAAGGCGATTTCCAGCTTCTAGTAGCGAAAGAAACGTTTTGACGACATGGTTCAGATGGGGAAGCTGTTTGCTGTGGCCCTGTAAAACATTGGAAAGTCGTTTACTGTCAGCTCTGAGCATATACACATGTTCAATTGCATCCGCCGAGTATCCAACTCGAAAGATCTGGCCGTAAACCACCTCTGTGTCGTCCATTGGTGGGATTCGTGGCGCCTAAACAGATCGCAGAGTTGGCTGAAATAGGCCGATTGGGAGCCCGCGCGCGACAGCCAAGATTTAGACAGATTGAGAGAGCGAGAGAGAGAGATCGAGACAAAAAGATAAGTTGTTATTTAGTGCTAAGTGGTGCTACAAGTGGTATCATATGATAAGCAGTATTGCACAATCTTCTGAATAACTTTTCGGGAAGTGCTAAAGTGGTAATTGAGCCGTAAAATGAAACTCGACAAAAAGACCACATTTTAAGTTAAATTATATTTGTATAAAAGTTGTCATTGTGACCCGAATTGAGCTTACTGCTGGTAATATTAAGCAAAACGCTTCTGAAATTGAAAACTTTTACTCCGAATTGAAACTAAAAGGTTCTTAAACTTTCCTCAAAGTTGAATTAACCTACATTGAACACGAATTGAAACACAACCGGACTTTGAACCGTTAATTGAACTCAAACCAGTCATATCCTTCATTTCTTTAGGTGTCCAGCTTTTCGATTCAACTCAAACTATCCAATACCTTATTCAACCTGATCATTATCAATCTAATGCTATTCAAAAAGTCAAACAATCAAGAGGAGTACGAATTGGTGCCACAATCAACAACCCCTCCAAATAACACCCGTCTAAGCAACCCTCCACCACCTTCAGATTCCGTCAATGAAGCATCGCCAAAATCCTCCAGCGACTCAGATGCTTCTCGTGTCTTAGACCTGCTCGAGGACCAAGTTGATGGGTTTGAAGAAGATATAGGCTTCAAGTCTGTCTTCAGCACATACCAGGGAAACTCCAATTCGTTGCTGAAGAAATCATGTATGACATTTCTTGGAACTGGACTACTTCTATGGATCGCTTCGCTAATATTTTACTCGCATTTCTCGGCACTGAAAGCTATATCAAACTTACGATGGCATACTGATCTTCATTTGCAAGGCTACAACGTCACTTTAAATCCCTACAAGGTAGACAACAAAAACCTCACCATGGATTTATACAGAAAAAATTGGGGTGTTTCTTATAGAATTCCCGTTACTTGGCTCTCTCCGAAACAGTACCCGAGGACTGGCGGCGTCGAGAACTCCAGGCTATATCTCACCCGAGGCGCCAAAGGAAGCTTTATCATCAAAAGCATCGACTCCGAAAAGCTGCATGTTCTTTTTGAATCTCCCAAATTTGCATACAAGAATACCTTCTTTTCCATTGAAGAAGTTTATCTCAATCCCGCTCATCCTTACAACGAAAATACCTACCATATAGTGGTCACAGATAGGCAGGAGCAATGGCGTCAACTGTCGTTTTCGGTATACTGGAAATACAGCACCGTGATTGGTGATTTTACCCCGATTCAACCTAAAATTAGTGGCTCTGATTCCATTGAAAAGCTTCATTTTGTGGAATTCTCTCCAAGTGGAGACAAGATAGTCTTTGGTCACAACCACGATTTATACATCCAGGACCTCGAAACCGACGACATAACCCAGTTAACTACAAGTGGCTCACCTGACATTTTCCATGGAAAGACCGACTGGGTCTATGAAGAGGAGGTTACAGGAAGCGATAGGCTAGTATGGTGGGCTCCCAACGGAGAAACCTTGATCTATGCTTCGCTTAACGACACACTAGTACCATCGTTCAAGCTTGACTATTATGTGAAAAATCCACTGCAAGTTGGGGCCACTTATGAACCACCACAAACAGACTTTCCTGGACAGTATAAATCGCAGAGTTTGGTCAAGTATCCGAAGCCTGGCACACCAAATCCAGTCTTTTCGATCACTGCTGTGAATGTCAAAAACATGGACTCGACACCGGTATTTCTCGAAAATCAACCTCAAGAACCCGTCTTCTACCGAGGAGCTTGGATCGACAATTCTTCGTTTCTTGTTCTGACGAGCGACCGTACTAGTGAAGTACTAACTACGGTATTGATTTCTACTAATGGTGAAAGTAAAACAATCCAAACTCTCAACACTTCACAGAGCTATGGAGGTTGGGTAGAGAAAATGTCACCGCCTTGTATTATACCAGGAAAAGGTTACGTTGATAAAGTAGTAGTTGATGGGTTTGTCCACTTGGCGCATTATGCTTCAGTCACAGATACAAACCCCAACTATCTAACCAAATCCACTGGTTGGGAAGTAACCAAAGACTCCCCCATAGTCTACAACTCAGACGATAATCGGGTGTACTTTGTGGCTACCATTCGCAGCTCCATGGATGCACATCTTATGGCTGTGGATCTTGGAGGAGGAGACCCAATTCCTGTCACGGATACTAGCAAAGATGGATCTTATGAAGTTCACTTCAGCGACGGCGGCAGGCTACTAAATCTTGTCTATTTGGGCCCTGGTCCTTCTTGGCAGCGGCTAGTGCCTGTGGCAGAATTGGGCACCGAGGGTAGCGGAGAAAAGTTTTCTTTTAGTGGCAGGAACCCTATTAATCTTTACGACCAGACCCAAACCCAATTGTCGAAAACCAACTTGCCCACCAGAAACTTCCGTTCGGTGAAAATTGGCACCTACCAAGACGGACTGAGTCTCAGCGTCAATCTCATGGAAATATTTCCCCCCAACTTTGACCCCAAAAAGCAACACCCTCTCTTGGTCCACGCTTACGGAGGACCTGGTTCTCAGCAGGTGCAGAAAGGAGACCAGTTTGGCTTCTTGGACGTGATATCTGCTTCGTTGAATGCGGTAATCTTGGTGATCGATCCTCGCGGAACCCAAGGTCAAGGTTGGAAGTTCAAGACCTATGCCCGGCACAACATTGGCTATTACGAGCCTCGTGATATACTCACTGTGGTGTCGGAGTATATCTCTGTTAACAAGGCATTTCTTGACTCGACTCGTACGGCAATGTGGGGCTGGTCCTACGGAGCATTTGTCACATTAAAGGTACTCGAACTAGACGCTGGTAAAACCATTCGGTACGGAATGGCGGTTGCGCCCGTAACAAACTGGATGTTTTACGACTCAATCTACACGGAACGGTACTTGGGGAGTCCAACTTTGTCTGGATACCCAAACTCAACTCAGGTAACCGACTTTGCCAACTTCAAAAATTGTGCAAGATTTTTGTTGGTGCACGGCACCTCCGATGACAACGTCCATTTCCAAAATCTGGCGTGGCTTGTGGACAAGCTCAACATAAACGGTGTTGAAAACTACGATCTACATTATTTTCCAGACAACGACCACTCGATCCATTACCACAATGGAGACACCATAGTTTACGATAAACTTTTCAGCTGGCTCCAAAATGCATTTGAGGGTGTGTTTGACCAGATGCACCGGTAATTGCCGTCTCAAATATGAGTTTATTGTGTAGTTCGCTTCTTCTTTTTATAATGGTTCTTTCGCAGCCGTTGGCTTGTTCCTGCGTACACGGCTCATCGCACAAATTTAACCTCATCGCATTTTTCCACCAACCACTTCACCATGGCCAAACCTTCCAAGGCAACCAAGAAGTTCCAAAGCAAGCATTTGAAGCATACCATTGAGCACAGGAGGGAGGTTCAAAGACACAACAAAAAGGCTCTTTCCAGAAAGAAAAAGTCGTCCAATGATGAAACTGAGAAGCCGTCGACGCCCCAGCCAAAGGAAGTCTTCAATGATATGTCCGTAGAGGACTTCATGGAGGGAGGGTTCGAGGTACCCAAGGAGAAGAAGTCGAGCAAGAAGGCACAACAGGAGCCAGAAAGCGAAGATGAGTCTTCTGAGTCCGAAGATGAAGAAGCCATGAAACACGACTTGAAGAACTTGGCAGAAAAAGATCCTGAATTTTACAAATACTTGGAGGAAAATGACAAGGGTTTGTTAGACTTTGAGGCCGTGAACCCAATGGATGCTATGAGCGACGATGAAGGTGCCAGTGAACTGGAAGCAGAAGAGACCGAAGAAGCTAAAGAACAGAAAGACGAGTCATCAAATAAGATCGAGATTACTCTGGAATTGGTTAAGGAATGGTCCACCAAGTTGCAAAAGCCCACACCAAAGCTCATCAGAAACGTCGCTATAGCGTTTAAGGCTGCTGTTAACATTAATCGAGCCAATGAAGAAGACTATAAATACTTGGTTACCGATCCAGAAGCCTTCAATGCCTTGATGGTTCTTACTTTGCAAGACTTACCAACCGCCATTCAAAAGCTCATCAAGTACAAGGTTAATGCATCCACAGGCGCCAGAACCATTCCACAAAAGAATCAGCATGTTAGTCAAATTTCTTCCATTCTTAAGTCGCATGCTGGATCCTACATTACGCTTCTTCACGATATAACAAACACAGAAACCGCTGCCTTGGTTTTGTCGTCACTCCAGGAACTTTTCCCTTACTACCTTTCTCATCGTCGTTTGCTCAAACAGCTTTTGGCAGGTGTAGTAAATGTTTGGGCTACTACTCCTGACGTTGAAACTCAAATTGCAACATTTGCATTTCTCAACAATGTTTCTCGTGAGTTTTCCAGCTCGCTTCTTGAAACGGTGTTGAAACTCACCTACTCGTCTTTCCTTCAGAATTGCAGAAAGACAAACGTTTACAACATGCCTATGATCAACGTCTGCAAGAACTCGGCAGCAGAGTTATTTGGCATTGATGAGAAAATATCTTACCAGATTGGCTACGAGTACATTCGACAATTGGCTATTCACTTGAGAAACAGTATGAATGCCACTTCCAATGCTAAGGACGGCTACAAGACCGTTTACAACTGGCAGTATTGTCACTCTTTGGATTTCTGGTCGAGAGTATTAACGCAATTTTGCAACCCAGAAGTCGAGTTGAAACACAAGAACAAAGAGTCTCCATTAAGACTGTTAATATATCCTTTGGTCCAAGTGACGTTGGGAACCATCAGGTTGATTCCTACAGCCCAGTTCTTCCCCTTGAGATTCTATTTGCTCAGGTCTTTAATCAGACTCTCTCAATCCACCGGAGTCTACATTCCAATTTACCCATTACTCTCCGAAGTTTTGACTTCCACTGCGTTCACCAAGTCCCCCAAGAGAACCAATCTTGCTGCTTTTGATTTCGAAAATAACATCAAGGTCAACCAGGCTTACCTTGGAACTCGCACCTACCAGGACGGTTTGAGTGAGCAATTTGTGGAATTGGCGAGCGAGTTTTTTGTGCTTCACTGTAAGAGCATTGCATTCCCTGAGTTAGCCACACCAGCAATTTTGTCATTGAGAAGATTTATCAAGAAATCGAAAAATATCAGATTCAACAAACAGTTGCAGCAGCTTGTTGAAAAATTGAATTCCAACGCAACTTATATCATCGCCAAAAGAGCAAACGTCGAGTATGGTCCAAGTAACAGAGCTGAAGTGAATACCTTTTTGAGCGAAACAGACTGGCAAAAGACCCCATTGGGTCAATATGTTGTTGTGCAAAGAAAGTCTAAGGAAACCAAGTTGCAACTTTTGAAGCAGGCTATGGAAGATGAAGCCGAAAGTAAAATTCAAAAGGAAAGAGACGAAGATAGCGACGAAGCAATGGATGCCTTGGCTGAAGAGTCTGATGGTTCAGAGGCAGACATGAGTGATTAGTTAATATATAAGAATCAAGACAGTTTATGTCGTTTTCTTCACGGATCAATGGGTATAAAGTTTCCCACAATGCAACTGGGAATGTTATACCTATCGCGTCTGATTGTGAAGCTGAAGCAGCAACTTTTACGCTTGGTTCCGTCTCTTGTTCGTAAATTGCAGCTTGTCAAAACTGCCTTTTGGCCCTTGTCGAATGCAATGGCACCATATTTTTCCCAGAAATTTACAGCACTTTCTTCACTCATCAACTCGTAGATTGCCAATTTTCCATCCTTGAGGTCGTCAGCCTTCACGCCCACTAGCGACGCAAACTCTTTGTTTCCTCGGTATATTTCCCCCGTCCTTCTCCAGAGACAGGCGGGAATAGCCATGGAGGTGAAAACTCGATCGTAATCAAGAAGCATTCTTTCGAAGCTTTCCTCTACAAGCACCAAGTCCACATCCTTCAAAGTTCTCGCAATCGCTCTGAAAGCTGGCCGAAATATGGACAACGGCTTGAGAATGCGCTGGCGACTGGATGCGTTCATATAGTTGTCCATATAGCTTTGAAGTCGGGCGTAACCTTTTGCGTAGTTGTATGGCTGTAAAAGACCTGCTTCGAGCTTGGCTTTGATAACCTGCTTCAATCGCTCTTCTGGTGAGATTTCTGTGGTGGGGTCTGCTGCCGTCAAGAAGAACTTATCTCGGGCGGAATCGGAGATCACTGGCTGGTGGCCGGGAGGTGCATTTTGTTGAGAAGAGGCGATATTTCGAGGGTTTGAAGCCGGTTTTTTGGGGTCTTCTGTGAACGATGGAAACATGTTGTTGGTGGTGGGTGAGAAGGAAAGCATATTGGTGAGGTTTGCTGTTTCTGGAATGTCCATAAGTCCCGTACTATTGGAAGTTCCGCCGAAATCTACAACATTATTGTTGTCCATGAGCGCACCGTTGACAAGATCGGGGTCGTCTATCATGGAGAGAAAGTCATTAAGTGAGCTGAATTCACTTCCAGCGTGCTCAGAGTAGAAAAATGGTTCCTGATTGTATGGAATGGTTTGTGCCAAAACCGAATTTTGCAGCCGATTCAAAGGTTGTTGAATGCCGTTTTCGGAAGGCGCTTGCTGAGGATGCTGCTGAGGATGTTGTGTGTTCTGTAAAGCCAGATTTGGCTGCTGCGTATGTAGCGGCGTGTGTGATTGGTGCAGATACTGATGGGATGTTGGAGTATTTTGTGCTGAATAAGTATTTGGAGTTGTATTGACTTCCGGCAGCGATCGCCCAAGAGAAGAAACCTTCTTTTTCTGCTGAGTATTGGATGGCTCGTCGTAACAGAGGTGGCCGATGCCTCTTTTTATACACCGTTGACAGGGCCGGGACTCATCGCAGATCATGTGCGAGCGCCTGCAGTACACACAGGCAATCTCTACCTTCTTCTTCCTTCGCTTGCGGGTATTATCGGGTTGTACCGGGGTGGCGGTTTCCAGAACTGCGTCTTCGGACTTCATGCTAGCACTGGAATCGTAGTCTTCCATGTTTTCGAATACGACATTTTCGAGGCTCGCGAGAATCTGGGGACAGGTCGTGCTCGTAGCGAGAAACTCCGACCGCCGGGCGCCCGGGGAGATGAAGTGAGTATCGGAGAGAACTCCGATCCGGGGCCGCTCAGGGTTCAGGATAGTGAAAGAGAAGTGGAAAGAAGTGAAAGAGAATTGAGAAATATTGAGAAGATGCTGAAAATAGCAGAGTAGCTGAAGGTAGCTGGTAGCAAAGTAGCTGGTAGCAATGTGGCTCAATAGCGTAGCTGAGTAATGAGTACCAGTCATTCGTAGCAGTATATATTAGCAGTTTCATAGCATGAGTCATGATGGCATTGGATAGGAACGTAAGTCGTAAATGAAAAGCTTGCCGAATAGGTTCCAGACCTACTCAGGTTCACCTACTCAAGTTCACCGGAATCAATGCTCCCACTCAACTCCTTGGAGTCATGATTCAGCGTTGTGAATCGGAGCAATTGTGATGGACGTGAGAATACTTTCGGACGCAGGCTCGGTGGAGGTCCAGTGGGATTTTCAAGTTGGGTTTTGGCTGTGGTAAATGATGCTGTGGACCCTGGTGGAAGAGATGGTGCCTTTGCGGGAACAGTTGGCTCTACTTCAACTTCACCCAAGGACTCATCTACGACACTTTCGTCGCTTCTGGCTGGCTGTGTGTCTTGTTCAGTAAGCATGGCAGAGTTTGATGTGTGACCAGAATCGTGTGCCGGAGTTCCTGAGCTAGATCTTTCTTCCGCTTGATAATGGCTACTTCCCCCAGAGTTCACTCCAACAGACTCTTCGAGAGCACCATAGCTGGGCTGTGGCTGGCTCAAAAGGTAGCTCAGTTTGAGTGAATTGTTGCACAAGGGACAGGACCGCTTGAAGTTGATGAGCCAGTTTGACAAGCATTGTTCATGATAAAAGTGCTTGCAATTGAGAAGCAACACTCGAGAGCGAAGCGGGTGGAATTTTTCAAGGCAAATAGAGCATTTTGTAGCGTTGAAATAATCATCAGGAGGAACAAGAATATTGAGTCCGCGCACCATTGCAGGAAGTTCTGAGGCTGGAGTAGCTGGTGGAGACAGTTCAGCACTGCTCAACGTAGCACTGCTGGTATTTTGCTCCGCTGCTTGTGCTTGTTCCAATTCGTGGGTTTGATTAGTCACACGGATGTAGTCGTAGAAATCACTGGCGGGTATGAGGTGGCTGCGGTTGTAGATGTAGACCTTGAGATTGCGGACCAACTGCTCGTTCTCGCGACTATGGTGTTTTCTCTTAATAATCTGCCCACATCTGATGACTCCGTATATGATGAGAATTACAAGAGGCGGCGAAAGCATCACCGAAATGACCAAATTGATCCACCCGCCCAAAGCTGCCGCTGCAATTCGCAAGTCAACATCGCTACCAGAAATAGCATCGAGCTGCTCGTAGCCCTCGAAAGAAATGAAAAGAACCGGAGTTCGGAGTGTCCCGTCTTGGTTGAAATCGGTAGAGTACATGGTGACCAATCCATGGTTCCGAACATTGTTTGCAACAAGTATGGCCTGTGGGTCTAAACCCAACTCAAGCAAGTTGGATATCTTTTGCACAAACGTACAATTGCCCCGCATCACCACTATGATTTTTTCCTGGAGATGAGAGAAATCCAGAGCGTTTAGCGGCGAACAAGCTGTATCGTCCAAAATTCCAAACCCGCTATCGATGTTATAGTTGACTATAGGGCTAAATGAGGCGTACCGTGCTGGAAACTCGTGGGTTTCGTTACTTACATTGTACTGAATTCTCGAATCGATGGGAAATATCAGGTTCATCATGTTAGAAAACGGATATTCCATGCCGAAATGGTCATATTCGCGAGGTAAAGCGGTGCTTTCAAGGTTTGTTGGTGGTCCACTATGGTCTTGTTTCAGAAAAAGCTGGTTTTTTAGCTCCCGAATCAGATTTTTGGTTAAGAAAAGTGCTCCTTCAAGACCGATTTGGCCCTGCCGTTGTACCACCAGCATCACTCCAAATACCAAGATACCACACACAGCAAGCAAGAGCATCCTGGAGAGCCACATATCCAAATTTCAGCCCCCTAAGAGTGGTGGATGCCAGAATAATTGACGAGACAATAAATAATAATGACAGAATGACGCAATTCTCCTCGCATCAGATCAGGAAATGGTTTTCCTGCAGGCGGTGATAGTGAGCAGCGATGCGGCGCCGCAAAGAGTTGCTGCTGCGCGAACGGCTGCAAATTACAATGAAGGTTCGTACTTTCATGATCTATTTAAAACACGTCATCCAACTTGAGACGCGGGGCAATGTTCATCGACAACAACTCCTGGAATAACAACTTGGCAGCGTACGGAATTGTCATTTTAATGACATTTTCTGACGACTTGCAACTGGTACACCAACTGTTGTATCCCATAAGTCCACAATTGTTGCAAACATCAACCTCAAATGCATCTGAGGAAAGCATGAGTCGTTCCAACAAGAGCTGGGATGCTCCGTATGCAATTACACAGTCTCTTTCCATCTCTCCTAAACGCAAACCACCATCACGAGAACGACCTTCTGTAGGCTGTCTCGTTAAAACTGCTCTAGGGCCTCTTGCTCTGGCATGCATTTTGTCCAACACCATATGTTTCAACTTCTGGTAGTAGATGGGTCCAAAGAAGATGTAGGCCTGCAAGCATTCTCCAGTTATACCAGAGTAAAGCATATCTTTTCCAGAGTAGTTGAAGCCATTTTTCACCAAAATCTCAGACATATCTTCGAGTTTGGAGCCGCCAAAACATGTTCCGTACTCCAAGCTGCCGTTGAGCACACCTGCTTTTCCCGAAATCAACTCAATCATTTTTCCCACTGTCATCCGTGAGGGAAATCCATGTGGGTTCATAATGATATCTGGCACTATACCGTCGTCGTTGAATGGAAGGTCTTCCTGCTGAACGATGATTCCACACACACCTTTCTGGCCATGTCGAGAAGAAAACTTATCTCCAAGCTCGGGTCTTCTGGTTTGTCTCAACAAAACCTTGATCAAGGTTTGGTCGTTGTCACTAACAGACATCATCACCTGGTCAATATAGGAAGGTTCAGGGCCTCTGTAATAGGCTGGGGTTTCTCGGTGACTTTCCACATTCTGCTGGTGATGAGGTTCGTTGGCTCCCAATACAGATTCACTGGCATTGGTGGGAACACATTTGTTGACGTAAACCTGGCCATTTTCCACCTTCATACCAACTTCTCCCAATCCATCTGGACCAAGTGACGCATGCGGGAAAATAGGCTCACCCTGCTCGTCCACTCTCATACCAGAAACTACGTCCTTGGTGTGGTTTGGGTACCGCTTAAGATTCACGGTGTTTTTCCTCAACACTTGACACCGACCAAAACCTCGATCAATTGATGCTTTGTTCAACACTAAAGCATCCTCGATATCGTATCCCGAGTACGACATCACTGCCACAGTGGCATTCTGGCCTGCTGGTAACTTGTCGTAGTCTATAAGCTCGATGGTTTTGGTTTTCACCATGGGTTGTTGCGGGTATACCATCAAGTACAACAAGGTGTCAATTCTGCGGAACTGGTTGTATGCTATGGCTCCAATTGCTTGCTTACCCATAGCACACTGGTAGGTGTTTCTGGGCGACTGGTTGTGGTGTGGGTAAGGAATTAACCCGGCAACCGCACCCAAAACCGTGAAAGGCTCGATTTCCAAATGGGTGATATTTTGGTTGGCTTCGAGATCTCTCTCGTACAATGCAATAAATGAGTCGTTTTCCTCGTTGACGTCGAGATACTCGACGAGACCGTGCTTGATGAAATCTTCAAATACCCATTCACCAGCCATGAGCTTTTTCAAATGCACAGCCTTCACATTGGCTTTGTTTTTGGAATCGACAATAATCAAAGGACGACAAACCCGACCTCCATCGGTAGCTATTTGCACGGCATTTTGGTGGGTGTTTGTATGAATCGATATGAACGGTGAAACTTTTCCAGATCGACGAAGAGCTCTGAAATTTCCCACAAATTGAGCCGGGAATCGAGTGGTTCCTATAATGGTACCATTGAGATAAATGCCAAAATTTCCATCGGCGTGCAAAGTCGCCGAGTCCACCTCGAGAATATCTTCACATCCTAAGGCGAAACAAACCAGTCTTATGGGCTCTTCCTCGTCATCAGTGGTGATATGGGTCATCAATGCCAAGTTTTTGACCAACCCACAGGCTTCACCTTCTGGGGTATCGGAGGTGCACAACATACCAAACTGTGAAGGCTGTAAAGCTCTGGGGCCGGAAACTTTACGAGACTTTTCAAACTGAGAAGATATTCTGGTCATCATTCCCAACGCTGAAATGTACGAGAGTCGTGATAAAACATGGGTAACCCCGGCTCTTTCCATCTTGAAACGCTTGAGCGACCAGTTCCCTGTGGAAATCGCACGGTTCATACCCATGGTGATATTGTTGGAATGAATATTGATCGAGAGCAATGCATCGAACTCCAGCGCACGGCTTGGTTTCTTCAAGATTTTGTCTATATTTGCCTTGAAATCGCTGTTGAACTTTTTGAACAAATCTTCAAAGAGCAACGACATAAGCTGGCCCGCAAGTTCCAACCGCTTGTTTCCCACGTAATCTCGGTCGTCCACCATTTTGGGATTGTGCATTGTCATGAGCACTCTTCTGGCCATCATGGCAATGTAAAGCGCCTTTTCACGGAACTGCAAGTCATCAACTGTTATATGGGCAATTATGGTTGTTGCAATAGCCTCGATACCTTCTTGGAGCTGAGACAATTTGGGTGCGCCTGCTCTCCGGACCGTTTTCACTCGTTTACCAACATAGTTTAGAGCCTGTTGTTGGGTGAAAACCTCCAAACGAGCCGCTTCCTCAAAGTTCACGGCAAAAAGGTCCTGGTACTGCGGGTTGCTTCCGCACACAAGTTGCAAAATTTCAAGGTCCGAAGTGATTCCAGCGGCTTTGAGAATAATGACAATGGGAACATCTTCGCCAATGGAGTTGTGTTTGAGGTATATTTTCTCATTTTTCGTGATAACATAGGTCTTGGACTTACGTTCGTGGGTGGACGATGTTACCGATGCCTGGACAATGCCCTTTTTTTCATCGGCTTCTACGATGATTCTGTTCTTGGAGAGCTGTTCCTGGATCAAAATGACCTTTTCCGTACCATTGACAATGAAATACCCACCAGGGTCAATGGGGCACTCGTCTAACTTGGCCATTTGGTGGTCGTTGATGCCGTCCAAAATACACTTGTTGGACTTCAACATGATGGGCATTCTTCCGATTTCCAAGTCTTTGTGCATGATAATCTTTCTCCCGCGTGTGTACTCCACATCCACGTATATGGGCGCCGAATAAGTCAAATCCCGTAATCGACACTCGTGGGGAGGCAAAATCACCTCTTTGGTGCCTGGTGAAGACGTTGATTTGTGGCCCACCCTGATGTCCAAATATTTCAAGTAGAAGTCTGGATCCACGTCTGACAACACCAATTCGTTGGCCTGGACGATCTTCTTCAAATCGACATCGACAAAGAAATTAAACGAGTCCAAATGCTGCTTGACAAGTCCCTTGACTTTCAAAAACGCCGGTAAAAGATTCCATTTGTCATCAACGGTGTTAATTTCGTCCGCGAGCTTTTTGCCCTTATATTCCGGCTGGAGAAGGTCTCCAAAACCGGCGTCGGCCTCGTAAAGCGTGGACGCTTTCCGCTTGGACATGAGGTCTGGGTATGCTTACAGATCGTTTTGGCTCATCGAGAAAATCGCGGGACGCGCACCCACACACCAGATCGCACCATCAATTCATCGTTGCACTTCAATAGCCCATGTCCGCCAACCAGTTCAAGGCCACCGTCAACGAGTATCTAGAAGGATTGCCGCCGACCATCCAGTCGCAGCTCTACGAGGCACCCGCAACATGTCTTTCCATCTTCAGGTTGTTGACGCCAATTGCAAAGTTTTTCATCATGCTGATGATTTTCAACGAACGGCCTCAATCGGTTCGAGATCTCGACAAGTGGTGCCGTCCACAGTCCAAGAGTCTTCAGTACGACGCATTGAAGCGGCTCAAGTCGTTGCATTTGGTGGAGGAAGATGCTGGGGGCAATTTTCTTCGACTCCATATGACGTTTCGAAAGAACTTTCGAGATTGCTTAACAGGAAACCAGGAAGCCACGGCGTTTGGAAACTTGTGTACCGAGGACGACGGTCACAAGGTTACGGTGGCGTTTCTCGACTCGTTTGCGCTGCAAAAATGGGAAACAATCTTGCATTATATGGTGGGAACTGAACTTCCTTCCAAACCATCACCTTCGGTTTTGTCGCTCCTCAAGCTGGGTGGACTCATGGAAGGTCCAGGAACTGATGCTCGCAACTTGAAGATTACCAATAGTGGATTTCAGTTCTTGCTACAGGACATGAATGCCCAAATATGGACACTTCTTCTTCAGTATCTCAACTTGACACAAGATCTAAACATGGACCCCGTCGATGTGCTCAATTTTCTCTTCGTTTTGGGGTCTCTCGAGCTTGGGAAAAGCTACTACCTCTCTGGTCTCAGCGACACCCAGGTTAGCATGTTGGCAGACTTGCGAGATTACGGTCTAGTGTACCAGTACAGCGACCAATCCGATCGATTTTATCCCACGAGACTCGCTACCACTCTCACATCCGAGTCTGCATCTCTCAAAACCCCCTCCATGGCGCTAGACCAGGCGGTGGACACATCAAATGGACTTGACTCGGGACCAGGTCAAGGCTCAATTATTCTTGAAACCAACTTTAAACTCTACGCATACACAAATTCTCCGTTGGAGATTGCCATTTTGAACCTATTTGTCAACTTAAGGACGAGATTCTCCAATATGGTTTCTGGACAAATCACCCGAGAATCCATTCGCAACGCATTGTACAACGGAATCACCTCGGACCAAATCATCAATTTTCTCGAGACCCATGCCCATCCACAAATGCGGGCTCTAGCCAAGGAAAGACTCGACAAGAAGGTCGAGTTCGACGCGAGCAACAACATCAACACTGCAGGCGGTGGTCAGAACTCGTCGGCTCAGCATAAACTCGAAATTCTTCCGCCCACAGTGGTGGACCAAATCAAGCTTTGGCAGTTGGAATTGGATCGGATCCAAGCGTTCGAGGGCTATTTGTTCAAGGAGTTTGCAAGCCAGCAAGAATTCGATGTTTTGTGCAATTATGCTTCGGATGTGGGAGTACTTATATGGTCCGACAGAACCAAAATGAGGTTTTTTGTCACCAAAGATGGTATATCTCAGGTGGCAGACTTTGCCAATAGAAAGTTGAAGCGGTGAAGAGCTGATGAACGAAACTGAAAGTTTCGTTTGAAGCTGAGGCTAATTAAACCGAACTATATTAAAGCTGGTAATTTTCTCAAAAGAGGTTTTGATCAAAAGGCTGAATTCACTGAAGAAGAGTGTTCTACCTACCTGTGAAGTTCGAAAGCTAAGTTCGGATCTAGCAAATTATATACATGCTTTATACATTAGCCTGAGCACGAGCTACAGGCGATTTCGTCTGGGGTGTAATTACATGAATCTCTCTTTTCCTCTCCAGGCGAATACCCTTGAGACTCTGGGGTCAACTCACCTGTGCCGGGAAAGCTCAGTTCGTATACTTCGTCAATTTTACGTTTTAGAGGTGTTGCAGCACTGCTCAATCCCGAAACAGTAAACTGAATAGCTCTGGAAGCAGATTGCGTTCGCAAGTAATACAAGCCAGTTTTCAAGCCTTGTTTCCACGCATAAAAGTGGCAGCTGGTCAACTTGGATTTGGTAGGATTTCGCATATGGATGTTTAAACTCTGCAGCTGGTCAATGAATTTGGCTCGGTCCACGGCCATGTCTATTATGGTGCGCTGCAGTATATCCCACACCGTTTTGAACACATCTCTTACATGTTGGGGTATCTCGTCGATGTTCATCACCGATCCGCCTGCAACAAGAATCCTGTCTTTCATTTGCTTGTTCCACAAATTTAACTCGGTGAGTTTCTTCACCAAATACTTGTTGACCACCTGAAACTCTCCAGCCAAAACTCTTCTCGTGTAGATGTTGGAGGTGTATGGCTCAAAGCATTCGTTGAAACCTAGTATTTGAGACGTCGAGGCAGTGGGCATCGGAGCCACCAAGAGCGAATTTCGCATCCCGCTTTTAACTACTTTTTGCTTCAATTCGTCCCAGTCTGTGTAGAGATCCGAAGGCTTGTGGTTCCAAAGATCAAACTGTAGTAGCCCTTTTGAGGCCGGGGATCCAGCAAATGTTTCATAGGGACCATCTTTTATAGCTAGCTCAACTGAAGCCTCCACTGCAGCATGGTAAATGGTCTCGAACACCTGGATATTTAACTCTCTAGCTCGTGGAGAATCAAACGGCAATTCTAGCTTCAAGAAAAGGTCGGCGAGACCTTGTACGCCAACTGCTATGGGTCTGTGTTTCTTATTGGAGATTCTGGCCGATTCGAGAGGATACGCCGTAACATCAATGACTTTGTTCAAGTTGTTCACGAGCACCTTGGTCACTTTGTGCAACAACTGTGAGTCGAAATTGTCATTCTTAACAAACATAGGAAGTGCTACCGACCCCAAATTGCACACTGCTACTTCGTCTGGCGAAGAATACTGGACGACTTCGCAGCACAAGTTTGAAGACTTGATGGTTCCCAAATTCTTCTGGTTCGATTTCTCGTTGCACGCATCTTTGTAGAGCATGTAGGGTCCACCAGTTTCAATCTGGGAGTCGAGAATGGCGTCCCACAATTTTTGGGCCCTTACTACTTTCATAGCCAACCCTTTAGCTTCGTACGATTCATACAACCGTTTAAATTCTTCTCCATAACAATTTTCCAAGCCCGGTGCCTGATCCGGCGAGAAACAAGACCATTGCTCATCGTTTCGTACTCGTTCCATGAAAAGATCTGGAATCCACAACGCATAAAAGAGGTCTCGGGCTCTCATTTCTTCCTTTCCGTGGTTCTTTTTCAAGTCCAACACCTCAAAGATATCAGCGTGCCATGGTTCCAAGTAGATAGCAAACGCTCCTGGTCGTTTATTTCCACCTTGGTCAACATAGCGAGCAGTATTGTTGAATACTCGAAGCATCGGAACCAAGCCACTAGAAGTTCCGCTTGAGCTGGCAATTCTTGAGCCGCTGGCTCGAATATTATGTACATGGAGGCCAATTCCTCCCGAGGCTTTGGATATAAGTGCGGTTTCATGGAGGGTTTTGTAGATCCCGTCAATAGAATCTTCTTTCATCGCCAACAAGAAACATGATGAAAGATGGTTATAATTGGTTCCACTGTTGAACAAAGTTGGCGACGCGTGTATGAAGTATTTTTGCGACATGTATGTGTAGGTTTCTATGGCTGAATTGACATCTTGCCCGTGAATTCCAAGAGATACTCTCATGAACATATACTGAGGAGTCTCAGAACCAACAAGCAAATAAGATTTTTGCAAGGTTTTCACGGCAAAATAGCTCAATTCGTAATCTCTCCTGTGATCTATGGCTCCATCTATCTTTTCAGCGTTCTTTTCCGCCACCGAAACCAATTGGCTCGATAACGTATTTGGGGCGATTTTTGCAATTTTTGCAATATTTGCAGAAAACAGATTTTCTGCCAGTTTCTGGATTTTGGTCATCTCCACTCGTCCAGCAAGCACCCCATAGTCAGGATAACTGGTGGTTCTAGATGCCAAAGACTCGGCCGTAAGAAGTAATAAGTCATCAACGGTTATTGTTGCCGGTAATCCAGCAGCCACCGAGTCGACTACATCATCCAAATCGAGGTGTTCTATATCGAGCTCATAGCTGAGAGTGTCTAGAAGCGATCGTAATCGTTTTGGATCAAATTTGGTTTGTTTATTTGGGGCCAAAACATCCACCATAGTGTACCTGAAGAAACGAGGCAAATGTCGCGCGCATCTCATTACCTAACCGAAATGGGATGGAACCGAGGGAGTGTATATGGACCATCACTCCTGAGACAAAACGGCGATGAGACAGATGAACAGAACCAGCCTGCACACTATCGGCGTACCTGAAAAGAATGCAACCGCAAAAACTGAACCAAAGGCAGTCCGATGCGACCGGAACTAATTTGTCTGATCTCCCCGCTCCCCACAACTGTGCCACCGCGCCATGGTGCCGAGCGTTTGCGCCTGTTTATTGTACGCGTCAATGCCGCTGCGGAACATTCTGCGGCACTCCTTGCAGCTGCGGGCACAGAACCGAACACCGGTACTCCGAAATTCAAACCTAACACATATCCGTGGAGATGCGGTTATCAGGGGTAGGGGCGGGCTGGTTGACTTGGCTGCAAAACCCCTGTACCCCGCTTATACTACCGCCTCAATGCTTCATCAAAACATGACCGCCTAGAACCGGAGTTATGTCACGTGACGCCTCGTGCGAGCGCGCTTACATAAGCGGCTTCTTTTCTCGTATTGCAACACAGCCTTGTGGAGTAATCGTGGTCGGAACTCAGGATGGTGTGTAGGAAGGCAAGTTTTAACCAACTACTTTCGAGAATCCACCATCTTATTCTTCGGGGCAGCGCAAGATCCGACCCGGGCGTTTGCAGCCGGCCCATTTTTGTAAGGGCTCGACCGAATCTTGCTGCAGCGGATGCGGCTTTTTCATGCGGCGACTGCGCGTCAATTGCGTTTTTGGGAATCGGCCTGGAACCATCGGATCGGGCTCAAGCAACAGAAAAGAATGAGGCGGAATATAAGATGTTGCGGTTCGTCATTTGTCGCAAAACTTTTTGCGGGTGCGCGTGTAACTGTTGGTGAATACATCGTTCCTTAAATTAAACATTTAGTTCCGGTTGTTCATAATCAGAGCCGAACAACTATCATTCATCACCGCAGATACATATAATCAAGACCAAATTAAATTTATTATTGCCTACCATTAACTTTATTATCGAGAGCACCAACTTAATTATTACGAGACTACCAAATTAGATTTATTATCAGGAGAAAGTTTATTATCTGAATAGATTGCTTTCAAAAAGATTGATTACTATAAGTTCTTGCCAAGACGACAAATTTCAAATTGCCACGAGCTGAGATTATCACCATCTTATAAGTACGAGCTGTCAGCCACCAGTGATAAGACAAGCACCAAAAATTCAGATCAACCACAAACATCCCAAATATTCCAAATACCAACCACTACCTGTGATTTCTAGATCAGTGATCCAGTCCATTTCATCATGAACAGCCCAGATCAGATCCCCTTCAACACCCAACTTTACACTCCTCCCGCACAACCCATCACAAGCACAGACTACTTTAGCAAGAAAGGAAACGCTCCCAAATTGGCAGTTGATGTGGACTTGGAACCCAGAACCGTTCCGTCGTTTTCTCACCGTCATACCGAGGTCACAAAGTATATTTCGCCGGTGGACAAACTTAGTCCCGACGTAGAGACTCCGGCGGAAGTTGGCCCTGCTAATTTTATCCCCAATATGTCTCAATACCGGTTTTTGCTTGTAGACGACAATAGCATCAACCTCAAGATTCTCACGAAAATCCTCTTACGATTATACCCGCGGGCACACATTGTGGAGCTTTGTGACTCTACTTCGGTGTTGGCGTACTTGGCGTCGACACCGCCGTTTGATTGTGTTTTTCTCGACATCGAAATGCCAGTGGTTTCTGGAACTGAATTGGCGTACCGAATACGACAGTCCCCAAAACTTTGCCGGTTACCACTCATTGCGGTAACCACCAGGACACAAGAAGAAGATTTGGCCCAATATAAAGATGTGGGCATTGACTGGACGTTTGGAAAACCGTTCAATTACCCATACCGAGTGGTGTTGGACGTGGTGGACAATGTTCTTCGTCAACGGATTAACGAATTATGACTACGATAGACCTCATGGAATATTACAGGAAACACTGTAACGACCACGAGTATGACTGTACAAGCTAATGTTATTTATGCTATATACATGTTATATTATGATTATAACATGGTACTAATAAATCATGCGATGCATTAATCTACTATTTACATTCTATTATACAGTTGCCACTACCCTTTCAGTACCCTCCTCTTCTCTTCTCTCCCTCTCTCACTTTCCAGCAGTCTCCGCCATCATCTCAATGCATCTCTCCACATTTTCTCCATTTTGCGCACTGACAGGTAAAATCTTCCACCCATTGCTCTCTACGTATTTTTGGAATTGACGGTATCGGTCTGGTGTAGAGTTTACATCAGCCTTGGTGGCCACCACTAACACCTTTTTATCCTCCATTCTCTTTTTTCCAACTTCTTGGACCAAAATTTCCAAGTCTTCATTTGGCGATTTGCTCTCCAACGAAACCACAAAAACGAGCCCATTGGACCGCTCAATGTGCCGCAAAAAGTCAAGTCCCATGCCCTTGTCGTGGCTGGCGCCCTTGATGATGCCCGGAATATCGGCCACCGTGAATGGATCTCGGTCAATTGTGGTGAAAATTGTGCCGACAGTAGGCTGGAGTGTAGTGAATTCCCAATGGCCAACTCGCGGACGAGCACGGGAAATGGCTCTCAAAAGCGTGGACTTGCCGGCGTTCGGAAGTCCCACAAGCCCCAAATCAGCGATTATCTTGAGCTCGAGTATGAAAAATTGTCGCAACCCTTCACGGCCTCTTTTGCTGAACCTAGGGTTGCGAATATCTTTGGTGAGAAAATGCATATTGCCCATTCCGCCGCCGCCGCCCTTCATCAAGAGCACAGGAGTGTCGGTGGGCTCATTGAAGTCGATTCCCACCACGGGAAACTGGTCCTGGCACAATTCCTCGTACTGCATTTCCATCTCCATCGCCTTGACCTGCTCATTAAGGTCGTTAAAATAGTCTCTTTGCTGGTGATATTCCTCGTCTCGCTCCTTGAAGAGCCACCCCTCGCCCGGCTCGTAGCTGTCACGAAACCACTGGATGCTGTCGCTGTCTGTCGTCTGGAACTCAAGGGTAATGTTGTCGAGCTGGTGGCCCGATTCCTGCAAATACCGGCGGAGTTGCCGAGGATCTGGAATCCACCGAATAGTGGTTCCCGCCGGAACCTCGATCACCACGTCGTCGCCCTTCTTCCCATCAAGCTGGCGTCCGGTTCCCGCCCCGCCATTTTGAGCAACATAGGTTTTTTTCACCTTGTGGAGAGAAGTGAGTCCTTCTACAACATGCACATAAACGTCTCCTCCTCGGCCCCCATCGCCACCATCGGCTGGTCCAACCGGTCGGTGGGCGTCCCGAAAAAAAGAAACCGAACCATTGCCTCCTCGACCACTAACAGCTTGCACCAATTTCAAATCTACAAACGTTCGTTGCTCGACATTTCGCCCTTGCTTATACTTGTTTTCGTTTCTGAAAACTTTGTGGGTTTGGTTCTTGTTGCCTCCAAAGTAGTCGTGGAGCGTTATATGGATCTTGTTGAGCCCATTGGCACGTTCTATGTGCTTAAATGGCATGTTCTCGTTGAACCTGGACTGGGTTCCAGACACCGCCGCGGCGTCATTTCCGAGAATACGGAACGTGGAGTTTGTGGGGTTAATTTCCTCGTTACGGAGCTTTGTAGTATGTGAAAAAAATCGTCTAAACCCTCGATAAACGGGCGCAGGCACCGCTGATCGAAACATAAGAAATGACCAAAGAAGATTGATTTGGATCCATGTTCGCGCGGTACTGCATACACTACCTCATCGCATCGCCGATTTCAACTTCCCCATGCTGTTCAAAGATCTCGGTGTATCGAAATGGCTTTTGGAGGCACTTGCCGCCATGAAAATCCGCCTGCCCACCTCCATTCAGGCCGAGTGTATACCCCAGATTTTGGCGGGCCGTGACTGCATTGGTGGGGCCAAAACTGGGTCCGGAAAAACCATCGCTTTTGCAGCTCCAATGATGACTAAATGGTCAGAAGATCCTTTTGGTATTTACGGCTTGGTCCTCACGCCAACACGAGAGTTGGCGCTCCAGATAGCAGAGCAGTTTTTGGCGCTCGGAGCTTCGATGAACATAAAAGTTGCCGTGGTGGTTGGAGGAGAAGATATGGTGAAACAAGCATTGGAAATCCAAAAAAGTCCCCATTTCATTATAGCCACTCCTGGAAGGCTCGCCGACCATATACTAAACAGTGGAGATGATACGGTTGGAGGCTTGAAGCGTATAAAGTTTCTTGTGTTGGACGAAGCCGATCGGCTATTGAGCAATAGTTTTGGGAGCGATTTGGAAAGATGCTTTAAAATTCTTCCCGATGCTTCTAAACGACAAACCCTCTTGTTCACGGCTACCGTAACAGATGCGGTTCGTGCTTTGAAAGATAAACCTGTTCCTGAAGGAAAAAAACCGGTATTTATACATGAGATTGTGTCGAAAGACCAAGTAGCCATTCCGGCCACTTTGACCATATCCTACGTTTTCGTTCCATCCTACGTCAAAGAGGCATACCTCCACAACATATTGGTGCTGCCCAAGTACGAAAAAGCTCTGGCAATTGTGTTTGTCAACAGAACTTATACCGCTGAAATCCTTCGAAGGACGTTGCGAAAACTTGATATTCGAGTGGCCTCACTTCACTCGGAAATGCCCCAGAGCGAGAGAACAAACTCCTTACACAGGTTCCGTGCCGGGGCTGCTCGGGTATTGATAGCTACAGATGTTGCGTCGAGAGGTCTTGATATTCCAAATGTCGAATTGGTGGTCAACCAAGATATTCCAGCAGATCCTGACGACTATATCCACCGGGTAGGAAGAACTGCGAGAGCAGGCAAGAAGGGAGGCTCGGTTTCCATCGTTTCGGAGAAGGACGTTGAGAGAATCTTGGCGATAGAAAATCATATTAACAAAAAAATGGATTTGTTGGAGGAGGTTAACGACGACAAAATAATCAAGGAATCGTTGAGCATAGTGACTGCGGCAAAGAGAGAGTCCGTAGCAGATATGGAGAAGGAGGGCTTTGGGGAGAAGAGAAAGATCAATAAGAGAAAGCGGGAAGAAAGGACAAGGGATAGTAAGAAGAGAAAGTAGAAGAAGTTGCATAGAAAAAAGGGACACTAAAAAAAATTAGATACTATTGTGGTGATGTACTTGATGCTGTAGACTTGGTGATGTACTTTGATGCTGTAGTACTTGGAACTTGTCTTTGGTGACTGTAGCGCATTGATGCTTGTAATACTTGGTATTTGTAATACTTGGTATTGTTCTTTGGTACTTGTACTCTGAAGCTTGTGTACTTGGTACTTGTCTTTGGTGCTTGTACTTTGGTATTCGTAGTACTTGGTGTTTGTACTTTCTAACTTGTAGTACTTGGTACTTGAAGTTCTCTGTGGTAGAAATCTTTAAATTCTTTCCGACTTTCTAGCCCCACAATATTTTCTGCTATTGAATATCGTTTACCCAATGAACATACCATGGCGTATATGTAGCCAGTACTCATCTTTTCGTCATTTTCATGGTTTCCGGAACCATTACAATCTTTAAAGTCTTGAGCGATCGGTGCCAGAAACCGTACTGGCAAACTAATCCTTTATCTAGCCGATCATTTGTAGATCCTTTGGATAAGGGCCCTATTACATCAATTAACCGCACTGAAAAATGACCCTCTCAATTGAAAACCACCCATTCCTAATTTGGCTGATCTTCATACCAGACGCTGACTTCACAGAAGCCATTGCTCTGAATCTTCGTTTCTTCCCTTCTTAGTCAAACCGCATTCATGTAACTCTCAATGATCAAAAGCGTGCAAAGGGCAATCATTCCCACCATTATACACGTCATACACACCACTGTGGCAGCATTGTACACTCCGTGTGTTTGGATCTTGTGTTGGGCGTATCGATTAACGGTGACAAAATAGTTGACTGCGCTCACAGACAACGCAAAAACCGCCAAGCCCACCAAAGTAAACGACACAGGCACCGTGAATCGCGTTCTGGGTCGAAAAGGGTCACTTTTGCCACTAGTATTCAACCGGAAATGCTGAACAATTGCCAAAGAAGTAAATATAAGTGACATGGAAAATCGTAAAAATGTCAAAAATGTTCGTTCCAGCTGCAGAACATCACGAGGCTCACTGCTCTCGATCTTGAGCCGGACGGAGAAGGGGAATTGCCATGGCGCAGCTGGGGAGTCCATGGAAACAGGGAGAAGAGAGAGAAAGAACGAAATAGAGTGAGAAAGGATCAGATCTTATCGCGAACCTGCACACAACCCATCGCGCTCTTTTTTTATCGATCCAAAATTTATTCGCATCTCTGTTTATCCATCATGAGAGCAGCCAAGCCATGTAGAAACTGTGGCCACACCAGTTTTTCGATCGATCGCTACACTTCCCTGGGTGACGTGTCGTGCTCTAGGTGTGGAACTGTCCAAGAAGAAAACCCAATAGTCTCAGAAGTGCAATTTGGAGAACTGTCGTCTGGTGCCGCCGTGGTCCAAGGAACCATGGTTGGAGCTGATCAGACAAGAGCTACATTTGGAGGAAGGCAGAATGCCATGGAAAGTCGTGAGCAAACGCTACAGAATGGTCGTAAAAAAATAAAACGCATAGCTACGGCAATGAGAATTCCAGACTACATTTCCGATGCTGCCGCCGAATGGTTTCGCCTTGCACTCACCCTTAACTTTGTTCAAGGACGTAGATCCCAAAATGTGTTGGCTGCGTGCTTGTATGTGGCGTGTCGTAAGGAAAAGACCCCTCACATGTTGATAGATTTCAGTTCGCGGCTCCAAATCTCGGTGTATTCGCTAGGTGCTACTTTTCTCAAGATGGTACGAGCATTGCATATAACAAACTTGCCGCTAGCGGATCCTTCACTTTTCATTCAGCATTTTGCCGAAAGACTTGATTTTGGCGATCTTTTGACGAAAGTCATAAAAGATGCCGTTAAGCTCGCCCAGCGCATGGCCAACGACTGGATCCACGAGGGACGGCGGCCAGCAGGCGTAGCAGGCGCTTGTGTGTTGTTGGCAGCGAGAATGAACAACTTTCGCCGAAGTCACGCCGAAATCGTTGCGGTTGCACATGTAGCAGAAGAAACATTACAGCGCCGGCTCAATGAATTCAAAAAGACGTCAAGCGGAGCGCTTTCCGTGGCTGATTTCCGCCTGCTGGAACAGATGGACCCTGCCAATCCGCCTTCTTTTAACAAAAATCGAGAACAAGAGCTCCGCATTGCTCAGGAACTCCAGCAAGCACAGAGCACAGAAACCTTACTTGGAGGCGAAACCAGCTCTGCTAAAGAAGCCCACAAACAGAAACTTCTTAAAACAATACTCAAAGATTGTGATCTCTCAGAACAAGAAATCTCCACACAGCTCCAGCGCATAGTCCAGGCCCAGCAAAAGTCTCTCCAGAACTCGATGTACACCACACCATCCGACCGCCAAGGCGACGCCAGCATCGACCGTGTGGACTTGGATAAACCCAGAAACCTCTCCAAGAACCTTCCTCGAACCGAAGACATTCTTCAAACGGTATCGCTGCATCCTACCGACTTTACAGATCTCGACGATGAAGAGCTTTCTTTGTTTAAGCTCACGGAAGAAGAACACCGTCTTAAAGAGCGGGTGTGGACCGGTCTAAACCATGACTTTTTATTGGCTCAAGAGCGTAAAAGGTTAAAGGAAGAGGCCGATGAGCTCACTGGAAATACGTCGGGATCGAAAAGAAAGAGGAAACCCAAGGCTAGCGGCATCGAAGATCTCAATGAAATGGGAATGGGCGAGGCGCTTGCAAATATTGGCGTTGACGATTCTACTGGTGAGCCATTAACGGCGGCCGATAGTGCGAAGCGAATGCTTTCAAAGAAATCTTTTTCCAAGAAGATCAATTATGCTACGCTTGGAGATTTGTTTGGCGAAACCGCCCGAGCGGGAAGTACATAAGTGGAAAGGAGATCAGAAAACGAGCAGAGAAGAAAGATTTAAATAGATCAATTACGATAATGAATTATTGAAAGATTGTGTAACATGAGTAGAATTAACTTAATGGGAGCAAAGCTATTTCAAAGACATGGACGAACTTTATACCACTTTAATGTTCTCTGTTCCTCCTTCTAGTCTTTATCGCTTTTCCTATATGCACACCGTCCCCATCTCAGCTCATCGCTCATCTTGAAAAGTAACCATGGGAAAACAAAGACGTGCTGCTATTTTGCCCACGAATATCATTCTTCTTCAGAATGTGGTACGCAGGGACCCCGAGTCCTATTATGAAGAGTTTTTACAGCAGTATTCCCACTATCAGAGTCTCAGGGACATTTTTCTTTTGAACCCATCGGCCGATGAGGGCACGGAATTTGCAGATTTGATTGGATTTGTGTCTGCTGTGTGTAATTGTTACCCCAAGGAAACAGCCAACTTTCCACAGGAACTCAGAACGATCTTACTTGAAAACCATAGAGCATTAAATTCCGACTTGAGAGAAAAAATTATTCAGTGTTTGACCATGTTGCGTAACAAAGATATCATATCCGCCGAAGACCTTATTCAAACTTTATTCCCGTTATTGACGGCGTACTCATCGCAAACAGCATCGCAAAACGGATCGAATGTTAAAGCCTTGCGTGCCCAAATCTACTCAACGTTGATCTCGTTGCTCAAGTCGGTGAACACTGGCGCCAAAAACCAAAAAATTAACCGGTCAACCCAAGCACTTCTTTTCAATCTTTTGGAACAAAAAGACTCCCAGGGTCTCTGGGCCACCAAGCTCACGAGAGAACTCTGGCGTAGAGGAATCTGGGACGATTCTCGTACGGTGGAAATCATGACCCAAGCTGCCAATCACCCAGATGTGAAAGTGGCCATTTCAGCGGCTAGATTTTTCCTTGGTGCCGACAAAGAAAGAGAAGAGAATTTTGAGGACAAGTCGGAAGATGAAGATGGGTTCGATATGACGACTTTAAGGCATCAATTTCTGATCAATAAAAAGTCGTCCAAGAGAGGCAGAAAACTTGAGCAGGCTGCGAAAACCATCAAAAAGAAAAATGCCAACAAAGGACTTGCAACCTATCTCAACTTTTCAGCTATCCACCTTCTTCGAGACCCACAAGGATTTGCTGAGAGTCTTTTCAACAACCATCTCAGCGGGAAAAACTCCAACAAATACGATCTTGAACAAAAAATTCTTTTCATGAACTTGGTTTCGCGACTCATTGGAACCCACAAGTTGACGGTTTTGGGCATATATTCGTTTTTCTTAAAGTACTTGACACCCAAGCAGCGAGACGTTACCCAGATCATGGCGGCAGCAGCTCAAGCTTCTCACGAATTGGTTCCTCCAGATTCCATAAGTGTAGTTATTCGCAAGATAGCCGACGAGTTTGTGAGTGAAGGAGTTGCAGCTGAAGTTGCTGCTGCTGGAATCAACACCATACGAGAGATATTAAGCCGTGCTCCACTTGCCATAGACGAAACTTTATTGCAAGATTTGACCGAGTATAAAGGTTCCAAATCTAAGCCGGTGGTGATGGCTGCGAGGTCGTTGATAAGTTTGTACCGGGAAGTTGCACCAGAAATGTTGAAAAAGAAAGACAGAGGAAAAGGTGCAAGCATGGGTCTTCAGGCTGGAGAGAAAAAGGTTCCTCAGTTTGGAGAAAGTGGTCCACTGGGTATTCCCGGCATCGAGTTGTTGGCCAAATGGCGTGCTGAAAATGAAAAAAATGAAAACAAAACAGAAGAGAATGAGGAGGAAGAGGACGAGTGGAACGAGGAAGAGTGGGAGGTTGATGAGAACGACAGCGACGATGGTGAAGGCGGCTGGGTCAATGTGGAGTCCGACGACAATATGGACGATGTTTCCGATGTCGATATTTCAGAAGACGAATCTACGCCAACGGAGACTTCTGAGGAAGACAAAGTTGCCGCCGAAAAAGCCATCACTGATCTTCTTTCCTCGAGAATTCTCACGCCGGCAGATTTTGCCAAGTTGGAGGAATTGCGAGTTCAAGCCGGTGTTGAAAAATTGATGGGTTCCACACAAAAGAACGAAGAACTGGTTGATTCCGCAACGCTTGTGGGACCGGTAAAATACAAGCTTCTTAAGGAAGAGAGAATTGCACTTGCTCGTGAAGGAAAAGACGACAGAGAGAAATTTGGTTCGAGAAGAGGAAAGAGAGACACGGCGCATTCCACCACCAACAAGGAAAAGGCCCGCAAGAAGAACTTTGTGATGATGATACACAAGAAAGCAGTGAAGGGCAAGCAGAAGCTCTCGTTGCGAGACCGCCAAAAGGTATTGAAGGCGCATGTTGAGCGTCAAAAGAAGGGAAGGCATTAAAACAATACATTAATAAAACAATACATTAGTACACAGTTAAACAATAGTACAATATCCGCTGATAGTAATACAGTAAGGAATTGAATCACTTTTCCTTCTCCTTCTCCGTCTTTTCTTTCTTCTTGTCGCTCTTTTCCTTCTTCTTCTTGGTGCCGTCGTCGTGCTTTTTTCCTTCAGATTTGCGTTTCTTGGACTCTTTGGACTTCTTGGCGGCCTCGGTGGTGGTAGGACTGGCAGGAGCAGGCACAGGCTCCGAAGGAGCAATTGTTTCCTCAGCAGGTTTTTCAGCTGGGACCGCTGAAGAATTGACCTCTGCGGCCTTTTCCGCTTCCAATTTCCCCTGGTAAGCTTCCTTAGCCTTCTGGTACTCCTTCAACTCATTCTGGTACTTTTTCTGCCACTGGGACTTTTCCTCGGCAGAAATCGAGTTCCATCTCTCTTTGACAAGCTCGTTCATTTCCACCGCGGACAAAGGTGGTTCGTTGTTTTTCTTTCTTTCTTCTCTGATGGTCTCCCTAGTGTGGAAGGAGAACGCAAAGTAGATAGTGAGTGGCTTTTTGGGAGCATTGGGGTCCTTTTCCACCTTTCTCTTCTTTTTTTCTGGTGCAGCAGCTCCGTCTTTCGCAGCCTTTTTTCCCTTTGGTTTTTCTCCTTCTTCCGTCTTGGCTTCAGACTCCTTCGAGACTTCAGAGTTCACGAGCTCGAGCGCAGGAGCCACCGAGTTGATGGCAGACGCCAACGCAGTCAAAGATTCGTCGTTGGAAGAATCGTGAGCAACTTTGTAAAAGTTGACGGTAGCGGACGCGGCGTCCTGGGCGGCCTTGGAAAGCTCAAATAAGGCAGACACCAAGGCGTCTTTGGAAGTTTTGATGTCACTCATCGTTGTACAGGTGTTAGAAAGGGCAGTTTGGCACGGTTTTGGAGATATTTGTGTGTGTTTGGTGCAACTTGTGTCTAGCGAGACAGTGATGAGACTCGGTAAATTAGTGCGAAAATAGGGAGGGAGGGATGAAATTCGGCACGAATTTGGCGCAGCCATCGCGCCAGCGACACGCCCCGCACGAGGAAATAGCGATAGCGCGCGGGCTGTTTGGCGGAAGGTTTGGTGAAAGAGGGCAAGTGAAAAACGGAAAAGACGAAAGCAATTGATCTGAAAAACCACCACAATTATCTAGTACACCAGTTCAACCTCTTAATACACTTTCACTTTCGTATCCACATTTTTCGCCATTTTCTACTTCCTTCATCTTCACCTGCCTCTTTCCTGTACATTCACCTCGCGGCTCGCAACGGTTGCAACTCACGAAACATGTCTATTTCTACGGTGTTCAGTAATGGCACCAAAGCCGTCAAAAAATCTGCGTTATCGTGTCCTGGGCAAGGCTTAGACTTGCTGGCGGCATTTGCTGGCTTCCACAAACACAAAAATCTCTTTAAACGATTCTTGGATGAGGTTGACGATGCCTTGGGTGAAAACTTGTCACTGAGTCTTTTCGATAAAAATCCCCAATTGGACTTGATGAGGACATACTATGCCCAGCCAGCCATACTCACAGCCACGGTATGCATCCACGAGTACATTCGCCGAGTTCATGGCGTAGATCTCATTCGTCAGCCAGAAGTGGAATACATTCTTGGTCATTCTTTGGGCGAATATTCCGCTTTGGCTGTTTCTGGAATGCTTGAGCTTGGTACAGCGGTACAGCTAGTTCGCAAGAGAGCACAATTGATGGAAGATTTGGTGCTTAACAGCAAAAATTATGAAATGAAAGCTCTCATGTTTCGAGCACCATTTTTTGAAAAAGTGCTAAAACACTGCGACGACAACCAAATCTTGGCAAACGTTAACACTTGCCAGCAGATAGTGGTTGCTGGAGAAAAACAAAAAATACAGGCGGTTTTGGACCAATTGCCGAAAAGAACAATTGCAAAAATTACAGCTTTACCGGTAAAAATTCCCTTCCATAATGAAAAGCTTCGTCCAATGGAAGCAAAATTGCTGAAATGGATAGAACATAAAGAGATCAAACTGCCAATTAAACCTTTCATACTAAACTTGACAGGAAAAATTTCGCTGGATCCGCAGCATATACTATCGTCTATTCTACGCACAAACTCTTGCCCAGTTCAGTGGGTCAAGTCAATGGAGACTCTCAAAGCAGAGGGTATCAATACAGTCTATGCTTTGGGACCCGGAGAGATACTAAGTGGACTCAATTCGAAATTCATGGAGAGCATTTCTCTTTCTGAGCCATAAAAAAGGAAACTACAAGTTACTAGTCACTAAGCTACATTGGGCTAGCTACACTGACTACTACAGTACTTCGCACTCATTTCTGACTTTTCCCCCGTGCGCGAGTCAATGAAAAATTAATCTCGCTCGCATAAACTACTTTTTCTTCCCACGAATTCATGTCGATTATTGACGGCAAGGCCATTGCCTTGGAGATTCGTACTCGCATCCACGGCGAGATCAATGAGTACCAACAAAAGTACCCAGACTTCAAGCCTCGTTTGAGTATCGTTCAGGTGGGAGAAAGACCAGATTCCTCCACTTATGTCCGAATGAAGCTTAAGGCTGCTGAGGAGGCTGCTATCGAGTGTAATATCATCAATTTGCCCGAGACTATTACCGAGTTTGAGTTGTTGACTCGCATTGAAAAGTTGAACAACGATTTGACTGTCGATGGTATTTTGGTTCAACTTCCTCTTCCTGGCCATTTGGACGAGTCCAAGATCACCAATTCGGTTCAGGCAAAAAAGGATGTCGATGGTTTTGGTCCGTACAATGTTGGAGAGTTGGCTAAGAAGGGTGGCTCTCCATACTTTTTGCCTTGTACTCCCAAGGGTATCATGGAGATGCTTGAAAAAGAAGGTGTTCAAGTTGCCGGAAAGCACGCTGTCGTTTTAGGAAGATCCGACATTGTGGGCAAGCCAGTGGCTCACTTGCTCAACAGAGCAAACGCTACGGTGACCACTGTTCACTCGCAGACTCCTCAGGATCAAGTTGAGTTCTTCTTGAAGCAAGCTGACATTGTGGTTGCTGCAATTGGAAAGCCTCAGGTTATCAGAGGTGAATGGCTTAAAAACGGAGCTGTTGTCATTGACGTGGGAACCAATTTCATTCCTGACAGCACCAAAAAGTCGGGAAGCAGAATGGTTGGAGACTGTGATTTCGAGTCCTGTTCCAGAGTCGCTTCGAAAATTACCCCAGTTCCCGGTGGAGTTGGACCCATGACTGTGGCCTCGCTTTTGGAAAATGTGATCCACGCTGCCAAGGAGCACTATTCTGCCAACAACCAGACTCGTCAATTCACCAACCCATTGAAATTGAACTTGCAAACTCCTGTTCCCAGTGACTACGAAATCTCTCGTGCTCAACAGCCTAAAAAAATTGATCAAGTAGCATACGAGGCAGGCATTTTGGAAAGCGAATTGGAGCCTTTTGGTTCGTACAAAGCCAAAGTGTCACTCAATCTCTTGGACAGATTGGAAAACAAAGTCAACGGAAAGTACGTTTTGGTCACCGGTATCACCCCAACTCCATTGGGTGAAGGAAAGTCTACCACCACTGTTGGTTTGGCGCAAGCTTTGGGAGCTCATTTGCAAAAAAATGTGTTTGCCAATGTCAGACAACCAAGTATGGGACCCACGTTTGGTATCAAGGGAGGAGCTGCTGGTGGAGGTTATTCGCAGGTTATTCCTATGGACGAATTCAACATGCACGTTACTGGAGATATTCATGCTATTACGATGGCCAATAACTTGTTGGCAGCAGCCATTGACACAAGAATGTTTCACGAAAGTACCCAGAAGGATGGACCCTTGTTCCGTCGTCTTGTTCCTGCCAAGAAGGGAGTTCGCAAGTTCACTCCAAGTATGTTGAGAAGAATCGAAAAGCTTGGAATTAACAAGACCAATCCTGATGATTTGACAGAAGAAGAAATCTCAAGATTTGCTCGCTTGGACATTGATCCCGACACCATTACTTGGAGAAGAGTTGTGGACTGTAATGATCGTTTCTTGCGTGGAATCACCATTGGTGAAGCTCCAACCGAGAAAGGTTTCACCAGAAAGACAGGGTTTGACATCACAGTGGCTTCTGAGTGTATGGCTATCTTGGCGCTCGCAAACTCGTTGCAAGACATGAGAGAAAGATTGGGTAAAATGGTTATTGCTTCCTCTAAGGCTGGTGAGCCGGTTACATGTGAGGATATCGGTTGTGCTGGTGCTTTGACTGCGTTGTTGAAGGATGCCATCAAGCCAAATATCATGCAAACCTTAGAAGGAACACCGGTGTTTGTCCATGCTGGTCCATTTGCCAACATTTCCATTGGAGCGTCGTCTATTTTGGCAGATAAAATGGCTTTGAAATTAGCTGGAACTTCTGCCTTGTTGAGTGCGGAAGAAAGAGCCCAGCAAGAAGGTTATGTGGTTACCGAAGCTGGGTTTGACTTTACCATGGGAGGAGAACGGTTCATGAACATCAAGTGTAGATCTTCCGGAATTTCTCCTGATGTCATTGTCATCGTTGCTACGGTTCGTGCCTTGAAGGTTCACGGTGGAGGACCCGAAGTCAAAGCCGGAGCACCTTTGGCTCCAGAATACACTCAGGAAAATGTTGACCTTTTGCGTGCTGGATGCAACAATCTTGCAAAGCATATCTCGAACGCCAGAACCTACGGACTTCCCGTGGTGGTCGCTATCAACAAGATGTCTTCAGACACCGATAATGAGCACCAGGTGATCAGAGAAGAAGCATTGAAGGCTGGAGCTGCCGATGCCATTGTTTCCAACCACTGGGAAGAAGGTGGAAAGGGAGCTGTCGACTTGGCTCAAGGAGTTATCAGAGCTTGCAATTCTGGAGAGAATAACTTTAGATTCTTGTACGACACTGCTCCAAGTGTGGAAGAGAAAATCACCACCATTGCCAAAGAAATGTACGGAGCTGGTGAAGTGGAGTTTCTTCCTGAGGCTCAAAAGAAGATCGATACTTATACCAAACAAGGATTTGGATCGCTTCCTATTTGTATTGCCAAAACTCAATACTCGTTGTCTCATGATGCTGCTTTGAAAGGTGTTCCTACCGGGTTCAAATTCCCCATTAGAGACGTCCGGGCTTCGGTTGGTGCCGGCTACTTGTACGCCTTGGCGGCGGAAATCCAAACCATTCCTGGATTGCCCACCCACTGTGGATTCATGAACGTCGAAGTTAACGACGATGGAGAAATCGACGGACTTTTCTAGTTCAATCATCTAGTTCAACACTGGTTGTTGTTCAGTTCAACACTGAAAAAAAATAGGAAAAAATACAATAAGTAATCTTTACCATTAACAGAAGTGGCCTTTACCAAGAAGCACAAAGAAGTATCTTTAGCATGAATCTACAATGAGTAATCTACCATGAATCTAAAAAGAAGTAGTATTCACAATGAACAGAAATAACCTTCACCATGGATCTTCTTACCATGAAGTCAATGTCTGTTTTTAATTGACTTTTTCCTGGTAGATATTTTACCTTAATTGAATTCTAGTTCACATCACTACAATAGTTCTCTTACTTGATTTCTGCCTTCAATTTCTCCCTCAATTGACTTCTTTCGACGTCTTAATCGACTTCCTACTTGACATACTAACTGACTTCTCAATTGACTTCTCAAATGTCTTCTTAATGAACCTTTTAACTAACTCTCTAATTACTACATGCTCACCTACTAATTCCCTTCTCTCTTCTCCCTTGGCATCGCCGCGCACGACCCTGGTGATAACGTTTTTTCCGGTTTGCGAGGAAAGGTGAACAAACATAATGCTTGCACACATGAGAACGATGCGTGCCGCCCGGCCTCTTTTGAGGGTCCAGGTCGCTGGTTTCCACGTTCTGGGTGCCCAAGCATCATTCAAGCTGCTTTCAAGTAGCCATAACTCGCTTCTGCTTTCTAGAGCATTGACCGGCGGTTTGAAGGCGAATTCAATCCGGCCATCGGCGATCAGATTGTACAGTGTTATATCCGAGGACCACAAGGCCAAGTTGTACGAGTACAAAGATGTCAAGAAAATCGTTTCGGAGAAAGACAAATACCCCAATACTCTCGTTGTGGATGTCAGAGAACCGGTGGAATACAAGGAGGGAAGTATACCCGGCGCCATTAATGTGCCATTCAAGTCATCTCCCGGGGCCTTGGGGTTGAGTCCTGAGGAGTTTGAAGAAAACTTTGGCTTTGAAAAGCCTTCCAAGGACAAAGAATTGATCTTTTACTGCTTGGCAGGTGTAAGGTCGACGGCCGCCGAAGAGTTGGCCAACACTTTTGGTTATAAACATAGAGGAAACTACGTGGGTTCGTATGAAGACTGGGTGTCGCACGAGAACCAGCGCAGCTAAGAGCTGAACAATTGAATCTTGTCCATAGGCTATGTTAATACATGATATTCATTCAGATATTCATTCAGATATTCATTCAGATATTCATTCAGATGATCATAGAGATATTCATTCAGATATTCATTCAGATATTCATACAGTATTCATACAGTATTCATACAGTATTCATACAGTATTCATTACATTATTTGCAATACATGGTTTGCAATCTTACTTGCGACCAAACTCCAATTGGCGCATTTCCTTTCCCAACCGCCGTTTCCGCTTGCGCTCCATCACCTTTTCTCTCTGGGGTGCCTTCATGGACTCGAACTTGGCCTTCTGGAGAAGTTTTCGTTTCTCGGACTTTTTCAAAAAATATGGCGCAGCCTGCTGGCCCAGTTTCCACTTTTCTTTCTGCTGTTTTTTGTGCTCGGCCAACACCTGGGCCTCCAAGTCCTTGTTTTTCATGCTGTCGAGTCGTGACCGAAGAGATTGGGTTTGAAGTTCGAGTTCCTGACGCTCACGCGGCGACATGCTGCGACTGAGTTTTTTGTCTTTGAGCATCCGCTGCATCTGCTCCAATTCGCTCTGCCTATACTCGTTTAAGAAACTGTAATCCTTTCTGATTCGCTCCTCGTTCGCCTTACCAAAAGCTGGGTCGAATCGTATATCGCCAAACTTGGAATTATCCTTGGTTTCAAGGCCAGGAATTTGCCGGATTCGAGAAACGGGTCTCTTTGCTGAAGCTTCTGCGGGAGCATGTTTGCTCCGTGTTTTTTGGTCAGAGGTCTTGCTCGAAGATTCTTCTGGAGGACCGTCACTATCGCTTTCGAAAAAGTCGCCTTCTTCGCCGTCGGAGTCGTTATTACTGTTGTTTCTTCGCAGCCATTTCTTTTCATCTTCGTTTTTTATCTTCTTCTGAGCCGAGTTCAAGGCTCCAAACGATATTTCTTCCATTTCATCATGGCCGGATTCGTACTCTACTCCCAGTTCGTCCAGATCATCGTACTGCGGCCGTACTCTGCGGTTCATGATGGGCAGATCTGCGATGCTCGAGATGCGATTCTCCGCGATGAGATTTGACAGGTGGTTCTGGCACGACTCTCTGGATAGGAGTTGATTGGTATTGCCAGAATACAATTGAGCAGGTTTTGGAAGCTGATAAAGTAGAGTCAATATCCTGTCAGCTTGAGGTTACCATTGTGTGGTTTTGAAATTGTTAAGTCACGGAAAAGACCTATTTTTCGCAGATCTAACTTAAGTCAATTTGACGTTACCAGGTACTATTCAAATACCGTTTAAGAGTACCGAAACAAAACCTTGAAATCCCTTGAGCTCCTCCAATCCCTAGAGCTCGTCCAATAGCTTTTGCTAGCTCACTATTCCTGCAATTTCCTTTGACTTCCATTGTCTTTCATTAACTTTCAAAAGATCTCCTCGTGAGTCATCGTGAGTCATCTATATAACCACCTTCCATTCCCACTATCAGCTATCTCCACCATGTCTCGACAGCCCTCCGCCCTCGAGAGGCGCTATATTGCGCGAAACACCCTCAATTGCTACCTGAACTTCAATGTAACTGCAACCTACAACAAGCCAGTTTCCAAGGCCCAGGTGTCGCAGGCGCTTCGAACAATTATGCTTACCAACGACAATCTTTTGCTCAATGCTTTTCGAAAAGATCCCAGCGACACTATGGAAGACGACAGAAGGGCAAATGGTCACAATTGGGTGATAAAACCGGTTCAAAAAGTGCGGTTTGACGATGTGGTTTCAGTTGAAAAAATCGAGCAAGATACTCACCAAAAGGAAAGTCAGATTATTGCAGAGTACCTTTCTCGTTTATCTTCAAAGACCTGTGCACTCAACATTGATACTCCTCCATGGAGACTCCTCATCTATGAAACTGGCCAAAAAACCTACTTGACCTTCTATTTCGACCACACCTTTTATGATGGATATGTTGGTGCTCAGCTTCACAAAGACTTGATTGAACAACTTGACAAGCAAGATGAGCCTGAGTATGTGGACGTTCTTTATGATCAAGAGCACGATAAAATGCCAAACTTGTACCTGACTTATTACCAGCAAGAGCAGCTATACTCTCCACCATGGTACTATTCAATTATGAACAAAATTGGTCAATTGAAGGTGGTCAAGTGGGTGAGTATTCTATTTGAACAAATAGCGTATCGGTTCACTTCTATCGGATTTCTTCGAAAAGTTTTTGGTCTTCGGTTCAGACTCCATCCCAGTGCACTCAGTCGACCAATTTTCAGTTATAAACCAACGACAATGAACTTTGCTACGAAATTTCAAATTGTCAATTTGAGTCAAGCGGAGCTCAAAGAAGTATTAGGTTTTTGCAAAAAGCACCGTTTGACATTTACTCCATTTTTAGACGTCTTGGCGTTGCAGACAATGGAACAGGTTATACGGCCCCAAGTATCACCCACGCCCATAAGCTATTTCCACTTTACAGCGACAAACGGAAGACGCTACTTTCCATATATGAAGTATGTGACGGCTGCCAGTGCGTTTCCTACGATGTTTGGCGATGTAGATGGACTCACCAAAGAGCAGACCATTGATATCATCAAGAGCCACGGCGAGCGAATTGTGAAACTAATGAAGCATATGGTACCGTTTAGAAGTCAAGGAATGGGTATGGAGAGCACCAACTTTTGGGACTTTTTTCTTGGATGTGTGGGTCAGATAATCAAGCCCACTTCGGTGGTTACCAATATTGGCAACCAGAAATTTGAATGTGGTCAATGGAAAATTGAAAACATGTGGTTTTCACAAGGTAATGGAGCTAGCTTCCATTTTGTGTTCAATGTGGTGAGTAGCCACGCCGGTATGAATATTGTGATTGGGTCCCTTCCAGAATATGAAGAATTAATGGAGGGTAAGATGATGGAGACATTTGGGAGAAAGTTGAAGGAGAACATTATGGAGATCAGCAGGATGGAGCATTGATGCAATAGAATGAAATCGTAAGACATACAATAAAATAGTATGATATAGAAGTATGAAAATTGGATGCAAGATAAAAAGTCGAATGGCATTTGAGTTTCACATCAACTTTGTGACCCTGTGAGTCTTGGAATAAGTATTCGGAGACATACAAGTACCATCAAGACACAAATCAGTATCTCGTAGACCAGGACCATATAGAAACTTTTGATTCTCTGCACTTCTCTCAAACCAATCCACACTAATTTATACTAACTCATACTACCTCATGCTATCTCATACTAATTCATACTATCTCATCTTATACTATCTCATACTACCTTATACTATCTCATACTTCTTCTTATACTTTCTCATATCTCTTCTATCTCATCTCTCATTATGTTTCCATAATTCACTTGGTCTTCTCAGTAATTATTCGCGCCGCTGCTTCGCAGCTCCGCGGTTTCGCAGCCATGGCGCCGCTCCGTCCCCTCATGCTTGGTACAGGAATTCGGCAGAACACTGCGAGCCTCGGCACCGATCATACCATTGACAAAAACCACTCTATACAACTTCCACACCCCAAATTCAACTCAATTGCACAAAACCACCACCTCTTCTCCCACACCAATTTTCACCCCATTTTTACCCCTCCCGGACCTGTCACCACCGGGTCCTACTTTCGCCGGGGTGCAGTCGGTGCACGACCGTCCGAGGCCTCCCGAACTTTTGTTTCCGCAACTTGTTCTCAACTATACAATGTTGACTAGAGCAATTCGAGCATCTAGAGTAAGTAGCGACGAAGTTCAAGGACTGTTGTTTGGTAGTACCTCCACGACTTCCAATTACTTTCTTTGATACTTTTTTCAGTTTTTTCTAACACAGGTATCGCAAAAGAGATTCCTTTCTCTTCACGAGTACAGATCCGCTGCCCTCCTCAAGTCTTACGGCGTGGGTGTGCCTTCTGGAGACGCGGCTCTCACTCCTCAGCAGGCTTACGACGTGGCCAAGTCCATTGGCTCCAACGAATTGGTCATCAAGGCCCAAGCTTTGACTGGAGGACGTGGTAAGGGACACTTTGACAATGGGTTCCAAGGAGGTGTTAAGATGATCTCCACCCCCGAGGAGGCCAAGGAGTTGTCGGAGAAGATGTTGGGCCACAAATTGATCACCAAACAGACCGGTGAGGCCGGAAAAGAGGTGACCGCCGTGTACATTGTCGAAAGAAAAGACGCCAAAACCGAGGCTTACTTGGCCATTTTGATGGACAGAGCCACTCAATTGCCAATGATTGTGGCGTCGTCCCAGGGAGGTATGGACATCGAGGGTGTTGCTGCCAAAGATCCCGATGCCATCAAGACTTTCCCCATCCAATTGGACGAGGGTGTTACCGACTCCAAGGCCACCGAAATCGCGTCCGTTCTCGGATTTTCTCAAGAAGCTGTGCCCGAGGCCGCTCTGACCATCCAGAAACTCTACAAGGTGTTTATGGAGCGCGACTGTACCCAGGTGGAAATTAACCCATTGTCCGAAATTACCGACGGCTCGGTGATGGCCATGGATGCCAAGTTGGGTTTCGACGACAACGCTTCTTTCCGTCAAAAGGAGGTGTTTTCATGGAGAGACCCCACCCAGGAGGATCCTGAAGAAGTGGAGGCTGCAGAATATGGTCTTAACTTTATCAAATTAGATGGTAACATCGCCAACATCGTTAACGGTGCCGGATTGGCCATGGCCACTATGGACATCATCAAGTTGAACGGAGGAGAACCAGCCAACTTCTTGGACTGTGGTGGTACTGCCACCCCAGAAACCATTGAAAAGGCTTTCGAGTTGATCTTGTCGGACAAGAAAGTCAATGGTATTTTCGTCAATATTTTTGGAGGTATTGTTAGATGCGACTATGTCGCCAAGGGTTTGATTGCAGCCACCAAGAACTTCCAATTGGACATCCCTGTGGTGGTCAGATTGCAAGGTACTAATATGAAGGAAGCCAAGGAGTTGATCAACAACTCGGGATTGAAGTTGTACCCATTCGAAGACTTGGACCCCGCTGCCGAAAAGATTGTGTCGTTGGCCCCTGCTAGTTAGATATGCTCGATATGATGTATTGATGCTCTATGTTACTCAGCTCTGCTATTCATTACTCCTACTTTACTACTTTACTATTATTCTGCTATTCAGCTTCTTAGCTTCTTCGCTGCTTCGCAGCTTCGTAGCTCGCCGTTCACTCTGATCCTGCACACACCACACCATTCCATTTCATTTCCGCCACCGACCTCGTTCTTCCACACCATGTTTTTAACACGAAGCGAGTACGATAGAGGTGTCAGCACGTTCTCGCCAGAAGGAAGATTGTTCCAGGTGGAATATTCCTTGGAAGCAATCAAATTGGGATCCACAGCAATTGGAATTGCAACTTCTGAAGGTGTGATTTTGGGCGTGGAGAAAAGAGTAACTTCGTCATTATTAGAACACACTTCTATCGAAAAAATCGTCGAAATAGACAGCCACATTGGCTGTGCCATGTCAGGCTTGACGGCAGATGCTCGGTCCATGATCGATCATGCTCGTGTATCTTCGTTGACTCACAACCTATACTACGACGAAGAGATCCAAGTTGAAAGTCTAACACAGTCTGTTTGTGATTTGGCTTTGCGATTCGGTGAGGGTGCTGGAGGTGAAAAGCGGCTCATGTCTCGTCCATTTGGCGTGGCTCTTCTCATAGCTGGTTTCGATAAGGATAAAGGACCCCAGTTGTACCATGCTGAGCCTTCCGGAACCTTTTATCGCTACGATGCCAAGGCAATTGGTTCCGGCTCTGAGGGTGCCCAGGCGGAGCTCCAGAACGAATACCACAAGTCCATGACGTTGAAAGAGGCCGAGGTGTTGGCATTGAAGATTTTGAAACAAGTGATGGAGGAGAAGTTGGACTGCAAGAATGCTCAATTGGCCAGTGTCACGGCTGAGGGGGGCTTCAGAGTATACACTGACGAGGAAACGGATGAAATTATCAAGGTGATGCAAGAACAACACCAGGAGGAGTCGTAACTACTATCAATTAGTGCATTGGGGTATCAATAGTAATCAATATACCGCTATGAAGGAAAACACTTGTCGAGTCGTTCCACCAACACAAGGAGCCTTTGGTTCTCCAACTCGCCCACCGCTTTGGCGCTGTAGATAAACTCGCTTAACGTGTCGTTGAACCGTTGATAGTAATCAGTGACAATTTCGTTAAGCGTTTCGTATCGGTTGTCAATATCTTGCTGGCTCATTCGAGCTCCGTCAAATTTGGCGGGGTAGTCGTTGCTGTATTGCTCGAACAACACTGGATGGAGCATGATGATGTGCTTCTTGAACCTGACCAACTGCTCGTTGTACTGGATAATAATGTACAAAATACTTTTGAGCACCGTGATCAAATCTCGATTTGTGAGAAAACTATCCCGTAGAATTCCATTCAAATACGATCCCATTCGTGTGGTCACTTCGTCCATTCTAAGTGCGCTGGTTTCGCTCTCACTTTGTTGCAGCTTGATCTTCTCGTCAAAAATATCGTGGGACTTGTCGTTGTAGTAATTGTACATGCTTGAGTCTGATAATGGGTGAGTTGGCTCGCTTCCATTGTATCGCTTTTGTTCAATTAGTTTGACCGCATCAAGTGATGTGGTCACATTCAGCAAGTACGTCGTTAGCTCCTCATACGAAGGCTGTACAACGTCATAATCGACATACAGTTGGAACTGGCTGACAAAGTCCTTCATTCGCTTGTGCAAAACACGGCACCGTAAAAGCCATTTGGTAACTTTTCGCTCGTATCCTGGAAATTTCCAAACGGTAGAGCAATTGATCTCTGTCCATGTCACATTCATCTGTTGTGTCATATATGCTAGGAGCATTTGAAGCTTGAACATCATTTGATACTCAAACACAAAGCTCTGGGTGAATATCAAGTTCAACGGAAATGGTAAACCACATTCCAAATTTATACCTGAAATTGTGTACTCATCTATGCCCTTGCTGTTGTATTGCGTATTGTCAGATGCAGATGAAGACACATTACCAGCTTCAACAGTCCTATTAATGAGCGATTTGAAAGCGGCCGTTGCGTTGCCACTCTGTAGAGCGTTCTGGGCATCGAAGGATTGAACGTTTAAAATTTCATTGGCCAAGTCGAAAAAGTTGGTTGAGTCAACAGAGATATTTTGATTTTGTCTGAGAAGTGTGTGTGCGTTGCTGTTTTCGTTAAGCTCGCCGTTCCTGCCGGCGTTGGTAATTTCCTTATAAGAGGAGGTTAAACGGGTTGTGGATATGCCATACTTGTTTTTGCGGAGATCGTTAAATGTCCTGGCAATGAATGAGTTAGTGGTGAATGCATCGTCGATCAAGTAAGCTTGCTGAAAACCTGTTACTAGTTGTACCACGTCCATACCTTCAAAGAGTAGTTTTAGCATGAATCTGTTGGCTCGGTCAAAATACCTCTCAACCTTGACCTCCAAGTCTTGAGCATGCAAGTTCACAATTGGTTCAATATGTTCGCCAAATCCCAGAAAATCATTGATATTGGTGCACTGTTTGAAGACATTAAGGTACTTTCCCGTCGCTAGAATCTTGGCTTGTATGTCGTTTCGGCTAAACTGGTGAACCAATCCGTCGATTCGAATCATATACAAATCATCCCAGTACTTTTCGGAGTTCATGTCGATGATACTGGGCACGTTGTTTTCCTTGATGAAGAACTCATCGAACTGGTCATCTACCTCACCATCTTTGAGCCATTTGTTGAGCATGGTAACGTAGTCGGCTGCAATAACGTTGTAGATCGAGGTCAAAAATCCAAACGCTTGTGGGTCTCCATTGCGTTGGTTAATTTGGGAATGAAGTATATTGAGTGCCACTCCACCCTTACATCTACTCAATGAAGTTGTTTCTGCTGCCATGTTGATGTCGCCGGACTGTCTCAAGTCTCTTTGGATGTTTTCGATGAAATTGGAGAAATTATGATGACTAGGATTGGCACGAACTAGCTCTCGAGACCGATCATCTTGGTCCAATGCGACCACAAGGTCGTACAAGAGACTTAGTCGAGGAACCACCGTTTGGTCCAATGCGTTTTCGAAAATGCTGATGGTGAATGAAGTGTCATTATTAAATTGGCGTTCCAATTGTTCAATGGTCGCGTGGAAATCGTAGAGGAAACGAGATATTTCGTAGCACAATCTTTGAATTACCTTGCCATAAGCCGGCTCGTCATAGAGCTGGATAAACGCGTTGACTCCACAATACTGTTTACCAATTCTAACCAACTTTTTGGCAATACCTTTGAGACTTATATCCATGTGTTTGGCAATACGAAAGTCTGGTCCAAGAACCAATTGCTGGCTATCACTGGAATTATACCGATCCGAGTACCGAATATACGATCCTTCGTGTCCTAGCATCACAAATAAAAGATCCTTGATTACAAGAGCCTGTTCGATTCTCAAATCATCGATCTCGGAAATTGGAAAAGCTGCCACAGCATTGGAAAATTTATGAGGAGCCACACATGACCTCGCGAAGCCCTCTAGACCTGTCTCAGCACGAGGTAGCTGTAGCGTCACTACGGACGGGGTATCGTCCCGCATGTTGTTGTGACGCGAGTGCGAGAAATCAATGTTGAAGGGTAAATTTAAAGTGCGAAAAACAGTCTTATGGGCAGTCTCTTCTGGTGTGTGGGTCTAGAGCCATTCTTCATCGGAGAGGTCAAGACCCGCTGCCTGCTCTAGCAAAGCCTCTGATGCTCTCTCTGCCTCTCGCTGCACCTCCTCGAGTCCACAGACCCTTTCCAAGTGTTTTGTGTCGTTGAGGCAATTTTTCACAAAATCCCATCCTTGGCTGCGAAAACTGTCCACCACAGGTTGCGAACATGCGGAGCAATGTGTATACTTTGGAGCATACAACTTTGTTTGCAGAAAGTTGTGGAGGAATCCTCTGATCTGGTGAGGGACTTCGCCAAAAAATGAGTGTTCTTTGGCATCTGCTTCAGCTCCTTCAGGATGTTGCAACACTGAAACCAAAAGCTCAACTGCCAACGCAGATGCCATTAAAGCTCCTCCAGGACGAGTCACAGTACACATCTGGTCTAGGGTTCGATCTGAGAGACTGTCTGAAGGCGCAACCACATCGTTGCAGTAGTAGCATCCGAGATTATTAGTGGTTGTTCCATGGCGCATCACAAGAAACGAATCGAACCCAAGAGCAGCATTTATCACCAATTTATTCTTGGCCATTCCCAAAAGTGTGGGAAGCCACCTCGACTCCCGAGAGTCCATCAATAAGAAAATGGCATCGTTTTCATCCACTAGACGCTCTAGCGTTTCATAGTTGGCTTTTGCTGATTGCTCGTTTTCCACTGGATGTCCAATCATTGGCACCTCCAAATTGTAAGCTGACGAGTTGACACCAGGAAAAATCTCTTTCAATGCCTCTGCTGCTCTGGGAGCCTTCCATCTTCCAAGACCTTCGTCGCTGAAACAATCGTTAAATCCAAAAAGTGGTTGTCGCACCGGATTCGAATACGAAACCCTGCCATTATCGACAAAAGTAATGTGACGTACTCCCCATCCCATCAATGCTCTGGCAACGTAGCTGCCCAACGTACCAGATCCAAGAAGAAGCACTTTCTGCTGGGCGACTTTTTCGAGGTTTAGTTGAGGCGAAATGCGCCATTTCATCAACTTGAGATTCAAATCTACCGCCTGATCAGCAAGCTGAATCGGGTCAATTAGCGACCCAAGATCCGCCAATTTGGGTCCAAGCTTGTCGTCTTTGGTTCTTTCCCATCCCATAAACTTGATATCGTTTGGAATCGAGTCGAGTTGAAGCTTCATCATTATGGAAGTTCCATCGTAGCGGTATACAAATAGCCTGATCTCTCGCATTCCTTGACGGGCAAGAATATAGAGAAAGTTCTTGAGCTGCCAGCCAGGATACAAGCCTGGGTGTCGGCAAGAATCGACGAAAACAAAAGTTGAATGTTCGTTCACTTTTTTGGATCCATTCAAGAATTTTGATAACCCACAAAACTCTTCTTGTTCTCTTGCAAAAAAAAACTCAAGTTCTTCCTGGGTGTCCAAGTATTTTCGTGTTTCGTCTTCAAAACTTGGAGCCTCTTTGCACTCTTTAACCGTCCATTGAGACTGCAAAGAAGGATACGCAAACCAGTAGTAAAACTTGTACTTTTTCAAGTCACTGAAAGTCAACACAAAAAACTGGTTAACACTCCTGTATGTGGTGTCGCCTTCCGTTATCGATTTGTAAATTAAAGATCCCCATTGCTTCAACAAGTCCAGCTTATTAATGGCTTTGAATTCTTCAATCGTGTTCACGTTCAAAAGTGTACCTTTGTACTCAACATTCTCGTCCAGCGCAGCCAGCGAAGCCAGCGAAGCAAGCTCAAAGCTAGAAAAATCAAGGTTGAGTATAGGATAATCCTGGAACTTTGTGAGGTTTTTAGGGTGGTTCATAAATCCAGAAATGGAAACCGTATCAGTGTTTAACTTTAGTTGATTGAGTTTGAGGTCACTTAGAGCTTTGAAAAAGCTCGACTCGACAAACGACCGCGTGGGCACATACTTGAGCGGTTTTCCAACCAAATCTCGAAGCTCGGTCATGATCATGATTGTGGAGTAGATTAGTTTTGAGAATAGGACTGCAGGTAAGAGTGAGAGTAGATAGGACTGATTTAAAATATGAAAGTCTGTGTATGTGCGTTAACTAATTGTCATCTGGTCCATTTCAAGCAACTCGTCCAATCCAACTTCTGGCGCCTCGTCGTCGTCGTCCATATCACTTAAAATTGGGCCAGTTTGTCTGATCCTGCATTTTCCAACAAGTTGCCAAAATGGTATTTCACCCGATTTCATTTTCTCAAGTCTGGCTAGAGAACATGGCCAACGTGCAATTCTATTAGTGATCGATAAGTAAAAATTTTACGAGGGACTCAATAAATTTCAAGTCCATGGTCAATTTTTTGATTTTCGATACTAGCATTTTAAGATATTAATTTGGCTCTCGATCTATGATTTCTCGGTTACAAGGTAAAGAACTTGTTGCATGGCTTTCACATTGTAAGCGACTACACGGTGACAAGCTTGCAATTTCATTATGTCAAGGTACTTGCAAATTTGTTATGTTTAAGACAATGCATTGCTGAATATACCAAGATGATCGATAGCCACAAGCTAATGAAATCAATAAGCTTGTGGGTCGATAATCAAAATCAGATTGCCATGTAGCTAATAATTGCTGATTGCAATGAAGGGGCAAAGCTAAATAAAGTATGGTTCTGTGATTGGTAGAATTCAGTGGCAATCAAAAGACATGTCACAAAGCACACAAAACAATGAAAAGAGTAGAGGATAATCTTTCCTCTTCCCTCCCCACGTGTAACGCAAGTGAATGTGGCCTTCACCCATCTCCATGTATATCCAACATAAGCGGTTGCAGCTGCGTAACAGGCAGACGTCGAAATCTCGATTTCAAAAATATTAGGGAAGAACTTCTTGCCTCCTTGAAGAACTAACGTTGCCAAAACTACCGCTACATTCACCTGTAACCTCCGGAGATCCCAAGTTTCGGCCAGAGTTTCGGCCAGAGTTTCGTGCGTATTTGTGCTCGTCATTTCTTCCGTTGGTGGCATCAGTTCTCTCAGGTGCGATGTAGTCGTTTCTCCTACTCGCTGTTCAGTGAAGTATCTCACCCATCGTGGAGCATATGCTTCGATTGTATCATCAAAAAGATCTCTTAAGTATTGTGGAATCATTGTAATTTAGAAGACTTGAGTACAAACGCGACGAGTGGTCTTTTATATCTAGCGTGTCCCAATCGAAAAGCAAACTGAACGGCTGCATGGCATTGCATGCTTCGAAGGGACAACCCCTGCAAGTATCCATGCAATTCACCTGCAATATTACAAGCAAAACACTTGAAATGTTACCTAAATACTTGAAATGTTACGTCAAGAGATTATTTTCATTGATCTCACTTGCTTCAAGTATTCAAGAGCAACTAGACTGACTATACTACACTGTAAGAGTGTCAGGTCATAAGCGAAAAAGTGAATCTTTTGGTGTTACATGTACAATTTGGCTCGGTGAAAGCCGCACCTTCGTATGCATGCAACCTCTTATCGCGTGAGACTCGCGAGCCGCACGGTTGATTTTGCAACCATTTTGGAAAGCTATGTAGTTGTTGGAGTCGCCAATATTTGATGTTTCATGACTATGAAATGTCTTATAGACTTTAATACGGTGGTTTCTGAGTACATTTGAGCAGCTGAGTAGCCTAAATTTCACTTCTAGTCCAAAATTGTCACGTGACTGTGCTGCTTGTATGCTGCGGGTCGCATACATCAAATGGCACAATGCATGAAGAATCATAGGTCGTGGAGTTAAAGGTTCTTTAGACTATCAGTACGAAAAATACAAACACTAAGATAAACATATTCAAATCACTTATAAGCAGGTTTGGTAAAGACAAAAAGCGAGAATCCGTGTAGTATTACCGATCTTGACAGAACCAGATGAAAAGCGATATAAATGATGTAAGGCACAAACCAAGATAGAATAAGCTCCCAAGAGCCAAAGTTCTTGCCTCCTTACATCGAAAGGCAACGATTGCGATGTTTATAAATATTACAATACAGATCACATGAAAAGCTGCCGAAGAGAGCCAGATATAACTCGGAATCCTTACATTAACATTTTCCTTTCGAAACTCGACGGGAAGTACCCAGCCAAAAGTCAACAGGAAAAAAGTCATCAATTGCACTGTAATTCCAATATCGATTGGCGGATTTTTGGCCAGTGTTTCTTCTAAATTTCCCCCCACAGTTTCTTCAGTCAATTGTTTCTCCATTGGTGAGCTCAGAGGTGAGGCGAAGCTCATTATAAGTAAACGTACAAATAATCTGCCATATCTAAAGCAGTGAAAAAATTCGAAGCTTCCGCAGGTCAAAGGACCTGAAAATGAATATCGCACAACTGATTCTGCTATCTTCTCTGCTCAATTTCTTATACTTTCCATTTCCTTCATTCTCTCAATTTTTCCTTAACTTTCTCTTCCTTACTCTCTTCCCACAGCAGACTTGAAAGTTACCCAGTTGAGGTACATTACTGCTGTTTTCGACCAGCACATTTTAGTCGTATTTGGATCCTGATCCCAGCTGCAAAACTTTTTGCTATCTGTTTTCCGTAAAACTTGTCCAGTTTATAAGTCAATTAGATATCTAAATTTAAGCAAAACAGTTTAGATTACTAGCTAGAAAATATTATAAAATTTAAAAATTAATCGAATGAGTCTAGGAAAATATTGATCAGGGATCGCATACCTTGTTAGAAGACACTGTATCACCAAGATGGTGTTAGTGGATTTCATAGCTCACACGGTGAAGGATAACTTTATCGGCTTATAATCCAACAATATGATAGCAAATGTTCGATATTAGCTATTTTAGCAAACTAACTGTGTTCCAGAGTTCAAGCCGTCACTCCATGCACACGTAAATTATATTGCAGTAACGTTTCCATCATACTGCCCAGAATTGCTAACACGCATAATTGGAGCATTCCGATAATAGATACACTCTGTTGGCAGGAGGAATAGAAAGCGACAATACATGTCAGAAAGCAGAAGGCAGCCGATAATAAGCTGGACGATAATGGTACCCTATGCTGATAGGAAACGTATACGGAAAGTATCCGATTTCTTATAAGCCACACATAAACAAGTGCAAAACAGATCCAGAGATAAATCGAGATTTTAATCCTTGCACCCTCGTAGAACATGGAAGCCACGAGCAGAAGTAGACTAAAGAATGCTACAGCAAATTGCCGCGCTCTAAACCAGTTTTCCAGAATCCGAATTTCATCCATTCGAAGTGTTGCCATTTCTCTCATAATCACTTCCCTTTGTTGTCGAGTCATTTCATTAAGTCGAGTAGTCACAATTTGGGGTGTGATCATTTCATCCAGTTGTGGTGTTGTCAGTTCTTGCACTGGTGGTGTTGTCATATTTCAATTCGTGATCAAGACGAAGTACAAATGCGACAAGAGGTGGAATTTATTTGGGGGGAGCTACCCATATTTATGCTTTGCAGCCAAGCGGGTAGTTACCCGCCTTTTGCAGCCATGCCTATTTCATCTCCCGTGCGGCTCTGATCCTGCATCTGGATCATGACTGCATTTTCCAACAGTAAGATGAAGAGTAAAAGAAAGTGAAATATTTGTATGAAAGTTTGTACGTATGTGCGTTAGCTAATTGTCATCTCGTCCATTTCATCAAGCAACTCGTCCAAACCAACTTCTGGCGCCTCGTCGTCATCATCCATATCACTTTCAAATTGGGCCTGGGTAGGTGCCTTATACATATTAACCGTTTGTCTCAATTCTTCATCCTCTTCCAATTCTTGCAAGAACAACTCGTAGTCTCTTTCTGCCTTTTCTTGTTCCTGGCGTGCTTGTCTGGTAGCATCGTCCATTTCATTGTATTCCTTGGCCATTCTCTTCAACTTCCAGTTTCTGTATTTCGATTTCTTTGACTTTCTTTCGTAGTGTTTCTTCACCAACACCACTTCTGGAGTATTGTCGGTGTCTAGGGTATCCCAAAGGTCGGAATTGAGGTTTGTGTTGGTCAAAAAGTATCCCATGCATGAATCACCCGGGTGCAAAATGGCTCCGAGATGTGATCTGATGTAGTATGTTTGGTCGTTGGTGCCCAAGTCGCTTGCACGGCTGACGGTGACATCTGCCAAGACGTTTTTCCCGCGAATATCTCCGGTTGGTTCTACGTCAAGAACGATGAATTCCACCATTTGAGTAGCGTCGAGTAACGTAGGAAATGGACTACGCCAGTATTGAGGTGCGTTCAAATCGGCGGTCTGGAGGGTGCTGGGGTCGATGAAGTGGAGCATGCTGGACACTTTGGAACACAAGACTAATCGGGTGATGTTGCCGAGAGAGTGGGCAAGTTTTTTGGGAAGCACCACCAAATCGTCTCTACATATGGGAGCCAATTCGATGGAGAAGGTAAACTTGTACTGGGATGAGCCCGAATGGATATCCTGACTGACCAATTCTTCCGAACGCTTATTCTTTACGGGAGCCACTGCGGTGAGAAACTCCACCATTTTTGCAGCATGAGATTTTTGAGCATAGAAAAAATCAAGCCCATCTTTTGTTTCCTGAATGTTCACGGTATCCACATGAGCATTGTGCTTCAAAATCAACTGTTCCAAGTACAAAAATGTTCTCTTGTGAGCCACCTTTTGTCTGATCTGCACGGTTGCGCGCCAAGTATTGGTAGTATAAGACTTGGCACAGTCAGCACACTGCATCGCCACCACGACATATTCCACTTCAAACGTCTGCTGGATGATTGTATTAGCCATGGCTTCACCCTGGACCGTCAACTTGACCCGAATCCTTCGCGAGTGAGGTTCTGTCCAAATGAACGAGGCATCCACCAAACGTACTTTATTCAATCCTTTCAATTTCCGCAAACACAACGCCAACAACTCTCGAGACTCGAGCGCACAACGGATCCATTGGGTGGGAGGCTGGAGAAAACGCTCACAATTACGACAAAATGACAAATTTGCCTCTCTTGGAATGCCCTCAGTTATGTCCACCGTGAGCTTGATACAGTCGTGGCACATGACCAAGCCGCTCAGGCCGTCCATGGGGACACCACAGTTGCAGCAGAGCACCGTGGCGACCTGGGCAGGTGTGTTTTGGAGGTGGGTATAGTTGGACATGATGATTAATGATGCGATGAGCTGAAAAAGAGATGAGTACAGTATGGATTGTGTGCAGGATGTTCGCGCTTTTATCTGCAGCACCACAAAACTCAAAGTCAACTTCATCATGGTGGATCGAAAGCGCAAGCACGACGCTGACCGCGAGGTGACCAAGAAGGTCAAGGTTGAAGATCCCGACGAGTCGACTCCGGGAAGGGACGTGGACGAGTCTGGGGGCGACGAAAATGAAAATGAAAACCAAAATGAACACGAAAATGAAAACGAAAACGACGACGACGCAGAAAACGAATCTGAAGACGAAGAGGAAAACGAACGAAAACGGATCACCACCATAGATTTTGACGGCCGTACGTACTCGTACAAGGAGCGGCCGTCGGTCATAGAAGAAAAAGAGGGAAAAATTGAGTTTCGTGTTGTTAATAACGACAACACCAAAGAAAACTTGATTGTTCTTACTGGATTAAAGAACATTTTCCAAAAACAATTGCCCAAAATGCCCCGGGAGTATATTGCGCGGTTAGTTTACGATAGAAGCCATTTATCTATGGCGGTAGTACGGAAACCTTTAACTGTGGTTGGTGGTATCACTTATAGACCTTTCAGTAAACGAGGGTTTGCCGAAATTGTTTTTTGTGCCATTCTGTCTACCGAGCAAGTACGAGGCTACGGAGCCCATTTGATGAACCACCTTAAAGATTACGTTCGTGCAACATCGCCGGTGAAATATTTTTTGACTTACGCCGATAACTATGCCATTGGATACTTCAAGAAGCAGGGCTTCACCAAGGACATAACTCTCGACAAGTCGGTGTGGATGGGATATATCAAGGACTACGAGGGTGGTACTTTGATGCAGTGCGCCATGCTTCCTCCTATTCTTCGGTATCTTGATCTGGCCAAAATTCTTCTTTTGCAAAAAGCGGCTATTGAAAAGAAGATCAACTCACGTTCCCTCTCACACGTTGTGCGACCGGGTCTTCAAGTGTTCAAGTCCAAAAAAGATGTGCAGCTCGACCCGGCCGATATTCCTGGGCTAAAGGAAGCAGGATGGCTGGAAGAAATGGACAAATTGGCGCAGAAACCAAAGCGTGGACCACACCACAATTTCATGGTGACATTGTTATCGGAGCTCATGAACCATCCGTCAGCATGGCCGTTTGCACATCCTGTTAGTAAGGAAGAAGTGGGCGACTACTATGAGGTTATAAAAGAACCAATGGATCTTTCCACCATGGAACTGAAGTTGGAGAACGACAAGTACGAATCGTTCGATCAATTTTTGTATGATGCCCGACTCATATTCAACAATTGCCGATCATATAACGCCGAAACGACCACATACTACAAGAACGCTACCAAGTTGGAGAAGTTTTTGACCAACAAAATCAAAGAGAGTGCCGAATATGCCCACTATGTGGAGTGACACTATAGACAATACAACTAAATGAAATTGAGCTGAAGTACTTGAGACTTTGAGCTGAAAAGCTCAAAGTGTGTTTTGCGCAAGGTTTCTCATTTAATTTCACTCATTCTCAATTTCCAACTTGATTTTCTCACTTTCTCATTTTCACTTCTCACTTTCTCACTCTTGTTTCGCACAGCAACTCTTCTAATGGCACCGGTTGTTTCAGTAGACACTTCCAGTGAGGATGTGGCCGCCAGAGTCGGCCACCATGTTATCAAGCACCAGGACATTGCAATTGCAGAGTCTGGAGTCTTCAGAATAGCTGTTTCCGGAGGTTCCATGGGCAAGGTGTTGAAGAAGGCACTTGTAGACGATAAGCAAATCGCCCCTTTGGTCAAGTGGGACAAGTGGGAAGTGTATTTCAGTGACGAGAGACTCGTTCCCTTGGACCATCCGGAGTCCAATTATGGTTTATTGAAGCAAAACGTATTGGATCATGTTCCCAAGGTGGTGGTTCATCCAATCGACGTTTCACTTTTGACAGGCAAAGAAGGGGAATTGGCTGGTGCTGACGAAGCCAAGGACCAAGAGATTGCTGACAAGTACGCTGAGTTGTTACCTAAGGACGGAAAGCTCGATTTGCTCTTGTTGGGATGTGGTCCCGATGGCCACACTTGTTCCTTGTTTCCTGGTCACCCATTGCTTGAAGAAAAGTCCAAGTTGGTAGCTCTCATTAGAGACTCGCCCAAGCCTCCACCCAGGCGTATTTCTGTGACTTTCCCTTTACTTGCAAAGGCTACTTCTCTCGCTTTTATTGCCGAGGGTGAAGGTAAGGCTCCAACACTCAAAAAGATTTTTGAGGAAGGAGATACTTCTTTGCCCTCAAAGTTGGTCAGCGACCTCGTCGGACCCGAGGTAGTCTGGTTTGTCAACGAGCCCGCCGTCAAGGGCGTCAAGTTGTAGTTACGTCAATACAAGAAACCTTTTGTGGGTCATGGCCGGGCACCCGTACACCAGGCTGTCCGCGACTAAATTGTGCGATACTTAACACTCTACTTCTCCTCGCTGGTTTCCGTTCCCTTTCTCTTGTTTTTTTCTACGTCTGTGGGTCGCAATGAAGTCGGAGAACGGTCATTCCATAATAACTGGGCTTGGCGTCACACTATGGCTTTGTCCGAAAAAAGGGACACCTCTCTACGACAAATTGACCACTTTGAACAGCTCGCTAAACACGCTTTTTCCTGGCCAAGCGCCCCGATTCGAACCCCACGTCACCATCACCACCAATATCGACATCGACTTGGAAGACAAGGAGAAAACCCGCGAGGAAGTGGACAAAATTCTTTCTGCCAGTGCTGTGGCTCTTCGAAGCTTGCCTCAAAATCATGAAAAATTAGTCACTCTTGGCAAGTTGAACAGCCAGCGATACCGATTCAAGAAGCTCTACTTGGAGGTGGACCGTGACCCCAACCTTGTGTCTTTTGCGAGAATAATACGGGAACTATTTGTGGCATTACCTCAGTGTAAGGAGAAACAAAATCAGCAATTGAACCCGCAATTGTACACGGTAGATTCTCATGGAGTGGCGGTGAAAAGGAGCTTGTCAAAGAAACTGAAGCGTAACTCTTCCGAAACAAGTTCTCTCAAACCAATTGACTTACAATTGGCACAACAGGAAGCGGCCGAAATGGCGGCTCAATGGAGCGTAGAAGAATTTCAACCACATGTGTCCTTAGTTTACAGCTCATTACACCCCATAGATAACGCACTTTGGCGAACCATCAAGACCCGAATCCAGGACTTTCTTAATATTCCGTCCTGTGACAATTTGAGGGACCATGGGTTTGGCTGGGATGGAGGTGTGCTCAAACTAGTGTATTGTGAGGGAGATGTGGGTGACTGGGTCGTGTTGGGAAGTGTAGACATACACTGAAATAATGAATAATGCCACTGAGGACACTATTTAATGTACTATATGATATTTATAATGTATACTTGAGGTTATTTACAGGTCTATTTACACTATGCAACGGGCAGCGGTTGCAATTCACCGTCGGCATACACCGCTTTGAAAAATGAGTAATGCAAGACTACATCGTCAATGTTTCTCATTGCTGGATCTTTGGCAAATTCAGGGTCAATGAAAAAGAACACTGGCATGTCCACTTCTTCTCCTGCGCTCAATCTTTGTTCCTCAAAACAAAAGCACTGGATCTTATTAAAGTATCCGGCCACTTGGTCTGGTGTAACTGTATAAGTTGCCATACCAATAATGTCTTCGTTGGACATATTTTTCGCCCGGTAAAATGCCAATGCCGTTTCTCCCGGCACGACATAAACTTCCCTTTGAAGAGGTGTGAACTTCCATGGTAAAACTCCTGACGACTGACAGGTAAATTGGATTCTTATTCTTTTATTCGTGTCAACTGGAACCACTTTTTCTGGACCAAATTTGGTGGAGTCGGTGATGGGAGTTCCTGCCCATCCGGTACGCTTACAGACGGCCCGATAAACGGGAACCGCCGAGAAGCCTAAAGCCAAGAATACAATGCCCAAAGAGGCCGCATAATACGCCGAGGTTCGATTTCTATACTTCATTTGTGCTTCATGGGCGGAATTTGCTTGGTCGTACCGCTTCCTATATTCGTCAATATTGTGAAGTCTGAGCGATGTGTGGATATTCCGAGTATAGCCTGCGGTTCTAGGTGCACTACACACCTGGAAAAATTTTCTTGAAGGTCTCAAACCTGCCAGAAAGCCTCGCATTATACTGGCCATGTTCCCTCGATTCACCTTTCGGTTCAATTTTCGCATCTACAACAGATCGGCTTGAATGCAGTATGTCTATTAGCTAATATGCACGCCGAAAGCTGCAATTTACATGAGGGTTTGCAACCGTTCCATGGAGTATTCGTCGCTCATGGATATCAATTGCTGGAATTCCGATTCACTTAAGCTGTTCTTGAGTCCTCGGAAAACCTCCAACAAGCACTGTTTCAAATTACGAGTGTGGGCTGGGTCGCCGGCTTCAAGTTTATGGAACCTCAATGATTCACCGTTTGGTTTTATTTCTGGATCCAAGTAGGAGTAGTGGTCCAAATCTTCGTAAGTGTGCTCGTTGTATGCTTCGCAGTTGCCGTCGTCGGTTTCGTTGACTTCCTCCAAGAAATAGAGCGCCAATTTGGTGATTCGAGGAAACTGCTGGATGAAGAATTCTTCACGACGCAAAACTCCCGTGGTGAAAATCGCAAGAAGTGCTAAAAGATTCAACTTTTTGTTACGAGGATTGCCGTTGTTGTTGAAGTATCCGATCCAGACTTCGATAAACTTGACCAAATCGACAGAAATATGTTCCATGAGCTTGAAGAAAACGTCTGTCGAACCGAGAGCAATTCGAGACATATTCAAAACTATTTTGTTGATTGACTGGATGCTCTGTTTCTCGTCTAGCACAAACGACACCATCGAGTTGAAGAGACCACTGTTCATCAACACATTCATAAACTGCTCGTCGGTACTTTTGCTCATGAGTAAAATATCCATCAACGAGACAAATATGGCAAACGAGTCGTCTCGGAAGTTGGGCAAGTAGCCGCCAAGAATGCGGAAGAGATCGAGTCCCACTTCAGAGCTGAACACTTCTGGAGCCAACAACGCATATGCTCGCATGATGGAAATGATCACAGGCATGATTTCTGTGGCATTGAGTAGACCATATTTGACTAGAGGAAAAAGCTGAACAACTTCATCCTTCTTCTCTTCGCTGGCTTCAGGGTAAAATTGAATCAATGCAAGCCATAATTCGTATCCATCTTCGGATAACAATGCGTAGAATTCTGAGTTTTCGGCACAACACACACTGATTAGCGGCAAGCTTAAGCTATATGTGATGTAGGAATTTTGGTTTAATGCAATAGTAAGACTTTTCAAAAGTCTAAGCAAGGCGTTCTTGAGAATTAACTCGTTGTCGTTGGAGGTTTCGTTCCAGTAAGCTGGCACAATGTCGGCCAATGTAACAAGAGTATTGCTGTCTACGTGCGGATTGCACCGTTCCACCAATACCGACATCGTCTTCAAGACATAAAGTTTCGATTCGGGCAACAGAAGGTCCCTCAAAAGAGTAATTGCCGATTTTATAAAGCTGTTCAAGTACGGTTCGAAATCCTTCTTGACAAAGTCCCAATCATCAACGATTATTCTCAACGTCTGGATGGCCGTGAGACGTACTACTTTATCGTTAACAGGATTTTCAGGGACCAAAAGGTTCAAGAGTAATTCGTACACGGCAACTCTTCCTTGAGGCGAGCATTTTACAGGAACCCATTCTCTGATAATCAAGCACACTCTTCTTTTCAATATTCTCGTTTCCGCCGGTTCGTTCTTCAACGCTTCTGGAATAAATACATCCACCAACAAGCGGTCAAAATCAACCGCATCTGCTATCGAGACCGACGACAACTGGAATGTGCAGAGAATGGAATCTTTGATCAAAACGTCATTGTTGCTTAGTTCGCTGGAAATTTTTGTCAAAATAAACTCCGAAAGCTCATCTTTGAAATACTTTATCACATCTTGAAAAAAGTTCTCGGCGCAAGGACGAACCTGAAATTCGTAAGAAGACGAAAGTTCCTCATTGCACCACTCTTCAGGCTCGAGGAGCCAGCTCTCAAGGTCTGCTGGTTTCATTCTAAGGTACCAGTCTATAATAAGATCGCATAATTGGCGAATAACGGGTGTAGTAAGAAGCAGCTGAGAGATGCGAGTTATGGCATTATTGACTTCTTCTCTGTCACTTTTCTGTTTCAATGTCACTGCACCTCGCTTGTAGACGTACCCAATCATCTTCTTGAGAATTAAAATGCCCTTGACAGCCATCACTTCCCAAAAGTCGTTTTCCTCGTTGCTCTTGTATACGTCTTCTGCTTTCAGGCGAAGAAGCGAAATGAACGACTGCAAGATTTCCTGGGCACATGGAAGTAGTATGAAGCTGGTGGGATTGCTGTTGATCAAGTTGAGGTATACTTTACAGTAGCATTTGACAAACCTTTCTAGTGAGTCCGATGCGAAAACTTCATGGCGAACAACGAGAAACTGCAAATGGTCTATGGTGATTTTAACAAACTCAGCAACCTCCTGGTTCTCATGAGGTTTTTCATAGCCCTCGGGGATTATACGTCTCAAGTTTTTCAAGCACATGTAGCATATTTCCATCACCGAGGTATCAACCATATCATTATTGGATCGAGTCCATTCCTGGAAAAACTTGATATAAAGACGAATTAGTATGGGTGTGACAATGGGCATTTTGCTCTGCATAGCGTGACGAGCACGGCCAATTCTAACCATCGAAACGGTTTTGATGATTTGGTTGAGACTCACAAGCAAGTTGTAAGTTGAAACCGAGTCGTTTTTTTCAAACACAAACGACTCCAATTGCTTTGCCACGTCGTCAAAAAGCGACGGCCATTCGACAGGGAAGTCAAACCTTACTATTCGGGCCACAGCATGGGCATTCTGAATAGCCAATTGGTTATTTTTCTCAGCAACCGACAGAAAAAGTCGGCTTCGTATGGACGCTTTCTCCTCCTTATCGATGGAGTTGGGCCTTCCACTGCGCCAATGGCGCTCAACTCCGTTTTTGAAACAAATTACTGCCAACCATCGGAGCTGGATTGGCAAGTTTGTAGCCAAGTAAACCAGCTGAAGGAGGTAGTAATATCCCTTCTCAGCTTCCCACGCTTGTAGCTGGGCCTCTGCACGCTGAGAGGACTCGCGGTCGGTGCCATTGGCGGCACCTAGTACATTCACAAGACTATCTAAAGAAAGGCTCATATGACGATGACCTGATCAAGCAGCCATTCACCAGATGAACCAAAACACATCCATACACCAGCGTATGGGCCACATCCCATAGTGGACCCTAATTTGTCCCTAATTCCACCGGTGTGCTTCGTCGCCACCAGCCCACGATTTCTCTTGGTACCCCAATTGCTCCTTTACTACACGAACCACATTCTCATCACCCATATTTTTGCCGAGATTATCACTAATTTTGATGGCTGGTTTGTTCGCGGCTGCAAAGAGCTTGATGACAATATTGAGTGGAGTGGATTTTGCACCCAGCGAAGTCTTGAAATCGTTGGTGAAAAAGGTCCCGATTCCAAAAGTCGTCTTCAACGAGAGTTTCGTGGCTGTTCTTTTGTACTGAAGACACTTTTCTATGTTGAGTGAATCACTGAAACAAATAGTCTTTGAGAAAGGCTCATACAGCAATTTTCCGTAATGCTGGGCAATCTTCTCGGCGTACTCCTCGGGGTCTCCAGAATCCTGTCTGACTCCAGCGTAGTAGTCTGTGTATGGTTTCAGGAATACTCGCAAAAACAGGTCGGTTCCAAATGTATCGGTCAATGCTAAGCCTGCGTACTGGGGTCCAAAAGTATCCAACCACTTGTCCATAGCAATTTTGTTGGCATTGATATAGTCTTGGGTGATGGCACCGATTCCCATAAACCACTCGTGCGCTACTGTTCCTATAGGTTTCATGCCATATTTTTTGGCAAAGTAGACATTGGAAGTGCCGGCAATATACTTGGCAGAAACCTGATCCAGCTTGGCAACGTCATGTAATGCACCAATCACAATGTCGTGGGTTTCAAATGATCTTCGTCTTCTGGTTCCAAACTCACTGAAACTGCATTCATTCTTGATCAATTGTATCGCCTTATCTTTGGCGAGTTCATATTGGCCATCAAGTGTCCAATCTGTATCTACAAACTTAAAATATGCCTCTGAAACGAGAGCCAAAATGGGAATCTCGTACAAGATAGTGTCGGACCAAGATCCATACATCTCAATGGCAAATTCTTGCAAGTTTTCTTTATCATTTTGATACCGAACTTGGGTATCAGGGTCAAGACTGAATGTCTTTAAATACGTGAGATACTCGTCCGAAAACTGAGGAAGTTCCTTCTTCAAGTAGTCTATCTCCTCCTCACTAAATTTGAGCTGTTTAAGGGACGAAATTTCCGATTTGAGCCATTCAATAGCTTCAATTGAAAGCACAAGAGTTGGTGATCGGTTGGTGTATTTGTAGACGACCGGTGTATCGGGGTAATGCTTGTAGACAGCCGCATGCATAAAGAGCTTGTACACATCCGTATCAAGTAAAGACTTTATTACCGCCATTGGAATAGATTGGTTGGAATTGAATCTAGTTTGGTTTTCGCATGTCGTTAATCTGATTTGCCATGCAGGCAAAAAGCAAAAAATAATGACTCCGACGCGATTCGAACGCGTGCATCTTTACGATAACAGAACTTGAGTCTGCCGCCTTAAACCACTCGGCCACAGAGCCATTGCTGAAGGAAACAAGCTCTTGGAAGGTTATACCATATTGGAGAGTTCCTCGCTTATTTTGTGGGAGAATCAGTCTTTATAAGTTGTCGCGCTTACGTGATTTGGCAACCATGGTTGCAAAATGTGCATGATGAGCAAGCGCAAATATGTCGCACTGACTTGCAGACCCTATATAAAGGGTGCTTCCCTTTCCGTTTTTCGTATTCTTCTGCTGTCTTCGTCGTCTTTGCCGTCTTTCCTTCACCGGGTTTGTATCGCATCGGACCCATATTTACCCCCGCACATTTCAGGCCGGGTTGTCGTGTGCGCGCTGAAAAATTATTCTCACTACTTACAAAATTTTCATTCAGTTTCTTCACTACAACAATGGTGTTCCAAAAAGAAGTCAAGTCCTCTGCTTACCACTCGAGATTCCAAACTCCTTTCCGTAGAAGACAGGAGGGTAAGACCGACTACTACCAAAGAAAGAGATTGATTTCTCAAGCCAAGAACAAGTACAACACCCCAAAGTACAGATTGGTTGTTCGTTTCACCAACAAGGACATTATTGCTCAAATTGTGTCTTCTCAAATCACTGGTGATGTTGTTTTCACTTGTGCTTACGCCCACGAGTTGCCAAGATACGGTATCAACCACGGTTTGACCAACTGGTCCGCTGCTTACGCTGTCGGTTTGTTGGTTGGTAGAAGAGCCTTGCAAAAATTGGGCTTGGACGAGACCTACAAGGGTGTTGAGGAAGTTGAGGGTGAGTTTGAATTGACCGAGGCTGTCGAGGATGCTCCAAGACCATTCAAGGTTTTCCTTGACATTGGTTTGCAAAGAACCACCACCGGTGCCAGAGTTTTCGGTGTATTGAAGGGTGCCAGTGATGCTGGTTTGTACGTTCCTCACTCTCCTAACAGATTCCCAGGTTGGGATATCGAAGGTGAAGAATTGGACGCCGAATTGTTGAGAAAGTACATCTTCGGTGGTCACGTTTCTGAGTACATGGAGGAGTTGATGGATGACGATGAGGAGAAATTCAGAACCTTGTTCAAGGGTTACATTGCTGATGAGATTGAGGCTGAGGATGTTGAGGACATCTACACCGAGGCTCACGAGAAGATCAGAGCTGACCCATCTTTCAAGCCAACTGAGAAGAAGTTCACCAAGGAGCAATACGCTGCCGAGTCCAAGAAATACAGACAAACTAAGTTGACCAAGGCTGAGAGAGACGAGAAGATTGCTAAGAAGATTGCTGCTTTCAAGGCTGAGAACTAAGTTTTATATCTGTGACGTAAAGAGCTTAATTGCTTTAATATAGTAATGGATAAAGGAAGCTTTATTATAAATATGTAGAAGATGAAGCTCCACTCTTCACTATTGATTTGACCGTAGTCTATTCCTGCTTGTTGGATCTGACTCTCTGGGCATCATTGAGAAGTCGATCGTAGACTTGATCCACCACAGCGTTCACTTCCGCTCCTTGCGACTTTTCAGAGTCGATCGATGCAATCTCGTCTGGATCCTCGGTTACCTCTTCATTCTTTTCTGGCTTCTTTTTCACTTCGTAAATCTTATCGATGCTGACTCTTTGGTTATTAATGTTGTCTATCAAATCTGTCACCGATTCGATTCCCTTGGCAGTGAGAATAGCATCGCGAAGCTCAGACCCAGAAGGTAGGGCGTTGAGGGTGGGTTTCTCTTTCTTTTCGTCATTACTATGTCGTTGCATGAAGTATCCCAAACGGTGGAATTCTCCTTCTTCTTGTTCTTGCTCTTTGGCATGTAATGAGGTTTGCGAAATCGATTTCATTAAAACTGGCCGTCCGGTAAGATTGTCAATGGGTACGTTTCTTCCATCGGACGACGACTCAAGCACCACTTGATGCGGTTGTAAACTTTGTTCTCCTCCAAAATATCCTCCAGAAGTTTCCCCAACAACATTTCGTGGTGACAAAATCGGACCAGCCGTTATCAATTCACTTGAACTTTCATGAAGCATGTCGTGGAAATTCTGATGCATTGAACTAGTTCGGTTCTCTTCTTGCTTATCGGCGTGGTTGAGAGTAATTGAGGGAGAAGGACTCATTGGAGTGCCATATTTGCTCGATTGCTCTTCAAATAAATGGACCACTTTTTCCAACGAGGCATCGAGAAGACAGAACCGAATGAGATTTTCCTTTCCTTCAAACGATAACTGGTTGTTGTTACGTTTTTCAAAGAGCCTGTCGATGGTTGTATGAATATCCTTGCGGAGCGCTTCTGTTCTTTCAATGAGAGCATCGGCAACAATCTTCTTTAATTTCAAGTCTTCTTTCTTTTCTATGCCCTTTTCATTCTCCACCAAAAGTCGCTCGGCCGTTTCCATGAGTAGTGAGCCGTCAAACATGAGTTCCTCTTGTTCTTCGGTGGGCAAATGGTACTCCACATTCATGGCACGACTCATGTTTCTCGTCAAGTAGAACGCCAATCTTTGCGAAAAGTCGTCAGACACCAAATCGTAGTCGATATCCAAGGTGAAAAGCGATTTAGAAACCTTCACCGCTGAGTATAGTGAGGCCATAGCTTCGCCTTCGAGGTTTCTGTTACCCAAAAATGAAACATGGACCAAGCCGTCCACTTTCGCAATGATATCAGCAATAGCACTGATAGCCTGGGCCGAAAGTTCATTGAGATCAAAATGGATTCTTTTGAGATTTGGAAACTGGGGAAGATAGGTGTTGAGACGAGGAATTATGCCGGGAAACAAATCTGGCAAAGAACTCAAGTCCAAAAACCGCAAGGTTTCGATGTGAATTAGCGCTTCAAGAAGCCGTGAGAACTCATTCACATCGTTCAACTTGGTCGAGTTTAGTGAAAAGTACCGCAAGTTTCGATTGCCTTTGCTAAAAGCATTGATAAAAGGGTCAAGCTGGCCGTGGCTCAAGTCGTTGAAAGCTACGTCCACACCCATACACAAGGAATCCGGCTGGGAAATCCAATCGCTGACGAGTTGAGCCTTGTATTTGTTGAGCTCGACCGATGCGAGTCCGAGTCTTCTTGTCGAGGTCACGATGGCTTCCTTCATAAGGCGGGTGAATTGCTGGTCAGAAAGCTTACATCCATTTAAAACGAGTTCTTCCAAACCGCCTCGTATTACCAATGACTTGATGAATAAATTCCAGTTCATATTGGACCGAATGGCGTTGCTGGGGGTGTCTGGTTTCACCTTTTGCTGAGAAATATCCAACTTTTTGACGGTCTGGTTGCGAGAGAGAAAGTCACAGAGATACTTCCACCCAAGATCGTCGATTGCAACGTTGCGGAGCGACAATTTTTCAAGCGATTTGTTGTATACCAACGACGAAAGAAAGTGTTTGAGCATCTCGGTGGTCATGGAAACATTGTCGAATATCACGGTGTTGATGGGGGTTATGGCAATGAAATCACTGAACGACAAAACATCGATCAACGTTGGTTTGGGATTGAGCAATTTCAACACTTGAAGAGGCCGCGATTTGTTCTTGAGTTGTTTCAAGGTGGCAGGAATCGGTAAGATTTCCCGTAAATGGCAGCAACGAGTATAAACCGTTTCTAGCGACAGTTCTTCGTCTTGACCATCAGGGGCGTCTTCCTCGGGTTCGAAATGATTTTCATGAACATGAAGTGGTTTATCGATTTCGATGTCGTTTTCTACCGTGGAGCTGGTTTCCATAACATCGTCTTCTTCGTCATCGGACTCGGCTACCAAGGTGGTACCGTCCATTCTGCGACCAAAATGAGCCACTTCATTGGCAATTTTCTTGGCTGCCAAGTACGCTTCCTGGCCGTGTTTCTCCGACTCTATGAGAGCTTTTTTCTGGGCTTCGATAGCCAATTGGAGCTCCCGCTCCGAGTATGGTTTTTTGATGGTCGACTTGGTGCCATCCATGGTGGAAATGCCCTGAGAAAGCTTTGGTGGTGGTGCTGTGAGTTCTTCAGGAATTAGTACGTTTCCCTTTCTCGGTCTTCGCGAAGGAATCTGCTGCTGGGGATCGTTGGGAAGCTTATCGATGGCAAAGTTGACTCTTTTGGTGCTCAATTGGCTAAGTTCAGGGAGCGGAGGTGGTTTTCTATTGGGGTCTTTGTTGAGCACTACTCGCGGCTTTACTGATTCACGAATTGTGTCTCGATCAGCCAGAGTAGACTGTGACAGCCGGCGACGAAAAAAACGGCCCTTTTCCTTCTCAAAGCTAGAGGAAGGCGACTCGGTTCGAGAAACCAGACTTCTTCGTGATCTATCGTCTTTTGTGAGTGATGCAAGTGCATCGTGAGTGGACAGTGAACCTATCAAATTGGTGTTAATTTTGGCGCTGGGAGTCGACGACACACTGGGCATTCCTGTGAGCGAGTAGCTGTTGTGTGCCGAAACTGGGGCGATATTATTCTTTGGAGACGTTGATAAAGACGGAGTTGAAGATTTGAACTTTAATGAAAAACTGCTGAAAAGTGACCTAGTTTTGCCTCCAGATCCAGGTTTCGTTGCAGAAGACTCGTCGGTGTCGCAAGATGAAGAAACAGATGATCCTGAAGCAGCAGAAGAGGTGCTTCCTCGCCTTCTGGGAAGAGAAGATTCGGGGTTCAATGTGCCCAAAAGTGACGTTGAGGATGACCGAATCCGGCCCAATTTACTTTTCGGAACAACCACCGGTGTCGTCTGCTTTTCGGTGGTTTCATTAGCTTCTTTTGACGTTTTTTCGGGGAGATTCGATCCTGAATTTGATATTTCTTGGTCGTTTTTTTCGACTTTCTCGTCGTTTTCGGCCGGATTTTCTTTTATAGGTTCATTCACTGGGGTACTCTTAGTAGAATTCAAGGTAGTTTTGTCCTTGGATTCGGTTTCTCTCGAAATAACACTGGAACGACGTTCTTTATCAATGTTCGCGTTGTTTAATTTTTTCGTGAGCTTTTTCGACTTCCCTCGGAATAACCAGTCGACATCGCCGTTGGTCACCCCGGAATCATAGTCGGGTGGCACTTGATTTCCGGTAGTAATGGTTGCACTCGGTCCTCCATTTCCGGTCGACGAAGGAGTTGACGAGGTCGGATCTGTCATGATGAACCGAGGGTAATTCTAACTTTGAATCCAAAAGATCAACCTCAATTACAGCAATGGCCTTCGTTATCCGTATCAGTCGATGCTGGCGTGGGGTCCGGATGCGTGCATGGGCAAACGAGATGTGATGGTGTACTGGGTGCATCTCATGCGAACGATTTTCAATTTAGGAGATTGGCCGAAATGACCATGCTTACGTCAGCGTCATTTCCGTTGCGGAGCAAGCGTGCGCGCACCGCTTTGTTCAATCTGATAAAAAAGGTGCGATTGGTAATTGGATATTTCGGCTAAATTACAAATTCCGTTCAAGTGTCTCGTTGTATATTAATCATCTGCTCGGATAAAACTATTCATAACAAACTACTGAACAACTTCCGACAACAATAATGCTTTCTAGAACGATTTTAAGAAGTGTACCCTTAGTGGCGAGAACCACTATTAGGAGTCCCATAATGATGAGATCCGGTGGAATTGCCGTAGCTAGTTCCGGACCCGTTTTTGCAAAGAGAAGCTATCATGAAAAAGTCCTTGATCATTATCAAAATCCAAGAAACGTTGGTACTTTGGACAAGAATGATATCAATGTAGGAACCGGATTGGTTGGTGCTCCAGCGTGTGGCGATGTTATGAGACTTCAAATTGCCGTTGATGAAAAAACAGGACTTATTCAGGATGTCAAATTCAAGACTTTCGGTTGTGGTTCTGCCATTGCATCTTCTTCATATGTGACTGAGCTTGTGAAGGGTAAGAGTTTGGATGAAGCATTGAAAATTAAAAACACTGCCATTGCCAAGGAATTGTCATTACCACCAGTGAAATTGCATTGTTCGATGTTGGCCGAGGATGCCATCAAGAGTGCTGTCAAGGATTACAGATCCAAGAGAAACACCAAGCCAACCCTTGGTCCCGATGCGCAGCCAGCTGAAGCCACTGCTTAGGAATTGATATAGTATGAATGGATTGTATGTTGAGCAATGTAGACAGTAACAGATCAGAGAAACATGGCACTAGTGAAAGAAAACTCACTAAGTGAAAAATTCACTGACAAAAAGTATTTGAATTGTAGTTCACTGAAAAATTATTTGTGTCTCATGGAGGTGAAAATGTTCTGAATCGACTGGATTTTCCACTGAATGTGGTAACGATAATAGTCTTTCAAAGAAAGATTATGCTCAACAATTTGGTCATTAACAAGTAGCTGGCTCACTGAACATACGCCATAAAGTGTCTTCCCACATAATCTGTATCGAGCTTTAGCATACGGAGCCTGGTGATGGATACCATGGCGAGCGCCGTCACCGAATTGATCACAACGTACCCCCACCATCTACTCCTAGCACTGAACCAACGTTGGTATCTCATCACTCCACTGACCCAATGGTACATAGTAACCCATACCAAACCTGCCAACAGCAAGGTATTGACCCAATTGCCAATATGACCCCATACTGAGCCCTTGAGAACGTAGGCAACGTAGTGAAGATTGACGAGAGAAGAGTCTCCGTCCACCTGTAACGGCCTTAACCGAAACTTGTAGTAGTGGTAAGCGAGCAACGGCATAAGAACATAGCCGGAAAATGATAATGGACTTAATCCAGGAAATTGGGTGGAGATCCAAGACCGTCTATATCCCAATCCAAGTAAACTGGTGATTCCCCCAAGGCCAATATCGTCGTCTTCGGGACTTTTGATGGGCTCAAAACTGTTCCTCTTCTTTCTGCGGGTTCCAAGAACCGTTCTGGCAATTCGAAGACTAATTCCACTGACTACATGAATTCCCAAACTGATAAAAATGAATTTTTCAACCGGAGCCCATTGGTATAAAGCTCTTCCCATTTCGAAAATCTGCTGAGATTCGGGCAATGGAGCCCCTAATCCCGGTATAATTGCCACCGAGGTTACATGGAGCCCTAAAAAGGATGCAAATCCCATACTGCTGTATTTCTGAATTGGGACTAAAACACGAATGATTTTCCGAAGCCAGGGATCATTATGAGAATGAGGCGAGTGGGCATTGAAGGTGGGATCGGGCAAGTCGTTGGCGTTCAAAGGTTCTGGCGCAACCGCAACCAACTGAGACAAATCTTGAACAGTCATGGCCAATGAACAAAGAGGCAATGGTCACCAAGGTGGAGTACTGCAGACAAAAAAAACATACGGTGTGCATATACTGCCGATACCAATACCACCGGACCCTCGAACCGCCGATACCCCGGAACCCTCAAATACCCCCGGTATTACGGTCGATATAGCTGTCGGTTTACCACCGGAACTCATCCATCAAAACTCAATCTTTCAATCAACTCTGCCAATATTATAAAAATTTGCCATTTTACAAAATCATGTAAATTTACTCAAATCGCATCCAAATTCGAACTTTGGCTTATCAACACACCAGTGACAAAATTCATTCAAAAAACTACCGAATATTCAAATTCTCCCCATTTTTAATCCACCTTCCTTTATTCCATTTGCCACTTGGCATTTTCTATATTCCGTTTTGCATCCGTTCGATTTCCGTGTCTGGTGTTTGGGCGTACCACTCATCCATTTCCGATCGCAGTGCTGCCACCTAACCATGTCTGGCACATTTACCTCCATTCGATCGCAGGCTTTGACGCTTGAAAAACAGACAGAGGGTCTCCTTGGTCGATATTCACGGTACCAGGATGATAACCAAGCCACTTCCGATGAAGAAGAGGTGACTTTACGTCACCAAATCACCGATATCTTGAATCGACGCGAAGAAGTTTTACAAAAATTACAACGAGTAACCGATCCAGAAATCAATTCCCTCTCAACTTCAAAGCTCCAGCAGATGCAGCGCCACAAGGAAGTGTTGGCAGACCACCAGCGATCTTTCCGCAAAATTGAGACCACAATAGCCGACGAACGCAATCGCAACAACTTGTTATTTTCTGTTAGATCGGACATTGATGCCCATAAACAACGAACCACCAATGTGGGAAAGTCTGGCGACGCGGCAGCCAACGACTACATCTTGGAAGAGGGTGTAAGGGTCGACAATGCCAACTCATTTGCAGACCGGCTCTTGCAACAGGCATATCAAACCAGAGACGAACTTTACAGTCAACGAGCATACTTGAGCAACGCTCAGCTGCGAATGATGAGCACGGTACAGCTGATTCCGGGAATCAACGTGTTGGTGCTGCGGATTAATACTAGAAGACGTAGAGATACGTTGATTTTGGCGACGGTAATCGCCGTGTGCATTTTGATGTTGGTGTTTTTGTAGGAGGGAGGGAAAGGAGAGAGAGATTAAGAGAGAAGCGAAGCAAGAAGGAAGAAGAATGGGCAAGTTGAACTGGCGTTCCCCATACTTTGGTGTTTGGGCGTGGCTATAAAATGTGGTACTTTTTCCTCCTCTTTATGGAACAACAATTGGCCGAACGGATATCGGAGCTCAAGCTTCGAAGGATCCTCGAACTCAATGCTAAACTCAAAGAATCTTTGTTGCGTGAACGTATTTCCACTTCCAATGCCAGCAGATTGTCAGTATCAATTTTTCGTTTCTTGGTTCAATGCTAACTCAGAATCAGCGCTTATGCCCAAGACACTCCCGATTGGCTCATCCCTGGCCGCTGGAAGTACCAGAGCCGGTACCAGGAGTACGAGAAGACCAAACGGTCGATGCCAGAGCCGGGTTGTTGCACGATAATGTAATGCGATGGGGAGTTCATAACGAGTTCATAACGAGTTCATAACGAGTTCCTTGACAAAGTCTCTGATAACGATATGTTTAATACATGTGATACTAAGCTACCAAAATTCTCTTACATTCATCACATTTATTATCATTTTTCACTGGTAAGCAAACATCATAAATGCCATTATACAATTCATCAACCACCATTCAACCCAACTCTTTCTCTGCTCCAACCTCATCCACCTTGATGCTTCGAAGATCGTCCATGCTTCCACCCAATGTCTCGTCTTGTTCTTTCTCGTCTCCTCCACATCCACAATCATAATCGGTCAAAATTGTAGTACAATCATACTCATCTTTTCCCAATCTTTCGTTGACTTTGTTGTGCATATGGCATCCCCAAAGTGCTGCTGTTTTCCTGCTTTTCACCTGGGGAGGATACTTGGTTAAAAGTTCCTGAAAGTGACGAGCACAATCTCCACATGGATATACTTGGGAGAAAGAGTATAAATACTGACCCAAAGTAGCCTGTTCTCTCAGAGACGGCTTCTCGGGGTACCTCGCTAAAATGGTGTGAAAGAGTTTCCAAGCAGCGTTTCCCAACTGAGCTTTTAAGGTTTCATTTGCCATTTTAGGCATGAATGGAGTGTCGGTTAATTCCGGGGTTTCGTCACTTTCTTGCATGGAAACTCCCTCCTTTTCTCCTGTGCTGACGTCACTAGTATCTGTGACTTCCAACTCTTGGGCGGTGTTGAAATGGGCCACTTTTTGTGGAGATTTGTCTTCCAAAATAGGCTGAGAGAGTCCATATTTTTGTAAATTTATGGGCACTGCGGCTCCTAAAGATGACTCCGGAGACGAGCTGGTCATAAAGAGAACCACGCCTATGATCGTGAGGAGCGCAAAGGCGCTGGTCAATGGTTTCCGTGTAAAGCCCATGTTGTGAAGAACGGAGGAGAATGCGGAGGTGAATAGGCGCTGGTGTCTGGATGAGCGCCAAGCAAGAGAGAGATAAGTAGGAGTAGCAGATAGTAGCAGATGGTAGCAGACAGTAGCAAGTAGTAGCAATAGTAGCAATGTAATGTAGTAATTGAGCAGGTCAATGTAGCAGGTTACTGTTGTGATTTCTTGAGGGTTGCAGCATCAAGTACTCCCGGCAATGTTTCCGATCCGATACCCGCCAACAACTTAATTCCGGCCCCGACAGTGACAATCAAAACCAATCCTGTCCAGAGGAGGATGTGGGCCTGAGCAGAAATATCCTTTTTGCTGCAGTCGAAACCGGCCCAAATGGTGGTTTTTCCGTCTTTTTTGGTAGGACTACAACCACAAGACCAGCATTCTTTTCCACTCTCGATACATTTTCCATGGCCGCTGCACTTGGAAGTGCCAGCCTCACAAGCTTCTTGTGATGTGAAGCAACTAGAGGACCCAGAAGTACGCTTGAACACAGTTGCAAGCTCCAAATTGCGTTTTTGCATATGTTTGTCGACGGCTTTTTGGAGGTGATTTTCGGGAACTGCCACCACCACCACGTCGTACTTTTGAGCCAACGAAGTCAATAAATCGCTGACAACACTACATGCGGTATTGTAGCTGTGGGAGTCGAATCCGGCCTTGCGTCCTACCGACAGCAAAGATACGAGGGTCATAAAAACCGTGGTTTGGTTATCGGCCGCAACTTCGTCAAGGTGAACCAACTGCGATAACTCGTTGACAAACAACCGGTCGCTAATTCCACTCACACCTCCCAAAACCGCTTGTCTGTGGCCGGTATAGTGTTGCCAGAGACCAACTAGACGGTCGTCGAAGAGTCGGAAATGGTCAACTAACGACGAAGATTTGACGCTTGGCGCCACAACTCTGATTTCCAGAGTCAATTCCAGTGCCAGACCCCCAGTAGCTTTCTTTCTAAAGAGGTGGCGAGCCACAGAGCGGTGAAAATGTCCGTCTTTATCTGCGACTTTGAACGATGGAGTGTCGAAAAGATTATTTGCTCCATTGATTACCACCACCATATCCGGTTTTTCTTGCTTACTACGAAGAGGTGCCTTCGAGCTGATGAAATCTCCGAAAGTAGAGTCGGAACCCACCAGAAATTGGTCGGAAATATCGAGTTTATCGGCCAAGTACATCAAGGCGTCTTCACCCAGAACTGTGGGTATACGATCTGAAGCACGGGAATTCAATTCATACACCGCTACGTCATCTGGAGACCGATTTTCGGCGACACAGGCACCAAGGGCCGTCAAGAGGGCCGTGACAGTGACAACAAACTTCATGAGTGGTGAGAAGGAGATTTGCAATGAAGGAGTGCGCGGTGTGTGCAGGAACGAGATAGCGAAACGAAGCAGAAGCAAAAGCAGAAGCAAAAGCAGAAGCAAAAGAAGAAGTAAGTAGTAGCAGATAGTAGCAAGTATAGCAATAGTAATCCAGTTTTGGTGATAGTCTAGCAATTGGTTTTTTGGCAAATTTTATTAGCGAATGCAGTCAAAAAGTCTCGTCAAGTGTGATAGTCGGCGATTGTGGAGGACCATCGAATTCATCTTTCTTTGGTTTGAACAAGGTTTTGGTGACGGACCGGCTTCGCTTTACACCTCCTTCCTTCAATTCTTGTAGTTGTTCCTCAGAGTTAAATTCAGACAAATCAATTCCAAGTTTTTGCAAGTCTTCGTAAGCACTGAAAGGTTGCGGTTCAGGCTCCTCATAATCCCCACCCAAGCCATTATGGAAGTTGCGGAATCGTTTCAAGCTATCCTGAGTCCCCAATGTGTTTTCTTCTTGAACTTTATGGGTATGAAAGTTGTCAAATGAACGAGATCTCAGAAGAAGATTTTCTTGCAAATTGATCCGAGCATCGCTCAGAACATGTAGCGACGCCAAAAACTCGCTCAATTGCTGGGCGGCAGTCTCGTCATCGAGAATGATGATTATACGGTGCAAAAATGCCAAATTGGACCACAGGGTGATATGCTGAAGGTAGTAATCACGGTTGCCGTCAACAGCTTGATTTAGGACATTAAGTTTGATTTCGTCCACAACCAGAATCAGACGGTTGCCAGCAACCACAAAGTCGTCCCTGTTGAGCGAGGAAACGATGACAATGGTTTTGGGCGGCGTCATGATTCAGCGCAACGTCCGGGGATCGATCTTGGCGGAGCGCATCAGCATGAGGTATGCAGTACACACAATATGCAGTACCTTTTTTTAGCAACCAAAGTAGATATGGCTGTGGTTTTTGCATCCCGGATTAAATCCCGTTCCGCAATTGATGCATCGGTCATTATTTCCCGTGTATTGTGCATGGGTGAGAACGTGACGGCAAACGCCACACAACACCACCGGAGTATTTTCAAGTAAATTTCGCAGCCATTTTTTTGCTGGATGATCTGCGGTGCTCTCGTGACACTGGTAGCATGGGTAGAAGATGTCGCAACATGGAAACTTGATGGCGACGACATCGAGTGGCGAATGGTAATGGGTGCATCTTGTTTGGTTGTCAACGAGGTTTCCAGAAACGGATATGGGACCGAGGTTTGAATCCCAAAGCATGAGAAGTGAAGAAGAAAAGGGAAAGGAAAGAGGGGAAGCGAAGGAAGGAAATGAAATATGAAGTGAAGTTAGGTGAACGCGAATATGAGTAATAAGACGCCAACAAAAGATGCGAAGATGGAATCGCGAGGGTATATGCAGGTCGATAGAGACATCCAAACACCAACTTATATCACTATCAAATTGAACAACGGGGTGAGTTAAAATGTCAAAAGTTCCTCAATTGCATTGTTAAGGATTTTTTTCAGTTGTCTCAATTGCTCAATTTGTTGATTTTTTCATTTCTTCGTGTCGTTGCTCGCTCGTCGCTCGCTCCTCCCTCGCGAGTACACCCCTGCACCCAACGCCATTCGCGGTCGCCATGTGCAGGCGTGTTTACCACCACAAAACAAATACCAACCTAATTTTGTTTTCACGTTAACTCGTTCAGGGTCACTTTTTCTCCTTTCAAACTTTACTGGACCGTGCAAACGCCTGTGCACTTCAGATAACAACCCCGATATCCAACTAAATACATTCTTTTACCGCATATTCATATTTGGGTCTTGTTTTCTTCATCATAATTTTGTCATTTTTTTCCGTTAAAATTCCATTTTGACCCATGAAATCTTACGAAGAAAAGCGCAGAGCGCTTCACGATGTCACCACGCAGGTCAACGACAACCTCCGGCGCGATCAAAAGCGAATCCACCCATATAAACTGCACCCGAAACGTCTTCGTCTTGACGTCACGTCCAACGATGACACGGATGATGACAACACATGTGTTTCTAATAAGGAAAACTTGCCTCCCGGGCCGGCTGAGCACTCGGACGATCTCCTTAAACAGCATTTTGACCGGTTAGCCACCGGATCAACAAAATTCCACGAACTGCCGGGCCTCGATGAATTTGGAGGAGAGGAGTTTGAGGAGTTGGAACCGGACCACCGCCTTGAAGAAAAGGTGGTAGCGGGCCAGGAGCGCCAATTGAGCCAATTGGGCGAGTCAGAGCAGCTCAAACCGGGTCTTCTGGACCCATTGGACAAGGTTGATTTTACTTCAGAAGGCGCCGCCGATTCCGATGAAGAAGTGTCATCCACACAACCCATGGAACCCAAATGGAGCAAAGCCATCTTCAACGAGCTCCAATATGTCATGAGAAAAATGACAAGATCGACACTTGACGAAAATGATGAGGACACTTACGACGTAACCATGGTGGCTGAATATGCCCCGGAAATCTTTAATTACATGCACGAGCTTGAGCACCGGCTCTTACCCGATGCATACTATATGGACAGTCAGGATGAACTCAAATGGGAGATGAGAAGTGTATTAATTGACTGGGTGGTTCAAGTACACAGTCGATTCAACTTGTTACCAGAAACGCTTTTTCTCACTGTCAATTATATCGATCGGTTCCTCTCCAAGAGAAAAGTGAGCCTTTCCCGGTTCCAACTTGTTGGTGCGGTTGCTTTGTTCATTGCTGCAAAATATGAAGAAATCAATTGTCCAACCGTACAAGAAGTAGCATACATGGCAGATAACGCCTATCTGGTGGACGACTTTCTCAAGGCAGAGCGGTTCATGATAGACGTGCTAGAGTTTGATATGGGATGGCCAGGTCCCATGTCGTTCTTAAGAAGAACCTCCAAAGCCGATGACTACGATTACGAAACCAGAACCCTTGCCAAATACTTTCTTGAGATCACTATCATGGACTCACGATTTGTAGCATCGCAGCCCAGCTGGCTCGCAGCGGGGGCACACTATTTGCTGAGGAAACTTTTGGGCCGGGGATCTTGGTCGGAAGCTCATGTATTTTATTCCGGGTATACGGAAACTCAATTGCGTCCATTAGCAGAGGTTTTGTTACAGAATTGTCGCAATGCCGAAACTAACCACAAGGCCATCTTCGACAAGTACCTGGAGCGCCGATATCGCCGGTCGTCGACGTTTGTTCAAGAGTACTTTGATGCCGTAGAAAGGTGAAGAATCTATCGTGTTCCTGCAGACAGACAACACCATCCCGCGCCATCGTTAAATTCAGATTCCCTTTTTCCTGTCAGCAATCGTATTATGTTCAAATCTGTTCCTTTCAAAGCTGTCAAGTCATTGGGTCAATTGGCTAGACCTTCCATGCGTTCTGCATTGGTAGGAGCCACCAGAAGTGTCAGAATGCCAGTCTTGCTGGTGGGTGGTATTCGGTACAATTCTTCTGCTTCCGTGCAATTAAAGGATGTTTTAAAGTCAGAGTTGAAAATCTCCAAAGCGATCCCAAATGAGTTGGATCAGAGCTACCTTGATTTCCTTGACAAGTCCGGGTTCAAAGTGGAAGAAAGTGAGGGAAAATCGAATGTTCAATTGGTGAAAAATGGTGATAATGGTGAAATTATTCGGGTGTTTTTCGATATTGATGAGGTGACGGATATCCCTATGAACGAGACCAATGGTGAGGAGGAAATGGATATGGAGGAGGAGATGGAATCGTTGGATTCGTTGCTTTGTAATGTCAGAGTGATGGTGGAAAACTCCAATAAAAACGATGCTCTTTTTATGAATTTGTTTTTGCAAGGATCCGAAGCGTCATTTTTGGTTGATTTCGTCAACTACAAGGCTGATGCTTCGAAATTTCTTTCCGAAGATATCTTGACTCGTGGAGAATACGTTGATAAATTCGAGTACCAAGGGCCTAGATTTTCCGATTTGGATGAGTCGTTGCAAACGGGATTTGAAACATACTTGGAAGAATGTGGAATCAGTGAGGAATTGGCTGAATTTATCATTGGATACAGTGAGTTCAAGGAGGAGAGAGAGTACAGAAAATGGTTGGGAGATTTGGAATCGTTTTTGTAGCCATGTAAATAAGACAAGAAAAGGGCAAAATGCACAAAGAATGGGAAAAAATGAGAGAATGAGATTGTAGAGATAAAAAGATAGATATAAAGATATTATGGAGGGGAGTTGAGTGCTAGTAGGTATAGGTATCAGGCAGCTCACTACGTTCGCAGCCTGCGTTCGCTGCCAGCTGCTGTGACTGCTTCTCGTGCCTCACGTGCACTGCACGTGCACAGTGTTTCCGCGAAAATCTTCAACACCGAATTTCTCAACTCACTAACCATGTCTGCCGAAGCTTCTGTATCATATGCCGCCTTGATCTTGGCCGACTCTGAGGTCGAGATCTCTGCTTCCAACTTGTTGGCCATCACTAAAGCCGCTGGTGCTTCCGTTGAAAACGTGTGGGCCGAAACTTTCGCCAAGGGTTTGGAAGGAAAAGACTTGAAAGAAATCTTGTTTTCTTTTGCTGCTGCTGCCCCAGCTGCTGGTTCTGCTCCTGCTGCCGCCGCTGCCTCCGGAGATGCTCCAGCTGCCGAGGAAGCTGCTGAAGAAGCCGCTGAAGAATCCGATGACGACATGGGATTCGGATTGTTCGATTAATGGGATAGATCATAATACACGTAGTAGGAATTGAGTGGAATAGGAATGTAGAGAGTGTAGAGGAAGAGGACGAAAAGAAGGGGGATCAGAGACTCGTCGGAATCGGTTCGTAATTAGCTCGTCACGTGACACCCATACACCATTTCTCACCGCGGACGGCTGAAACGGAGGTATCGGCGGTACCGGAGACGGCGACTATTCGGCCGGAAACGCCGTACGGCGCCGTTAGGCAACATTGATCGCCGTCATTCCTCAGCCCGACAATCGTGATGTAATGGAATATGACTTCATTAGCTAGAGTCAATCATGTCCGGAAATTTTCACTCGGATAGCCATTAGCCACGGTTACGAGCGCGGACCAAGGACTAATTCAACGTCGGTATGCAGGAGCCGAATATAAATCATAAGTGGCGAATGCAATGGACGCCTTTCCCGGATAGGATGAGACTTGATAGTTCTGTGGCTAGTAGACATAAATCTACAAAACGGACTTTTAAGAAAGTCAGGAACATTTTGCTAATTATTCTCAATTTACTTGTTATGCGACTTTGCTTACTTTTGCTTACATACTATTCTTACTTTTTCTTGTGTTGCTTACTTACTCTTCTTTACTTTTTCTTGTCTTGCTTACTCAGTTTGTACTTCTACTCACTCTGATCGAATATTCGGAACTCGTGGCTGGCCCGCCAATTGCGCAGGTATATCCGGTGCGCGACAAATGGAATCCGAGGGTATACCCCTGCAATCCGGAGTTCCTATTTGTATGTGATTCGCATTGCTATTACATACAGCGCTAATCAATACCTTTTTCTATGACTCCTATCTAAAGTTTAAGTATAACTTTAAGTTTATAGGCATCGCTGACAAACTGGGGTGATTGTGTGCAGGACACATCAAATCTTACAAATTGTAAATCAACAAGTGTAAAAAGGTTTGTGGATTGTTTTGAATTATTGTAGCAGGTTTTTGTTTGTTTTGGAGCTTGTTGGTTTGTTGTTGTTGATGGTGTTTGTTGGTGTCTTGTGCTTCCGGCCTGGCTCCGTTCCGTTATAACCGCGCAATCTCCGGCCCGATGTGCAGGAACGGGAATAGAGGTGCGGCCGCCGGCTCGGCTCATTTCTAATCCAATTTGTCAGGCAAACATATATAATTAGCTGTTTCCTGAGACATTCAGCCTTACAAAAAAAAAACAAGACAAAATTACCGGTAACAAATATATTGCCAACAAAGAATTAGTATTAAAGCCAACAAATATCGCTGGCCATTATACCTTCCCACATTATTACGGTCATTGTACTAAGTGATATTATTGTGGTGTTGTTATCTTCCATCGGTTAATCCTCCCATTTATTATTGTTGCTAATCGCACAAAATAGAATTTTTTACAGCAAGGAGTATTCTTCTGCAGGCTTATTTATTGTGCATATTCGTGCATATTTATTTTCCAAATTTTTGACTCATTTGCCGTTGCTATAAAAGCAAGGGATTTCCTCACCAAGTTATCATGTCACTTGCTCAATCTTATGCTTTGGCCTCCAAAGTGAGGTCAAAATTGACAAGAGATGCTCAGGATCCTAAGTCTTCATTGAGGAGTTTAGTGGTTCAAGCTAATATGTTGGACTCCTTATTAGACCATATTTCAGAAGAATCTAAGAATAGAGCAGCCAAATCCAAAGTTTCTTTCAAAGACGTACCTACTGTTCACCGTGAAACCCCCACCAAAGTTGTGGAATATGAAGTGGATGATGACTCAGATTCTGACTCAGACTTTGATTCGGATTCAGATTATGAGTTTGAAGACGATGATGAAGAAGTGCAGCAACCTCAATTGCGCGTTTACGAAGACGTTTATGACTCAGAATCAGATAGCGATCTCGAGAGTGAAGAAGAAGACCTATTCTATAAACATGCATTGCCCGTCATCTCCGAAGAACCAGAAACCCATTCACACGCATCGTCCATCAACCTCCACACCATTCCTCGTAGTTTCAGTCAAGACGAGTTGGAATCAAAAATCATGAATCATAGCTTATTCAAGCCTCATAATCTGCCGGCGATGGTGTCGTCAGAATCTCTTTCTATGAAACGCATGATATGAATTACGCCACGACTGATACGACTTATGACTTCTTTAATAGATACGATAGATTTCAGAGTGTAGACGAGAAATGAACAGATACGAGTTTTGCACGTTTCTTGGCCGACATGTCGGCTTGTCTATTCAGCTTGGCCGTTATCAAGGGTTTCAGATCACTTGCCCGTATGACGTAGGTTTTTGGCTTTCTTGCCCACCAAGGTAGCAGGCATATGCAAGAGAGCCTAGAACCCCAGATGTGGTGCGCATGCAGGGTTTGCGAGATTGCTTATTTAGGTAAGTCCGGCACGAGTCGGCGCCGTGAACTTTCGGCCGCAAGAAGCACGGTCGGCAGTCGGGCCGACGATAAATATCGCGGCTGATTAGGCCATACATTAGCCGGGAATACAGCCGGGCATAAGCGGGAGCATACATAATTCGGAGGTTAATTTCTACCCTACAATTTTAAGACAAATACTTCAAAAAACATTATTTGTTCCTGAAATTTCACGATCAAATCGAAGAAATATTAATGCTCGGCAACGGTTTATAAAAATCGTTTCATAATTTTATGGTAGAAAATTTCTGCATCTAATGCACTGCACATAAACACTGCCATATATGTACGCACCTGCACGATTGAATTTTGACACATCCGGACACCACGATGGCACGGCGCTGATACCGTAGGGCTTTGCCCCGATTCAGATCTGATATCTATGCCCCGCATCCCGAGCCAGTTTTCTCTTTAGGTGGTCCAAATGACGGAAAAATTGCAAGCTGACGAATTGCAAACGCAAGAAACTAAAGTATCTGCAACCACTTTTAGCAGCCATGAAGAACTGGAAAATTTCATCAACCGAATTGGACGCAAATTTCGGGCAGAGATAAGGGGTGTGGAGCGAGTTCCTGAGGACAAAAGAGTTGATACTTCCAAGTTATCGCCGCTAACAATGTTTCTTTCACCAAATATGTCGATTGCAGCATTAAGTACCGGAGCTTTAGGACCGGCACTTTTTGGTCTAGATTTCTGGACTTGTGTTTTGTGTTCAGTAATCTGGTCTGTTATTGGTGCTCTTCCCGTGGGACTCTTTGCAGTGTTTGGAGCTCGTTTTGGGCTCCGACAACAGATCTTGTCTCGGTACTTGACCGGCAACATTATGGGCCGAATCTTTGCACTTTTCAATGTTATCAGTTGCATAGGATGGAACGGTATAAATTTGATTCCCGCAGTTCAATTATTAGCATCTATGGGCCCTTTACCTCCTTGGGCTGGCTGCTTGATCTTTGTGGTGTTAACTTGTGGAGTAGCCATGGCCGGTTACAAGGTGATTCACCTTTATGAACGGTACTCATGGATTCCCAATTTTGTTGTGTACTTGGTGGTAATTGCTCGACTCACCATGACCCATACTTTTACTTTTGGAGACATGTCCGCCTCCACTTCAGGAAATGTTCTCAGTTTCATTGCAACCATTTTTGGATTTGTTGCCGGTTGGGTTCCTTCTTCCGCAGACTACTTTGTGTACATGCCAAGCTCAACTCCAGGTTACCAGATCTTTTTTAGTATGGTTGCTGGGTTGGCAATTCCATCTATGTTCACCTTAATTTTGGGTGCGGCATGCGCAACGGCAACAGTATCCACTCCAATATACCAAGCCGCCTATGAAAAAGGGTCAATTGGAGGCTTGATGTACCAGATCTTGGTGGTCAACAATCTCCATGGTTTTGGGAAATTTTGCTGTGTTATTCTTGCCCTTTCAGCTATAGCCAATAACGTTCCTGGTTCCTATTCGCTTGCTTTAGCTGCCCAGGCCATCTGGTCTCCTCTCGCCCGGTTTCCTCGTCTTGGCTGGTGCCTCATCGGCAACTTTGTATCGCTTGGACTCGCCATTCCAGCTTACTATGTTTTTGCCGAAACCATGTCCAACTTTCTCTCCATCATCGGCTACAACGTTTCGATTTATATTGGCATATCCATGGCCGAACACTGGATATACCGCCGGGGATTTGGCGGCTACGATGTGACCAACTTTGAGAACCGGAAAACCCTTCCTTTTGGTATTGCTGGTGTGGTTGGGTTCCTCTTTGGTGTGGCCTCGACGGTGCTTTCCATGGACCAAACTTGGTATCTGGGAGTTATCGCTAGGGAAATACACGGAGACATATCCTTCGAGCTCAATATTGCTTTTGCATTTATTGGGTACAATATGGTACGACCTTTTGAGAAAAAGTACTTGGGTCGATAGAAGTAATTGCAGCCAAAATAACTAGCCGAAATATATATATCAGTCTGTACCTATCTGCAGTACCGCGAACTCATAATCGCAGGACTCAAATCTTTATTATTGAATCGCAACTAACAACATCCATGATTCGTAGCGCCTCCAGTGCACTACGAGGGATCCGGTCCCCTGGACCTCGAAATGTGCGCAGATTCATAGGCATAAGCGGAATATCTCCTTACAGGGCCTCAAAAATCACGAAAATGTCTCCTTTGGCAATCATGGTGCCACGGCGTAATTTGGGTTTCATCAAAATTTTGGCCAAAGCTACCAGAGTTCCCGCTTATATTGGAGGAACCATGGCGGCGGGAGGCACCTATGTTGCCTATAAGGTCGAACAGGCCTCCACTTACACACAGGATAAATTATCTGCCATCAAAGATTTTTCGAGTGGCGTGTTTGACAAAACCAGCGAATTTTTCAGCGGGTGGGGATCCAATGGTGGAAGCGGCCTGACCACCGATCCTTCAGGACCGTCGGGCGAAGATACCGCTACGGTTATGGGAGCAACAGCGGCCGCGGTGGGACTTTCGGCTGAGGATGATGACGGGAACGATGACGAAAATGACGACGAAGACGAGGAAACTCTTGTTGAAGATGACGACGACGAAGATGTGGAGGCAGACAGAGCCCAGACCGACGAGGGCATGCTTACTCTTACTCGGCAAATGATAGAAATCCGTAATTTGCTTGCTTCCATCGACCACTCCGATGCTCTTCGTCTTCCTCAGATTGTGGTGATTGGGTCGCAATCGAGCGGAAAATCGTCAGTGTTGGAAGCGATTGTGGGTCACGAGTTTTTGCCCAAGGGCTCGAACATGGTGACTAGGAGACCCATCGAGTTAACGTTGATCAACACGCCAGATGCTGCTGCGGAAACCGCCGATTTTCCTGCTCTCAAAATGCACAACATGCTGGATTTTGACCAGGTGCAAAAGGTGTTGGTCGACTTGAATTTGGCGGTTCCACTTACAGAATGCATTTCGCCAGACCCTATCCAAATCACTATTCGATCACCACGGGTTCCCGACTTGTCGCTCGTCGATCTTCCCGGATACATCCAGGTCGAAGCGGCTGACCAACCCGCCGAGCTCAAATCGAAAATCCGTAGCGTTTGCGACCGATATCTTACTGCCCCAAATATCATTCTTGCAATTCAAGCCGCCAACGTCGATCTTGCCAATTCCACTGCTTTGCGTGCAGCCAAGATGGCAGATCCACGAGGCGAGCGCACCATCGGAGTGGTCACAAAGCTCGACTTAGTTGAGCCCGACGTGGCTCGTCTGATTCTTGTCAACAAGAAATATCCCTTAAGAATGGGATATGTAGGAGTGATCACCAGACCGCCCGATACTGCAACTCTGAGTCGTGGAGGCTTGTTCCTGAGAAAGGCAATCACTGGGTACCAGGCTTTCGTTGCTCAGCAAAACTTTGAGCACGGATACTTCAAGGACCACAAGGATGAATTCTACGGAACCGTGACTCTGACCAGACAATTGAAAAAGAAGTTGATCAAAGTATTAGAACGCAGCATGGCGGCGGCACTCAAACCCACACACCTTGCCATTCAGCAGGAACTCGAAGAAACCTCGTACCAGTTCAAAGTGGAGTTCAATGACCGGCCATTGACACCTCAAATGTACTTGGCGAACAACATCGATATGTTGAAACTTGCTACCAAGGAATTGGCACATCGCTTTTCACGGAGAGAGTTGCGCAGCTTACTCCAAAATGAAATCGACCAAAAGGTTTTGGATCTTTTGGCAGAGCGCTACTGGAACCAGCCATGGTCAGACACCGCTATTCATTCGAGGACCGAGCCACCTCTCAAGGAGCTCTCTCAACTCTCAAACCTCGACGACGACGTTTACTGGCACAAGAAACTCGACCTAGCCACCAGCTCACTAACCAAATTGGGCATTGGTCGGTTTTCTACTACTCTAGTAACCACTGCAATTTTGACGGAAATAGGCAACCTTGTTGATGGCACTCAATTGCGGAACCATCCTTTGGCACGCAAGGCCGTAATAGATGCGGCAGAATCTGTTCTTCTGGCAAAATACTATTCGACTGCCGACCAGGTGGAAAATTGTATCAAGCCGTTCAAGTACGAGATTGAAACCGAAGACCGTGAATGGTTGAGCAGCAAGGAGAACGCGGTGCGGTTGTTGAAGGAGGAAATGAGACAATGTGACGAACTATTTAATGAACTCAAACGTGAAGTTGGCGGCCGAAAGTTACTGCAGGTTATGACATATCTAACCAAATGGCAAGAGCTGTCCGGTGAGGTGAACCTGAACGAAGCGCTTGGCTTTTCGGGACAGTTGATCCAGAAGGGCCGCGAAGCACTCTTTTTGAAGGACCGTCTTTCGCTTTTACAGATGAGACATCTGTTTGTCAAAAGCAGCAAAAAGTGCCGGTCCAAGGAAAACAAGTACCAGTGTCCCGAGATCTTTTTGGATGCTGTGCTGAACAAGTTATCATCCACTGCCATCTTGTTCTTGAATGTGGAGCTTTTGAGTGATTTCTACTATAAATTTCCTCGTGAATTGGATAGACGGTTTTTCGGCACCATGACACCAGAGGAAATGGAGGAGCTTGCTAAAGAGGATCCAAAGGTCAAGAAACACATTGAGTTGGGTGAACGCAAAGATCGGTTGGAGACGGCGTTGTCAAAGATGGAGAGTGTGATGAGACAGAGAGTGAGCAATAGCGTGTAAATAGTAATGAGTGATGACGGTGAACTACTACACTATAAGTGAGGTACTAGTTCTATGTATTTATCTTCCCGTGATCGACACTACCCGGTCAAACAAACTGTCGAGAGTGAGAGAGTGGGCGTTTTCGAAAGCCGAGGCAAACGTATTCATATCAAAAGTTTTTCGGTCGTTGTTATGGGCGATTTCTTGCTGTGCTCTTTCTTCGGCTTTGATCATAATTTGGTTCACATCTGGCTTGATATCTTCGTTGAGTTCCAGGTACTCGGTCAGAGACGATGTGAGCATTCCCACTCGAGCATCGAGGTCCACGAACAAAAAGGATCCAGAAACACAGAGCACAGAAGTGATGCCCTGGTTGTGATTTTTCGTGAAAACTGGCTCCAAATTATTGTGGTTGAACACTAGCAATTTGGACTTGATTGCGAGGGTATTGGTGGATTTTTCATAGTAATTTGCAGCCACGCAAATAAGACGAGAATCATAATCTATGGCGACAAGATTGCGAGCACCTTCAGGAAAGTTAGCTCTTATTATGAAGGAAAAGGCACCACGAATCAAGTCGTAGGAAGCGATTCTGGTTTGCGAAACCACCAAAAGATGGTTTTCAAGAACGTTTATGGCTCTTATGGGCGAGTCGGCGATGCCCGAAATATGGTTTAAAGTGGTCAATTTGTAGCCATCGAGCACCGTTACCGAGGTCTCGTGTGCCAAAAACACCACCGACGAATCTTGGGACCAACAGACGTCCACCGCACTCGAAGACGCTATGCCGCCTGGGCTACTTTTGTGAAGAGTCCATGCCGTTTGCTGGTTGGAATTGGACAAGTTTTTCACGACTCGCCATATTCTTACACCACCTTTATCGTCGGCAGAGACGAAAGCAAGCTCGTTTTTCAGTAGAGGTGCCGGTTTGATGGTGAAAATCTTGTTTCCGTGGCCGTGAGGGTCGATGATTTTACATGCCAATTCCCATTTGGAACCGTCATTTTTGGAGTCTACGTTCTTCCAGAACTTGAGGGCATGGTACTCGTCGCTCTTGGATAAGAGGTTGTCCACTGGGGAGGGTGTGACGGTGTCCACAGTGACCATCCATGAACCATCGTTGGAGAAATCCACGAGCGAAATTTTAGGGTCGACGAGTTTTGTTTCTGAACGAACTTTACCAGTGGGTAAAACAGCTGCTGCGTTGAGTAGCGACTGCTGTTCCTGGCGGACCCAGTCGTAGATTTGAATGGAGGCTCCCGAGGGGAAATAGACCTGGTTGGTGGTGGGATGAACTGCGGCAGGCAGCGAGTAATCCTGACGAATAGGCACTTGGTAGAGGTTATCGTGATTTCCGAGCTTCTTATAAGCACGACGAAGCGAGTGGGCAACACCAGGAACGAGTCTGGGTCGTGCCGAGTTGACGGTGAGACGAGAAACGAGGTCCACTGCCAGAATCGTGAGCATTTCGTGGTGGATTCCGTCGCTACAACCAAGCAACATGGAGTAACAGTCTGTTTTGTGGACATCTATGTGGATCTTGTCGATGGTGCCGTTGAGTCGGGGGAGAAATTGGTGGTTGTCGCTGTCCAAATGCCAAAGAACCAACACTTTTTCAAGTCCTCCGGAAAGAAGATACTTGTTATCTGGGGAAAATGCTACGGTTTTGACCAGGTCTATGTGCCATTTGAGAAGCCGCTGGTCACTTCCACCAACATAGATGAGTTGTATGGGTCCGGCACCAGTTCCAAGAGCCACCACACCGTCGTTGGACACGGCTACTGACGTCACCGGCGATTTGTAGACGAACGAATTTCGCTCAACAGACATCTCTGAGTCGCCAGAAACCGACACACGAACGACCTCGTGGCTCGTGGTCACAAACACAACCTGGGACTTGTCAAACGACCACGAAAATACCGGGGTGACATCGTCAACTACCACCTTAGTTTCTCCTTCATTTTCTTTCAGAAAAGTCTGCACCAACGCAGTGCTGGGGCCCTTTTTCTTGGTGCTCTGGAACACTCCAACAAACCTGTCGCCATAACAGCTTGCAGAAGCCAAAACATACCCTTGTGGAGGACTCATCACGAAAACCTCCGTCACCGGACTGGCAACTTTTTCCTTCCAATTGACAGAAAAAACACCGCCCAGGCCACTGAATAGCAATATCTGCGACGCCGAGCCCGGATCCAAACACATATCCACAATCAGGCCAATATTGATGTCAATACAACGAACACACTGACGAGTAGCCAAAAAATACACTCTGATTTGGTGAGTAAAAACCACAATCTGGTGCTTCCCGTCGGCTGAAAACACAGCAGGAAACGCAGGAGTGCCTTCTAGCTGCGGCAAACGTCCGCCCAGCACCATGCGTGAGGCCCATTCCACATGGTCAACAGTCATAGTTGGAGAGATTTTGCTCATCGCAGAAGTGCGGTGCGGTGTCCGGGTGTGCGAGCGAAGCGAGCAGACCTGGTGTGAGAGCTCAGTGGTTTTGTGCGAACTAGTGGTTTTCGGGCTTGTTTCGCGGGCTTGGTGTACCGGCGTGCACTTATATCGTTTTCATTCTCTCTTCTCATCACCATGATCATTCCCATCCGGTGCTTTTCCTGCGGCAAGGTCGTGGGAGACAAGTGGGAAACTTACCTCGAGTACTTGCAGGACGACACGATGACTGAGGGTGACGCTTTGGACAAATTAAAGTTGCGTCGTTATTGTTGTAGAAGAATGGTTTTGACTCATGTCGATTTGATCGAAAAGTTTTTACGCTACAATCCATTGGAGAAGAAGGAAATTGTATAAGCTATTGTAAATTAGTTCACTGCTTGAATATACTCGTAGAAGAACGCCGTGAGCTGTAGATGGTTGTCGATCAGCATTCTTTCATCTACCAGGTGGATGCGGTTATCCTTGACCAAATTTTCACTGTAGTAAGGAGTGTACCGGTAGATGTTTTTCGTGAGGTTCCAGTAGTGCCGGGTGTCGGTGTTGGCCGGCATCATTCCAGGAACCAATACCAACGGATGGGTAAGATTGGGGTAAACAAGTTGTTCAAAAACATGTCTGGTGACACCGGCAATTTCGCTCCAAACTGTGTCGTTAGATGGTGATACCGGTGCCGTTTTGGTAGGAGGAGATTGGTAGCCCACTTGGAACAATCCTTTTTCTGTTGCGGGAAGAATACTTTCACCTTGTACCGTGAGACCCAAATTGAATTTTTCAGCGATTTTAGCCACTTGCGACTCAATATTGTCCATGATGGTATCGAGCGAGGTTTCCACACTTACACGATGGTTAACCACAAGCTTAGCATGCTCCGGCAAAGCGTTTGCCTTTTCTCCTCCAACAATGACATCGAGAGCCTGCGAGGTTTGAATCAAGTACCTCGACATGGGGTTCTTGACCATCAGTTGAACCACCTTTTTGTTGGCATATTTGTCGAATCCCGCCCGCAACATGGCCTTTTTCTTGAGCCGCGGAAGGTCACCGTGGCGAGCCACACACTGCAAGTAGCCCATCATGGGATTTTGGCTGGTGAGAAGCGGAGAATATGGGTGCTTCTCCAACTCAAAAGCAACCTCCGATAAAATTCCAATCGAAGTATGGTCGGGCGGAACAGAAGAATGTCCACCGGGTGTCGTGAGCTCAATGGACACATCCATGTATCCTTTTTCGCCGGTTCCGGCAATTGCAACCATTTGTCCACTAATTATGTCTTTGGTCAAACCTGGACCTTCGTCAATAAGAACATGGAAACCATCGTATCCAAACTCCTTTTCCAAATAAGGACCAATATGAGCAGCACCATGAGTACCAGAAGCCTCCTCGTCGAATCCAAGAGCGACAACCACCGATCTCCGAGGCTCGAACCCACGCCCTATCAAAATTTCCATCGACTCCAAAATGGCTACCAACACATTTTTGCAGTCGGAGGCTCCACGGCCCCACACATACTCACCATCGTAATGTCCCGAAAGCGGTGGGTGAGTCCATTTGTCCAAAGTGTCCGATTGAATCGGAACGGTATCTTGGTGCGCCGTCAAAAGCACCGGTTTGAGCGACTTGTCGGAACCTTCCCAATGAATGACCACGCCATAAGTGTTGACATAAGAAACCTTGGCGGTGTTCATCACGGTGGCAAAAGTAGTGTTCAAATACTTATGGAATTTCTTGAATTGAGTCCACATTTCAGGAGCCTCATCTACTCCCGGCTGGTTGTCGCCAATTTGAGTGTCGACTTTTACGGCATTGGAAAGCTTTCTAGCAGAGCTAACGCGGAATTGAGCATCGTTTAAGATTGCCAACACTGTGGAATTGTCTTCAAAGAACGAAGCTGGAACTAAAGTCTCGTAAAGCGGACAAACGTTATCGGAAGTGGGAGCCAACAAAAACCAAATGGGCCGCCAATTGAAAAGCAAAAAGATAGCTACTATGGCACCAAGCGCTATTGATGCTCGCTTGATCAATGTCTGTTTCTCCATAGTAGAATTGACTTGAGGAGAATCCTCATCTTCGGGAAGTTGCACCATGTTGAGGAGCTGTAGTTCGAAGTGGAATAAAGTAGGTGGAGATATGGTGGTTGGATGGAGCCTGCACATAAAGTACGAGAAAGGCAGGTAGGTCCGATAAGAATTCCAAATTTTGATAAGCTAGTGGAATAGGAGCGGTGCATGATGTGCGACGCGACTATGAGTTGTGTTATCTTGTCGCTTTGCTGTTGGTTTGGGGTCTGTTTGAATTTGGTGTGAATTGGATGATGGTCAAGTGCGGCGCCATGCGCATGGGTGGGGCATCGTGCGCAATAATCTGCATACCATCATGCGGTATCTGCATGTTATATGCATCCTTTATTGGAATTGGCTATGGGCGCCTAATTGGGTTAGATTAGGGGCTGGGGCATGCAAATGGATGCAGCAGATACCTGAAATGACTGCAGAGCCAGATATCATACGGCATTTCGTAATTCCATCTTCGTATTCGCCGTTATTCATAATTCATCAGTCCATAATTTCGTTCTTCGTATTCATGATCTGAATTTTTCATATCGTATTTGCACGTTTCTGTGCGTTATTTTTAGATCTGGTTGTTCTCTAACTTTTCATTTGTCGTATAGCATCATTGAACAACGACTTGGCGTAAAAGTAGTGTATTAGTCTCAAAATCTGGATTGGGGGGTCGGCGTCTTCAACGGGATTGCAGATAGTTCCTTGGAAGGTCACGCGCATGCGGTCACGTGCCGTTCTTATCACTTTGAATCTATGGAATCCGGAAAATTGGTTAACATCCGATCCGAATGCGAAATCTGCTGACCAAGAATTGGAATCTTTTTCGCAACCAATGAGATTAAATGTTCCATAGACCAACGTTCCTTTCTGCAATAAGTTGTTGGTGGGAATTTCGTTTGAGTTCCATATTATTTTCCTTGATTTATCTTCAGGGAAAATTGCAAAAGGTGCAATAAAAAGTGGTTTTTTAGCAGAAAAATCAATATCGTTCAAACTTGTGAACGCGGTTATTTGGCCCTTTCCTTTCAAAAAAGTACATAGAATCAATCTTTCCAAGAACATTGATGGGCCGCTGAAAAACCCTTTTGTAAAGCTAGCCAACACTTGTTCATTTGATTTTTTGGTGTCAAATTCATACGAAAAGATTTCGGATGTGAAGCGTTTAAAATTAGGATTGACTATTTTCATGGATTTTGTTTTGGTGAAATCAGAGGGAATGTCAGTGGTATAGGAAGTGTTGTAGTTGGTAGCAAAGTAGCCTACAGCGCAGGCGCCAAGAAATAGCGCCTTGTAGGGTGGCATGTAAAATATAACAAAGAAGAAATGTGCGAATGGGTGCAAACTACGGTGCAGGAACCACGAAGCCAGTGTAGCGGAACGAAACGGAACTGCCACGGTAATGTATCACCGTGGTACGGTGTAACGGTGTAATGGAACGGTGATAACGGAGCTGCAAAGTCTAAGTTGATGCGTCTCAGTTTTAAATGGCGGCGCAGTGGTGTACTGGACGCGAAGGGGCCGTTACGTCAGGTGCATTGCTGATTCCAACATTCCTGCATTGCTACCGCGATTATTTTTAGACGCAGGTCCTTGGCACGGATCCCCTGTTACTGCCACCGGGCAACCACCGGTCGACCAAGTACCGGTCAACCATCTCCTACCGGTAGCCAGCAGATCATACCGGTCCATCTCTTACCGGCCAACCATCTCATACGGTAGCCGGCAGCCGAGCTGCCTCTACCTGTCTCATCGGACCCTAATGCGGGGTGTGCAGGCCAACTTACGCGTCGCGGTATTTACCAACAAACATGGCGCTGTGAAACACGCGACCAAGGGGGCTTTATATAAGATGCAACGGATCCACCATAACAATTTTGTTAAAAACTGCGTATCTAGTCGCGTCCACTCCTTTGAACTTCTATGAAACAATTTGCTTTTATTGGCCTTGTGGCTGCTGTTGCGGCAGTTCCATATAAAAGATATGACAATAGTACCGATGTTTCCACCGGTTATTCTGCTTCGGTGCTTCCAACCAGTGGCCCTGATACTACAATTACCGTCAACGAGTATGTAACGGTAGTTTTACCAGGAACAACAAAAACGATTCCTGCGTCAGAAACTACTGCATCCGACGTGGCCCAGGCGCTTGCAGCTGGTCATACGCCCTCGGTAGCGGAAACGTCGCAAACTAGTTCAACATCACTTCCACAATCACTCGGGTACCAGACATTTGACTTTCTGGGGGCGTAGCCAGGGACGGTTCCCACCGCTACTGAAACTGTCACTCTTACCACCGGGAGGAAAAGCAGCGGCTACATGGCAATGGATTCAACTGTGGAACTTTACACCACGTCCGCCGGGACGAAATTTACCACCATCACCAAAGACGGTACCACCGAAGTTGAACCGGTTGAGACCGACGTCGAGACCGGATGTGTTGCACTGACCGTAACTGTC